GTGGTTTGGACTCCCAGACAAGATCATCAGTGACCGAGGACCGCAATTTGCGTCCAAAGTCTTCCAAGAACTTTGAAAAATGACTGGGGTTCAATCAGCCATGAGTACGGCATTCCATCTGCAAACCGATGGCGAGACAGAACGAGTAAACCAAGAGCTGGAGATCTACCTCCGCTGCTTCACTGCCAATGATCCGGATAAGTGGGCTGACCATCTTCACACTGCACAATTTGCTCACAACTCCCGCGAGCATTCCACGACGAAGACGTCCCCATTCAAACTCATGATGGGATACGAACCTCGCAGAATACCCACCGCGCACACCGGATCAAACACGCCCCAAGCAGCTTATCACCTCAAGGACTTGCAAAACATCCGTGAAGAAGCACATGCGGCAATGGAGATGGCCCAGAACGTCCTGGCCAAGAGAGTAAAAAGGAAGGGGGGTTCCTTCCGTAAAGGTCAGCTGGTATGGCTAGACTCCCGGAACTTGAAGCTGCCATACCCATCCAGGAAACTAGCCCCGAGGCGAGAAGGGCTGTTCAAAGTCCTAGACAAGATTGGAACGGTCGCGTACAAGCTAGACCTCCCTAGCACCTGGCGAGTCCACCCCGTTTTCCACGAATGGCTTCTATCTCCCTACTCAGAAACAGAGATCCATGGTCCGAACTACACGAGGCCACCTCCTGACCTTATCGAGGGCGAAGATAACTACGAAGTCGAAGCCATCATCGGACACCGAGAGAACAAGAGGATGCGGCGCCGGGAATATCGCATCAGGTGGAAGGGTTACTCAACTGCCGATGACTCATGGGAGCCCGAAGCGAACCTGACTGGGACGGCGGACGAAGTGTTGACGGAATATAAGAACAGGAAGGACCTGAGCTGAAACGATAGCAGCTCTACCCAGTCGCTACATCCCCACTCGCATCAACATGTCTTCCACCCTCCCGTTCCTCGACCAGTTCAACGCCCCTTCAACCGAAGGCGGGAAAAGAATCTCAATCTACACCCCTAAGCACACCCATGTCGGCGACAGCGCTTTGCTGACGCTACTCCTCAGTAACCCCACCGACGTCTTCAATAAACTCAAAACCCACAACCCCGAGGCAACCAATGCCACCGACCGCGCTGCACTAGAAGCGTACCTCTCCGCCCGCCACGAATACGACGAGGCTGTCAAGGCAGCCGACGAGGCCATCGATCATCACAAACGACTCCTACATCAACAGGACGACCGTGTCCTCACTGAGCTCATTCGACTCGACAATCTGAAAGTTGCCCATCTCTTTCAACCGCTCCTACCGCACAGCATCCGGGCGCGACACAACAAATTCATCCTGCGTGCCATCCCCAACGCATACCTACCCCTACCCACACCCCTACCGACATCTGTCTTCAGGCGGCCCCCGATCCCATCCCCTTTCCTCCAAGCAACGCCGCGGAGCACTACTATCCCGGCTGACTAGCAACCCAACCCTGGGTGGACCCCGAAGGGAAGTTGCAGGTGATGTGGATTGTCTCGACACTGGGTACGGGACTGTCCGGACATACGATGCGCAGGATGCGGGAAAGAAGCCCCTGGACACCTGGAGCGGGAGTGCGGAACCAGGCTGATGAAGCGACACATATCCGCACCACCTGAAGAACCTGCGCGACGCGTGAGGGTGGTCGTTGACAACATGTTCCTCGAGGAAATCATCAACGAGGCGAAGGAGAGGAAGGAGAAAGAAAGGCAGATGAAAGCGGTACCTATTCCTCCACCGCGCAGCGCTAACCCTGAACCCCCAACCGGTCCCATCGCGGGACCCTCGCGCCCCCGCCCCGATACACCCATCATCTTTCGCAAAGTCGACCCCGACTGGACACCCGACACCACTCAATGGACGTGGGACAGCTCCTGGCCGCATCAGAAGCACCTCTCTGGCGAGGAATGGAAGAACGTGGGGAGAAACGCGCGCAACGAGTGGTTTGACGAAGAGGAGGACGACGGCGTAGACTGGGAGTTGTATGGAGATGGTGAGCAGTAAGTAGTTGAATGGGACTTCGACTCTGGTAGGGGGGTAATGAAACATTTGTCTTTCCGTTCTATTCCTTGTACTACTAGCACCCATACTGGCGCCTGTCTTAGCGCTCACCCGCAGGTTGAACATTATGTAGCTTACATAATGGGGTCCGTGCGCACTTCGTACTCGGCATCGTACCACTACGTTTCTTTCTTCACTAACACGACCACATAGACACAATGGTCTGTGCGCAGTCGGTACTTGTATAAGTAGTTGTACCATTAGTCGGTCGAACCCTAAGTTCGACCTGGTTATTTCATTCAAGTCTCTGCTCCTCTTCGCTTGGGGTAGTGGTCATTCTCGACTTCCTTGCTCGATCTTCAGGACGACGTACTGTCCATAAGTCCTCGCTCGTCGTCTACGAGTCAGGCATCGATATAGGAGTATAGACCATTGTAACAGGCTGCTTACCAGCTGCCTTCGTCAGGGACTTCTGCTCATGCTCGTACTCATGAAGCCAATTGTCAGCCTCGACAATGGTAGCAATCCAGCCGTCAAGTGTGGCTGGGCGTGGAGTGTTGACGAGCATGAGCTTGAGCGAGGGTTTGAGACCACGGTCAAAATAAGTTATCTGTGTGAACATACTAAGATCCAGGTGCACGAGGTGCTCCTGGAACTTGTTAGCATAGTCTGCAGCAGCACCAGTCTGCTTTAGATTCTTGATAGCCATCAAAGACGACTTGACAAGGTTCGGGTCCTGGAATCGGGCTGTGAAAGCCTCTTGGAGCTGTTTCCAGTCATTCAGAAGGTAGGCGCTGGTGCGCTCAATTGCATTGAACCACGTGATCGGCGAGCCATCCTTCAGGTACATTGACAACAGCATCGCCTTTTGGCGGTCTGTCGAGACCTGCTGCAGGTCGATGTATGCACGGATCTTGCGGAGGAAGAAAACAACTTCCGTCGAGCGACCGTTGAACATGCATGGGTCTCGCATCTTCACACCGCATGAACGCAGCTGCGAGTTAGACTGCAAAGAGCCCAATGTTGTGTTGTCAAGGTGATGCGTAAGCGCCTCGAGAGCCAGCCCATAGCGGGTCTGGTTGTCCATGAAGGCCTGTTGACCTGCCCCAATAGCCACTACAGCCTCGAGGAGAGCGTGGATGTGTTGAGCCTCAGCTGAGGGCAGTTGAGTCTGAGGCTGGTTGACCTGAGGCTGTGGCTCGGTGGGAGCCTCGGGCGGTGCCGGAGCATCGCCAGCACCTGCACCCCATTGGCCATCAAAGCCTTGATCATACATCGAGGCCAAGACAAAGGGTGCGAGAAGACAATGGACAAGGATATAGGTTCCGAAAACAAGGGAGTACGTTACCGTAAGGAGTTACAAGCGCGCGACGCAGCTCGCTGAGGTCTACTAGTGTAGTGATTGGTTGGTCTTGCCAAACTGTAACGGGCAGATCATGTTGAGGGCCGTTACGACGGGTTGAGAGGTCGAGGCACAAGGACGAGCGAGAGCGAGTGAGCGGACGAGAGGATCGCGAACAACAGAGGACAGGATGCCTGGATACTGGTGTTGGCAAGACGAGGGGAACACAAGCGAGAGGGCGTGAGTCTAAGTAATATGGGATAGGCCGGGACGATCATCGGGTTCCTGGTGAGTACCTAAAATGTCTGTTGTAGCTAGATTGACCATTGTTATCTAATCAGTGGAGTCCGTAGCACATTGTATTGCACCGGTAAGTGTCCATTGTAATGTAGCCGTTACATCCCTAGGGCAGCAGAGGCCGGCTTATATACAGGGGGAGTTTAGGGGAGGCTGTGCGCACTGGTCTGTGCGTAGCTGGTCTGTGCACAGCATGCTGACGAAGCCCCGGGGGCTGGTGAGTCAGCACGGCTGTGTCAGCAGAGCCCGAGCTGTGCCGCGCACTGCCATCCCATTTAATCTAATTGTACAGTAGATAAGGACTTGTCTGTTCGAGTGTATAGTACAGAGGTCGTGGGTTCGAGCCTGTGAAAAGGATTTTTTTTAAAAACGGCTAGACACCGTACCAACTCGTGACAGCTGGAGCACAGGGACATTGCCATGTTGTGATAAACACCTGACAGGCTTGCCAAAAAAGGGCATAGAACAAAAGTTTTGCCTCCTAATACCTACCAAAAAAGGTGGTCAATCGGCGAATGAACGAGTGAGCGACAAGAATTGAGCACCCCTACTATGCAACAGAGTATATACCAAAGCAGTAACAATAACACTCGAGGGGGTGATAGTAACACTCCGTCGAGTGTAAATAGTAACGATCGTCATTGGTCACATGCAGTAATATGGTGCGCTACTGGCGCGCTTTGATGCACTTTGCACAGTGATAGTAACCCATACATCTAACATTGTGACATAATAAGATTCTTCTTTATTTCTGCTACAGGTCCCGGGTCATTTGCAATGTCTAGTAGTACAAAGTTCTTTCAAGATATACCACTTAATCCTAACCTAACCTAACCGAACCTAACTCAACCTAACCTAACCTAACTTAACCGAACCTAACTTAACTTAATCTAACTTAACCTAACCTAACTGCCAAAAAGGGACATGTCCGGATTGGGAACAGTAGCTGCAGTCAATGGATGTATCACCAATTTACGGTAGCCAGCCTCAATGACATATCACCCTGCCAAGTACAACTCTGACTGTTACTAATTTGCTCCAACTTTTAGTCAAAGTAGTAACACTCGGTGAGTGTTACTGTTATTACTCTGGTCATCCCTCTATGCGACATGCGTAGGTCCTGGGTCAGACGTTTCGATAGATCTTGATCGATCGAGTTCCCCGCACGACGGGTGGCTGAAGAAGAAGCGTGTCTTGAATTGCCGAAATGGTGCGAGAGCCATGCTCACGAGTCTGCTTTCCCAGCTCTCAATTCGCCTCCTATATATCCCTCTCCCACAGTCGGTCATGCCACCCTCCCGTCCTCCTCCCACCACCCTGCCCTCGCGCCAGCCATGTCAGACTCCCTCCCCATCTTCAACGAAACATCTGCCTACTCCCTCGCCTTTGTCGCGTTTATTGGCGTCGTCGCCGTTACCGCATCACGCACGCTGCTTCCGAAGACCGCGAGCTGGCAGGACAAGTTCACGTTCATCTGGCTGGTGCGCCGCCCCTCCGCTGAGCCCCCTCGGATCTGACTCGAACCTGCTGCACGCACGCAGGCCTTCGATGCAGGAATACATTTTGTCTTCGAGGGCTCATTCCTCTACTACTCCCTGTTCGGACGGCAGGTAAACACGAGTTCGGGGCCGCTGGCCCAGATGTGTATGTGTCACCAGACTTTGGCCCCGCCCTCGACTCACGTCGGCCTATTCTAGGGAAAGACTACGCTCGTGCTGATGCGCGCTGGGGCTTCGCCGACCCCACTATCGTCTCTATGGAGATCCTCACCGTCCTTGGTGCCGGCACGACCAGCCTGTACGTCCTGAAAAAGCTAATCCAGGACGATCCTGCCAGGCACTACTGGATCGTGGTGCTCAGCACCGCTGAGCTGTATGGAGGGTGTGTTCTCCGCGAGTCATGCACATAGAGGCAATGTCGTACTGAGCTGCGCTAGGTGGATGACCTTTGCACCCGAATGGGTCTCAGGTAGCCAGTACCTCACCACGTCCAATGCGTTCCACCTCTGGGTGTACCTCGTCGTGAGTGCCTTCTTCATATGAACGCATAGTCTTACCACTGACTAATCGCACTGATGCAGTTTATGAACGTAATGTGAGTACTTGAACTCCTTTCGAGGACGAACAGCGCACTGAGTGAACAACCTGCAGTTGGGTCTTTATCCCGCTCTGGCTGATGGTCGACTCCTATGGCCACATAGCCAGCTCGCTCCGTGCGATGCAGAATGCCGACCGTGCCAAAAAGAACTAAATGCACTGCCTGTAGCGGCGTGAGAAGGACATGCTGTACCTACACGTTCTTGGCTTAATATCATCTTGCGTTATGTCAAATCTCATCGTCTGGCATGAATACCTGTACTTTGGTGTAATGAGTGTAACGAGACTAACCACATACCAATATCAGCGCGATCGCTACACAATTAATTAATCTCTTGTGGTGGCAGTCGTGCACAAATCGAGATCTTGATTACTACTTGTGGCTGAGCGTTTGCTCGGTTGCCACTACTGCCAGAATGGATCGATGTACGTGCTCACGAGCTGCTTCTTTCAGAATTGCATTCGCCCGTTATAACTGACTCTCCCACAGCCCCTCATGCTACTTTTCCTTTGGTTCCCCCTCCCAACAGCCCGCTGTCACGCCAGCCATGTCCCAGTTCACTGCGACCTCCGCCTACGCGCTCACCTCCATCAGCGCCGTCGGCGTCGCGGCCATCGTCGCAACACGCAGACTGCTCCCGAAGACGGCGAGCGTAAAGGACAAATTCACGTTCATATGGCTGGTGCGCCGCCCGCTCCGTCTCGCGCGTCGCCAGTCCAGCGCGACACGTTCGCCATTACTACATGTGCTGACCCAGCGCGCCCCGCGCACAGGCATTCGACGTCGGCATCCACGCCGCGTTCGACTCCGCGTTTCTCTACTTCTCGCTCTTCGGCCGGCAGGTGAACACGAGCGCGGGACCGCTTGCCCAGCTGTGTACGTGCGCGCCTCTGCCGCCTGCCCGGCGCCGGTTGCTGAACGCTGAACGCTGAACGGTCCGTTGTCTTGCCTAGGGAAGGACTACGCCCGCGCCGACGCGCGCTGGGGCGTCGCGGACCCGACCATCGTCTCGATGGAGCTGATCACCGTCATCGGCACCGGCGCGACGATCCTGTATATCATGCAGAAGCTCGTCCAGGATGACCCCGCACGGCACTACTGGATCATCGTGCTCTGCACCGCGGAGCTGTATGGAGGGTGCGTCTCGCGCGCCGGTCATTCCGTGCTTTCGGGCTTGGAAGTGGGACGCGTGTCAGTACTGAACTTGCTGTGGCGCTAGGTGGATGACCTTCGCGCCCGAGTGGCTCTCAGGCAGCCAGAACCTCAACACCGGGGACGCGTTCTACCTTTGGGTGTACCTCTTCGTGAGTAACTCCCGTCAGCGCTCGGACTCGACACTCATTCACTTGACGTCCGCGTAGTTCCTTAACACGATGTAAGTGCGCCCACGTCAGAGCTCTGGTCGCGCGTAGGCTACACTGAGCACATATAACTCACAGATGGGTCTTCGTCCCGATCTGGCTAATGTTCGATTCGTATCGTTACATCGCGCGTTCGCTGCGCGTGCTGCAGAAGGCGGAACGCGCCAAGAAAGCATGAGCTGCTCCCGCGGCCTTCGCCTTGAATATCGCTTGTGCTGTAGCCTGTCATGTCTCATTGTATACAAACGTACCTCTTGGCCCAATTCCAGAACCACTGCATACTAGCGTCGGTAATGCTGACGAGGACCAGCAGCCTAAACATAGCAGTGTGAAAGCCTCCATATGTGAATGAATTACAGAATAAGTGTAATGCTCAGGTCTGTGACCTATGCGGCTGCTACTGCAGTCGATTGAGTGTCTGCACTGCGGCTCGCCACCCAGTCTCTCCTCAATGCATCCGCCATCTTCCACTCGCGCTCGGCTCTCGGGTCGCGCTGAAGCCACTGCATCTGGTCCAGGAAGGCAGGGCGGAAACGGCGCGGCCGCTCGGGCCCATCGTCCTCCAGACTTATAGGGGCTCGGGACATGCGACTCGGGCTGCGAGTAGGACTACGCTGAGGGGTCGACAGTGGTGTGTCATGTAGGACGCCAGGTCTCGGACCGCGTTTGCGCGGCGTCGAGGGATCCGCGTTGGTGGCAGGCATCATAGGACGGCCCGCAGGAACGTCTTCGAGAGGAGCAGTAGGAACTGCGGAGGGAGAGGAATGCTCGACTGGAGAGGCCGTCTCCTGCCGCTTCTCTGTGTGCACGAGCAGTTCAAGGGTTGATCGTGACGAGGACGCAACGGCGTTGGGGAAGATGGAGCGTTTTGCGGTGGAAGCAAGGGGAGCGCGAGATGATGTTGGCAGTTCAAATACCGCAGCGTAGGCCCGCTTGGTTGGTGATGCAATTCTCGGTCTCTTGGACGGCGTATCGAGCACATCCGCGTCGTCTTTGCCAGACCCACCGGCAAATGCCACCTTGCGTTTGTGCGTAGGCGTCTTCGCGGGCGAGTCGTCGCCGTCATGCGCAGCGGCCACTGGAGGAGGCCTAAGGGACGGCTTAGACGGCGACTTTGACGGCGTATCTGGATGTGGCCGCTTGCTCGGCGTGGGGACGCTGCCTGTGACCGCCTTGACTTTGCTGGAAAGCTCAGAGACTTTCTGGCGGACCCTCGCAGCGACATCTTGGCAGGAGGACTCAAGGAGTTCAACGATGTCCTCGTAGTCGCGTCTGGGTAAGTCATAAAGCGCGAGCAGCTCGTCTGGTTGCCCTTTCTTCACCTGTACCCGCGAGATCAAACGATGATTGCCGACAAAAATAGAGTAGTACTGACCTTCAGCAAGTTGGTGCATGTCCAACAGAAGACCGTGACCGTCAGAATATCAGCAGGGGGGTGAAACTCGAGGGGAAGCATGTCAGTGGCAACCAGTGACTTCTCCACGTCCTTCATGCAGCCTTCGACAAACAACTTTCGACCCAACTTGTTCTCGGAGATAAGATATTCATATGTGAGAGGCTCTGTGTCTTCCTCTGTCTGAGCGTCTGCAGTAGCTAATACAGAGCGGACAGTTTTCAGAGTTGTCTTGAACAAGATCGGCTTGAGGCATGACGCAGTTTGCGCGATCTTCTCAGACACGTCCCCATTGCCTAACCTATGAATTAAATTAAGAATTTCTCTACAGAGCGGAAAATAAAGCACACGTACTCTTGTGAGGCGATGAACGCGCATATAGCAGGTAGGCCTGACTTTCCCTCTCCAAGGTTGTACCCCGTGCCGGGCCCGGTCCGCACGGATGCGCTATGCAAGAGCTCGCGAGCTTTAGATATTGTCTCTCGTTTCGCACATAATTTCCTTATTTGCTGTTCTTGAGGACGCGACATGCTCGGTAGGGGAGAATAGTTCGGTGATGGTAGATTGCAAACAAGCGCGCCACGCGAAGCACACGACGCGTGCGGTCACATGTGACACATCGCGTTGTGTGATGCGACAAACCTCAAACTCAAACTCAAATTGGTCCTCAGTGCAATGATCAATATACCACAACAGCTCTTTGAGTCTCTGATTATTCTGATTATAACGCGTTCGCGAGAAATGATATCGTCAACACCCCTTGCAGCGCTTCAAGCTTCATGACAGTGGCGCAAGAACAAATCGTATTTTGCCCCCCCCCCCGAGCGCTTATAACTGAACTTGATATCGTAAATGAACTCCGTAGTAAGATGGCCGCATTTGTCTGCACGTCAGTCATTACTGGTCACTGTACTGTAGTGAAGGCTACCTCGCTGTCAGCTGGACGTAATACTTCCTACCAACCAGCAGGAACCGCAGTTGCCATGCCCCTACTGTCATAAGCACTACTAGGTCAGTGAGTTGTCCTCGGGAAACTGGGTGCGTATTAGAGCGAAAAGAGCGCAGCGATGTCCTCTTTGTGCGGAAGTGAGGATGATGGAGAAGCTCTCCGCTGTAGGCAATTTGACGAAGCTGATTCGTTCGGTGTGCATCTTCAGGCCATCGATCCGGATCTTCAGATTCCTGAGTGTTGGAAGGTGTTCGTAAGACGCGGTTGGTATAATGCAGCAGAACGCGCGTTTGCAACTTGACAGAGAGCCACAAAGCAGTATACAACCGGCAGTACGTCGGATAATTGTCTAGCACACCAACACGATACGTACCTTGTGCAAGCGCTGTCATGACCGTATACCATATAGATCCAACTCATGAAACGATGAAAATGATGCAACCATCACGCTCTCCTTGATCAGTTGAATCTGTTATTTACCTACAGTTTCTGTGTACCGGCACGAGGAAGCTCGACTATCTGGTCAAATCCAAGATACTCCGGAAGATTGAGGTCGAACTTCTCCATTGATCTGGACCAAGATCAGAGTTTAGGATAGAATGAGTGCCATGCAATCTAGTAGACCCACTTTGGAACGAAGCGACCACCCAAGAAGTGTCTGCCGGCGAACGTCTTGACGCCCTCTTTGGGAGCCGTTAAGCTGATCAGCACCTCAGGGTTCAGGCCCACACCCTCTGCATTCCCTTTTTCGACGTCCCATCCTGATGGTATATCCACGGACACGATGGGCAAGCCAGAATCGCTGATCAGGGGGAGCGCGGTGTCAAACGGAGCGCGAACGGGTGGCTTGAAGGAAAAGCCGAAAATGGCGTCCAATATCACGTCCGACCGAGCGAGAACATCGCGAAGGGTACTTGTGTCATCTGCGGGAGCAAGGGTCTGGATTTTCATGTTATCACATTGCGTCTTCAAGCGCTAGAAACGCATATCAAGCATATCAGCGGACGATGGCAGACATGTTGTTGCCTTCTCCACCTTGTAGATATCCTTCGAGCCTGGCTGTATGCGCAATCAATGTCATTATCAGGTTGACACGTCGCATTTAATACCTTGGGCATCCAGATCGTCGGCTTGTAGCCGAACATACCTGGATAAAAGCGAAATTTCTCAATTTCGTTCTACACGAGCATGATAACATGCTTGAGTACTCACCGAGATGTCTCGCAGCAACTAGTCCGTCACCTCCCTGATTCCCTGGACCACAGCAGACAAGTACCCGAGGATACTTCTCCTTGCTGTATACGGTCGCCAGGGTTTGCGCACAAGCCAGACCAGCTAGTTCCATCAACTTCATCGTTTGAGATATGGTCTGAGACTACACTAGTTCCAAGCGAACAGCTAACCTACCTGGTCAAGGCTGAAAGCCCCGGTCGCACTCATGAGCTCCTCATCAATCTACGAAGCTTGGAGGTGAGCAGTCGCAAAACCTCGTCAACAGGACGCGTATGCACTTGCTGCGCGAGTTTTGCGGTCAAGTAACGAACAGACATGGTGGTTAGCGGTCAAGATGTCGAGGGGCTGCATATCGAGACATCGCATATACCCCAGGTGGTGACATCATGAGAATCATTCGTCAGGCCACAGCAGGCGCCTATTGATACATCGGGAAAATCTCTCCATATGCATTACAGCAAGTTTACTACAAACAGTATCAACACAAACAGATGGAATAAACATAGTGCTGAAAGCGGACAAGCAAATAGTCCGTCATGTGAAATCCTCATCCATCTTGACCCTCCGGCGTAAGGTTGCTGGTCGAACATATCTCGCCCATCTGGCCTATGCGTCAACGGGTTTCGTGCAGACCCGCCGGTGTTCCTCCCAATCCATCCTCTGGTGTTCCGGGGAGCAATACTTAACCAACTTACATCGACTGCACACCAATCCTAGTATGCGTGGAGCACTTGGCTCTTCGACGATGCTTCCCTCGCTTCCCTCGCTACTCCCGACGACACTGCCTTCACTACCCCCATCGCACAAGTGCCCTGACTGTGCCATATCGTCCGAGAAACAGACATGACAGTCAATCCAGTTGCACATTTCCTTTGCCTTCACTCGCCGACCATAACGGTAGCGCACCTTGCGCTTGTGGCAGAGCACAGAGGCAGTCTCGAGGCCCTTCTTCGGAAATCGGATGAGTTCGCAGCAATTGTCGGTACATCCTGGATTGGGACAGCCACTTGGGAAGTCGTGGTATACCTCCTTGGATGGGACGAAAAGCGAATTCGCAAAGAGGATTTGCGAATAAGACATGGTTTGGTGGGAGAAAAGGACTATGAACGGTGGCCGTTTCTCATGCATGATAGCCCGCAAAGTGAGATCGAGTTGAGGAAAGCACGGCGTCCGGCGTTGCCCGTCAAGCAGGTGTGTGAGATGCATATCTATGGAGAGATCGTGCGCATTGTCGGTAACACTCTCAAGAGCTGATAGACGAAAACTGACGGTCATGATTGATCTTCTGCTCCACACTCGGCTTGCATGGTCCGTTCGATGCGTTCTGGCAGACGTACTTGAAGTACTCTGTTACCTCATCCATCTCCGGCCGCTTGAGATCGGTGACAATGACATATATCTCGTCACATCCGCGGTCATGCATGCCGCGCAGTAGCATGAGTTCCGGGAGCTGGGCGAATATCTTCCTGATGAGATCGGCATCACGCGAACATTTTCGGAACGCACCATACTGAAAATCACAGGCATCATATTGAGCCTTGACATGTTTTTATGGTGATATACGTGGGTGACCCATGTGCGGTCAAGGGGGATTAGGCGACCAGTGTCGACAGTGCGAGTGAAAATGTTCTCAGGTACGAAGCCACCTTTGTTCCATAGCAAGATCTGCTCTTTGCGGGCATTCGCGTTCACGACGTGTCTGCGCTCCCGGATACGCTGAAACCAGTCATAGTATGCGTCAGGACGATGGGGGCGCTCGAGCCATTTATCAATGAGGAGGTCGGTAGCATCGTTGTCGAGTTTTTGACATATGAGCTCGCTCATGGAAAGACTAGGCGGTATGAATTTGGAGTAGTAGTGTCGACCAGGCATATTGACAGAGGGAGCCGCGATGCAACACTAGAACACAATCAGGAGCAAACGCGAGGAGCAAACACGAGAAGGGCGAGGGGAGCGGAAGCAGCAGCGGCAGTGGTTAATTCAAGACGGAAACAAAGGTCCATGCATAACGCCAAAAGGTCTGCCCTAAACTGTGACTGCCCTTGGCACAGACTCACGTGCTTTGACGCGTCGCGTTCATAATTTGCGAAATCCTCCAAGCCTGCGTTTACCGATTCAACACTTTTGACACACCCTGCCTGTATCTGGCTGGTGTAGAACACAGTCGATATCGCAGTTATTTGCTGGTTCTCTGAGTCTTGGCCATACTTTTCTGTATTACCTCTGGCGAAGTTAACAATCCTCCTCTCTTTAGTTCAATTCCGTGGTGTTCTGTCTGACTCACTCGTTTTGTATGATGATCAGCTTTGTTCTTCTTGGGCTTGTCCTTAGTGCAATCCTTCGGTCCTCTGGTCAGCTTGTATGTGCCATCGCGATGCCAGCATTGTGACCTGTTTTCTACTCAGCAGTGGCCCGGACCGCCCATGCTCAAGTGCGTCGTCTATCTCAGATATGCTAGGAAAGTATTGACATGATAAATAGTGTTCTGTCTGGGAAGATGTATGTCCTAGCCTGATGTACACGAGTTCTTGCCTTCCAAACTGTTCACTCCAAATTCGGGAAGAATTACAAGCAAATTTGTGGGCGCCATCCAAGCGCTTTATCGCGACTATTGTCAAAATCTTACACATGACTCCGCAGCTTTGGCAAAGGGCACTGTAAAGGACCCGCACGAGAGGCAATTCGACTGACCTTCCATGACGGCATCGGCCGGTCTGCCACATTGGCAGCTTCTGGTACTTTTGGGTACGACTTTTCTCAATTCCAAGCTGTTTACGTTTGATAGGCGATTGTACGTAGCGGAGGCGGGGCAGGTAGGCCTGCATGTCATCACCAGCGATACAATGGACTCATATCAGGAAAGACGGCAGCATAATCAAGTTCGCGGACTCTGAACTTGCAGACCGTGAGATGCACATGTCCCCTAACTCGGCTCCTTGACAGCTGTTCTGATACTGCAGCCGCGAATGACGGACTGGAAGACATAGTCTACGCCCTGAAATCCTTCGCCGACAACCACGGAGTAAGCTACGGAGACATGTAAGGACACGCCGTTCTGTCCTCTTCCCACGGCTTTCCTCGATACTTGTTCCGCATCGCTGACGTCATCCAAGTATCCAATTCGCCGGAGCTGTGGCCCTCTCGAATTGCCCTGGGAGTCCTCGCCTTGCATTCTACGCTGGACGTCCTCAGGCTATCGCTCCGTCTCCGCCCGGCCTTATTCCGTCACCCACGGACTCTGTCAAAGATATCTTAGCCCGGATGTCTGATGCTGGATTCACACCCGATGACACCGTAGCGCTTTTGGCCGCTCATTCCGTTGCTGTACAGAACACTGTCGACCCCACCATCCCTGATACTCCCCTCGATTCGACCCCTGAACTCTTTGACACGCAGTTCTATCTGGAGGTATGTCTGGGAATGTGGTCTGCCTGGCGCTATTTTGTAACGTTTCGGCGGCGAAAGACGCTGCTGAGGGGAACAACTTATCCCGGAACAGGAAGAAACACGGCAGGGGTCAAGTCGCCGTCCAAGCACCTGTTTCGGCTTGCGTCCGACGCGGCAATAGCTCGTGATGCCCGCACAGCATGCAGGTGGCAGTCTTTCGCTCGTGAGTGTGCCTCAAGGCGGTGCTCAGAACACGGCTTTACAAGCGCCCCTGGCGCTTCATGACATCAGACGATCAGGAAGCGCTGCGGACCTCGTTCCGGAATGCAATGTTGAAGCTGGCAAATCAAGGATTCGAAGGCCTCATTAACTGCTCTTTCATCATCCCTGAATCGCTTCCACATTGGAAAGCTGCGACATTCCCTTATGGAACAAACGCATCTGATATCGAACACTCAGTAAGTCGCGCCTACTTCCAAAAAATTCATTTGCAATCTAATCCCCGCGGTATATATCAGTGTCCGAGCAACTCCTCCCCGGAGGGCGTTATTCCGGACGTATCGAGATAATCACGATCACTTTCGACCCTTTACAATCACCGTCTCGCGCCTATGTTGTTTCCATTTTGATGTATCGATGTTGGTTGTGCGCTTGTGTCACTATGTTTGTATGTGTTCCCATATCAATGTGCAGCTTCCTTCTCCCGTCTGACCGATCGGAGAACTGGTGTCGCCTTCTCTTGGCGCAATGAGAAAATGAGAGAGATCAGATTCGTGCGTCTACATATACGAAGTTTCATTATCGCTATCAGGAACGGCGCTTCAAAGGGGCATAAACGCCATACCTGTACCATCCGCGCATAGAAAAGCGCAGTTAGGAATGAGCAGCGACGACCGCCTATCACGAAGCACCATCCTCCTTGTAACATTCCCCAGCCGTGTCAGCACGAACGACAGCGCCTGCGTGGACTCCCGAGCGAAGGTCGCGTCTACGACGAGCATTTCGAGCGGGCTCCCGAGATACTGGGCCCGTGCCGCGAGGCACCGCTCGAGGGACTCCAGCTGCCGCAGCGCGTCCAGGATATTGACGCCCGGGCTCCTGTGAGTGTCCACGAGATGCACGCAGCGCAGGCGTGGACAGGGCACTGTGACGCCAGCGCTCCCACCACGAGGCGGCGCAGAGGCGGCGCCCAGTGCCAGGAGGATGTGGTACATCCACGCGCCACCGAGCTCGAACGTCGCGAGTTGGGGTAAGCACGCGAACGTGGCGGCCCACGCGTGGATGGGGACGGACGGCGCGCTGCTGGCGGCCTGCAGGCCGGTGACGCCTGCGAGGAGTGAGCCTAGGGAAGGCGCACCGGCGAGGATGTGCGGGACGTCGTCTGGGGCGACGGCGAAGTGGACGGAGGAGAGGTGGCGCGAGCCGCGCTGGTTGACGAGCGCGATGTGGCTAGGGGTGACCTGCAGCGCGGTGGAGATGTGCGGGCCTGGGGGCGGGCAGCACATGCGCAGGCCAGAGAGGTCCGCGGGCAAGAGCGCGCGAAGGTCGTGCGTGCCGTGGCAGTGGATACCAAGGGTCGCGGTGTGCGGAAGTGAGAGGTAGGAGAGGAGAGAGACAACCGCGGCGCGCGAGGCATCGCCGATCTGGAGCGATTGAAGGTAAGGCAGGTGCGTAAGCAGGCTGCTGTCAAATTCCTCCGTCGCACCTCCGGGGCGCGGCGCAAGTGCGGAGAGCAGGACGACTTCCTTCATGTTTGGACAGTGTTTCAATATTGCGAGGACCTGAGCGACGGACAGGCAGGTGTCGCGGTGCAGCCGCGAGAATGCTAGCCGCGTCAAGCTCGCAGGAAACATAGACAGTCTGTCCCGCCCGGACAGTGCGACCCCATCGAGCGAGATGCGGCGGATCCTGGCGTTGTGGAACTCGACGAAGAGGGTCGGGCCAGCGGTCATCCTGTTTGCCAGGCCTGCGAAAAGGTTCGCGATGTCTGGCGATGCAGAACGACACAGGTAAAGCACTTGCTTCATGGTCGTCTGGGATGCCGACAAGTGGATGCTTTCTATCCGCCGGATGTGGGGAGACAGCCAATTCTGTGCGGCGGTGAGCACCGCGTGCACGTCTGTGAAGAGGGCCTGGGAGAAGGTTATCTGTATTCCTGCCGTACGCGATCGTGCACAGAAATGGCGACCGATGGTAGGGTAACGGAGGTCGATGAGCGACCAGAATAGTGCGGTCTCGAGCATGACGTTGCGCCAGTAGCGGCAGACGTGGCTGGTTGTGATGGTGCGCAAGATGCGTTCAGAGCTGTGAGGGCCATGGTCCAAGCTGAGGTCAAGTACGATTGCAAGGAGCTCGCCTGGCAAGCGATGGATTGGTGCGCTCCCGAATCTATCTGCCATCGACGAACGTGCAGGAGATTCAATCCAACCACCAGGGATCCTATATGAGGACTCCATAACCGGAGATCTTACGGCACGAGACTAAGAGATGGGAAACTGCTGCAGGCAAAGGAATACATACCGTCTTCCAGTGAAAATTCAATCTTAGAGGACTGAGAGGCGAAGGAGACAAGGGAGAGCGGGCGTACGGTTCCACCTCTGAGTCTGTATATGTACGAGTGCGTGAGTAATAAGTGGGAGAGTGCGTTAGAATGATTACCTGGGTCATATAGTACGGGCGGCTTCCTGCCGCCCTCTGAATGATCGGCCTATCTCCTGCCAGGAAATGCTTGCACGCACTGACCGCAGCGTGTGCCTTATGTCGCGTTTACCGTGCGGCTATACGACGCTCCGCGCTCTCTGGGCGCGGCGCGCACTATGTTGCACGCCGGTCGTCATTTATGAGACACCACAACCCGGCGGGAGATTTCAGCCTTGTGGCTGCGCTCGTTTGAAATTCGACACGGCCACAGGTGATCGGAATATGTGGAGACGGACGCACTAGGGGCACATTCGCGGGATTGAATAAGTATGTAGTTGCTCGGACGAGTTGCCCGAATTTTTCTACAACCAGCATGTTCGTCTGTGGTTCAGGGACTCCCATTACCAAGCTCGGTGCCCGCTCGGGTAATTGCGTCTGGACCTGGCCGTACCCATTCGGGCTGCGCACAGAGCGGGCGGCCTTGTGCATTCTGCACTAATTTCACTGCAGAAATATCAAAATCAGGGGGAAAGCCCACACCATCGGGCGGTGTGTGGGTAGGCATGTTCCTCCCGGAATCGCGGTCAGGTGGAGTAGGGAAGATATGCGAACATGGTGGTAGAAAGCTAAACAGCTGCGCCACTGACATCCAGCTCGCTTTGGACAGTGCTGTGGCTGCGAGTGCGGCACGGATCCGAAACTTGCAAGCACCATTCTCGATTTGCAACCTGTCCGGTACCAACTCCTTGACGCGACGTAGCCGCCGGCGCGATCGTGATCGGCACGGTGATTGCAGATCACGTGGGAGACGCGGGGACACACCGTGTCGGCGCCTGCCCTGGCTTGCTACTCTCCGTCTCACGCTTCCCGCCGACCTCTCGACTGTCGGACCCACTCCGCCAGCGGTTTCGCCTCAGCCCAGCGCGCACACAGCATGGGCGCGCCTTTGCTCTTACTCCCGCTCGTCCTTCTGGCTGGTCAATCTTCTGGCGCTCTGCCCGGCGTATCAGTCCCGCAGGCTGTCAACCTCTGGAAACTCAACCAGGCGGCAGCGGCAGCGTCACGCGCGACAACACCGCGCGGTCTACTTGTGCAGGCTCCACAGGACGCGCTCTCCTACACGGAAGAACCACCGGAGTTCCCGGCGCAGTATTTAACCCAACCGCTCGACCATTTTTCCAATGACTCGCACACGTTTGAGCAGCGGTACTGGATCAACACGCGGCATTACAAGCCAGGCACAAATGCACCTGTCATAGTGCTTGATGGCGGAGAGACGTCTGGGGAAGACAGAATTCCGTTCCTGGACACAGGGATCGTCGAGATTCTAGCCCACGCTACTGGCGGAGTTGGCGTGGTTCTTGAGCATAGGTTAGTGTGATCAGCAAAGTATATCAGCGGAGCTTCTTAGAATTCTGGATGCATCTCAGATACTATGGTACGCACATGCCAATATCCGAAAATAGCCCGTCCTGACAGTCGCGTGCAGGAACATCAATGCCGGTGGAGAATCTCACCACGGACTCGTTGAGGTGAGCACTAGTTCTGAGCAGAGTACGACTGGGTTCGACCACGCTCGTATCCATATGTCGTCGGTGGGAACGTCTGTCTCAGTCGCTAGACTGACGTGAGTTCTCAATGACGCCGACGTCTCTCACAACCGCCGGCAACCATTTTGGCAGCCTTGGATGCCAGTTATGTTGTCCAGGGTGCATATGTTGGGCTCCTGCCTTGACGTGGTACCCCGGCCATACCTCTTTGAGTAGCCAGTGTCTCCGGAACCGACATAAAGCGCATCACCTCCGCTGTCATATTTCAATTGAATTGAATTTTCAAGTCGATCTGATGCTTCGTGACCTGTGTCTTGTTATTCTCAGACTTGATGACAGGCTCTGACGACATGAACCTACGGCACGCAGATGGCTCAATAATGATCAAGCTGCTGCAGACTCCGCCTACTTCATGTCCAATGTTAAGTTCACTGGCATTGAGGAGGACCTGACCGCTCCCAACGCTCCTTGGATATACTATGGCGTGAGTTCCGGTGGTTTCTACCTTCAAGTGCGATCTTGTGACTGCGGCGTGTGCGCTAGGGATCTTACGCGGGCGCAAGAGCAGCACACATGAGGGTTATCTATCCGGACCTCGTCTACGGGGCCATAGCGTCTAGCGGTTAGTGCGACTGTTTCCGTGAATACATGTGAGACTGAATGGCGCCTAGGCGTGACACACGCCGCCATCCAGAACTGGGAATACATGGACATCATCCGCCGCGCCGCAGAGCCGGAATGCTCGTCCAATATCCAGTCAGCCATCGAGACGATCGACACCGTCCTGTCCATCCCCCACCTGCGCATCGTCCTGAAGCGCCTCTTTGGCCTGGAAGAGCTGGTGCATGATGATGACTTTGCCTCCCTTCTCGAGGTAAGGCGGTATAATCCCAAATCAACAAGGGCTGCTTGATGACAGGATGTTAGAGCCCCATGGGCTACTGGCAAGGCAAGAACTGGGACCCATCTGTTGGGAGCACTAAGTTTGAAGAATTCTGTGATGTGCTGGCCAAGCCACCGACCGGCTCCGAGCTGACTGCCTTGTCGGATGGCATGTCCTATGACGAGTTGACGGGCACAATGTCTCTCCCCGGAGGACTCAACGTTCCTCTTGTCGTTTACAACTACGCGCAATACGTTAAGGAGGTGGGCATGACATCTGACTATTGAGAGCCATGCATGACACCCCCTGCAGCATTTCGTGTCGATGTGTCCGGAAGGCTTCTCAGTCGAAGACGTAAGTCAGTTGGTGTATTTACTTGATTGATGACTTATCTGTCATCCTTCAGTGCTTCGGAACTTATGACGACGCCAGATACCATGACACAACTGTCGAGGATACATGGAGGCTCTGGCTCTTCCAAGTCTGCACCGAATGGGGCTACTTCATGGTGCGCAACCGCTCCCGCGCTCCCTGTATCCAGCGAGATAGTGTCTCATCACCGCGCAACCCGCAAACACGCAGACCGCTCCGCCCGAAGGCCACCCTCGGATCATTTCCCGCCGCCTGACGCTCGAGTACGAGTCGAAAATTTGCCGGCAGGTGCGCTTGTGGCGCACTCCGTTTGAGCGTGACTGCGGGAGCAGATGGACTGATGCGGACGCCTCTGCTAGGCCTTCGAGCCCGGCAAACACTTCATCGTCCCATCGATGCCGAACATCACCGCGGTGAACGCCTTGGGCGACTTCACCATCGCTGCGGATAGGCTCGCGATCATTGACGGCGAGGGTGCGTCGTATTTGCCAAGCTCCCCTAGCAAACGCCCCTGCTCACTTGTATGATCACCCTGCAGTTGATCCCTGGAGGCCGGACACACCGCACAGCGAGTACGCGCCTGACCGCCTGGACACGATCCTCCGGCCGTTCAAGCTCATCCCGGGTACGTTGCAAGTGCTAGTCGTATCAGATGCGTGCACTGACGGGTGCCGGACTTACAGGCGGTGTGCACCACTACGATGAATACGGTCTGCGCGACCTGTCGGCTGAGCCGCCCGAGATCGAGAAGATCCATAGGGAGATGATTGAGTTTGTCACGGCGTGGCTGGAGGAGTGGGAGCCCCCGAAGAGCGCCTAAGTGATGGCAAGTGTTGTTTTATGTAAATTTGTGCGAGGCATACCGAGAGTATGTACAGGCTTGTAGATACGGATTTGCATAAGGACTAGGGAATGGAGGAATTAGTTGTTACTATGAGACTGATCTAGGGGCTTGGGAGGACGTGATGTGTTCAATTGCGTGGGACCGTCGTGATGCTCGGTCGTAATCGCAATCTGTCTCCGCAAACACTCCATTTCCCTTTCCTTCCATCTGCGAGCTCAATCCCTAGCTGTTCGCATTTGTAGATCGCGTATCTGAACCGAAATGGGCGCAGAAGTGTCTACATACGAAGGCCCCCCGGGAATCCTGGAGGCAAGAGATCTGCCTTCTGTAGCACGGTACATGCGATCGAAGGAATGCAAGAACGTCTTTGTCATGGTGAGATGCTGTCCGGCGTCTCTGGTATCAAACTGACTTTCAGGACGATTGCTCGATGCCCATGCTGTAGCTCGGTGCTGGTAAGTAGAGAAGATAGGTCGAAACATCCCGTCTAACTGTGTCTTCCGCACAGGCGTGAGCACGTCCGCCGGCATCCCCGACTTCAGATCGCCAGAGACAGGTGCGTCATAGCCGAACTGTCACCCGGGACCAACTCATTCGTAACACGACTGACATGTCCGGCAGGCCTGTATGTGAGTAATAAGGCATTAATGTTACTATCAAGGTGTCGGCGACCGATGATGCTCTCTCGCTCAGGCGAACCTCGCACGGCTGAATCTTCCGTACCCGGAGGCAGTCTTTGATATCTCCTTCTTCCGAGAGAATCCTAAACCTTGTAAGTATCATTTCCGCGATCGTACAGTTTCAGCTTAAATATAGTATGCCGTCTAGTTTATACCCTCGCCTATGAACTCCTCCCGGGACGATTCCGCCCGACGGCCACGCACTCATTTGTCCGCCTCCTCGCCGACAAAAGTCTCCTCCACACATGCTTCACCCAGAACATAGACACTCTCGAGCGGCGAGCCGGCGTGCCCGCACATAAAATCGTCGAAGCGCACGGGAGCTTCGCTAGCCAACGGTGCATAGAGTGCAGGACGCCGCTTGATGGCGACGTAATGCGGCGATGCCTCAAGAGAAAAATCACCGCGCGATGCCCTGAATGCGAGGGGCTCGTCAAGCCCGACATCGTCTTCTTCGGGGAGGCGGTACGTCTCGAGACTATCAGAGGGCCGCATGGAAGCTAACAAACGTGTCCGGTAGTTGCCCGAACGCTTCCACCAATCTGTTCCGCTCCTCAGCAGCGCGGACCTCCTATTTGTCATTGGCACCTCGCTCAAGGTTCAGCCATTTGCGTCCCTGGCATCCCTGGTCCCTCCGCACTGCCCGCGTGTGCTCATCAACCGTGAGCTCGTTGGCGATTTCACTAGCCGGCCAGACGACGTCGTCTCTCTGGGTAAGTGCGATGATGTCGTCAGGTCTCTCTGCAAGGAGCTCGGCTGGGAGGAGGACCTGGATGGCGCGTGGAAAGCTACGGAGGGTAGTGTAGTAGATTTCGGCGAGGAGCAACCGGATACAGGAGAAACAGAACAGGAGAGGCTGGAGAAAGAAGTCGAGGGTATACGCGTCAAGCTCTCAAAATTGCTGGGCGCTAGACAGGCGGCGCAGGTGGCCACTGAGGAGCCACAGCCGGAGACGGGATCACCAGTTACAACTGGAGACGAGGTTCCCGTGATAGAGGATCAGGCCCAGGATTCAGAGGAGGTAGAGACGGCAAAGGAAGCAGAGACAGCAAATGAGGCAGAGACGGCAACGGCAAAGGAGGTAAAGACGGCGACAATCGTGGGCGACAATCCGGTCGAAGACACCGTGCAGCAGGATAGCGACGCAACTACCTCTGACCACAATACTACGAATGATCATCCGAAGGAGAAGCTGTAAGAGCATTGCTCTCAAAGTGTTGTTGTATACCGCTATCGAATGCATCCTCATCTGAGCTTTTATCATCGGCTGCGGGGTACGAGGGACCAGTGTCTGGACAGACCAGTACGTCAGTCTACACGTCTTAATCAGAGTTCGGCGACATCATACATCTCGGCGATCTTAACAATTCTGCCGCAAGTGGGCTATTAAGAACTCAACAATTTGGTCAAAGTACCCGTCAGGGCTCCCATATCGTTGTTCAGCGCCCTCTCGATAGTCGAAGGAATGTTCTTCGCCTGCGATTATGATGAGACGTGCCTCAATCCCTGCACGCTGTAGCGACGCATGTAGATGGCGAGATTCATCGGCGGGCACCGCGGAGTCCACAGATCCATGAACTAGTATAGTTGGTGGCCAGTCAGCATGGGACGCCGCGAGCTGTGGGAACAGGGGACTGTGTCGTTTTGGAATGGCAGACTTCAGCTGGAGAGTAGCTCCTTCGTCTTGAGATTGTGACGCATCGACTGTAGTTACCGAGTCTGCAGGCAGTAGTGCAATAGGTTCACGCAAGGCAGCGCTCAGACTCGGTTCGTGGCAGCCCGTGTAATAGTCTAGAAAGGTACCTAGTTGCAGGTAAAGCCTCGTCAGTAACATACGAGGATTAGCGGGGTAACCCGGTGTCGTTGAGCTCTGAGGGTGATAGGCCAGCGGAGAATCAGACACAGGATGCAGGATATGGCAGCCAGGGTGCAGGTAGCATGCGAAGTCGTCCGGGTTGAGTAGCTCGCGCCCACGAAAGAAGACCTCGTTCTTCGGAGAGAGATAGTGTGGCGTCTGCAGTGCTTGTGGGTTATCATCGTCTTAGACAGCAGGTCATAGAAAACACACCAGGAAGTTACCACCCATCCCGTACATAGACAGGACGGCCCTTGGTCTCGGAGTAGCATGCATAGCAGCAAGATACACACATAGACCTCCCGCGCTTGTTCCAGCGACAGCAATGGCTTCGCAATCGATCTGGAAGTTTGAGATGCGTCCCAAGCCCTGCTCTGGTTTGGAAAGCTCTGCGTTCAGGTTAGATGCCACGTATCGGATTGCATCCTTAACATCTTCCAAGGTCTCGTGTCCAGTGGCAGGTGGGATAAGACGATAGTCAACGCACACGAAGGCGCATCCAGCTGTTGTTAAACGATCTGTACGTAGCAGGTTCAGAGATAGAATGATCCCACTAGAGTAGGCGGCCGAGTGCATTAGAGTCTAACAGCACATACTTGACAACCACACAGGGAACCAGCTTCGTCTATTGCCGACAGTCAGACCACCTCCGTGAAAGTAGATGACGGCGGGTACCACGGCCCCTTGTGCTGGCTGTCCACTGCGGGGAGCGTGTACGTCAAGCTTTAGTTCCAGATCATCAACTAGTTTGTACGTAAGGCATATAGGTGAGGGGTTATCAGAGAGACCAGACATCGCCGTTGTCGCAGTCGGAGGGAACGAGGATAAGACAAGACAAACGCGTCACACGTGACGAGACGCGTTCATCTCACTCAAGCACGGTCAACACGCTGCCCCCTCTTCTCAGGTCGCGTTGAGTGCCCCTCTCTGTGCGACTCCCAAGCCCTTTTATACAGCGTCGCCAACGTATATAGTGCTCAGATGGCCTCAGAAGCAATTCAGCGCCAGATCGCTACCAAGTGGCAGGGCTCTTTCACCCGTCTCAATCGTGATCAGCCCGGTATCTTGGGCCTTCTGTCTTTCAGCGAGGTGAGCATACCATACCATACCTTGAACAAGCCTTATACTTGACCAAATTAGGCATGGAAGGTAGCATCCGACTTCCTACAGCCCCGGGATTTGACAGACCCTTCCAGTAAGAAAGAGTACAGTAAGTCGTGCCTGCGCCACTGCGTCAATGGTACGCGCGTGCTACTATAATCATAGACGTGCAGCAAATAAAAGTGGCTATCGACATTCTGAGCAAGTCAAAGATGTTGCCCATGTTACTGGAGAATTTCCTTGGTTTGTTATCCGCTTCATAGACCAGTTTAGGAATTCAATATCCCTGCAGAGGGTATGCGTAAACAGCAATACCTGATAAATCGTGAGGTTCAACAGTTCATGGCAACATACGAAGTGCATTCCCCTCTCTGCTGATTTAGATAGTAGCTCACCTGTTTGTCTCAGGAGACAGAAGACTCCCAATATATTGCTCGTCTCGTATATCGGCTATTAGAATGGTATAGGGCTTGGTTACCAATACCCGAGTGAGTTATTCTCATGCAATGATAGTTCCCATATGATGACAACCTGACATTGTCGCGCAAGGCTAGGGCACACCATTCTCTCCGCATATACCCTTGCCTTCCAGACACACGTTTTCTCGGTCCTGCCCCGATCATTCTCGAAAGGATTCAAAGAGCTTGTGAATTCGACATTTGATCTCATGCAAGCGACATCCCCGCCTCCCTGGGCACCACCTTCCTTGAACCCGACACAGCCCATGCGTTACGATCTACCCCTGTGGACCGCCTTCGAACACCTTGGTCTGCTGGACCGCTATGAATCTCTCATCTCGAGTGTGTGTTACGAGCATATCGAAACCCATATACTGGAGACGTGCGCCGAGAAATGGGGGACACCAATGCTCAACCAGTTGCGAGAGTGGATGACCAATAAGATTGTCCCATGGATGGTGATGCCCTACGCAAGAGGTGCAAGGAGTGGTAAGTGCCATTCCGTGTAGTCTGTGCGCTACACTCGAAGCGTTGACGATATCGTTCCTGTAGCTGAGGAAGCTAGATCAATGTTACAAGGCGTGGGCTCGAGATTCGACTTCCATGTGTGCAAGACATTGGCAGATCTACGGTGAGTTCAATGCAGATCAATGCCTTCAGAATCATCTCCGACAATTGATCCGTGCAGTACCAAAGAGATATTTGATATTATTGTCGACTATCCTGACTCATCAGGCGCTTTGCAAGATCTCAAGGTAAACCGACGAATTAACTGATATACTCACATGGAGGTGTTCATTATACGACCTTCAGGAGTGTCTTGCTCGCGTCGATCAACGTGCTCCGCTAGTACAAACTCTGCGAAAAGCGTGCGTCGCGCGAACGCCTTTTGTTTATTGGATAGCCGGTGCTTAGCGAGTGATTAGGAACAAGAAGCGACTGCTGCATCCGGGTGCAGATACGAAGGACATAATAACACAATACGTGTCAATTATCCGATGTCTACGTATCGTCGACCCACCCGGCGTTTTACTTTTTAAAGTCGCAGATCCTATCCGCAAATATCTCAGGTATGGCAAACTTATCCTCTGGCTACAGCCAGATCTACTAGACGGTCACGCCCACGATTTCACAGAGAACGACCAGATACCATACGATGTATTGTGGCAAGTTTGGTCGGCGATGACGAGAGTGGTGATTCTTTGGTGGACGAGAACGAGCCTATTCAACCGTTGCAGCAGCTGCAGGTAGAGGATTTCACGGATCCGAACTGGGAACCAGAACCCATCGATGCTGGCCCTGGTACGTAGGAGAATCCGACGCTGATGCGCGTCTTCACTGGATTGATGATGCGATATTCTCATAGATTTCCGCACCAACAAGCCGAGTGATGTCATCAGCACCCTTGTTAGTATTTATGATTCCAAGGACCTCTTTGTCAAGGAGCTGCAAGTACTGCTCGCGCAACGGTTGCTGGCGATTACTGATGGGAACTTCGAACGAGAGGTGAGCGATACCCGGCTCAAAACACGGTTAGGATTTAACGCTTCCGATAGCGGCGAAACATTGAGATTCTCAAGATCCGCTTTGGGGAGGCCGCTTTACAAGTCTGTGAAGTCATGTTGAGAGATATGACCGACTCCAAGCGTACAGACCAACATGTGCAGTCGCAGAAGCGGGTTCGTGGAACCCTAAAGCGCTCGTCTCTTTCGTGCATTGATAATGATCTGTTCTCATAGGTATCTCTTCACCCAACTATCATCTCAAAGCATTTCTGGCCGCCATTACAATCGAGCAAATTCCACATGCCTGGGCAATTCAAGCAGTAAGGCCACAAAACTTTCTTATAAGCGTTGCCATTTGACTGCATGTGTTGCTAGGATCCAGGATGACTACGCCAAAGAATTCATGGCATTTAAACCAGATAAGAGGCTTCGTTGGCTTCCCCATCTGGGCACCATCCATCTCGAAATCGAGCTCCAGGACCGAACAGTGCCTGCCGATGTGCCTCCACTAGAGGCTGCTTTCATTGAACTTTTCTCCGAAAGGGGTAAGTACGAAGGCATTAGTATATTCCACTGCCTGGTGTGTCTGGCTAACGGCTCTCGCCATAGATTTGTGGACTGTGGACGAGCTAATCGCTCGGGTAGGGTCTGTTGATCGAACATCAGCCCTCAGAGCATTGATGACATGGGCTGAAATGGGCGTACTGAAAGAAGACGGGGACAATCGGTATAGACTACTAGAGGTCGCTGAGGACGGCTCCAGTTCTGGATCAAGACCTGCACCGCCGAAGCCCGGTAAGCACAATTCGACTGGTGATATGAAGACAGCCTGTCTAACTCTTCGCTTTGATCCAGCTCAAATCATTGAGGATGTGCCTGCCGTCTTGACTGTGCAACACCAGCAGGCTGAGCAGATGAAGATCTTCTGGAAGGTGAGTTTTGCAAGGGAAGGAACTGCGTGTCGATGCTAATATTCCGACGTTGTACAGTTCATTGAAGGCATGCTCACCAATCTTGGAACTTTAAGTCTGGATCGGATACAGACAATGCTTAAATTTGCACCCGGATATGACCGTACTATTGAACAACTAGGGGCGTTCATGGAAGCAGCGAGGAGAGAAGGACTTGTAAATGTTAAGGACGGCATGTGGAAATTGAATCGTCAATAATGATGTGTTATCTACCTGGTTTATGCAACCGTCACGACGAGCATAGAGAACGTGCAGACTGATACGTGGCAAAATGTAGAGGTTGAAAAAACGGCTTCGACGAGTTGTATGCCCATTGGCTGGATTGAACAACCGACCTCACCATTACGAGTGGCGCGCTCTACCACTGAGCTAAACGGGCTGCATATAATTACCAAATACAACATACTAGTAGGGTACAAATACACAGCCTTAGGGACGCTCTTGTCGACACCCTAAACTTGACATTGCCAACCATTCGCATCTAGTATGCCTCAGGCCTCGGAGAAGCTGCGAACCTCAGATGTGGTCGGGCTTGATGGGCTCACTGTCAGTTGCTGACCTCAATGTAGCTCACAATTCTGATTGGTTTTCTGGTGCCAGAACTATCATCTTCATGAAGAAGTTGGTCGGGGTATGACATCTATTGTCTACCGCGCAATCTGTAGGAGAGGTCGTCTTCGTAATCGCATAGTTGCCTTGAAGGTGTGTCCATAATCATTTTCCCGAGCCCATCGGTCAAGGTGAGAGGGCATGAGCAGATTAAAAAGCCTTCCAATGGACCGGGTGACGGAAACAATGCCGCATTGCCATCCTCACCCTCCGCGATACACTACTCCCTTCATCATCCCGCCATCGTCTCTCTTTTATCCCATTTCACATGCGCCTCAGGTCGCTTCCATGTCTTGGAGTTCTGCTCCAGAGGGTCGCTTGAAGCATTTTTACATTCACGGGAAGGTTCCCGTACGTCCGAAGGTGAACTCAGAGGAGTTGGTCGGTCTTTGGTGGATGCACTTCTCTACCTGAAGAAAGAGCGCGTTGTGCATCGTGCCATTTGTCCAGGCAACATTCTCCTGACTGAAGACTTACGAGTCGTACGTATCTCACATGCAGTTTCGTCGATGGCTCACGACTTGTGCTATTTAGAAACTGTCCGACTTTGGCCTTTCTGCACGCCTCCCCATAGTCTCTTCTGCGATTTCAGGGATCTGTGACTCACCGAACTATGTAGCACCGTGAGTTTACATGCTCCGCTCCACAGTGCATACCTGATTTTGTGCGCACAGAGAGATCATCTCTCGTCTTCCCCACGGTCCTAGCGTTGACCTATGGTCATTGGGTTGTGTGCTGCTGAGATGTCTGTCCGGAAGAACTCCATTCAAGGTATGATTACTCCAAGCAGCGTGTCGTTTTTCTCTGAAGCATTGCCAGGCATCCACCGCTGACGAGGTATACGCCAATGTGACCCGTGGTGAGTACACCCTTCCCGAAGTCACATCGCAAGAAGCCAAGGACCTATTGTCTGGTTTGATACAAGTGGTAAGCTCGACCTCTGTGCAGGCTAGGAGTTTGATCTCACATTGTACAGGATCCCGCCGATCGCATTCCTCTATACCGTATTCCTACCCATCCCTTTTTTAACTCACTGTTCGCTATCCAATTGCTCACGATGGACTCACGGAGACCTCCATCACGAACCTCTGTACAGAAGGAGAATGTGCCAGCTTCTAAGTCAAAGCTGTATCCCCCACTCCTGTCCAAAGGCGCGCCACCCACTAAAGCACCCACAAACTTCTATTCTATGTCAGATAACAACCCGAGAAAACCGTTCACCGACACCAAGAATCGAGACCTGCGGAGTATCTTGAGTGACGAGCTGGCTTCACTCCCGTCAACGACGAGCTTCGGGGCTCTGAGGCGCGTTATGTCCGCCCCACACCCCGATATAGATCCGGTAAGCTGCCCTGGGCCTCAACGCACGGGAGTTCCTCCTAGGGTATCGTCTATGCCGACTACGCCTCCGCTGACTGCAGACTCTGGGCTTGGCTCGCTTCCGTCTGGCACTCTGTACGACGCGAACAACTGCTGCCCCGAATCTGAGAAGGGCGAAGTGGTATTCTTACGGCATCCTCTGCTAGCTATACCTGGTACATATAGCTACGGAGATCTAGCGAAATACAAAGACGCAGCATTCATATCGAAGCAATCTGGGCAACGAGGTCGCAGTCACTCGATCGCGTCTGCAGCGCCTACCAGGAGACTCAGTGCGGTTTCTTTAGCTGACAAAGCGGTGGCAACGTCTCGACCTAGCTCGGCTCAAGAGACCTCTCGCAACCGCCAGAGCTCGCTGTCGCCTGTCCGTTCGTCAGTACCTAAGGAGATCCCCGGGCTGTCTGCTCTGTCAACTGCATATCTAGCCCCAAAGACGCACAAGGTCGCTGCCGGCCAGCTCGTTGTGCTCCCATCGAAGTCGCTGCTGATCGACTTCCGAGAAGGCGAGCGCAGGAAGGGCCAGAAGGGCATTGAAGTCCTCATGACTAGCCCTGACGGGCAGATGGTAGGTCGACTGGCCCGGCCTGGGTCCTCAAACTAGGTAGATACTTACGAGTCTCGTGGGCCGCTAGGTTCACGTCTACAGCGCGCCGCATCTGAGCACTCCCTGCTGCCTAGCGGAGCCTCTGGCGACGTACCCCATGCGAGAATTGCCTGCGCAATACCGGAAGCTGTATGGCGACGCGGGTCGCGTAGTGGACCACTTGAAGCAGCGCATTCCGAAGGTGAGTCGTGTCGCGAGCCTGTCGACCGCGTACATTCAGCCCCTTTGTAGCTCGTCCTACATAAGCCGGAATACAAGTGCACCCTGATGGCGAACGAGCCCCTCGGGGACATCGAAGTCGTCTTCACGCCAGAGGTCCTCGGGGTGGCAGGGAGTTACTCGAAAGGCGGGACGTCTATCCCTCAGGGCCCGAACCTGCGTGTGCGACTGTCGCGCTTGCGCCAATCCGCTGAAATTTCTCGGCACGTCCCTCCTGCGTCTGAGGGTCGGCCAGGCACGGGCGAGTGGGTAAAGAAAGTCTTACCAGTCACTCCTGGCGAATATGCTCTTTTAGGTGAGGCTCTGGAGAAGCTGGAGTCGACGGAGAAGACCGGCTGGCGACATCTTGTGGACTTCTTGATGATATGCCAAGCTGTGGAAGAGCTAGAAACGAAGAGCGAACAACGCGCTGGGGACGTACATGTAGGCCCTTCCTTGATTCCTCCGTTGGAGCTGGCTGCTGTGCCCGACAACTCTGGTGACGACCGTGGAAGACAAGGAGGGCGTCAACGCCTGAAGGACGTCCTCAAACGGCAGGAGGATGCTAATGCGGTGCCGCGACCCCCTGGATCTGTCAACGTAAAGGACAGCGCCGACGACAATGAGACTCTACTGACTGTGGCGACGACTGCGAGCACGAATGTGCTGCGATCTATGGAGCTGCCTCCCCGGCCCTCAAAGTTCTCCTCTGGCTCAGCTCGGAACACTGGTGGCAGGCGCGTCGTCTCTGAGAATGACTCGAAAACAGTGGCTGGGCTAGACTATGTCTCGGGCTCTGACTCTTGGGCGACCTACGGGCGACTAGCGCGCAGGTCTGCGCAGACGGCACTGGATAATGTGGCGGATCACTCGCGCACACCTCAAACGCGATTCATACCCTCGGTAGGGTGGTGCATTCGTTACAAATCGGGTGAGGGTGCTCGTTACAGGGTGATGTTTCAGGACGGTGCAGCTCTGGAAGTCGAGGTGGCCTCCAATGTGCAGGACGCGGTGCAATTCAGCAGCAGTGTGGCGGAGCAGTCCATGTATGTGCCTCCATTTCTGGATGCGCTACAAACGCTGACGGGTCTACCGCATGGTCACAGGATGATGTCGCTCGAGGCTGCGGAGACGAGGATCCCCGAGCGGATGAAGGCGCTCGTTGCGTTCATCCGGTTGTTCGATGATGGCTGACGGAAAGACGGTCTGTGTCGTTGTTCCTGTGGCTGCCCTTCATGTGAAGATGTTTGTTTTCTTGGAACAGAGATTGTCTGTTGTTGTTGTCCCGCTTTAATGAAGTCACAAGTCGAGGTTGCTAGACGTCTGAATGACCGGTCGTAACTGAGCGCACTCCTGACAGATCTGCGAGTGCCGATTGGCAATTGGGAAAGCATCCGCGGCGAGCACCGCCGCCGCCGACACACGTGCTACGAAACGCCGACACTGCCAATTTGAATATGTCGAACAAGCGATACCTCCGCCGCACCGTTGCGACGAGGTGAATAAACCCCGGATGTATGCCCCACGGGGAGCATTGATAGCGTCGGAGGTCGGCGGCTGGCCATCGAGGCGGGTGCTCAGAATGGAAGGTATGGAGTTGGGAGCCAGAAGTGGTGATCGGTGCAGTGCCATACGCCGGTTGACACTGTGATGCACCCTCGTCATGCTAGTCTCCTCCTGTCCCGGCGCTGTCGCACGCTCTTCGCCGCCCACTGCCCGTCTCCATTTATCGTTAATTCCCCTCTCGGTCTTCGTCGTTTGTTCCCGTTTCCATCACCTCCCTCGGCTAGCTGTTACGTGTCGCGCGCAGCTCCGTATATAATGGACGGGCCTACAGCCCCCGAAGGGACCCCCACAGCTAGCGCTGGATTGATGACCGCCATGACTTTCACGACTGAGACGAACAAGCCCCGCACGCTCATCCTGTGCTTCGATGGTACCGCAGACCAGTTTTCAGACACAGTAGGTGCATATATGCGCCGGAATGAGTTACATACTGACTGCTCGTTCGTAGAATACAAACGTTGTCAAGCTCTACTCTCTCTTCAAGAAAGAGGAATCAGAGCAGCTTTGCTATTACCAGGTATATATGCGTCTCTGTGGACCTTTGCCGAATTAGTCAGGCTCATTTTATCACTGGCCAGCCTGGCATCGGCACATATCTCAATGACGGCGTCGTGTCTCCCTTCTTTGAGTGGGGCGCGAAGATACTTGACCAAGGTGTCGCTTGGTGCGTCCAATGCAGATAATTTCGACTGCGAAGCTTAAGTCTCCCACAGGTACTTAGACGCACATGTCCGTGGTGGATATCAATTCTTGATGCAGAACTACCGCCCTGGGGATAAAATTTGTATATTTGGTGAGTGCATCTCAAGCGTTTTCTAATTGTCTTGTCGCTCACCCTTGTGGCGCCTTAGGCTTCTCTCGGGGCGCATACACAGCCCGAGCCCTTGCCGGAATGCTGCACAAGGCAAGTATTGTATCGGCACCTTACCGCTGAGCGCGCAGGGGCATCGTACTAATTTGACGATCTCGATTCCGTCCTAGATTGGACTGCTCCCCAAGAACAACCCCGAGCAGATACCATTTGCGTACAAACTGTACAAACACACGGATGCCAAGAGTATTGAGCTCGCCGAGGGTTTCAAAAGCACATTCTGCCGAGAGGTCAAGATTGAGTTCGTAGGAGTATGGTGAGTATATGCGTGTCTTCCCTCAGTAATCAAGCTCAGAATCATCTTCAGGGACACTGTTGCGAGCGTAGGCATGCTCGTCAGTCGCACTCTCCCATTTATCGCGAACAATACAACAATCAAGACATTCCGGCACGCTCTGTCCCTCGATGAGGTCGGTCCGAGCTGATCGGTTTCATTCGCGATCACCGATCACTGACGATCACCTTCAGCACCGCGCGAAGTTTCGTCCGAACCTCTACCACCGTCCCGACACCACCAAAGCTCCGCAGACTAAGTCTACACGCAAGCAGAACGTCGTGTCCCCGCCTATACCCGACACTGAGACCGAGAAGCCCGCGGACAAGGGAAAGGGCAGGACGTTCTGGCCTTTCAGCCTCGGGAACGCGAAGAACAAGCTCACGAAGCGCGCGACGAAGCGGACCAGCACGGATGCAGCGTGGTCGGACCTGCCGTCCGCCGCGGCGGAGCTGCGCTGGGGCAGGGGCAGCGCGGATGAGAAAGTCGAAAAGCTCAACACGGGCGCGGATGTGCTCGAGGTGTGGTTTGCGGGGTGTCACTGTGGTATGTCTCGTTTGTCTGTCATTTCCTGCGGCGGCGGCATGCTGACTGGGCTTTGTGTTGTCTTGTGCGTGGTGTAGATGTCGGCGGGAGCGCGGTGACGGACGACACGAAGCTGTCGCTCGCGGACATCACGCTGCACTGGATGGTGCGCCAAATCGTGCTTGCGCAATGCGGGATCGTGTTCGACCGCGAAGCTCTCCTTCTTGCGGGCATCCCTGCATCGGTCTTCACGGGCCCCGGGTTCCCCGTAACGCCGCCGCTGCCGAAGAAGTTTGCAGACGCACAATCAGAGCGCACAGTCGCTCACGCAGGCGAACCGTCGAGCAGCACAGAGGGCGGGGATGCGACCATGGAGGAGCACCACGTGCCGGGAATGGAGAAGCTGCGCGCGTTGCAGCCTTTGCACGACCAGCTATGGATGGCACCGCTCTGGTGGGTCCTGGAGATCTTGCCGACAAGCTACAACTGGCAGGAGCACAACGGGCGGTGGCACACGTCGTGGAGGTACGTCGCGCTCAACATTCTTCTGGTGCTTGTGGATGTCGGGCTGACGAGATGTGTTCTGCACCAGTCTGCACCTTGGGCAAGGCCGCCATCTGCCGCCACACCCGAACTTCCACATCACGGTCAAGCACCGGATGGACGAGAAGAACCTGCGGTACCGCCCGCGGGCGATCTGGACACCGGGAACGGAGGTCTATGTTGAGTAGACGGCGCCGCGAGGCGGGGCGGCAACGCGTAGGCTTGCCGATCCGCTGTGCATCCTCAGCATGAAGTCTTTCTATAGTCTATTTTTATCGCTTAAGGTTAATGTTTGTAGCTTTCCACGTCTTGCACGAGCTTTCGATGTCCCGTCACGCTATCCTGTTGAAATCATGTCTAGTCACGCATTCTTCACGCTCTGTACGTGTACCCTTAAACACTCACGATTGTAATGCAAGAATCATGAACCAGTGTCATCTTGCCCCAAGACTTGCATTGACTTTGCCTTAGACGCACATATAACAGGGTCCAGACTCTATATCAGGTGCGAACCTTGCCCACGCAAGTTACCGGTATCTCCGGGGCAGAAGTGGCTAGGTAGTCTGCGGACACCGCGCTCGAGGTGATGGAGAGCACGGCGTGAAGGGCGGTCATGGCAGAACACATACTGTTAGTTGCTGTTGAAGCCAAGGGCTCGGCAGAAATGGTGGCACACACTATCCATCACTACTAGCATTGTTGGCATTGTAGCTGTGTGGATGTGCACTTGGCTGCTATTGAAGTCGTTCTCAGGCATTTCACTCTGCAAGGCGGGGGTCATCATGCACGCGTCGAATCCCGATCATAGCGTCAAGCCGGCCACGTGATGCGCGCGATGGTGACGCGTCGTCTGCAGTCCTGAGTGGTTCGCGTCGAATCACCGCCGTCGCATTCGGTACCAGCCACACAACCAGCCCTTCGGAAAACCTCGCGAGCTATGACAGAGCCACGTATTGCCTTCAAAGCAGGTCGCTGCTTCCGCCGTGAGGGCACCAGCTTCGTCGACGCGAGCCCGACGAAGGGCGCGATCATCCTCCAGAACGGCGAGGATGGTCTCTTGCATTTCATGTGGAAAAACCGCCAGACGAACAACGTCGAAGAGGTGTGTTTGGGAGCCTTGCGTGTGATGTCCCGAAGCTGACCCGCCCGTGCAGGACTTGATCCTGTTCCCGTCGGACGCGGTATTCCAGAAGGTCGAGCAGTCTGCGTGGGGCCGGACGTACATCCTCAAATTCGCGTCCTCCAACCAAAGACATTTCGTGCGTGGCCCCCTTGTCTTTCTCTGCTACACACACTGAGTGCCCTGTAGTTCTGGATGCAGGTGACGCGGATACACTATTTCTGCCTGTGCGCGACGAGCTGATGTGGCCATTCAGGACGCGGATCCGAGCAGAGACGCCGAATTCGTAAGCAATGTGAACAGGCTTCTGGATGATCCCCAGACGATTCCTATATGGTGGGCACCTGGGTACAATCCTGGCCACGACGCGCAGGCGTCAACATCTTCCGCGCCAGATGCAGCTCCTACTGCCGGATCTTCTCAGGCCGCATCGTCGTGAGCATAGCATTGCATCAATGTACTGTTTGGATACTATTAAGCTCTCACGTAGGTCGCAGCCCGCCTCTAGTCAGGCGCACCAACCAACGGCGCAAGAGCTAGCACAACTACAGTCCATCATCGCTTCTATGTCTGGCGGCAGTGGTCAGCAAGGGATACCTGGTACGTTGGCTGTACCCTTCTCCCAAATGTACTGCACCTCTGTTTGCTGATAATTTGACGAACACAGAGATGTCCCTCGTTGATATTCTCACCCCCGCCAACCTAGCACCGCTTTTCAGCGAACACCCAGAGCTCGTTCGCGCATTATTCCCCTATCTCCCGCCAGATCTACCTACACACCCCACAGAGGAGACGCTCCGACAAATTGTTTCTTCACCGCAATTCCGTGCGGCTGTGCGCAACTTTGACCAGGCCCTGCGTACTGGCCTGCTGGGCGGGCTCGTCAGAGGCCTAGGTCTGCCGGAGGAGGCGGGCACCAGTATCGAAGCGTTCTTGCGTGCAATCCAGGAGCAAGCGAGAGTAGCCGACGGTGATAGTGAGGGCGATAGAATGGACACAGATTGAGGACTGGACGAGTTTACTGTCACTGATGTTGAGGTTGCTTATCCTGAACCCGACGATATTCATATATATTGTTGTACATCCCATGAGAAACAATGTCCCAAGATCTATGATACATGGTAGGCGTGCAACTTAATGGCTGCGACCAGCGAGCCACTGTAGGACGATGTCTCTGCAAGTCTCCAGGTGAGACGAGATCATGAAAGACGATATGGATAACCCACAGGTTGTGTTGGCTTTTCATTGAACACTGGATTGCCTTGAACCTTAAGGTATTCATACAGAAGAGCTGAGCAACGTACCGAATAACACTGACGTCATAGGGAAGACTCGTCAATATACTATTTAGACGCTGGAGAGCTATGACGCACCGATACCGGCCTGTTGTGGATTTTGTGAAGTTGACTGAAACAGCGATGAGATTACACTGCATATGCATCGGGTATTCCAAGGACTTACAGGGCCTGAATGAGCTCGTTCACAGGCGCGTGCCCTTGCAGATCGTTTTTGTTGCCAAGCTATGCAAATATTAATCTGCGAGCTGCACAGAGTACGATCAGACTTACCACTAGGAGCGGCACGCCAACAAGAGATGGTTGCGCGAGTAGCTGGTGCAGCTCAAACCGAGCGGTGTCGAACTTTTCCTTCTGTATGGACGGTCAGCAGGAGTCGCACATGTCCGGCCTCACGATGCATACATCCATCGAGTCCACGACGAATCTGACGGGTGGGATACTTTGTGAGAAATATATCAAGAAACTGTAGTATATTTTCACTCACACGACTGCGTCCATACCATTGCAATAGCGCTCCCATATCGACCTGTACCTCGGCTGGCCTGGAGGCCACTGGGTTTAGATGGGCGGCAAGTGAGGAGCGCGCGGACACGTACCTGCGACGTCCCATACTTTGAGAGTGACGTTCCCCCGCCGGACTTTCCTGAAGTTGAATGCGACCGTCGGCACAACGTCCTCGCTCCACTGCACACGCGGGGCACATCTGGTTTATCAGTGTTCACACATCGCGCCCGACGACGTACCTGTCCAGACCCTATCACGTTCACGAAGGACGTCTTCCCTGATGCCTGTGCACCGTGAGTACCGCACATGGCTAAGCCAATGGGGGTTGGGACGCGCCTGCAGTCCTACGATAGATATCTCGGCGGTCTTGGAGAAGAACAGGCTGAGAATGCGCAGTCGGCCAAGTGAGGAGGACGAACGACAAGATGACCCACCCGCTGAACCATTGCAGCAACGATGAGAAGAATGAAGCCATCAAGCGATAGTACAAAAAGTGTGGCGATGTACGGGTTTAGATGAAGTAAACCAAGAACTTGTAACAGTATCAGGTAATGAAGTCAAGGAGATACCAACAAGCGTCTCTGGGAGTTTCTTATAACCTCCTAACCCTAATGTGTATACATAGGTCGGCTTGATATGGGCGCTTGTCTGACTACCACCTCCCTCTTATACACTTTTCGTCGTCTTGTCTGTTTTTCGGTGCATCTTTGCTTCAAGGAGCATACTATATGCTCCGCACTCGTCATGCTTCCATAGCGAGCTGCTTCCAAAGATATATACCGCCTCACGTTCGCTGCAGCTCAACAGATTCAGAAGATCCTCAGAAGTCAGATCCCTTACGAGCACGGCCCCCACTGCTCTGGGAACTCCTAGAGGCATGGCGTCCAAGACGGGACTCCGGGGCGTCCTCGGAAAGCGCACAGAATCCTCATAGCTTCCTCGCGAACCAGTCCATTCAACCTATACCCAAAGATGGTGCGTGCGCTGGTCCGTGCATGTGTACGTGGTCTCACTTGGGAAGAACGCAGATGTAACTGCGGGCGGGAACGAGGACAAGGATGCTTCGTTGAATTTCTTGTCTGAAAAGGCCGCGACGCGTTCCCAAGGAGAAGAGAGCGGCAATGAGGGTGGTGCGCCCCTGGACGCTCGGACCGAGTATTTGAGCTACATTTCTGGCTCACCGTCATCTGAGATCGCTCGTCATGCCCCAGACTACGACCGGCCGCAGAAGTTGCCCTTCTATAAGCGCCGCGTTACAGGTAAACTCCCTGTTCATCAAACTGGAGTTTTGCAAGGTCGGTATCGGAGCGGGCAGCTCAAATAAACTTTGGCACTAACGGCAAATGTCTCCCTTACGCCTTTGCAGATCTGGTGCCCCAGGCCGGTATGGGAAAGGTTCCTCGTCTAAGACACGGTTTATCCACTGTGCTCTTCACGTACGTGACAATGCTATGAAACAGAGCTCCTTCTGTCGCTGATCATGTACCCCAAGTCCTGGGCCACAGTGGCTACAAGAACCGAGGTCCGGGCACTGGAACTTCGAGCAGAAGCTCAGAGATGTTCCAAAGGTCGCTGACTTCGCTTTTGATCGAGTCTCTGAATTCGTCACGAGCTCCAAAGACCCTGTATGTTGTCTTAAATACTGAGCCCCACCAGAATGTGACATTTTGCGTGAGTAGGAGCTCCATAGGCTTGCGAAAGAGGAGGGTTGTATATTCGCCGGCTCGACATCCTCGCTCACAGGCGTGCTCAGCCAAATATACCTCCTACTGTCGGAGGAGAAACCGGTGAACACCAGCAACCTCAGTGCGGCTTTTCGACGTGAAGTAAGTCGAGCCCTCAGTGTATGAGCTGTTCCTGACACAAACTTTCACAGTCGCGGTCTTTCACTCCCGGACAGCGTATGCCGGTGTCCATTGGTCTAAATTACCAGGATGGAGTATATGCTACCGATTCAGACGTCAGACACCTCGGGCAGGAAAAATCAGTGACTGTTCTGTCACAATTGGTACGACGTTCGAAGGATATTTCCTCATTTTGAAGCATTAACTCATGAACACTGTGTAGGGGACAATGATGGAAAAGTTCCTCACGATGTCTATGAAGGCCTTCAGGCGAGATTTCGTGAGCACATCTCCTGGTGGGCCATTTGTGCAATCTCGAGCAAAGGACGTATACAGGTACGCGAAGGTATGCGATCTCTGATCTATCTACTACGATGCAAAGACAGAGTCTAATAGTATTGGAACAGTATGGCAAATTTGCCATGCGGGCGCAGCTCGATTGCCGTAGTCCAGATCTACCCGGTACTGGGATCTTCGATATCAAGACCCGTGCTGCAGTGCCAATTCGTTACGATCTTGAGAACTACAAGGTGACATTGGACTACATCATTCATGCGTAATTGATGATCGTGACGTTTTTGTCAAGGACCACTTGGATTACAAAATTCGCACTATGCAAGGCGACTGGGAGAGCTTTGAGAAAGAGTATTACGATCTCATCCGCTCAGCTTTTCTCAAATACAGGTACGAATGTGTCTCAACTAGATGTGCGTTTCTCATGTTACGGACGTCTGTAGCTTTCAAGCGCGGATAGGCAACATGGATGGCGTGTTCGTTGCGTATCACAACACTCATGAGACATTCGGGTTTCAGTATATCCCCCTCGAGGAAATGGATATACGCCTTTTTGGGCATTCGCAGGGTCATCGCATCTTTTACAAGTGTCTTGGTCTCCTCGACGCGATATTCTCTGAGATTGTCGAATATTTCCCCCAAAAGGTGAGCAGTTCAAGTGAACCATAGTGCGTGTTACCGATGCTCCTCATCTAGTCGGTCCACTGTACCTGGGAGACTCGGACGATCAAGAAGCTGGGTAGCGTCTTGCATGTTTGGATCGAGCCCAAGGAATGGTTCGGCAAAATCAAGCCTATCGTTCAATTGGACATCAACCTCACCCATTACCTGGCCAACCAGAGAACGAGCGCGCATACCGCCGTTGGCTCCGTAGACAAGCCATGCATGTCGCTTTCCCCTCTATCTGTTCTCATTCATGCTAACATCGGATCATTGGTACAGGGTCCGTCATGTATACTATCAAGAAGTCGCTGCTCCCCCAAGCTGCCATTCGTGATAACCAGCACGAGGCATACAAGCGGCAAATGCTCATTTACAAGTTCCAGCTCCACCCGAACGAGAAGGTCGAACGAGGGCGAGACATCGATCTCACATACATTGATGAATCCGATGCTAACATCGCAAAAGACAATTCTGGGGTGCCTGAGTCTAGATCTGCGTCCACGGGAGGCCCTGTAGGGAAGAAAGAACACAAGGCTAAGGAAGAACGGAAGGGCGAGAGCAAGCACGCCGCTGCCGGGGCTCAAAAGGGGGAAACCAAGCGCAAACTAGCTGAGGTTCCGAAGGGCGAGCAGAAGACAGAGGCTCCCACGACGGATCTAAGTGGGCACAGCAGTGATGCTGCGCTTGACGGTCGTTCCGAATGCCCGTCTCCTCTCCTGCACCTACTGTCAGAAGTCATCGAGGGACGTGTTGCAACGAGTACACCCTCGGGCTCTACCTCGAACTCCTCTGAGGATCTGGTGGGACCGCTTCCACAGCCACCCGAATCGCCTTCCACCGTAGAACCTTCGAGTCATTCCGTGCTGGAATCAACATCGGGCTCTTCTCTCGATGCACATCGAGCACTGTCTGCGACTGACACCATACACAGTGATTCAGCTTCTTCGCCATCGTCTGCAATATCACCTTCTAGTGGCGATGCATCGTCGTCCCCGAAAGGTCCAGACTAGACCTTCTCGCTACCCCGCTGATTAAACCCTCGTATATTTATGTGGCCCCGGGATGATGCCTTGATCAATCGGGGGGAGTACAATGAGGAATATCGATATCTATTCGGTATGGTGTGTTGTGGCGGTGATCGACGTGAAGATCATTGTAATCCATAAACACAGAAAAGTATATTATGTAGTAAAGTATTCATCTAGCATTTCTTCTCTGTACACGAAGGATACACCCAAAGGCGACCGACACTGACCAAGCAAGGCGACAAATGAAAGAACTGTTAATACACTTTGTTGACTTTGTCCGCACCTGCATATCCCATCCCAAAGACTGATTGAAACCCACGGCCGTCGTACCCATCCGCGATTATTCGCCCCGCACTTTCGTTCCCAACTGGTGCGCGGGCTCGCCCTCGACCTCCGTATCTGGATCGTCCTCGCCGTCCGTCTGCGCGCCATTCCGTCGGTCCTCGTCGTCGCGCTCAATCTGCGTGCGCATCTCCTGGACGTCCTGATCAACCTTGGGAGCCATGCGATCGATGCCGGCGGCCTGTGCAAGTGACACGCGCGCACGGTGCGGGGCGAGGTGGGCAGAGCGCCTGGGCGGACGCTTGAGTCTGCGGCGGGCGACCTGGGCATTGGACGTTAGTGAATACATGTACATCATAAGAGGCTGGCGCAGACGCACCATGACAGGTACGGAGCATTTCTGGATGAGATAATGTGACGTCGAGCCGAGCAGAATGCTAGAATGGGAGGGTCAGATGAGCTATAAGAATTCGTGCGAGGTGCTCACCCTTTCAACTTTCCCAGCCCGCGAGAACCGACGACTAACATACTAGGCTGAACGAAGTCAACGATATCTGCACAGACGCACGCTGTAAGTCACGCCATGCACGCCATTATACAAGAGCTGTGCAACGCACCAAGAAGCATGTGCCGACTATTCTTCGCGTGCCATGCTTGACACGATATGGTGACGTGTAGACGGGTGCGCTGCAACAAGCTCGTCGCCTGGCGGACGAGGATATACGCCAACGCTTGTCGCTGCCAATGACATCAGCGAGGGCGGGGCGGTGATGAAGCACATGCACCTACCTCTTGCTGGCTGCGCAGCTTTGCGGCTCTGTCGGCAGGATTGGGTATCAGGGGATCGACTGCGCGGACAGCGACACTGGTGAGCCGATGCGGAGAGGGATACATGACTCTGCTACTTACTTTTGTTCTCGTTCTCGATGACAGTCACAATGAGCCTGCAAAATAACGTTAATCCCCAACATTTCATCTCGAGAATGCAGCGACGTACATCTCGTCACCGTCTCTGAGCACCGTGCCGATTCCCCACTCTAGCGCATATCGGCTCTCATCGCTCAGGTCGCTCGCGAGGACGTAGCGCCTGCTCCGCCGTCCCGTCTCCTCCAACATGCCTCCGGGATCCCCATGGATGAGTGTGATCGTGCACCGGTCGCGCTGGAAGATCGGCCGCGACGTGTCGAGCGGGAGCGGGTCCGGCCGCGTGCTCTTGCGGCGCCTCGTATTGTGCGCGCTGTGGTTCAGCGTCGACGGGAAGTACGGCTCGGGCGGCACGACGACGTTCACGCCCTCGCCGAGCGGATCCGGCACGTCGACGACGTCCTGGTCCGCGAGGTCCGCGGGGATCAGCGCGTTGCGCTCCGTGTTGCGCTCCGTCACCTGGTCGAACTGGTCGTCGTCGCTCCACGACTCCTCCGAGCCCTCGTCGTCCTCCGTCTCCTCCCCCGACTCGTCGTCCGACGTGGCCGACAGCGAGAACGCGTTGCGCGGCCGGATGCGCGGCGCCTCCGAGTCCGACTCGGCGTCCGACACCGACAGCGCTTCGACGGCGGGCGACGGGTCACGCATGCGCGCGCGCCGCAAGCGGAACGGCGACTGGCTACGCGTTCGCCCGCCCGCCGCGTCCTGCGCGTCGCCGCTCGTGCCGGCGAACGAGCTCGAGCGCACCCCGGCGCCCGGACGGTCGGGCTTGCTCTTGTCCTTGGAGCGTCCGCGCTCCTTCTCGTCGCCAGCGCCACTGCCGCCGTTGCCAGCGCCGCTGCGGAGCGAGAGCGACGACAGGCCGCCCATCACGGAGCTCAGCGACCTGCGCGAGAAGGAGCCGCTCGTGGGGCGGTTGCCGGGCGCGTCCTTGTCCTTGTCCTTGTCCTTGCCGGAGCCGGACTGCGTGGAGAGCGTGCGCGTGAGGGCATTGGCATTCTGGGCCTGTGGGTCGGGTTCCTCGCGGGTTAGCAGATTCAAGGCAGACGGGGAACGCTTGGAGGATTGGGGGGTCGTGGGGCGCGAGGGCAGCAGAGAGACAAGCGACGAGACAGAGTTGGAACGCGCAAAGGGTAGAGCAGTCAGGGTGGCCGTCGAGCTAGCTGCGGACGATGAGACACCGAGAGGGTAGTCGTATGACTGCTCGTGGCCCTCGCGCGGGGCGGGAAGGGCGGAGCTGCTGCCCGAGTCTTTGTCGCGCGAGGGGTGGTACTTGCCCATCCAGTTGCGTCTGCGGGGCAGTTCGGACATGGCGGAGGCGAGGGGCGGTGTGTGGCAGGAGAGAAAGAAAGCTCACCTCCTGCTTGCTTGGCTGGCGGGACAAAGCCTGCGGGGCAGGGACGAAATAAGCGTGGGTGATGGCACAGCATGGCAAACACCGCGATGCGAGACGAGGGCCGTCGTCGCCAAGAAGACATAACAAAACCAGTCAACCATCTGGGGTAGTCTGGGCACTGTCCACGTACTACGAATGCTCCTGCCTCGTCGGCGCGCCCTGCTTTATTCTGCAGGCGGTGGTCGCGGTGTGAGAACACGATGCTCCTGATTCTGCGATAAAACACCCGTTACCTCTAGCGTAAACCGCCGCGGATCAGACGGTTCGTAAGACATCTTCCGACTGAGCTTTTATGCCGACTATATTCAGAATTGAGAGATAGTCTACAGCAGACAGTCTCGAGAGGGCTGGGGGAGGGGGGGGGGGAAGGGGCAAGGAGAGTCTCGGCCGAAAGGAGCTCTTGGCCCGCCCACCCAGATTTGGTTCCGTGTAAGAACATATGTCAATTCAGACCTGCTCTATGTACACTTTTAACTCGATGGCAGCACAGCACTATGTAGTGGCCTGTATAACCCAAGACCTCTCCCGTGGGGGTCGCGTGAACAGCGTAATACACATCTCGTTGCTGCGGTCGCGTTTTAGGGTTCTGTCAGTCATAGATTCCCCTCCCATGTTGAGATGTTGTCTAGGCCGAAGGTGAACATCAGCCAGCCACTTCTCCGCTGTGGCCCCGCCTGGCGCAGCTTCTGGTCGCTTGCGTTCGATCTAGGCGTACGCTTGCATTGAACGATAGACTGGAGTGAAGCACAGAGCTGGGACTCGGAGTGTGTTCATCGGTGTCACACTGTAAAGTCGTTAACACGGAGCTCCCATGATGGCGCACGTTCCCCACCGAGTAAACCGGCCCTAACTGTAGCTGAGTTTGGGCGCCGTCTTGGCAGACGCGGGGTAGGTTTTGTTTTGTAGTCCATCAGAAACCTGCCACAACATGTCGAACACGGCATGTCAGTAATCTTGCAATAACAACCTGAACTCTTTACATACCTTCAGGTCAATGCGCACGTAGGACAACACAAGCCATGAAGATGCATCATCCCAAGCGAGGTGATCGAAGGAGCGTGATCGTGACCCCGGGGTCAGTCTGGGGTCAGCCATCACAGGCTCCGATTGCTATAATGCCATAGATACCGGTCAGCCCCGGCCTCTCGCCATCATCGTCGTGCACCTCGCCCGCAGGGGCGAAACCTAGACTCGCACAGCGGTCAGCGACCCAGCAACATGCACACCTCACCCGTTTGCACGTCGGCCACGGTGAGCCCCGACCTACCCGCCGAGCTGATAAGCGCGATCATCGAGCAGCTGTACTACGACGAGGACGGCAACCCCGACCGCCGTGCGCTCTACGCGTGCTCCCTCGTCTCTGCCTCATGGACCGGCCCAGCGCAGAGGCTGCTCTTCCATACCGCGCGACTGCACGGCCCGCACGCATTGGCCTTCCTGCATGCCATCCATCCCGCCCGCCCGTCGGGCACTCGCCTGGGCGAGCACGTCCGCAGGCTCGAGGTGCGTATTGGGACGGGCCCGGGCAGCGGCAGCCCCACATCTCCAGACGCCACGAGCCTCCGGCCGACCGAGTTCCTCACCCTGCTGGACCATTGCCCCCGCCTGTACGAACTCATCCTTCGGGCGTACAATGTCCACGCCTTCGAAGAGCCCCTCACCAGAGCCCTCGGCGCGCTTGCGTCTGATCCTGCCCGTACTCCCCTGCGCGCACTCAGCCTTCTCCGCGCGGGCGTCCAGTCGCCGCTTCTGTACCAGCTCCTCGCCGTGTTCCCGTCTGTCCGCTTCCTCCGCCTCGGCTCCGAGATGGCCGCCCCGCTCCCGAAGAGCCCTGCCAGCGTCGCGCTCACGGAGCTCGTCCTGTACCGCCTCCCAAGCCCCAGAATCCTCAGCTGGCTGCTCGCCTCGTCCCTCTCCACGCTCGCGATCCTAGACTTGCGCGACGCGCCCGATGTGCAGCTCACCGAGATCCTCGCACCCCACGGGCCGCGCCTGCGCTCTCTCCGTCTGCTGCGCTACAACGCGCGGGGGGCGGCGCTCATCCGCCTGTGTCCCGCGCTCGAGGAACTCGTGCTGTTCCAGTTGTCGACCTTCCTCCCGCTCGCGAACCTGCCACAGACGCTGGAACACCTGAGCTTCCGCGACTTTTCATGGACCTCGAACCCGAGCCTACAGACGATCATCGCGGCGATCGAGACACTGCCGAGACTGCGCCTCTTGACGTGCGACGCGAATGCGAAGCAGCATGACGACTTTCCCGCGCTGCGGCGCAAGTGCGAAAAGAAGGGAGTCGCGTTGAGGACGGATGCGCTGCCGATACGCACGGTGAGAAGTCGTCGTGCTGTTTAATGTGCTTGGCGTGACATACCTTGCTGCGCAGTTTGAAGACGCGGTGCCGGTAAAACGCTTCCCCAGACGCAAGTCGATATCCAACTTTCCGCTGATGAATGAAAGGGTTGGAGCGGCGGACCAATTGATGCAGAGCTAGTATCCACATCGTCACACTCAGAGCACAAGTGGCTGCAATATTTCTTCCAACAGACACCATCAAAAAGTGCATATATTGAACGTAGAGTGCTTGTATGACGCTGACCACTTGTCTGGACGTATTTCGAGGTTGTGGACAGGTCAAATGAAGCTGAGCGTTCTTCATCAGTACCGTGCGCCAACGCCAAGATGATGAGGACGAGACTACAGCAAAACTAATATTGATAGACCTTCCCTCGCAAAGTATACACTTCGGCAAGGTGGGGCAGAAGCTCGCGGCAGGAGTCGGCAGTGGTGCAGAGCCGGCGACGGGCAGCCGATCAGAGACGGGCTACTGAGTAAACACTTGTTGTAATCCCCTCGACCGACCATGGTCGGTAATCGACGATATATGCATCCTGCTCAGAAAGGATTTGTTGTAGACATGTCCTCGCTCGATGGATAATGATTAGAAGCTACTGGTGTCGCGTCACTGTAGAGTGCAGAGGTCGTCGCTGTCTGCCATTGCTTGCGGAAGCAGACGGGGTAGACCTCGACAAACGGACTCTGAATATTGAGGCATTGATGTGGATTACTTCGTATGACTGCCGCGAACAACCTCTGAGGAATGAGTGCACGTCACCCCGAGGTGCCGAGCGCCGTTATGCTCCATGCCGCCTATCTGCACTTTTTGCGAGGGAAGTCTATCAATATTGGTTTTGCTGTAATGCGCCTGGGAGTATGAGATGTCGAGGCTAGAAGCTGGCAGGGCTAGTTATAGTCGCGCATGAACTCCAATAAGAAACCTGAAAGGAGCTGGAAGTAGCTCCGAGTACAAGGGGACTCCCAAGACGAGTCCGCAAACGCCGTGTAGTCGCCGGGAGAAGGTCAGAAGCAGGAAGCGAGGTGTGAAACTTGATGATTTTCTTGGGATCGTATGCGTGCGGCGGTTCCGACAGGTGTCTATGCCATGAGAAGACACTAAGTATATGCATCTCGACACCTCCGAGAATGCAGTAGAGGCCGGGCGAGTTCGCAGGCCATCGGCACAAGCCCGGTGCACAGACAATGAGCAGCACCATCCCACGCGGGACGTGAGATCGGGTTGAGCCAACAGCCATTTGCCAAATATCCCGAGTAGCAAAAGTACAGCATACACAGGAAACCGCCAGTAAGTGGCCTCGGGTGTAAGACGTCGAGGCCAAGCAGCGACTCGGAGAACAGAAGGTAGACGGAAGGGATAAATTGCGGTAGCCTTTCTATGTACAGGCTCTGATTGTTACGTAAGCACAGTCAAATAACTATGCCAGTTAGAGGCCCGCACTCATATTCGTTCTTCCCCTCTCCCTCTCCCCCAGCCTCGCCCGTCGTCCTCGACTACGGGCTCGGACAACACTAGCACACCACCAAGAACACATAAGGTAGCGCAATGGCTACTCCTGGAGGTCCTGTGCGCAAGAAGCGCAACTTCAAAGCTCTGCAGCTCGATGTCTCGAAGCCTCCGGCGACAGAGCCAGAGCCTGCGCCCATCCGTCTAGCACCCGCCCCAGGTGGTGCCGCGCCTGCGAAGAAGCGGCCGCCTCCCATGACCCTCAAGGCCCCAAAGATCGGGACTTCCAATGTAACCGCTGAAACGGACAATGGTCTTCTCACCGCGAATGGCCCAACGTCCGCCCCACCGACGGCCAATGCGTCCGCGGCGCGCTCGAGCTACCACAACACGCTCTCATCTACGCTCGCGAACCTGGACCTGAACTCAGAGACCAAGTACGACCTGCGCAACGAGGATCTGCGCGACATGCAGGAGCTCGGGCAAGGCAACGGGGGCAGTGTGAAGAAGGTCGAGCACGTCCCTACGGGGACCATAATGGCGAAGAAGGTGCGCAGCTGTCCAACGTGCTCCCATCGCCACAGCTGTGTGTGCCATCACGCGCCCTGCTAACGCGTCATCTTGCCATCCCCGCAGATCGTGCTCATAGACGCGAAGCCGTCCGTGCGCAAGCAGATTCTACGCGAGCTGCAGATCATGCACGACTGCAATTCGGTGTACATCATCTCGTTCTATGGCGCGTTCATCTCGGACCCCAACATCTGCATCTGCATGGAGTTCATGGACAAGGGGTCGCTCGATGGCATATACAAGAAGATCGGCCCGATTGATATCGAAGTCGTCGGAAAAGTCGCGCTTGCCGTGCTTGAAGGGCTCACATACCTGTATGACGTGCATCGCATCATCCACCGAGGTACGCGTGCTTAGACTGTATAGCGTCTCTCGTGATGTCCCTGATGTGCGCCAGATATCAAACCGTCCAATATCCTGTGCAACTCACAAGGACAGATCAAAATCTGTGATTTTGGGGTTTCAGGCGAGCTCATTAACTCTATCGCTGATACGTTCGTCGGAACATCAACATACATGAGCGTAAGTGACCTCACGTTACGGTGTCGTGTGCTACGAGTCTTACTCGTGTTGCATAGCCCGAGCGTATACAAGGCGCGCAATATACCGTGAAATCCGACGTCTGGTCGCTCGGCATCTCACTCATCGAGCTCGCCCTGGGCCGCTTCCCTTTCGCCGACTCGTCCTCTGACGACTCTGACTTGTCCGACCTCGAGGGGACGCTCTCGCCTAGCCGCCCCGCGCCCATCCCTCTGCGCAAGACGCAGGAGGAGAAGGAACGCGACAAGAGAAAGAAGAAGCGCAAGAGCCGCGGTGTCAGTCTGCAAGGCGGTGGCATGACAATGAGCATCCTCGAGCTGCTGCAGCACATCGTGAACGAACCCGCGCCACGGCTGACGCCCGAGAACCGGTTCCCGAAGGAGGCAGAGGACTTCGTGGACAGCTGTCTGCTGAAGGACCCCGAGCAGCGAAGGACACCGAAGAACCTGCTGGTGAGTGCATCGGCGTGCGTCTGCATTCATGATGTGTTGATCGACGCCATTATGCGCGCAGAAACACCCCTGGATTGAGCACTCGCGATCATCCACCATCGACCTCGAGGCCTGGGCATCGACATTCTGACCGCGACTACCGCACTTGGCCAATGCTCTATTTAACGGTCTCCTACTCACTCGCGGAACTGTCAATTGATTTCCATGCTGTCTCTCGTGTCCGAGTATATCCTTGCTGCTGTTATCGAGCAGCCATCCGCCTCGTGTCCATATGTATACCCGCAATCTCTGTCTCACGACCGCTGATCCCAATATCGCCTCATTCGCGTATCTGATGTAGTAGTAGAGCAGTGCAGGAGGTTGGACGTTCCCCGAGTAGAGCGGGCTTGCTCGCGTATACGTCTTTACGCAGATGCTGTCGGGTTGTATTGTATAATCTAAATTATTTGCGCATTTCTTTGGACACTTGTTGTGTTTGCTGGTTTCGCTTTCTGCTCCAAATGTCTGAAGTATGCTACTTTTTGACTGCCTACTCCGACATATGCCTAGTTGGCTAGGACAGCAAAACCAATTATGAAAGACCTCCATCGCGAAAGTTACATGATAGGCATGGAGCGTAGCGGCGCTCGGTGACATCCTTAGAGGTTGTTCGCGGCAGCCGTACTGTGGCATACTGGGTAATCGGCAGACCCCCAAGTCGGCACCCCTTGCCTGATTGGCCCAGGAGCCAAACTCATTGATCGGATTGCAAACATCCCGAGAGATTCCGGGGAATCCTGCTCTCTGATTGGCGGTAGGTCACGCCTGCCGACCACCCAGTATGCCACAGTATATAGTAATTCATGCCGACGTCTCGATACTCGTCCGTTTGTCGAGGTCTACCCCGTTGCTATCGGCTTCCGCAAGCAATGGCAGACAGCGACGAGCTCTGCACCCTACGACGCGATGCTAGTAGCTTCTTCAATCTGACGATTAATCATGGAACCAGAGATGTATACGACGCGTTCCTTCTGAGTATATCGTCTATTACTGACCATGACGGCGAGAGGACGAGAAGATTACAACAAATGTCTACCCACGATCCTCTTTTGGTAACCAATCTCTGATCGACCACCCGCCGCCGTCTCTGCGCCACTGCCGACTCCTGCCGCGAGCTTCTGCACCACCTTGTCCCAGAGTATAATCTGCGAGAGGAGGTCTATCATTATTGGTTTTGCTGGAAGAGGGAAGGGAATGCAGGTCGATCTTCAGTGTACTTCGTCCTTGTTGCTGACACCAATATACACCAAATCTCTTGCATTCTGACATACCTTTTTCGGATTTTCAATGTTGTCAACCTTGCCGAATGTCCAGTCTTGCCAGTGTCTGAGCACACATCCAATGCCGCGGTGCTCCAAAAATGGCTACCACAGATGATCGAGCTACGATCGGAGCTGTGGATCTCAAGTTGAGAGTTGCATTTTCGTCGACCTTTATCGAACTCATTACATCGCTAGTCTACTGCGCATCAGATTTGCCACTTGAAACTGTGGCGCATACCTGTACCTGCTAGCACTGTCTCGGAGATGCACGTGCGTGCTTTGACGCATGCGGTAGACGCCGTCGATGTCTAGTCTTCCGAGTGTCATTACTCCTGTCATCGAAGAACAAGAGCCTCACATTCTGCCGCAACGACTGGGTGCACACAACTAGAACATGCCCGGAATGCAGTCCTGTGTATGGGGCTAGCGCGTATATAAGCTTGAGATGTACGTATCTCTCGTGCAAGACTGCATTCATGCTCCTATGGGCGGTCGTTTCTGCGATGGGCGCATCATCTGTCCGACCCCCGTGAGCCCTTTGGACAGCTCTCAAGGTTGCTGTCGGTATCAGCATCATGCCGTGTACAGGATGCTCGGAGCTGAAATGGGGGCACGGGGTCCGCCTTGCTTGCACGAAACGGTATATAACCGCTGCCTTCACGCATCCAGAGGGACCCTCCATCTCACTCTGACGCATCTCAAAATGTCGTCCAACAAGATGCTACTGGTCTTCTGTGATGGTACCGGTATGGATGGGACTCTGTCCGAGCCAGGTGAGCCTTTACTTGTCTATAGTCACTATGCGACAGAGAATATCATCCATCGATACCAGACACGGACAATCCGACTTTCTTTCTCAAGCCGCTATTCCTAAAGGAGAATTCTGATCATCAGTATGCAACCAACGTTCTGCGACTCTGTGGGTATTTCTTCGCACTCAGCATGATGATGTCTCTCATTGACTAGTCTCGTTGCAGCACGAGCTGTGTTACCGCATGCCAAGTGAGGGTAGTTTGCTTCATGTGCTTTGAGCTTGATGGATTGACGAGCCATGCAGAGACGGAAGGAGACAAATTGTGTTCTACCAGAGTGGTGTTGGCTCTGAAGCCGCTTTCAATGGAGATCCTGCTTTTGGGGGTCTCATTCTGTGTGCGTATCTGATCTCGGTTAGTCTAGTACTTTCCCATGATTGACTTGAAAACACAAATAGCATTGTTCGGTGTTGCCGTTGGTAAGCCACCATGTATGAGGGATCGATATTTGAGGGTATGACGTTTTCCGAGCAGCAAGCAAAATCAGGGATGCATACGCGTTCATTTCTCAGAACTTCGAAGAGGGCGATGAGATTTGTATCTTTGGGTGGGTGTTGCAGATGCATTTTGTTTTTCGCCACTTGCCCATATCTCTCAATCATCGCTTAGCTTTTCCAGGTAGCTATGAAATGATGGTATAAGCGAGTGCTATTGACTTAAGATTGGCGTACTCTCAGGGGTGCATACAGCGCACGCAAGCTCTCGGGTTTGATTGTGGGTCTTACTACGTGCGAGAACTATCCCTCGCCTGATGTCCCCTTCAGGATCGAATCGGACTGCTTTCACGTGTGAATTTGGGCCAGCTTTTCGAGATATGGAGTGCTCTCGACGAGGACAAGACACCTACCATCCCGTCCGACACGCGGAAGGTCAACATCAGGTCAGTTCTCACAGTCGGTGCCATACTTGTTTTCCTAAACACCTCAATAGTTGCGTCGGGGTCTGGGATACAGTAGGCTCCGTGTTCAGAGAAAACAACGCACTGAACATCAAGGACAATAGCCTCCCGGAAAGCGTAGACGTAGCCCTCCATGCCCTATCTTTCCACGAGAATAGACTGCCTTTCTTGCCTACGTTGTGGGAGGAGCCGAAAGGAGGGCTCCGCAAGGGGCAGATTCTCAAGCAAGTATGTTCCACCCCGCCAGGATTCCTTCATAAATTCTGTATTGTCTGACTCTTGCTGGCACCCCAACAGCGCTGGTTCCCTGGAGCACATGCCGATGTCGGCGGCGGTTATGAACACCACGAATTATCTGACATTTCCCTCTTCTGGATGGCGGTGCGACGAGAATTTCTGTCCTTCGGGTCAAATACTGATGCCGACTTGTCTAGGGCGAGATCCAGAACATAGTCAACCTTGATCTCGACTTCTTGCGCGCGAGTGCTCAGCGCAATCCTGATCCATGGGGCACCTCCCAGCCACATAACACCGACTTGGAGGTAATGTTAGGGCTTCTACCCTGCACCCGCCTCACCGGTAAACGGATCACTCCCAACTCGACGTTCCACGAGAGTCTGTTGTACTCTCCGGATTCGCTGAAGGAACCACTCAACATGATCACGCTGGATATCGTGGAAGAGCACTTCGGGACCAGCTTCATGCCTCAGTTTGCCCCGCTGAACGACTTCGAGCAGCAGTGCAAGGATCATTGGGGAGAGCTTCCGGTACGTGGTTCCCGCATGGTTTCCGGTCTGATTCTGATTGTGTTTTGTATAGAAGAGTGTTTCGCAGCATATTACTCTCGAGCATCCGGCTCACTTATTCGGGGCAAAGATATAGTGAGACCTGGCCACGAGATATCTTGTCGTACTCTTCGGAGTCTGAGGATAGGATTAAGCTAAGGTCTGTCCAAGCAACCTTGACTTTGATACCTACGTTGTAGAGTATGATGCACTTTTAAGCTAACGGATCGTTATTATAACGAGCTGTAGCAGAATTGTAAGTACCGTCCTGTGGATGTATCCATCCCGCTCACCGCGCAAATTCAAATATCATTCGTATTTTATTCAATCACTCTGGAGGTGTCATCGTGTATTTCCTTAAAATGCTCTTCAGGGTGCAGCACGGGTGTATATCGCACCATCTGCATATTGTGCTCAGGTCTCTCCTGACGGAGAAGTGCGTTCAATTTGTAGTAGCTGTGCACGTGCGTACTTACTATCTATTCAGTGAAGATGTTAACCCGAACAGGTCGTCGGCGATATAACGTAGACTGACACTTGACGTACTGCAATGACTAGAAAGAATCAGGGAGTATTCCACGTTACAATTCACTGATTTTTCCAATTGCGCTGCCATCCCAGTTTGAATCACATTTCACCATGAAACGGTTCAAGGATGTCACGCGTGCTCAGCTTCGTGGCACCGAAGCAAGCCGCCGGTGCGTATATACGACAAGGTTTGTCACCTGCGCACGTTCTCATTCGGACGCTAACGAATATGTTTATTTCTTCTGCCTTCCAGGCATAATGTCCATCAAAACGCGGTCATGGGCACTATAAATACATGTCTCGGCTACAAAGCTGCATCCAAAACGGAAGACACCCTTTTCGAAGGCAAACTTGTCATGATCTGGGGTTTTGTCGACGGTGCACTATAAAGGCCTTACACCCGTATGTCTCATCCTCTGTAGCTGTCTTCATTTAAAGCTCCATTCCTCTCAACGTACGACCATGGCTTCGAAAGTGCTGCTCGTTTTCTGTGATGGCACTGGCATGGATGGTAATTTGTCTAATTTTACTAAACTGGCGTATGTTTTCCCGTTCCTCGTCGAGTTCGTATTTTTTAAACTCAACGCCCAATTCGCAGCGCTGGACAGGCCACAGACAACGTCCAGGTCCTCTTCAAGGAGCCAGGTGACTGCCCACAATAAGTCTCCTCCAGAGGCTTCCGTTCGCTCACAGCATGGTCACATATAAAGAAGAACGTTCTCCCCGTACGCAGAGTTACCTGTCGCTGTCTTGGCTGTAGAGCTCATGAACTCGATAGCGGTGAGAGGAGGATCAAGCACGCAGTTTGCCACGAATGTTTTGCGCCTTTGTAAGTCATCTTTGTGTGTACTGCAACGCGTCAGTATGTGCTGAATATCGCATATAGCTCGAGCTGTTTATCCGTACACGGTGTAAGTGCCATCGTTTGGCCTGGTGTCTAGACTACCTCAAAACCGCATCATGTCGCATGCACAGTGATAAAAGGAAACAAATTGTGTTTTACCAGAGCGGTGTCGGTTCTGAAGCCAACTTCGCTGGTGACCAGGTGACTGGGACAACTGCTATGCGTGCGTATGTGTTCACCTCGCAGCAACCCTGTATTCATGCTATGACCGCTTAAAGAGGCGTTCGGGACTGCCGTGGGTGAGCTGGTGTTGCTTACCCTCCAAAGTCAACCAGAATTGTAATCGATCGTCATACAGCGAGTAAGATTCGCGATGCATATGCGTTCATTGCACAGAACTTCGAGGACGGAGACGAGATCTGTCTCTTCGGGTGAGTTCAGAGATAGATATTAGTCTGGTGGGGGTGACATTTCTGATGGACTATGTAGATTTTCCAGGTGAATGATAGGATTCACCGTGTGTCGTGCTGCTGTGGCCCCTTATTGACATTCGTAATATCACAGGGGTGCCTATACCGCAAGGAAGCTTGGTGGGCTGATAGTATGGCAATCACTTGCTCTGTGGCACTTTTCTTATCCATTCCTATCCAGGATGCCATCGGTTTGTTGACGCGGAAGAATTTGGGACGCTTCTTCCAGATATGGCATCAACTCACTGTCGGGGAGACTCCTACCATCCCATCGGATACGAGAAAGACTCGCATCAAGTGAGCTTTGTATCGGGTGAGGAATAGTTGCCAATTAACCGTTGTGAACAGGTGCCTCGGTGTTTGGGACACCGTCGGCTCCGTGTATGGAGAAATAGACGCGCTCAGTATCACAGATACCAGCCTTCCGGGCACTGTGGACGTTGCCCTCCATGCTCTTTCCCTTCAGGAGAACAGAAAGAAATTCCTACCAACACTGTGGGAGAAACCAAAGGGAGGTCTGGGTGCGAATCAGATTCTTAAACAGGTACGCTGTAATCGCTTTCCGAGAGACTTCACGCTGAGAACTCTGCGTAGGTCTGGTTTGCAGGAGCGCACTCCGATGTGGGCGGCGGATATGAACGGCACGAACTCGCAGACATAGCTTTGTTCTGGATGGCGGTACGTTTCAATGATCAGATCCGCAGATCAGAATCCTGATATGTATTGGCAAGGGAGAAATTAAGGGCTTCATCAATCTTGACCTCGAATTCTTGCTGGCTAGCAAGCAGCCGCAGCCTCAACCATGGGGCACGTCTCAGCCTCACAATGCATACGAGGAACTGCAGTTCTTGGAAAAACCAGTCATTGGACAGGAGACTCGGCTCGAAAGCAAACAGATCACCGCGGATTCCGTCTTACACGCCAGCATTGAGTTCTCTCCCCAGAAGCTGGACAGTCCAGATTACATGGTCACTCTGGACATCCTGGTGAAAACGTTTGGCCCGTCTTTCAAGCCTCAGTACCCGCCTTTGAACGAGTTTGAGGAGTATTGTAGAGACAACTGGAAGGATCTGCCCGTGAGTGAATCATGACGTACTCGTAACTTGCCTAACCATATGGATATTCCAGAGGGGCATACCCTATCGTCCCGTCTTCGAACAACCGGGCGACTTGTTTGGGTTCTCTGCCGGGAGTGTGTGAGCTGTGGAGAGCAGGAAAGGCCGCAGAACAGGGTTACCTCAGTCACTCCATTGGCGCCATTCTTTCAGAAACTTGTAACAGTAGAATGAGAATATCCATCAGCAATTTGAGATCAAGCGGACACACATATTGAGTGCCCAGCAGGGACTTTCCTTCATGTTTGCACGTGGAGATACGGTGATATGCATATTGCGAACGGTTTGAATCGAATAGAAATGTATAGAGATCATGCGAGAACCGGTGGCCTGGAGTCCAGCCCAGAATCGACTGCATTGTCAAGGCCATGGATTTGTAGGCATATCTTAGGACGCTTACATCAACCTCAACGGGCGGTCTGAGGACACTCTGTTCCAAAGGTCCAGTCGTTACATAGCACAGGAGACTAGCGGCGCTTCGCCATTTGCATGGTCAAGTTATCGATGTACATCTGGAGGGTTTCGTTCTCTGACGAAAGTTTGTCCACATCTCCCTGAACACTTTTCACTCGCGCAAGCAGGGCTGCGTGAGTAGACACTGAGTCACTAGTGTAGGACACAGTAGCGCAAAGAAGCATACCTCGTAGGTTATCTTGGGCTGACATTATATCTCTAAAGAATGTCATTACTTACGGAAGATCTCTACATTGGACAGTGCATACTTCACAAGCTTGTCCTTCTTTATTGCATCTTGTATGATATCGCCGGTACTGGCCGGGTCTGTTGCACCCCAAGCGGGTGTATCATCAAATGTAGGGTACGAAACGGAGTCCATGGACCTGCTGCCAACTCATTAATGCGGCCGGATCGTCATGATGTAGTACGGCTCGGCTCGCCTTTTAGTCCTGCAGTCGTCGTGAATGGGCCGGACGAGTCACGACGTAGCGTTCCATTGGCTGAGCGATATGTGGCACGTGACATCGTAACGCGACGCGTTCCGACGCGTTGCGCTTCGCGTCTGCTCAGTGGCGTCGACATTTCTCACTCGCTGTGCTCTCCTGGCAGCATAACAGATATCTCTAAGGAAGTGAACCTTGCATGCTTGAAAATGGCAAGTATAGATAAACTCGCTGTCCGAGGCATACGCTCGTTCGACGACAAACAGATATCCGTAATCGAGTTCTTCACACCAGTCACCGTCATCGTCGGCCACAATGGCAGTGGCAAGACGACCATCATCGAATGTCTCAAGTATGCTACCACTGGAGACCAGCCACCGAACACTCGCGGGGGCGCCTTCGTACACGACCCGAAGATGGCGAATGAGAAGGAAGTAAAGGCTCAGGTCAAATTACGTTTCTACGCTGCGAACCACAATCGTATGCTGGCGGTGCGAAACCTTTCTGTTACAATGAAGAAGAATGGCGCTTTGACGATGAAAACGCTGGAGAGTATTCTTGCGTTGGCAGATGAGAAGAAGGGAAAGGTATGTCTTAAACACTTTGCAACATATTGCTCCATTGACTTGCCTCAAAGAGAGGGGCTATCTCGACCAAGTGCGCGGAGATGGATGCAGAGATTCCACATCTGCTAGGTGTATCAAAAGCGGTCCTCGAAAACGTTATATTCTGTCATCAGGAGGATTCGTATTGGCCACTCGCTGAGCCTTCGATTTTGAAGAAGAAATTTGACGATATCTTTGAGGCTACCAAGTCTGTCCTGATCTTTGAAATCTTCGTTGGTGTATAATGAGCTTATGCATCCAGGTACACGAAAGCTCTGGATAGCATCAAGGCTCTCCGGAAAGACAGAGCTGCAGAATTGAAAGCTGAGAAGGAGCGGCTGCAATCGCTCTCCATGGAAAAGGCGCATGCGGACAAACTAAGAAGCCGTGTTTCAGACTTGAATGCAACCATCGCTTCGAAAGAGGCTGAGTACGAGCAACTGAAGAGGGATTACGAGCGCCTTGTCACCGCCAACGCCAAGTTCTACGAGTCTGCTACTAAATTCCGCGAGACTTACATGAAGCTCGATACTTTGAACGAGAAGAAAACGCGGTACCAAGCTGAATTGGAAGACGCTCGCGAGAACGTTCGAGACATAGAAGGTGGGTTTGCTCTATCACCCGAGAGAACACGATCATTAACGTCATAAAAGGCACTGATAAGGAGCTGGCTGACCGACTGAAGAACTTCGACAAAGATTTGCTTGACCAGCAGCAGAAGCGTAAGAGTGAGATGTATAAACAGGCCGGCATCGAGGACGACATCAGGGCCGTGCAGAAAGCTCACGTTAGCTTGGTGGGCGAGCAAGCGAAGCTCGAGCTCGAATTACAAGTGAAGCGACCTTCTCTTCTGACAGCTACACCATGACCGATTCGAGACACTAGGCTCACGAACAACAAATCCGAGACCGTGAAGCGCTCATTCGCGAGATCAGTGCAAAGCATCAATTGAAGGGATACGATCATACTCCGTTGGAACGAGAGAAGGTGCTAGACTTCATCTCGAAATTGAGCGAGCTTCGTAGGAGGCATAACTTGGAGACCGATAAGCTTCAGGTGATCTCAGTCCATGTCTTGCTGTGGACTTCCCTGACTCGTTACACATTCGCAGAATGAGTACAATGCGAAGTCCGAAGAGTACAATGTCAAGTCCAGACGTTTGCATGCAGAACTCGAAGGGTTCAAACAGCAGAGGATCAATCTGCGCGAACGCACTGTGAGTTGGTTTGCAACGCAGCACATTCTGCAGGTCTCATCTTGAGCATTTTAGAGCACGGCGCAGTCTCGAGTCACTGAAGCCGAATCAGAACTTGACAAAGCAAGCGTACTCGCTTCTCAACTTCGGACTCTCCAGGCGGACATGGAAGATAAGGCCCGTCGCGTCGAGAGTACGAAAGCGGATATCAAGTCGGGCAATTTTGAGCAGCGGCTAGCTGAGGCCAATACGAAGGCAAGGAACATGGAGATGAAAAGAGACGAATTGACCGCCGAAATCAGAACGCTGAGCCTGCAGGCTGACGCACGGGCAAGGTTAGACCTCAAGAGAGCGGAGCTGAAGAGCAAGTCAAGCGAGTTGAAGAATACGTAAGGACTGTGGAAACCTGTGCAGCCTAATATCGCTGACGGTGCTCATCTGATAGACTCGACTTCAACAATAACAAGTTTCTCAAATTGATCGGGACCGATGCCCATCCGGATTCAATGGAGCAAGAGGTTGAACGAGTCAACATGTACGTATCAGGCTGTGACTGCCAGCAAAACCCGTCTCATTATTCATCACCAGCGAGAAAGAGAGGGAGCTTTCAGACCTGGAGAGCGAATCGAACATCTCAAACAAGGAGCTACAGACTGGTGAAGCCAAGCTCTCGAGCCTCAAGGCACAGCTAACCTCGAAGCACAAGGAATTCGACGGTATGTCGTCCTAAGACTGATTATTTGTTCCTTCACTGATACGCTCGAGCTTCTAGCACTTAATGAGAGGATAAAAGAAGCACTGAAACAGTACGAGGGCAGTGACACCATCGATGCCGCGCTGGAAAGTGCTCAAGACGAATTAAATTTGCGAAAAGGGTGCATCTTCACGCGATGCTTATTCTGTTAGACGCCTCAGGTTGACGTTGCATTCTAGGGAGCAGGCACGGGGAACCGATAGCAAGGCCGTTCTCGATGGTCTGATGAAGCGCGGAAAGGCGAGGAAGTGCTGTCCACTATGTGCACGTAACATGGATGATCGAGAACTTAGCCTTTTCGAGAAGAAGGTCTGTCTTACTATAATTCTAATCGGGATGATTCCTTAAGCATGTGTCCTGGTGTCAGGTGCTCGAGGAAATCCAGAAGTACACTCCTGCTGCTGTACAAGAAAATAAAAAGGAGATTCGTATGTGGGAGGAGGAAGTAAAGGATTTACAAGGAATGTCGATCGAGGCCGCAAACATGGACGCTTTCAAGAAGTCGGGTATGCCTGTACTTGAACGACAGATAAGCGAGCTCGAGACTTCCTGTCAGACCCTGGCGCTACAGGCTGAGGAGGTATGATCATAGCATGCGTGTCTTGTCGTCCGTGTAACATGTCACTAATCGCTTCTGCAATACAGACCCTTCGGAAGCTCAACGACATCAAGAAAGATATCAAGGAGATATCGGTTCTGCGCCAGCATGCAGCTACTGTGACACAGACTCAGAAGGACATTGAGCGTCTTAATCGTGAGATTGCCAGTCTCGAGGCTGATCTCGCCACGACCGGCTCGACAAAGACGGCTGATGACCTCCAGGAGGAACTTGATGCCTTGTCTTCTGCCTTGTGAGTAGTGTTCGCCCGTATGATAGACGAGAGTTTACTGTGCGTTTCAGGCGGGCGACAGATCGCGAGAAGCAGAACCTATTGACAGAACGGGAACGTCTCACAAATGCTTTCCGAACACACGAAAGCGAGTTAAGTTCCATGCGGGTGCGCGAGAGTGAGCTCAAGAGCGAGCTTCGAGAGAAGACAGCACTGGAAGGACGTATCAAGGAATGGAAAGCAGATATAACGAATTTCAGCGCCCTAGTGAAGGTGACGACTCCGTATCATTCGTTATACCACGATACTAAATCACTGCTCTCATAGGATCTCGATGCTAAAATAGCGGATGCGCAAGGTCCAATTGACCGACTGGAAAGCCAGTTCCATGAAACTCAGCGCGAACTCAATGCGAATATATCTCAGGCTCAGAGGACAGCTCAAGACCTCAATATGTCTGCCGACAAGTTGGACAGTATCAACAAGACAATTGAGAGGTACGTATACTGTCTTGTGAAATGACGAAATGACAATGTCACCTATGACTCCAGATATGTTCGGGAGAGACGTGGGCGCTCACTGAAAGAATGCAACGAGAAGATCGAGGAGCATGAAGCGGAAATTCAGAAGCTAGGCCTTCAGCTCGAGGAGGTCCGCAATAACATTCAGCTCATTGACAAGGGGATCAGTGAAAGCGGAGCCACTGTCGCAAACTTGCGTGAAAATCTTAGGATACGAAGGCTGCGACAGGATATTGCCGCCACCCAAGCAGAGATCGACTCGATTGATCTCGAAGAAGCCGCGAAGGCTAAGCGCATCTTCGATGAGAAGTACAACGTCGAGAAGCAGAAAGAGACGCAGCTTCAAAGCAAGGTAGGGAATACATTCTTCTGCATGCTTCTTTAACTCATCACCACCGTACAGTATGCCCATATCGGCGGTGAAATCAGTTCACTCCAGGCGCAGCTGAAGACATTGCAAGGAGACCAGGACGATTTCAAAGATGTTTCAAAGAAGTATCGAGATCAACTGATTCGAGTCAAGATGTCAGACATGGCAAACAATGATCTCGAGAAGTATGCGAAGGCCTTGGATAAGTGAGTCGTTCTCTGTATGGTTTGTGACTATTCTCATCCGCTTGCTAGCGCCATCATGAAGTATCACTCTCTGAAGATGGAGGAAGTCAATGATACCATGCGGCACTTGTGGAACAAGACGTACCAAGGCACTGGTACGAAAGGTCCGACGAGCTGTAGGGTTAGCCGCCACTCACCGTCACACTCCACAGATATTGACGGTATCAAAATTTCTTCTGAAGGCGAAGGTGGCGCAACGAAACGATCGTACAACTACCGGGTACGTTGTTCCTACTATCGTTAAGGACATCGCTAACCTGCAACGGCTATGTAGGTAGTGATGACGAAGGACCAAGTCGAGATGGACATGCGAGGCCGTTGTTCTGCAGGGCAGAAAATGCTCGCGTCGATCATTATCCGTCTCGCACTCGCCGATTCGTTTGGACAGAACTGTGGCATCCTTGCTCTCGATGAGCCCACGAACGCTCTCGATACCGAGAACATTGATGCACTTGCAGCTAGTCTTGTGGAGTGAGCAATTCGTTCAAATGTAGGCGACGCTAGCTGATGTGCACACCGTCAGCATTATCAATGAGCGGAAAAGCAACTCAAACTTCCAGCTCATTATCATCACACATGACGAGAACTTCCTTCGCAAGCTGGGCCAGAGCAATGTCATGGAGTATTATTGGTATGCTTACGTCACATAGCTGTCCCCCGCGTACTCACCGTCCTTGCAGGCGCGTATCGCGAGATTCAAGGCAGAAGTCAATAATCGAGCGTCACCGCTTCAGCTAGCCCCCACTCATATCCATCGCTCGTTTTGGGCTTTATTGTTCACATCTGTACATTAGCTACATCTCAACACATGCTAGCATCCTGTTTCAACAATTTCTCTACGCACAATCGTGCTGTCTGCTCTTCTTCAAGGGCCATGCCATCTACAAGGGTGGCTCAATGGGTTCTTCATCCACCCCATTTGCGCCCTCATGCATGCCATCAGCTTGCTTCCAGGTTAATCATACAGCATCGATCCTTTTGCGAAGGAACCCCAACATCTAATGAACAACTGCTTTTCGTAACTACTGTACGCGCCGCAGAAGACACGAAACTTCAACAGAAACCACTCCGGTCATCGAGAATCAGGATAGTACAGAATCCGTTATATACTGACACACCAAGTCCATAGCGTCCTAGTGGACTGAACATGATACTAATACAACGCTTACGCGTCATCCACGAAGCCACCCGCTCATTTGGTCACACCCGAGTCCGTACTCTTTCCAGAGAAACCCGAGGTCATCGACAAGCGTGAGGCGCTGCGGTAGTCGCGTCCTGGGATGAACGCGTCCTCAGGGCGTTCGATAATCTCTACACCAACCCCTTCGCCCTGGACACGCGCTGCGTAGTATGCGCGCAGAGCCTCCAGACGCGCCTTCTCGCTCACTGCACTGTCCGTGCGCTTCATGAGGTCGAGGTCGAAGGACGGGTAGGGTGCCCGCGGGAGTCGTGGGCTACCAGGGGCTTGCTGTCGAGCAAACTTGGGACGACGCCACGAGAGCCAAGCATGGATGACGTCCTGCGTTTCAGAATGAGCACATGCAGCGCATAGAGGTGCTATGAGGCAAACCATTTGTGTGCCGAAGATAAAGAACACGGCCAGTCCCACTGTGCACGAGACGAACTTTCAGTATTGAAGGCCGGGAAGGAAAATATACAGCTACCTGATGCCATGAACATGTCAGGGAAGACCGTGTTTGAGTCTCCAAGGGATACCAGCTTGGCTCTAATGCGCTTGTGAGACTTGCCGGTACGGGAACGTTTTGAGACCCTACTCACAATGTCGCCGTGAGCATGCAGACGGCGAAAACCCCAATGCGAACACAAAAGTCGACGCTGATGTTAGCTGGCGGAGCAAATGGCATCAACGAGCGACGAGCACGCCAGAGACAGATGACAAGGTGAGCTGCATATGTGAGGAACATGTGGGTTAGTTCTCGCCTTCGCCTCACCATAGCGGCTGTTTTTCCAGACGAACCGTAGAGCGCGATGGCACCAAAACATGCCAACGCTGAGAGGATGGCAACAGCGTAGTTACTAAAACGTATAGTTAGTTCGCATATCGTACCTTCAGAGAAAGATCCTACTCACAATGGTGCTAGGTCGATTGAGCAGTAGAAGTATTTCTGGACCCTGCTAACTCTAGTCGGATAATCCGTGCCTAGCTGAGTTTCGAGATGGGTCGTCAACATTACGATGTTACCAACGAAAGAAAGTGTTGAATATTCACCTTGGCGGCGATCGCCGTGAACATGGCGAAGAACACGTAGGGGACCCCGAGAAGCTGCGGTCATACATTGAGCGGACAAGTGGGGTGGTGGCTTGAACAGCCTACCAGTGCATTGACCAAGGACCCAGCGCGTTTCGAAGCATCCTGGGGCCCCGCTCGATTGAGTGAAGTCCAGGCGTGATACACCAGAGCCAGGCAGGCCGTGGTGGTCCTGGAGTACGCGGCTTAGACCGGTCACGACAATGCCAAAGCGTCGTCGACTTACATCGGCAAGACACCACTGAGCAAAGCCGACTGTGCGATGCACAGCTCTTGGTTCGGATCCAGGCCGGTCTCCCTACCCACGTACAGGCTGCACATTGTGACTTGAGTAAACCATATTTACACTCTTTTGGCATGTGTCTGGTTGCCAAACTAAACACGAGACTCACAGCAGTGAAGCCGACACACTGGAGACGATCCACGTACAGCACACATTGATGACTGTCGGGCGTCGCGTGACTGTGCGCGAGACGAAGAAGGTAGCTACAAGGAGCGGCAAGAGGACGTGGCCCGCGGCAAGCTGGAAGAATAGCCAGACTGCGAGGTCAGCAGAGGCATTGGGCCCGAGCTGCTCAGCGGTGACACCTGTGTAAGCAGCGCATATAACGGGTCAGCTCGCATCAGACAACCGAACATGCGCATATAGTCGATGTATATGGTCACGGAGGACAAGAGAGACGTACGTCTAGTCAGGGTTGTATGCGCCGACGTACGCATAGCGGTGCGGGGAGGTCAGCTGCAGAAGCTGACGGGGGTCTGAAGGCAAGTCTAGGGCGAGCGCAGGGCGGCAGCGCTCACCCTGAAGAGGGCGGAGCTTGACACGCGGCGCGCACGCACAACACAACATTCCCGAAGCTGCGCGTCGGAGAAAGTTCCAACTCCAACAAGGGGGTGTACGCGGCCACGAGGTGGAGGTGGGGTGTCTCGGGAGCGCCTCCAGGGGCAGGATATGCGGACAAATACGTGACCGGGATGGGCGTTGACAGCATAGAGAGGAACCGAGATAGCCGAGTAACAAACTGTACGTCGTGGTTGTGGACGCATTGACCGGAGGGTATTCTGCGGACGCGGACATGGAGGCGCTGAAGCTGTGATAGATATGGGGCGCACGTGTGGCAGCTGCAGGGCGTTAGATGGCGATCCTATGTGCAAGGCGGTGGGCTGTGTATCGATCACAACGTGGTAGTAGACAAAAACACCAACTGCGGTAACGCCTCTCCTGCATAATGGTGTAATGGTGTGAGTCTCAAAAAGTAGGCGCAATGAGTGCTACCGCGATGTCTTTGAGCTCCATATAAACCTGAAAATCCGACACTTGACTAGAGGAAAGGGAACATTGACTTGATGGTAAATCATATGATTATCGCAAATACCGTGCATTTTGCACGTGTCAAGAGCAGCGTGTTCGGCTCTGTAGAGGCAATAGAGACACAGCAGATATTGTCGACATGCTAATGTTTGGAGTTGGACATAGAGGCCATGGACGTCTTTGTATCTCTCAGGACGGAGGAACGTACTATGATATGTACATAACTCGTCACGGGTAATCGTTCACAGTGTCCTACTTTATTGATCAGAGGCGACCTGAATCGAAGCCGTGGAATAACGCACCTTGACCACACCCTCGTAACACTCAGTGAAAGATCGCAAACTCATGGATCAACTTGAGCCAGCAGATAAACAGCTCACAAGCCGATATAGACGTCACAGGCTGCATCAACGTACTTACACTGTAGCGTATATTGATCGGAGCAGTAGCGATGCTGCGAGTCGATGCCAATCTTGCTCTGCAAGGGTAACTCGCCACTTCGGAAACCTGCAACCATCACGAACAGTTTTCTCCGTGAACAGCGCTGGTATCCGTGACAGTCTCAAGTTGTATCGCTATCGTCGTCAGGGAAGAGAAGAATCATCACAAAGCTATACAGATTGTGGAACCACCCGAGTGGATAGTCGGAGGCAGAGATGAACAGACGCTCGTCGGCGCGTAAGAAGTGACGGAGGACGAGCAGCGGCTCCGAGTCCTGCGTTTCTCTCTTCCGCCCCTCTGGCGGGTCGACAGACCTTCCCATCGCCATCTACGCCGACGACCACAACAGTCGAACGCGAACCTCGGGCTGTTGGCAGCTGAGTCGTTGGGTTCTCAGCAACTATCCTAAAGCGCCTGGCCTCTACCTGGGCTGTGTCCGGAGGGCACTCGTCTGTCGTATCGCCGGCAATCCGATTCATGGTATAGATGCCCAGGGCATTCCAACAGTAAGTACATGTTCCAGCGAGCTCATTTTGTCTTCATCGTCGTTCTAGATTACCCTACCACGACATATATGAGACGCTCCGGCAGGCTAGCGTGAATACCGCATAGGTTCTTCTATCCGACCACATCATCCTCCCGTTCGACCCACCTCGCTTACGACCATGGCGACCTACTTTACTCCTCGTCCGCAACTCTCGTCGTCCCATAATGCGAATCCTCCACCACAGGAGACTGGACGGCGGAGCCTACCAAACCTGGACCTTACAGTCAATGATCATTCCATCTATATCTTCCCCGATCCCGCCGCCGAACTTCCGAGCCCCGCGTCTGCCCTCTTCTCTCCGGCTACGTCTTTCGATGCCTCATCGCCGTCTATATTCTCGGTATCTTCGCGCTCGCGATCACAACGTCGCGTGCGCCACCACGCGTCCAGCTTCTCCACGCAGTCAGGCCGCAGTCCGAGCATTGGCCAAGCGAGCTCTGGCTCGCCCCGTACCCATTCCTACTTTGTCGTCGATAACCCATCTCCCATCTCGCCGACCTATTTCAGTGTAGAGAATGACCCCGACGTCGGTGAAGTCTGGGATGGACTGCATTCCCCACTTGACGATGAAGCGTCCAGGGAACTCGAGGAACGTGTTGAGCGTGTGAGTCGCTGGGACTTCGACTCGCGCCTCCGGCAGTTCGTCGAGCGCGCCGCGGCGGCGTCCATACCTGCACAAGAGCGCCGCAGGCGCCTCGCTCCCCTCCGCACGCGTACTCGCACGAGCTCCCAGAGTTTGACGAGTAATAGCCTAGCCTCTTCACGCCCAACGCGTGCACGGTCATCATCTACTCGTGCACGCGCGCCTTCTCCCTCCCCCCAGCCGCGCATCCGCATCCCGTTCCTGTCCTTCTTCGCAGGGCTCCTCGCGCTCGACCTTGACGATCCTGCTCTCCGTCTGCTTACCCAGTCTGCACCCGCAGACGCTGACTCCATCCTCTTTCCCGGCCACTCCGCCACGCGTCTTCTGCAGTCTCTTGATGGGGACAGATACACGCCTCCGTCATCTCTATCTTCCCCCGATTCAGATGAGGAGACGAAGTCGGTGCCTGTTCATGGCTTTGCAAAGCTGCTCTCGTCCGCGAATGATCCATCTGGGGCCGCCTTGCGCTCTCTTCGTGCAGGGCTCGCTATGGCATCGCTACCCAGCGAGCTCGTTGCAAGCGTGCCCGGAGCGCGTGGTCTCGCCGGGCTGTGGCGCGCTGTAGGTGAGGTATATGCGCGTGGCGGGCAGGCCTGGAGGGAGGTGTGGGTTGGCAGTTGAAACATCGCACCATGTCCAGAATTCTTTCCTTGGAACGTTGGTGTACGTTTGTGGTAGTTTGATATTGGTTGCGTCCTGTGGCCCATCGCTGTATCGCATAGTATCACGGACTGCGCTCTCCGACCGATGGACTATGTCCTATTTCTCGCTTCGGACTCTGGATCTCGATGTGTGTCCCCATCGACTCGCTAGCTGTATCATAGAGAATCTGGAGGAGGTGTATGCTCACAGTTGACCGCTGCCACGGAAGTATGTACGCTAGTAGTGTTGAATAATAATATTTACAGCTCTGTGGCTAATCCATGCTAGCTCATGTAGGCGACTGAGGAAGGGATTTAGCTGGTAGATCGCCTGCACTGGTGGTCTCCTCTGGTAAGAAACAGCGAAGCAAATTGCGTAGGGCGACATCGGTAACACCTTGTAGCAGCTCCGAGCTCCTGGCAGGCGAGGGTTCAGCTCGTGATGCAGTGGTTGCAGACGCAAGATATTCGGCTAGTCGGTTGTGATAGATAGTTTTCTCGTGGGCGGTAATGCGATTTAGGGGTCGAAGACGGCCGTCTTTGCAAATTCTGCAACGCCATCGTGGATGGCCGTCGGCATCCTGGACGGCCTCCCACTCTGCAAGGTATAAGGTCAGCTTGAAGGTCGATCACACAGACGGGGGATATGTCACTTTGTGGGTCAGCAGTGAGCATATGGGGGCTAACACTGCCGTATGTCGTGTTTTTTTTTTCTCCTACATGCAGAACAATGATCATTTGTTTTGCATGAGTACATACATTATGCCAGACTCACCTTACTGGTGTGTAGGCCAGCGCTTAACTTGCCCAAAAAAACCGGATGCTAATGAGGCCTACTATGGACGTTTCGATACCACACCCTTGAGCACGACGCGACACGACGCGTTCGAATCCATGTCACATGACGGTAGACGTTTGCCCGTGGGTCAAACCTGGCCAAGCGTAAGCGCAGGGCTTGCTTATGTCTATTGCAATTGCACGACGACTGCGCTAGCTTATCCCTCGGGCAAAAATATAATTGTCCCTTGGTCATCGATCGACAGTCTAAACGTAGGCTGTTTGAACTGCTGGCTGTGCAGTACGCCGCCATCCTCTCCAAAGCGACACAACACAAATAAGGAAATGGAATGATGGGAATCGCACGTGCCCAGACGCGTTGCGCGCCTGTGGCGTCGCGTCTAGCGGGCACCCCTGCCAACGAGCCTCGTGCATTCCTTGTGTACAGTCTCCAGTCAACCAACTCCGCCAACTCCGTGGTCGGAGCGTTGCCAGTCGCAACAGGGCTATCGCACCATCTCGCTCGCCCGCGATGTTGGTAGCGCTGATATGACGACAGTCCGAGAGCACTAGCCTTCAAAGGATTCATCCGATATGAGCGACGGCGCCGGGAAAAGAAGTTTATTCAGACAGAAAAGCTAAGAGAGGCGCCAAGGAGTGTGGAGAGCAGGTGCAGGGAAGAGAGGTCCGCAGGGGCGCGCAAGTAGATGATGCGCAAAAACGCGGATCAAGAAAACGTATCTGAGCGAGTTAGATATCGCGACGGTGATGTGCCGGATACTAACCGTTATTGTGCCGGATACTAACCGTTATTGTGCCGGATACTAACCGTTATTGTGCCGGATACTAACCGTTATTGTGCCGGATACTAACCGTTATTGTGCCGGATACTAACCGTTATTGTGAAGTTGGTGTATAAGGAGACCATTGAAAGATTTTGGCGTCGGTTCCCGTTAACTCCTAGGTCGATGTCCCGGAACTCACGCATACACCCGGTCGACGCGATCCGTGGGCGCCCGGCTCTATAGATGTTGGTGGCACCCTGCGTCGTCACCATCATGCACAATCAGTGATCACTGCGCGAAGAGACGGGAGTCCCGGATAAAGCAACGTCAATTGAGTTATTTACCCCCACATTTTGGTGTAGTATTAACTTGAGAAAAACGCATCTTGCCTCGCGCGACTGATCATCTTCCTCTTACCCACTACTCTCTTCCTATATAGCGTTTTCTTAGAGACTGCGGTTACCGAGCCATTTAATCTTGAACGGCCCTGTCAAGAAAATAATCATGTGGGGGATTCAGTTTTGTCGCTCTTCTGGAATATCGTAAATTCCCGCCAAGAAACGTGTGTCCTGAGCAACTAGGCAAGATCATCCTGAGGAGCAGCCGGCACGAAATCGCGGCCGTGCTTAGCAGCATAAACAATAAAACGGGGCAGATGTAGGAATTACACACGCACTTAAGACTCCTGGAAAGGGACACCCGTTGAACAGCGAGCAGGATACCAACGTGGATCATGCTCCTCTGGCATCATACCGCATACCCTCCAGTTCGCGGATTTCCTCTTCATTCTCTATCACCCATCGGCGAACATTGTACACAAACCACGTTAAGCCGCCTGTAATGCTCCACCAGACAATTTCGGGCCACTCCCGCATCAGCAGCAGAGCCAGTACGGGCGCCAGGGCAGGAGTAATTAATGTGATCGCATGAGGGACTGGAACTGGAAGCGGTGTAAAGCGGCCAAGTGATGGTGGCAGTGATGATAGGAAGCGAATAGCAGAATGCGCGGAAGGAAGCAGTAGCAGGCCGAGGTTGAGATGAAGAAGAATGTGCAGCGTAGCGAACAATGTGGATAGCGGGATTGCTTCGCTTGGGCTGTCGTAGGAAAGGAGAGCGTAGAGCGGCGACTCTTTATCTCGCTTTATCAGGTAGATGATATGTCTGCGGAGTGAATCAGAGGCCTGCTGTTAGAATATGTGGTTTCAACACGCTATGCAGGACTCACAGTAAACACGATAGCGCAATGACGATTTGGACTAGAGCCGTGTATTGCCTTGTCGCTGCGTCACTTTGTTGGCGAAGTTTCTCTATGAGCTCCTCCTGCTCTATTGATAGGTTTGTTATTTCACCTAGAGAGATAGGCACACACTGCATACCTTGTTCGTCCAGGATATGGTCATCCTCGGTTCCGTCGTCAGAGAATTTGAAGGGCACTCTTTGTCTCAGAGACATTTGCAGGCCTTCTTGCTTGATTGGGGAGGGAATTTCTTGAACCAGATAGGTAGCCTAGTTGCGTAGATTCAGCCGAAGGTCATCGAGCAGACGAACGTTGTGTTGGCGAGGCGGGCGGGCGTCTCGTGCACATGCGATCGGGAACCACGTGTGCCCACCAAGTCAATCAGATCGCGGCGGTGAGAAATTTCTGCCGTTCACACCCGCGAATTTGAAGTCGCCAATCGGATTAGGGGTGCTCAATTCTTCTCGCTGCACGCCCTTTTTTTGGTAAATATTTTCAACCCCGACTGATCCCTCAGCCACCCGCAATCGACAGCGACACAGCGAGCTCCAATCGCGAGTCTTATGGTACTCACGATTATGCAAATACTACCTAAGCCAATGATGCGGCTTTGCATAAGACTCTAAGGTATCCAAAGAATGATCTAGACGACTGTGACTGCCTGCAATCGCAACATATGAGCTGATTGTAGTATATTCTTGAAGCTTGAAGATTGTTTCTCTAGAATACATCTGTGTCGGATTTTGACTTCCCCGGTCGGGATGCTTGACGTCCGCTGTCGCGATCCGTGCTCCCTACGTCAATCCGATACCGTAGCTCATTCTCTGTCTACCTCCACGTGATACCTATTCTACATACTTATACCTCGCTCCCCCACTCCCCGCTTCTCTCCTCAGTCGTTGTACCACTACGGCTGAGGTATGTTCGTCTCGTCGTTTTCCCCCGTACCAGTACTGATTCGAAGTTGTAGACTTGCTCGATTCGGTACAGCTCCTAAAGTCTGTGGCCTAATATAATACGAGCTCAACAAGTCACGCATGATGGCATAACATTGGCTGGGTCGCGTCGATCGCGGGTGGCTGAGGGATCAGTCGGGGTTGGAAATACCTACCAAAAAAGGTGGACGCTCTGCGAACGAACGAGCGAGCGGCAAGAACTGAGCACCCCTATCGAGCGTGGATCTGCTGCAGTCGACGGTTGAAGACCGACCATTAAGCGACACACCGGCACGCTATGTCTGCGGGACCACATGTAACATCCATTGAGGAAGGGCAGTTTGACGATGCCCCTCAGGAAGACGGAAGTGCAAGGGCCGATCCCCGCCAGGGACATGCATACATCGACGAGGACAACCACGATGAGCACCTTCTAGACTGGTCGTCCGCGGGTGAAGGCGACGACGACGACGTCGATGCCTTCGAGGCGGAGGAGGATGACATGGAAGCGGCCGCCTTCCACACCCTCCGCGCCGAGGACGAAGACTGGGAGATCGCTGAACGAGGTGCGCACCCCCCATGGTGTCCGCGACCACCGCGAGCGAACAGCCCACGCAGATTTTACGAAACAGTACAATCGTCTAAAGCAGCATGTCGCCGTCCGCACAGGCGCAGCGCAGGGCGTCGCCTCCGCCATCAACACCCGCGCCGCCGTCGCATCTCTCCCTGCAGTAAACCGCCCGCGCCAGAGTGCCAAGCCCTCCACGACGTCTGCTTCGGCGCATACGAAGGACAAGACGGCAGATCAGCTGCAGGCGCTGTCGAAATATTCGTCCCGTATCCGTAACATTGACATGCCGTACGATCTCGGAGTAGGCGTGAACAGGAAGGGTCCCTCTGCGACCGCGAACATGAAGGACAAGAGCGACCGCGCGACGAGCGAACAGGTACTTGACCCTCGCACACGCATCATCCTGTTCAAGATGATTGGGCGGGGCCTCATCTTTGAAGTCAACGGATGTGTTAGCACCGGAAAGGAGGTACATCTAGTTTTCTCTTTCTGCGTTAGATTTTCTGCCCGCTGATTAAAAGTGTTGCAGGCTAACGTATATCATGCGTTGACTTCAGACCAAAAGCATCTTGCTCTCAAGATCTACAAAACATCTATCCTCGTCTTTAAAGATCGCGACAAATATGTCTCGGGGGAGTTTCGTTTTAGACGAGGGTACAGGTCAGCACTCTCCTGTCCTGTCTGTATTTTCATGCTCTCAGATGTCTGCCTAGTCGACACAACCCGCGCAAAATGGTCCGCTTATGGGCCGAAAAAGAAATGCGCAATCTCAAACGCCTCCGCACCGCTGGCATCCCATGCCCCGAGCCCGTCGAGGTGCGTGAGAACGTACTCGTCATGGGTTTCGTAGGCGACAAAGAAGGATGGTATGTGTTCATCGTCTGAATGTTAGTACACACTCTTCACACTCTCCGGTCTTCCAGGGCCTCGCCCCGTCTCAAGGATGCGGACATTCCAGAGTCTGCGTTCCCTGATCTCTACGTCGAGCTTTTACTCATGACACGCAAGATGTTCCTGGAATGCAAACTGGTCCACGCCGACCTGTCTGAATATAACATTTTATACCACGTCGATGACACTCCAGCCCCCTCCTCTTCCCAGGCTGCCGAATCAGAAGCCGTACCAGAGTCCTCCGAACCCAATTCGGGCAACGGGAACACAGATATCCAGAAGCATGGACACCTGTACATTATCGATGTCTCGCAGTCCGTCGAGCACGACCATCCTCACGCGTTCGACTTCCTCCGGGCAGATCTACGGAACATCGAGGACTTCTTCGGCAAGCGAGGAGTGCACTGCCTCGGGCTCCGCCGCGCATTCGAGTTCGTCACACGGGAAGCCCTCCTACCCGCGAGCAGCGGATCAACATCAGCGCCGAATGAGGATGCTCTCCTGCGGCAGTGGATGACTGAGCCCGAGCCCGAGCCGCAAGCTGGCGATCACGAAGACGCGAGTTCAAGCGCAGGGCAAGGCCGCTCTGACACCGCGGCGCACGAGGACTCGGTCTTCCTGCGGTCGTACATCCCGCGCACGCTCAACGAGGTGTACGACCCGGAGCGCGACGTGGGCGCGCTGAGCCGTGGCGAGGGCGCGACTCTGATTTACAAGGACACGATTGGTTTCGTCGGTCCGCAGGCGCAGGAGAAGGAGACGGAGGCTGCGGGCGAGGAGCCGAACGGAAAGGCAAGAAGCACGGTGCGGTTCGAGTGCGGCGCGGAGTGTGAGAGCGGGGAGTCAGATGACGGGCAGGACGACGAGGGAAGCGAGGATGAAGAAGACGAAGGCGATGGTGAAGGCGAGGAAGGGACCTCGGACGAAAAAGCCGATTTTAAGGAGCGTCGGCTGCGGGGACATCGCAACGAAGACAAGGAGGTGAAGAAGGTGAATGCCCCCTCCACTGAGCCTGTTGCAGGGACTCACTAGTGCGCCTTTATTTTAGGAACGCAAAAAGGCCGTCAAGGAAGAGGCAAGAGAGCGGCGGAAACAGAAAATTCCCAAGGCGGAGAAGAAGCGCAAGATCAAGGCTACTGCCCGTGGCGGATGACCGGTGAGCGGAAGGTGCGCTGCGTTCTGGTCTAGAACAAACCCTCTAGCACACTGGAAGACCGGTTTAGATTGAATGAATGAATTTGAATGATGGACACACGGTGAGCGGCGCCTTTCTTACGTTGTCGAAGCGTGCCCCGGCCAAAGGGATGCCTCCCACGGTTCTGCATCTTGGGCGTTTGAGACGTGCGCAGTCAATATAATGTATCGTCAGGTCTTCCTCCCCGATAACGTGTGTATTTGATGTGCTGTGCCACGACGCCTGCCGTCGACTTGCAGAGCGGGGCAGAGACAGATGTATTTTTGAAAGCCTTTGGGATTTGTATGCTGCAGCCGCACCGGTCATATAATTTTTGCGAGCAGGCAACCTTCGCGTACCACGGAGGCTGTCAACGCAAAAAGGCAGTCAAATGCACGACCACCTTCCGTGTCAGAGTTCTCGGAACGGGTGCTGTTGCACATCCCGTCCGGCAGGACCTAGACCACTGGGTATCTCCAACGTGTGCCGAGCGCGAATCCTCATGTCGGAGCCTTTCGCTATCTCATACGTAACCAGGAGACGGATAATGGGCTGTGCAAGTCCGTTCGCGGGGCTGGAACATTCTTCGCACTCTGATATAATACGCCACACATTCAGTCGGACGCCAGCGGCGCAGGTTCTATAGATATCGCAATATAATACCCAGGGCATGGTAGCATACAGCGTAGCAACGTGTCTATCTCTAAAGCAAACTTCGATCTCAGCGCACATCGTGGACAGTTGTAAAGATTCCTCACCTCACAACTGTCATGCGTCGGTGATGCAGCCGCGGCTCGCGTCTTCCACAGACTTGACATATTTGTACAGCGTGCCCTGGTTGGTCTTGAGTGGCGGGGCCTTCCATTCGCGCCTCCTGCGCTCAAGCTCCTCCGCAGACACTCGGAAATCAAGTGTGTTCTTGACGGCGTCCACAGAGATGATGTCGCCGTCCTGCACGAGAGCGATCGGGCCGCCCACCTGCGCCTCTGGCACGACGTGGCCGATGCAGAAGCCGTGCGAGCTGCATCATTGCGCTCAGTGACGAATTAATTTTCAGGCGGACCGGTAGACATACCCGCCGCTGAAACGACCGTCCGTGAGGCACGCAACGTCGTGGCCGAGGCCTGCACCCATGATCAGACTCGTCGGCTTGAGCATTTCGGGCATTCCTGTGCGCGATCGGGCTCAATTAGGAAAAGCGACGTCCGGAACAGGAAATTAATATTAATTACCTGGTCCGCCCTTCGGCCCGAGATATCTGAGCACGACGACCGTCTTCTCGCCCTTCTTGATCGAGCCGCTCTCGACGGCAGCGACAAAGTCGTCCTCTGTGTCGAATGCACGCGCCTTACCGGTGAAGCCAAGTCCCTCCTTCCCGGTGATTTTTGCAACGGCGCCACCGGGCGCGAGGTTGCCACGCAAAATTCTGACAGATAGCGGGAGCACGAAGGTCAGAGAACCATGGTATACCGTGCGATGCTCGGCCGCCTACAGACCTCAGGTGGCCAGTCTCCTTGATCGGCTTTTCTAGTGGGCGGATAATGTCCTGGCCAGAGAAGGAAAGCTCCCCGTGCTCGTGGGTCCACCTCTCGAGGTTCTCGCCCAGCGTGCGACCGGTGATGGTCATGTTGTTGCCGTCTATAAGGTTGTTTTTGAGTAAATACGCCAGGATTTCTGCGGATTGGGGTTAATTCATGTCGCGGCATCTTGAAAATCACACAGGCCGTACTCGGGATGCCACCCAGCTTGTACACGTCCTCCATCACATACTGGCCACTGGGCTTCAGGTTCGCAATGAACGGGGTGCGGTCGGACACACTCTGGAAGTCATCGAGGGTCAGCTCGATACCGACCGAGTGGGCAATGGCGATCAGATGGAGGACCGCATTGGTTGATCCTCCAAGAATCATCGTCAGAACCTAAAGCGACGTGAGCACGTGCGAGCCGTCAAACTTGGGCGCTCTGCTCACCATGGCGTTCTCGAAGGCAGAGCGAGTCATGATATTCCGGGGCAGAATGTTTTTCTCGAGCAGGTTGCGCATGACTGGCCCGATGCTGCGCGCCTCCTGCATCTTCTCCTGAGATTCGGCTGGGAACGACGAGGAGCCGGGTAATGTCATTCCCAGCGCCTCGGCCGCGCTCGCCATCGTGTTCGCGGTGTACATCTGGCAGCGCCGGCGTGAGCACACGGTCTGAGCACCTACTAACTGGGGAGCACTCACCCCGCCGCACGCTCCGGGGCCGGGACACGCATGCCGGACGGTGTCGTAGCGCTCCTGTTCGGCAGCTGGTGTCTTCCCGTCCTGCAGGTACTTGCCGTACGACTGGAACGCAGAGACAATGTCCAGCTGTGGCGCGCCCGCGCATGAACCCGCCCGGATGGTGCCCCCGTACATCATGATGCCCGGGCGGTTCAATCTGCCGACTTTGGCGATCAAGAACGCGTCAGGAGATCGTGGCAAGGATGGCGATAAGTATGGCGGCACTCACGTGCCATAAGAACGCCCGGCATGTTTTTGTCGCAGCCAGGAACCACGACCATGCCGTCTAGCCAGTGCCCGCCGGCAGCGGTCTCGACTTGGTCGGCAATGAGGTCCCGGGACTGCAGGGAGTAGGACATCCCCCGCGTCCCCATGCTGATGCCATCGCTACAGTGTCCAACTCAGAAACAGCTCCTCACGACTGTTCTCAGGTCGACGAAGCGTCCGGCAAAGGCCGCAGGCCTCAGAAGCTCGACCCCTGTATTGGTCGAGGGACACCCGCGGGCTGCACGCCAAGTGCAGCTGGCGCGCGACCATTCTTATCGACCTGAGAACAGAGGTAATGGACACGAACCTGACACCGACTGTGCCGAACTGGTATCCGATGATACCAGCGTCGGTCAGCGACTTTTTTACGTCCTGTCCCAGGCCCAACAGGTGCTTGTTGCATCTGCGAGGTCGCGAACTTCAGCGCATACACGGACACCACTTGGATCCTCGCTTACGGGTTGCCCTCATACCTGGAGGCACCGTCAACGCATGTCGAGCTGCTCTACGACGCATCTAACACGTACCAAACGCTTGCCACGCCGACCATAGCCTTGTTGAAGTCGTCATCGTTTGTAATGCCATCCGTCGCGTAGAGCATGGCCTGACTCGCGCCCTGCGTCTTGGGCTGAGTCACTGTGCGGCTGTAGCGATTGAGGACGACATTCTCGCTGTGGCGCGAAGCTGAAGTCGCAAGACGTCGTCGCGAGCCGTCGGTGAGCCTGGTGAACCTGGTAGACAAGGATGTCGGTCTAGCGTGCATTTTGATCACTTGTGGTTTGCGATTCTCGATCGAGCTTGGGTGACGCGCTAACAAAGCCAGTATCGAGTCACATATTTGTCACGGGCAATTTAATTGACGCCGAAACTCCGCGGCCAATCGCGGCGAATGCAGAATCCCAGATTTGGGAGATGACAAAGACGGCGTCTACATGCATGTCAGACCGGGTTAGATCGTTCAGCACCTCTCTGTTCTGCGCATAGGCTCTCTTGGCAGGCTCGTGCATTCGGCATTCAGGACAAATACGTCGACATACATGGCAGGTGAAGCGAACTAGGTAGCGTTGTACTGTTCAGCCGAGAACAATCAAAGGCCCTCGTAATCTGTATGATTCGCAATCGAGATAGCGTTCTGCGCAGATTTCTTCCCCAGGCAACATTCGCTGCTTCTGGCCGTCCCACGTTTGATCGAATCTGCCTTGGTGACAGAAATCGCACGGTCGCATGACCGCGCATCGCCGGCGTGCTATCTCTCCTCAGAGCAACCTAGTGGGCCGCGCCCCCACGTCGCAGCGTCCCCCGGCGAGACGAGACCCAGCCTGCGTGTGCCGAAGACAAAATTCAAGGGCGCGCGGGAAAACGTTACCGGCGAAACGGCGCCCCTTGGACAAATTTGGAAGGTCTTCTATAGGAGGCTGTCGATGAAGTCAGATAGTCGATCGCGTTTCGGCTGGCTGTGACTTGTGACCGTTGATGCAGAGTTGTGGTCGTCGTGCTCCCTGGCTTGATACGGGGCGTGCACCCAACCGGTCCGTAAATTTTGGTCCCCTCCCCTGCCGCGCGCAAGGCAACGGTCGGGACGATGACGAGGCGTTCGAGTTTATGCCGTAGTAGTGCAATGTATGCAGCGCCGATAGGCGAGCGGGCGGGGTAGCCTGGATCGGAATTTATATCTCGACCACGTTTTCTGATCTACTCCGCTTCGTGGATGGCTAGCGCACTCACCGACGGCGGGGGGCGGACCTCGATGCACCACTACGCACGCCGCGCCCCTTTCGGCTCATCGCATGATTCGGGCCCGCCGACGGGGCACACGAGCGGAAGCAAACCCTAGCGGTCCGACCGTTCGCTCGCAGCAGAGTCCTTGACGGGAGCTCCCAGGTCTCCCGCCCCTCTTTACGGTCACGCACTTTTGCCCCCCTCTTTTCTTCTTCCGCGATACTCCCGTCGAATGGGCCTCTCACCTCCATTGGTTTTGTTTCCTCCGCTGGCCCGAGCGATCCCCTGCGACAGTGCTCTCTAACGGTAGTCTGCTGTCGAGCGTGGCCGGTCAGCGATGGACTCCTCGCGACGGGGTGATGGGGCGAGACAGAGCTCTCTTCCAAGCAGCTTGCACTCTCACCTATTTTCTGGGCCGCAAAGGAGCAGTACGACGGCCGCGGTCACCCCGCAGGGGATCACGCCGGGCAGGGAACTTGAGGGCGATCAGGAAGCGGCTTGGGACAGTCCGTACGCACATCATCGCAATCCGTCTCTGCGTCCTCCATCCTCCGTGTCCGGGGCTCTGACCCCCGCTACTTTCGGCGAGAGCAGCGGTAGCCCGCGCAGTCGGCCCCTTACCTCGTCCCCGGAGTCCGTGGGCACTCAGGGGAGTGGCCGCGCTCGGCGGCAGCCCATGACGACCCTACCGCCCCTCCCATCGCAGGCCCCTACGGATTGGGCTGGCTCGGACCCCAGGAACTACGTTACGCCCTATACCTGGCCGCCCCCGCTGCCCCCTGGGCATTATCAGATTCCGCCGCGGCCGATCATCGAGGGCGCAGGGGAGCCAGGGCCGTCTAGGCGGTCGCCGATTCCGCCAGGCGCAGGGGAGCCAGGGCCGACGACACAGCGACATCGGTCGAGGACGCAGAGCTTTGCCACAGGGCGACGGAGGGGAAGTCGCGATGCGGCGTTGCGCGGCCACACTCGCTATGCCACCCTTCCGCCAGCGCTGTCTACTGCGTCTCGCAGCGCCTCGGATTTGCATGAGAGGCACCTGCCGCCGTTGCTCGCCCGACGCCCAGGCCCCAGGACAGGTGATTCTCAAGGGGGGACTAGGGAATGGTCTCAGAACGATGAGGAGCTACCACCGCTGTATATGACTATAGACCCGGGATATGTTCCCCTCCGACCGCCGAGAGACTTTAGAGACGATGGGCAACCAGTTGCTCGCTTGCCGGCACATTTTCCGCGTCGACAGCCGCCAGCTAGGCACTCGGTTGAAATCGGACGATCTGAGGAACACTACACAACTTCGCCCATACCGTTACCGACTGTCGCAACAGATCAGCCGCCAGGTTATGAAGGCGCCGGACGGGGAAGAAGCAGACGAGAGTTGCACTTCCTGCTTGGCAGACCACAGCCACACTGGCCAGAGGGCGCTGATATCCCAGGCGGCATCCAAGGAAGGCAGACTCTAGAGCAGACACGGCAGGAACCTCACCTCAGCCCGCGACTCGGTCCCCCCGATCCTGAGTCCTCTGGTGAGTAAAACCAGCCAAACCCAAGTTTTGAAGACTTACGATGAGGCTCAAACAAAAAGGATGGTTGACGGGCACGCGCCCGACGGTTGGCGACCCGCCTCTGGTGCCGTTCGCTGAGCTCAATCCCCCGTGGTATGCGCAGGCACAGCCGTGGGGGGCACCGCAGCCTGACAGCCACCCCGCTGTTCCCGCTGTGCAGCTGGTCAACACGCAATATACCTACAATCCTCGAGCTTTGGCGTCCCAAGACACCCTTCCGCCTTACACACGGGAACCTTGGCTAATCCCTGGCGCACCTGTACCCATTCCGCCATTTTCTGGTGTTAGGCGTGAGCCTCCCTCGCCGGGAGCATCCGGCGATGACGGGACTGAAAGCAGCGTGAGCCAAGACAGATTGCACAAGCACATACGCGATGGACCTTGCCTTCCGACGCACAAGCGGGCCGCGCGCAGTGCTTCCCTCGGTGAGGATGAAAACTTAAAGAGACGCAAGCTTCCGAAAAGAAAGGTAGACATCGCCTGTAATTTCTGTCGGGGTAAGTGGCACCAAATGGCACAAAACGTGGCATATAGCGCTCTTGAAGCGGACCGCTGATTATATATTTTTTCTAAAAATAAAGGGCGCAAGCTGAAGTGTGACGGTAGGCGGCCACTGTGCACGAATTGCCTTTCGCGGCGTTCTCAGTGCGTGTACGTCGACCACAAGAAAACGCGGGGGCCAGGCAGGAAGAAGCTTGCAGAAAAGGGATTGCTGCCGCTGCCAGGAAAAGTGGTGGGTCCACTAGCTAAGAAGGCGCCGAGAGAAAAGCCGGGCGAACAAGCCGAAAGGAGACACAGCGAACCTCCCCCGCCGTACACGCCGGATTCTGGCCAGCCATCGGTGGCACACACCGCGCATCCAGCGGGCAATGTGGCAGCCCCAGCCAGACGCGTAGCAGAACCAGCGCATCTTACACCCGGTCGTCGAATGGGCGTGCAAATAGCAAGCCCAGCGCACCATACAGCGAGCCCAGCGCATTTTATAGCAAGCCCAGCGCACCATACAGCCAGCCCGGCGCACCATACAGCCAGCCCAGCACATCATACAGCGGGCCCGGCGCACCGTACAGCCAGCCCAGCGCACTATGCAGCGGAACCAGCTGGAGTGCAAACAGGGCAGCCAGTGGGACAAACAGCGCCTGCAGCGGACCAATCAGTGCCACAGGGATCTGTACTACGACCACCATCTCCTCCACCGATTCCCCCGTCATCGCTCCTGGCCCCCGACGCGTACGGGTTCACGCCAGAAGACATCGAGCCGCTGCCGTTTCCGCCTGCGTACGCCAACTCGTGGGAGGCCGTTCTGGCTGCTGGACACGGCCAGGAATGGCAAAGGCAACGGAGGGCGATCTTCTCGACGCATCCGTACGGGCCGTTCATCTCGGGGCACGCGACGGACGAAGACGAGCAGGCGGGGACGAGCACGATGAATCTGGACTCGGCGAAGACGGCGGCAGGCCGCGGGCGTAAACTATAGGCTTTCCGTCGCAGGGCACGACGGGCTCGCACGAGCTGTCCGGGAACAGCCAGGGCGCCCAATCTACCCCAGATCCTCCTTGCGCAGGGACCGAGGCCGTTCCCACCGTGCCTTCTCGTCGTCGGCCATTTTGACAGATGCACACATGGACTCGATTCCGGCGGTATCTTATGTTTATTTCATCTCTACTTTACAGGCGGCGCCGCGCTCTCTCCTCTCTCCGAGTCTCTCGCTCTGATGCTGCACGTTATAATGCCTAATGTTAGACATAGCATAGCAAAAGTATTATTGGCACTGTACACGCCGGCTGCGGCTGGAGCCTAGTGTATACGAATACGTAAAGCAATAATACGAGGCTACCGATAAGACGGAGCGAGGACGGTGGCATTCGCGGCGGCGACGTACGTGACCTCGGATCGCTTGGCCTGAACCGAGCGTCTAAAGCCCGGCGCGGGGCCTCGTTGATGGTGGTGGCTGATCTGGCCTGGAACACCCCACCCCCGCATCCTGCCCAGTGCCCCCTCCCGGCAATCCTCGACGTCCCCCATCATGGACGCCGTCGACCAGAGGGTCCGCCGCGACATCCGCCGCGACGCCGACGCGTACACACCCGCCACCGCCGCCACCACCGTCAAGGAGGAGCCGGCCCCCCACCGCGGCATCCCAGGCGCCCCCGCCGCGGCTAGCCTCGAGGTAGCCACCACTGGCTACACCCTCATGGTCGCAGGCCGCCGCACGGGCAAGACCTCGTTCCTCAGGCTCCTCCTCGACACCAGCCTCGTGGCCCCCTCCGCCTCCGCAGACCAGCTCCTCTCCGTCGCCAAGTTCGTCCAGGGATGCGGCGCGCACACCTCACACGTCAGGACCGTGTCCCTCGACATTGATCTCGCCTCAGAGGCCGAGGATCCGCAGCACCTCAACCTCACACTCATTGACACGCCCTCCCTCGACTTCAAAGACGACGCGGCGTCCCAGCGCACAGTCTCCGAGATCCTGCGCCACGTTGACGCCCGGTTCGCGGAAAGCGTAGAAGACGTAGGTCGCCCTCTCCCCTCTGTCAAGAGTCTATTGTCCATGTGTCTCGCCCCACAGGAGCGCAAAGCCCTCACCGGGAACCACCATGTACACCTGTGAGTGCCCTAAACTGGATCTCCGAGATAGGCAGGGCACCATCTGATTCTAGCTCGCGACTTTTGGAACCCGGGCAGCTGCATCTACTTTCTGGACCCGGAACACATAGTCCCCCCGTCGGTGTCTGCCCCCCCTGTCCCCCTCGTATCGCGAACTCGCAACAACAGCTTATCCGTGCCCGAGGCCGAGCCTGTCTTTCTCGACCCGCCCGTAACTACAAACCCTATGCTGTGTAAACCCACACTGCCCGCCGCCGACATCGCGACCATTCGGCGCCTCTCCGCACGCGTCAATGTCCTGCCCGTCATTGCCCGCGCTGACATGTTGACGAATGATCGCCTTGCAGCCGTCAAGCTGGCCATTCGCAGGGACCTGGCAGAGGCGGGCATTGGCTTTGGTATATTCGACTTGGATACCTTCACTCAGTATCCACAGTTCACCCGGCGAGATGCTGTAGAACTAATGCCGTCGCGGCTGCATTCCGAGACACCCAACGGATATGCTAACCACATGGATGGTGCTTCCACCAAGACTACTCCCCCGCCATCGACACCCCTCTCATTGTTACGCCTTCCGTTTGCCTTGATTTCACCTGATATTTATGCGCACAGCGATGGCGTCTCTAGACCTACTCCATCTCGCCACGAGCTTATGTATCAGTACTCTCCTTTGCCACAAGGTCCTCACATCAAGACACAGCTATTATCTAAAATGGGCCCCGGCAAGTTCATTCGCAGCTATAGATGGGGTTCTCTCGATGTCATGGACGTTGGCCATTGCGATTTTGTATATCTACGCCAAGCCATTTTCCATCACATGCAGGTACAGTCGATAACTACTATGTCAGTCGACATGTTGGATTTCCGCTGACTTTGTCTTGAATGGCCCGTCGTTCGCATTAGACTTTGCAAAAGTACACAAGAGACTATCTCTTTCAAAAGTACAGGCAAGAAGTGCAGCCTCCACCAAAGTCCATGCCAACGCGTGGATCGCACTTGTCCGCCCCGCCACCCCGCCTTCTCCCACTCTCTCAAGGCACACGTCCTATCCTCGCCATAGACACTACACCCTCCCAATCGACTGCGAACCCCCCCGTGCTACAAGCCGTGTCGCGCCCAAACATCTCGTTGAATGGTGACACCGCACCGTCCTCGGTAATGTCTCCCCCGCAGCCTGTGGTGTCTGAATCCTCTCCCAGAACTGCGACGTCCTCGAGTCAGTCCCCTCTCCTTTTTCAACGTTTTCAACGATGTTGGGGGTTCGTTGTCACGCTGTGTCCGCTCTCGTCTGTGGTTCCCAGAGGGTATTCCGGGGTGCGACGCTGACAAGGAGTTTCGCACACAGGGTCGCAACGATCGCGGGCTAAGAAGATCACGGTCGCCTGCAACTTCTGTCGAGGTCAGTCGAGCTGCCTGTTTCCCAGCGCTCCCATGGCTGAAAGCGCTTCTAGCTCGCAAGCTCAAGTGTGATGGTGGCAGACCCGCGTGCAGCCAGTGCTTCAAGCGGTCGGCCCCGTGCGACTACCAGAGCGGCCACAAGCGCCGGGGCAACGGCAAAGCGCGGAGGCATTACGGCGGCAGTGACAGTGAGGGCGAGAGCGTGGATGAGCTCACGTTCGAAATGGAAAACCCCGCTGGGTCGCCGGAGGTGACCTCGCATAACTCGTCACGACGGAACTCCAACGTCAGCATGCTGCTGACCGAGTCGCTCCCTCCTCTCGGCAGCGTTGTCCCGGAGCGGCGGGGCTCGTCGTCGTCGACGGTGCTTCCGCCCATTGCGCAGGCAACGTCGAGTAGGACCTCGCTGCCTGAGGCGGCTGGCCCCGAGCTTCCGCCCATTACCACACTATCTGTGCCGCCCGCACCAGCCTCCCGTGAAGATCAGAGCCAGCTGTCTTCTCTGAAGCAGGAGAGCGGTCAGATGACGCAGCGCCGGCGTACAGCGTCCGCGTCTGGGAAAGGTCGGACCGCGGGCCATGGCTCCAAAATCGTCGCGTGTAACATCTGCAGAGGTGCGTACTTCTTGCGTTGCCAGGATGTCAGCGGGGCGGCTGACGAGATGACGGCGGGCAGCACGCAAGACGAGGTGCGACGGCGCGCACCCGGCATGTGGGAGCTGCGCGCGGCGTCAGCTGCCGTGTAACTACGTGAACGACCCTTCGACGTCGCGAAGTCGGAACAAGAGCGCAGCGACGACGCCGTCTGGCCCGTCAGGGTCGACGTCAGCGCGGTCGTCCCCCTCGACGCAAATGCAGTATGGCTCCGCCCAGGAGAACATGCCGCTGACGAACGGAGTTGCACGGCGTATCAGCGCCGTGGAGACTGGGCTTGCGGACGCGAACGGACACCCCAGTAAGAAAATGCGGATGGCCGCTGAGGCCGGCCGCTCCACAGTTGCTATCGGACAGACACCCTGAGGGGGCGTCTTCTGGCTCATGGGACCATTGTAGTAGATTTCCATCCCGCCGCGTTGGTTGGTGTATTAGCTCATGCTCATCTACGTTCGTTTGTGTTTGCTGTTTTCGCTTGGGTTCAGCCTGTCTGTCTGTCGTATGGGGAAATGTAACATAGTATATATTGCTGCCTACTAGCCGGTGCTCAAGCGCTCACTTCTCGGTTTCTGTCTGCGTTCGATAAGGGCGAGGCACGGATACGCCCTGCTGAACGGGTGTTCAGAGCTCTTTGTTACCTGTGGTCGCGCGTTGAGCGACGCCTTTGGCGGCAAACACTCTGTTTTCCTTCAAGTTGAGAGCAGGACTGCTACTTGCACGGCTGAGCTCCCGACAAGGCTCGTTTAACTGTTCTGCAAGTGCTGTTGGATCTATGCAGAGAATTGCGCGGTAGAATCTGCAGGAACTGGTCGCATGTCAAGACCCTTGCATTTTCGGCCTATTCCATGGCTGTGTGCGGGTGCGGCACGAAGACGAAAAGGGCGCAGCTAGCGCCAAAGACCCGTTCGACGTTCATTGCCTTTTATGGGTGCACCTCTGCCTCTTTTGGCACTGTCGATCGCCCTCGACGCCTCCTCGGTTCACAACGTCATTTGCATTCAGATTCTGTCATCTCGTCGTCGCCACGCCTCTTTCTCTTTTTTCACACATATATAAGAACGTCGTCTTCCTCTAATGCCCGGTTTCTCCTTCTCCGCTCTCCGCTTATCCTGCTGTGCTTCACAGAAGCAGCCTACGTCTTCGCCATATAGAACGACGGTCACGCTGAGCTATATGATACATAGATATGCGAACATTACATAGAGATGTATGTGCCCGACGTACGACCCTCGTCGACGACTCTCAGGCACCTGTTGGCGCTTTCTCATAAAGGCACTGGCGGCTAATCATTTGGTAAAGTCTAATTCGCGCGCGTCCATCATCTACGGTGGCCCGCTCTCGCCCTTTGTCTGTTCGTTTCTCTCCTGCGCTGGTCGTCCACACGGGCAGCCTCCCTCTCGTCTCCTCTCACGTTCCTTAACTCTGTCCGACCCTGACTGGCCCGTGTACACCTCGTGCTAACCTTAAAGCACACTTCTCGCCATGTTCAGCTTTCGCCGCAAGCCCCGCAAACCAGACTCCGGTGGCTCTCCTTTCATTCGCACCTCTCCTTCTCTACCCGAACTCCACACGCAAGGAATACCATGGCCCGAGAATCTGGTAGATCTGTCCTCGCTCCCGCAGAGTGATGCCCCGCAAGTTCGTCCACAAGGTGCGGCGAAAACTATCTTTCCCACACAAGGGGTCGGTCCCATCGCATTCCATAAACCCTGGTCGTCCCCAGAGAAACCTCCAGGTCGGATTATCTCAGAATTCTTCACCTCACGTCTTCCACCGCCATCCGCGTTCGAGACCCGCAAGCAGCCTGTCCATCTTCGAGCGAAGCTTAGCCAACGCAAAGCGCGCAGCCCGACGACGTTCAATGTTATGGTGCGTCGTCTCAGCGATTATCGCTCCACGTTTAATATCCTTCTTTCCCAGGTCGTCGGGGCGCAAGGCACTGGGAAGACCTCATTGTTGCGACTCCTCCTGGACACTGCAGATATATCTCCCACAGCCACGGCGGATCAAAAGGCTGCCGTTGAGCGTTTTCTACGTGGCGCTCCGAGGCGTACAGACTCGATCCAGTCCGCGTGCGTGGAGATCTGCGAGTCGAGATATGACCGCATACTCCTGTCCGTGATCGACACGCCTGGCCTTGACTTCCAGGAGAGCCACGAGCTCAGGCTGGAGCGGCAGGTTACCGCCATCGTGAAGTACTTGGATGCGCAGTTCACAGATACCCTGAATGAGGTACGTATTCATTCAGCATGCGCACTAGGCTAGACATTCTCTAGCGGTACTGCCACTGTCCATCCTCGAAGACTAGGCGGTCCTTGATGGCGTGTTGCAATCAGACATCCATGATCTATTGTGGATACTGATCCTTTTATATGAAATAGGAAACCAAGGTTGTGCGTCAAAACAAAGGGGATCAGCATGTTCATCTGTAAGGCTAATTCTTTGAGACATCACACGGCTTGAGTCGACCTCTTTTGCAGATGTATCTACATGATTGATCCTAAATCCATCATGAGCACCTCTCTCAGACGCGCGCGCTCTTCCCTTCCTGCAAAGACGCCATCCGCGATTGTCGTCAACCACTCTCCCGATCTCTCTTCCTTCTCCGACGACACCACGTCGGACGAAACGAACGAAGAAATTGCGGGAGAACTGACCATGTCCCCTGCCGACATACGCGTGATACGACGCCTGGGCAATCGCGCCAATGTCCTGCCCGTCATCGCGCGTGCGGATTCGCTGACGGACGAAACCCTCGCAGACGTGAAGCGCGTTGTGAGGCGCGATTTACACAATGCAGGGCTCGACTTTGGGGTCTTCGGACCGGCTGCGGACGATGGCAAGCGCACTGAGGAGGCGGACACGAACGGCAACGGCACTGAGTCCACAGTGGCGCCTGAGAACGCGGCCGAGAACGACACTGAAAGCGAGCCCCAGGTGGAGCGCCGCTCGCGATCGGTGATCAAGCTGCGCGCGCCTAAGGTCTCGGTCAGCCGCCGTTCGTCGCGCTCTCGTTCGCGCATGAGCCTGTCCGAGCTCGCGGCGGCAGAGCGCGCGGAGCTGGACACCATGGATGCGGAGAGCGTTGCGAACGTGCGCTTCTCGGCCGGCGTCGTCGCGAAGGCTGACCTCAGCGAGAGCCTCCCGTTCGCGCTTATTAGCCCCGAGCAGGTCAGGCGACGCCGCCCGCTCAAGCCGAGCATATCGATAGACAATACTAGGCAATCGTTCCACAGTGCGGCGCTCCCGTCGGAGGACGGACACGCGCCGTCGGTCGCAGACGCGGCGCACATGTCGCCAACCACTCCGCCCACCCCGTCTTCGCGCAGTTTCCCCTACCTCACGGGCCCGCCTGCTGATTTGCGCGGCGTGTTTGTGCGGAAGTTCCGGTGGGGTGCGGTGGACGTGCTCAACCCCGAGCACTGCGACTTCGCTGCCATGCGGACCGCGGTATTGTCGACGCATATGAAGGTCTGTGTCGTGCCCGCTCGCCTGACATGAGGCTCTAGCAGCTTACTGAAGTGGCGTTAATGCAGATGCTCAAAATCCGCACGAGAGAGGTGTTGTACGAGAAATTCAGGACGGAGAAGTTGCTCGCCAAGCGCGCAACTCGCAACATCGGGGAAACCGAAACGCGCAAACTGCTCGAAGGTGAGTTGGCAACTTGAATTCGCAAGGCTCCTGATAGCGTAACTGAACATTCGCATATTTTCTCGCAGACCTCGGGTTGTGATGATACCCGCTTTTCGCATATTTCCATGTTTCGGTCTTTATCTAACGTCGAAAAAAGTCGCACTGTTTCCAGCTGAGTTCCCCCTTGCTTTCTGTGCATCTAACATTATACCTCCTTATGTTGTACCTATCTGGCCTCCATGTTTCTGACTCGCATCTGGTATAATGTGACGCTGACTACGTTGTTGGGCTGAAGTTGCTTGCAATTTGATCACTGCTCTTGTATTTCCTGGGTTTCAATTTACGAACATAGAGCTTTAAATAGAGCTTTCGGGCATGGAAGGTGAGGGAGGCCGGCTAGCTAATATTCGTACATCCACATCGGCACGCGCTGTCAAGGTTTCTTCGCCGCCATCTCGTCGATTTGTTCTTTCGACAGACCCTCAAGGCGGACGAGCAAGTAGTCGACCTATGCAGTCACGGTCAGCGTCGGCAAAGAATGTGGAAGCGGATGTCCTACCTCGATTTCTTTCGTCAATGGGATGATGAAGTGTTCATACAACTCGACAACACCGTCGACGTCTATCTTCCGCTTAGACGCATCGTCGATGAGCGCGCCGTCGGGTGCGAAGTTCAAAGCGTATAATTCCGCCTTCTTGCGGAGACGCTGCAGCAGTTTGCGCTCGACCTCGGGCTTCGTGATCAACGCATCGAGCGCATGACGATTGGGGTCTAGAATATGTGGGATGAACGCGGCGGGATCGTCTCTGAACTTGGACTCAGAGACGAATTTGCCTGTGGTACGGCATGTTAAGCAGCCGAACGACAAGGGCGGTCAGTGGTGGAGGTGTACCATAATGCACGCGTTTGCTGATCGCTTGCAGCACCTCGAGATCGAGTGTGGCCGCGCTGCCGTAGTTGCCGTCGTCTTCGTACTCCTCGTCCCCGAGAATTCCATTGGCCCGTTTCGCCGTTGCAAGCGCTAGGGTGGCTTGTTGTGTGATGCGGGGGACGATGGAGCGAGTGTAGAAACTGAGGATGGACGGATTGACGTTGATCTTGTTGGGGTAGAGTATCTGAGGGAGCTTGAGAGGCCCGAGAATGGGTGCGGGGAGCTCGGCAGGATTTGTGAACGGATATTCATCCGGGCTGCGAAGCTGTCTGTCAGTGTCCTGCTCGCTGATGATGGGACCGGACAGTCCCACCTCGTGTATCTTCGCGCTTTGGCTGCGGGTGTCTGTCATGAGTATCTTTGGAGACGACCACCATCTAGACATATGTGGGCGCACCGTGGAACGTCTCTGTCTCTTTCAGAAACCATTCGAGCCAACTGCCGGTGAACCCTGTCTTGTCCCGCAGCTCCTCGAACTCGCCCCGACGGTAGATCTTGGGATTGTGGGCGAACTGGGCGCGCTCGATAAGCGAGAAGATGATGGTGTCCTCGAGACGCGTCAATATCGATCTGATCCTATCCAGGGACAGCGGATCCGAGGTGAGTATGAAGTTCTGCTGGGTCGTCGCCATGATAGTGGTGAGGAGAGGGGAGTCTGAGAGAGAACTGCGCCAGAGTTTGCAGACGGGTCCGCCTTCTATGCGTCGAGAGATTGGGTTCTCTCAGAGCTGCAGGTCGGACGCCCCACGGGTTCGCACAGCGCCCTCCGACGCGGTCGCATCGCTGTGCTTCTCGCGTTCGATAGCGCGGGTCCTCTGGCGGGGACGAGTCAGGGCGAGTGAACTCCGCTAGCCAGGGTGGGAGACATGACGCCAAGGTGCAGCCGTCCCAGCGTCAGACAGTGCGAACGGTCTTGTCCACTGCCCACGATGATCCGGACGCACACAAAGGTGCTCTCCCACTATCTCGACGTGCGGGATGCAGCCTAATCCCCCCTTCTACTTCTACGTCCTGGCCGATCGTGGTTGACCTCGAAAGCTCAGCGGTTTGAACGCGACGCGTTCAAGTCTACTTTAAGACTTGCTGCCTCTGATATTTCTTCGACTGGACCTTACTCGTAAAGTCTCACACACATGGTTGTATGTACCGCATGTCCGAGTCATTACCGTGTGTTTTGGAACGAGGAATGAGACAGTGACTTCACTCGCACGTCATTCCCGTAATGCTTCTGTAACGAATTTCTCCAGCGGACGTCGTATTCCAAGAGTCGTCATAAGTTACACGGGGCTTCTCGAGTCACAGCTTGATGAATCAAATCTTCCCCAACGGTACTGATCATCTATGATAGAATTACACCCACCTCGAGAACTCGCTTGCGGCTTAGCTGCACCCCCGCGAGCGGACCAGCGACAATGCCCATAGCGCCTACATCTTCATGATAGTGATTGGTTGGTCGGACGGTGTATATTTGACTGGACGCCGATAAAAGATCCCGAGGTGCTCCTTATATACATTGCAGTACACTCGAGTCGTCAAGAGCACAAACACGAGCATGATCTTGGTAGGACTGTCGAAATGGTATGGTGCATTGCTTTTCCCCTCTAGGTATATGCCATCTGGAGGGCAATGGGCCCGGGAAGCAAGACATTAGGTGTCCCGTCCCCCCACCCTTCGGCGCCGACATAGAATACAGACACCGATCCTGGCGATAACGCGGTCCTACTCTATAAGCCACATTCTCTATGGAACACGCACCACCTCCATCGTCCAGAAGTCAGTCACGAGCGGGACGCTCCTTTCCCACCAGCTGATGCATAGGCAGCAAGTTGGGGCAGAACGGCACCCTCGACGTTCTCCCGGAGCCCGCAGTGCGCTATCCGGATACCCGCTGATGCACGATTGCACTGGTGCAGGCTCCCCTCTACTGCGATGGAGTCACATACGAGGAGCTATATAAACCTTGCAGCCGGGACGCGTTTACACTCACCCGGTCTGACCGTCCACCATGGCCCCTCCTGCTGCAACTCTCCCCCAGCCCGCGGCTGCCGACGAGGCCATCTTCTTCTCCAAGCTATCGAAGACAAACGGCACGTCTAACGGCACGCATGTAGACAAGAACGAGTATGATGTTCTAGAGAACTACGAGGGCAAGTACCGCTTTGCGCCCATTGAGGAAGCGCAGGTCTCCAGGGCCATGATCAAGAGGTACAGTCATGTTCAGTCCCAGCAATGAGACCCTTGCTGAACGTACGTCGGACGGACAGGTACTTCAACACGATGTACGAACGCGCCGTCTCGGACGTCGTGATCATCGGTGCCGGAAGTGCTGGCCTATCCTGCGCTTATCACCTCGGGAAGTCTCGTCCTGATCTGAAGGTGACGATCATCGAAGCAGGTGTCGCGCCTGGTGAGCACTCGGCGCATGTTTCGGAGCCCTTGTTTGAGACTGACGCGCGTTCCAGGCGGAGGTGCTTGGCTCGGAGGCCAGCTCATGACACCCATGGTAGGCCTGCCCAAAGATATCAGTACTTTACTCACGCTGACACGCGCCCCAGGTCGTTCGCAAACCGGCCGACCGCTTCCTCACAGAGATCGGCGTCCCCTTCGAGGACGAGGGCCCCTTCGTCGTCGTAAAACACGCGGCGCTCTTCACCTCCACGGTCCTCTCGCGCGTGCTCGCGATGCCGAACGTCGTGCTCATGAACGCGACCGCGGTCGAGGATCTCATCGTCCGCGAGGACTTCGCCGGGCGCCAGCGCGTCGCGGGCGTCGTCACGAACTGGACGCTCGTCGCGCTAAACCACGACACGCAGTCGTGCATGGACCCGAACGTCATTACCGCACCGGTCATCATCACCGCGACGGGCCACGACGGACCCATGGGCGCCTTCTCCGCGAAGCGCCTCGTCAGCATGGGCCTGCTCAAGGAGCTGGGCAACATGCGCGGTCTGGACATGAACAGGGCAGAGCCTGCCATTGTGAACGGCACTCGGGAGGTGGCTCCTGGTCTGATCATGACGGGTTTGTCTTGTCCTCCCTAGATTATCCGCAATTTGATCTTTTGACGCCTTTCCGCCCAGGTATGGAGCTTTCGGAACACGATGGGTCGAACCGTATGGGCCCTACGTTTGGTGCCATGATGGCAAGTGGTGTCAAGGCTGCAACCGAAGCAATCCGTATCTTCGAGTCCGCTCGCATCGTCGATGGCAAGATTGTAGGTTAAGCAAAAAGTGTAGATCCAAAGCCGTCAAGAAATAGGCAATGTATCATCAGTGTACCGCTGTACTGCCAATGAAAACACGCATCTCCATTCTGAGCCTCCATGTGTTACTTTTCAATTGTCCCATAGGTGCAACGTACAGACAACAAGACACTATAAGTGGGGACACCAATGCGTTGTCTGTCAGAGCTATTCTATGTTGTTAGCGGGCCGTGCGTAACATCGAATATTCGGACCGCATCGAGCCCTGGGAGAGGACAGACCTAGAGGGAGAAAACACTAAGCACCGCAACATAAGATAACTGACCACATAGATGGAGCTAGATGGACACTTCAGATCAAGCATAGAAGGGCGGCAGTCGAGACCATACGAGGATGGGCAGAAACCACCGACCCAGACAGAGGGAGCAGTAAATTGTGTCAAACTGACAGGCGCCAGCGCACTCAAGAAATGCACCGACGCTGGAGCGACACCAGGTATCAAGAGCCACAGTCCGAATCGCAGTGTCATTGCTGCGGGAATGTCCTTCGTAGATTGCCCCCAAATGGGGACTGCACTTTACACCCTAACAGCCCTCGACGTGGTCGCCGTGGCCGCCTTCGCCTTGACGGGCGGGGCTGCTGCTGCCGTAGTGGCCATCTTCGCCGCGCGGAGCAGTGCGCTCTTGTTTGTGCGCGGCGCGATAGTGGGCGCCTGCACACTGAGGCGCGGCTTCGGCTTCGGCTTGGCAGAGTCCGCGGTGGCCGCAGGGTCTCCAGCGGAGGCAGTTGCGGTGACAATTCCTGCGGACGTGGAAGACCGCGATACGGAGGATGAGCGACGCGAAACCGGGGGGTGAGACGTGGCAGGTTGCGTGGACGCTGCAGAAGCGGGGCGTGAGAGGGGCACCCGACCCGAGGGCGCGTTGTTAGAGGTCCTGGAGGAGGAGCGGGATGGCGTCTGGGTCGACGGGCTCTTGACTGTGAAGCGGCCTTGAGCACAGAATAAGACTGAGGACAATGCAGCGCTTACAGCTAAACGAGGACGGCGGAGCGGCCTCCTTCATCTGGCGCAGGCTCGCGCTCCGGTTTGTGCGCGGCGGAACCGTGGGCGGCTTCGTGCTCGAAACGGGAATCGACTCGCGACGCTTGTGCCCCGGCACACCGTCAAATGTCGCCCTCTTGGCGGTGGTGTCATTCGCGCTCGCGACGGTGCCATTCGGCTTTCCGTTCGCCGCGGGCACGATGCTCTTCCGCGGCGACTCTGCCGACTTCTGCCCCATTCGCAACGACGCCGCGCGTGTCATGCGTGGCGCCACCACGGGCGGCGCAGTGCTGGCGACAGTGATGGTCTCGGAGCGCTTGTGCCCGGGCACGTTCGCGAACGTCTCCGCGAGACGCTCCTTGGTCGGGGGCGCACGCTCCGCTTTCTCAACGGGGAGGCCCGCTCGCAGAGCAGACGCACGCGACATGCGCGGGACGATTGTCGGTGTAGCGATCGTGGCAGGCACGGGGCGCGCCTTGAACAGCGCCTTGCCGTTCGGCGTCTTGTCCCCCGCGCGCGAAGGGCTCGTCACAGAAGAGCCGTTGCCGCTCCCACTGGACGTCGTCTTGCGCAGCGCAGACAGCACGGACGATGAGACAGAGCGTAGCGAGCCTGCAGGGAAGCTGTCTCCGACATCAGGGAGCTCAGTTGTGGGGAACGGTGGGGATGACGCGAAGATGGCGGAGATCTGGATTTCAGCGGTGGGCCCGTCGGGGGAGCCCATAACGGCATTCTGCATGGCGGAGATCCCGTAGAGCGCGCGTAAGGAGTTGGGGGTATACTTGCGCGCGACTACCGGGTCTACGTCGCCCATGAGGGTTGTCCATACCTCGACGGCACGCCGGCGCTCGAGGACATAAACCCACACGGGACCTCTGCACGGCCAGAGCGAGGAACATGTCAATGAGGATAAACAAGCACAATAGTGACCACTGACTCGGCGAAAGACTCAAACTCGTCTCCGAACAGCTCGAACATTGTGTCGGGATCGGTTTCAATGTCAAACTCCATCTGTCTCTCCTTGACGATCTACCGAGTATGAGACACCGTGGAAACCAACGTCAGCGATGACAGATGTTACGCTAGGCATGCAAGGAATGCACCGGACCTCGAAGCCTGCCTCCGAAATGCGCTGCTCGATGTCAAAGCGGTGATCCATGGCGTGGGCCTTGATGATGGCAACCGTGCGAGTGGGGGGCAAGCTGTAGGACGTCGAGCGGGACGGGGGAACCGGTGTAGAGGGTGCCTCGACCCCTTGGGGGGTTTCGAAATGAGTCTCAGACTCGGTAAGAGGCTCAGATAGCGGCACATCGTCGTGCGGGGGCGAAGCCAGAGGTGGACGTGCCGGAGAGTGCTCCGGCGACAGGGTGAAGTCCAGAGAGTCAGACATTTCGCAGGCAGGGTAGACAAGATGTCAATATGTGTATAGTTATGTGTGAAGGAACGGTGGACGGTCTGAGCTGAGCAGACTCGGAGATAAACAGTAATCAAACAGCACCGCAGCCAGCGACCAAGAATGGCCCCGAAAGAGAGAAAAGCAGGGCGATAGACAAAAACGAGAATGAAAGCGAGCTGAAGAGCCTCAGGCCGATGTTGAAGAGGGCGGGTCGGAGGGAGGAGGATTCAAGTTGGTGGGAGTCGCTGCAGCCCGCGTTCATCTTCTCCCAGCGCGGCAGACTGGACCCGGGACACCCCATCTCTCTGCCTCAACCCCCGCCTGATGTCCACCGCCAGATCCACCATCACAGCTTGCTATCAGAGAGAGGGGGGAGGACGCCGTAAGGAGTCAAAGGGTACAGCACAAGGAGGATGTGTCTGAACTTGCAGCCGAGGAGAAGCTCGCCGGGTCAGTGCGGAAATGATGTGCAAGAATGCAAGAATCCGACAAGAACGCAGTGCGCCAATTAGCCCGGAGCAGTGAGATGATTATATATGCACGAGCAATAATGGATACAATGTCGACTGCGTGTCGGTGTAAATTAGCCATGCCTCTATGTTCCACCCTGTGATGCCATGTTACGAGCTGCCCGCGCTCGCGCCCCTCGACCGCCACCACTTCCCGACCTTCTCGGCCGAGTAGCGCACGCTCTTGACGAGGCCTGCGCTCACTAGGCCCTTTGCGCTCTGTACCGTCGACGAATGCCGCACGAGGCTGTAGATCTCTGCAGCCGCGGTCAGCACAGCACAACCACGCACAACGCGATGTCACGTACCCCGATCGATGACTTGTGGGAGCTTCTCGTCTCCCGCGAGCTTCGTCCAGTATACACTCTCGTCCGCCTCTTTCGGGGGCATCCCGCCCGCATAGTGGGCCGTCACGCCCTTGAGCAGATTCGACGGCAGCTTGCGCAGGTGCGCCGCGCGCGCGTGCGCGCTCGTGTCCTGTTGGATCGTCTCCATGTGCGCGGGCCAGTGCACGCCTGGCAGCGCGACGACAAGTCTGTGGTACAATTCGTGGAATTGCGCTTGCTGCCGCGCGACGATGTTGTCCACCTTGCTGCGGTTCTCGCCGGGTAGCGCCATCCGCACGTCGCCTGTGTAGCTGAGCGCAGCGATTCGCGCAAACAGCTCGCGTTGCGTGAACGTCTCGGGCAGCGTCAGCAGCGCCGTGCGCACCGCTGATGTCAGGTTGACTTGCTGCGTAAGCCGCACGCGCGCATCGTCCTTGATGATGCGCACGGGCTTGTGCATACGCCCTGCAAGGTACAGCGTGCGCCAATTGAGCAGATCTGAGCACATGTTGTCCACGGTCGTTACACCGTATTTGATCGTCTGTTATGAAGCGTGTATAAGCGTCATTGCACAAAGCATGGTCCAAGAAGCCTTCCGTGGGAGAACATCAAGAAACGGGTTGATGGTGTATCATTCTCAACGTATCCTTTGAACAACAGTCCAACACTGTGACCTATGCGGATACATGCGGATGCCAATACTTCATCAGACAACCCGACATCATCTCCAAAATGTGATAGAACCCTCGGTATCTGCAACCCCTTCATGCCAGTTGTGTATAATGTATGTATTCACAATGTGAATAGCATGTTGTGTCGCCCACAAGACTGCTAAGGAGTTGTCGGAGAAATACATCCGACGCTCTAACCCCGATATAGGGTTTGCGATAGGGCACTGCGGGGTTAATGAAGTCGATGCACCCGCAGTACATCTAGTACAATGCTGCAAGGAATCCTTTGTAACGAATTCTTGAAGGAAACATGAGTTCGGAAAGTACAGTCAATCTCGACCGGCCCACCGGCCATTGAGAGTACCGGTACGGGGTAGTAGGACAAACCCGTCCGAAAGGGCAGCGGGAGAGTACGGATGGCCCAAGACACTGAGCAGCACCCACCGCTGCAACACGCCTGTGAGGCAGTAACAGCACATCTGCGCTTGGGTGGGAATGAGGTCGCACGACATAGAGGTCTTCCACGGAACGCTAGCGAGAGACTGAGCAAGGAGGACTTACGACGCCATCGACTGGGACATGCGTGTTGAACCATACGCCAGGGCTGATATCCTCCACGCGCGAGACAAAGCCAGAGCCAAGGACCCGCGCGTGCAGCGGGTAATGTCCCGGGAACTGGTTCATGTTGATCGAGTGCCAGTGCGCGGTGTGCGTGACGGCGAACATGAAGTCGAGCATCGGCTTCTCGTTCTGGCCGTAGCCGTCCTGCTCGAAGACGCCGCTGCCGTAGGCGAACGCATACCGGATGGGCGCATTGAACTGGGCGACGATGCTCTCGAGCAGCGCGCGCGTGGAATCGGCTACTGGGAGAAGCTGGTTGCGCCCAAACGACGGGGGCAGATGTGCGAGGGCCTGGCGGCGGGCAGGCCTGTGTGCGGGGCGGGGAGTAGGGCCGAGAAGTGATCTTGACGCAGGCTTAGGGTGCTTGGACGGGAGCGGGGGTGGGGGAAGCTGCGAGCCGGCGGAGACGGTCTCGGTGGAGAGCGAGCGAGCGACGAGGGTGAGGGGGCGGCGGACGCGGGCAGTGGTCGAAAGCATTATGATGGTGAAAGAAGACTAGGTGTGAGTGAAGACTGATGATGGGGAGAGCATGAGTTGGTGAACGTGGGCAATGGCGAGCACAGTGTCGGCGACCCTCGGCGGTCCAGCGCAAGTCACGGGCCTGCACCCACAAGCGCCTACTTCACTCCATGGCACGCGCGCACCGTGTGGGATCCGCAATAATACAGCATTACTAGATAAACATCGACAGCTAGCGACAGTAGTAAGTAATAAGAGACCCAGGGTCAGTTCTGCTCCCGCTCTCCTCAATTCACCCCGCTCAATACTGAACTGATGCTGTCATTACGATGTCCATGCCTCCTTCGTCCCTGCGCGTACCCTAGGCTTATCGCTCGTGCGCCAGCCTCGCGCCCGATGCTTTGCTTATTGCTAGCAGTCGCAGCGTCATCATAGCCATTGACCTCGATTTTCGCAGGCTTCGGCGTGCTTGCCGATTTTGAGCCTAGCCCTCCAAGGGCCCAACCTGCCTCTACGCCGCGACGCACACTCCACAACCATACCAGCCCAAAAACGGGAGTCGACACCAAAACATTCAGCACGGGGAACAGGTCCGGATATCGCGCCGGTGGCGTGAAAAGGGCCTCGAGGATGTGCAATAACACACATGTACTATGGACCCCCTATAAAACATCGCTTAGTATCATTCCATGGAGAAATGTGTCAAAGAGACGTACGAGAGCGAGGTACTGCAGGTAGGACTTCGATGGTATGCGGAATGGGTTATATCCAAGCAGGCGATTCCACAAGACTGTGAGCGCAACATACGGCACACCCAGCCCATCCCTTTGCAACAATGGCCACATGCTACATCATATGTCAGCTCAAGCCTATGTCATCGAAACTACCTCCAACAAACCTGAACATAGCGACATTGCTCGCCAGAGCGCCCACCTCCCGTGTCTCAGACCCCTCACCTGCGCCGGACAACAGTAGCGTGAGCGGCATCAACGGCAGGAGGATTGTCTTCTCGTGCACCTGGAACGAGAAGAGGAAGAAGGACATGGATGACGTGAGCAGCGCATATGGGAGCAGCGCCATGATCGGCGCCGGCTCCCTCACCGCTGCTTTCCTCACGTCGCCCGTGTCCTTGTCCCCCTTCATCGAGTCCACAGTCACAGGCTGAGGATTCAGCCTCCATCCGCTGTATAGCAGCCCTGCAGCACCGGGCAGAAATCCGAGCACAGTGAGTGCAGTCGCAAGGCGGACAAGTGCCTTAGGTCCGAGGCGCCTCCGCCATTTGATCAGCACGTCGCTCGCGCACCAGAAGTTTGCAACCTTGTCCTCAAACAGACCACGGTTGAATGGAAATATCCGCGTGATGGGATCGAGGATGGCTGCCAAAGGAGCAAGCGGTGGTAGGAAAGGAAGAAAGAGCACGAGAGTTGTTAGGCCGGTGACTACTGCCAAGTTGACAAAGTGTCTGGGACTGAGTAACCTTCAGTATGTTGGGCGCGCTGGGAAACGGGCGCGATTTCCTACCCGTGAACGGATCCGAGATACAAGCATTTCCCTAGGAGATACGAGCCGATAGCCGGTGCATAGTAGAGCGCCATTTGCTTGAATCCAAGACTTAAGACAAAAAAGAATGCACCAAGCAGATCACGGCCGGTAGCGAAACAATTCAAAGCAAGAAGAGTGAGTCCTATTAATGTATTAGGTATTGAGCAGAATAGAGTCTCTGCGACATACCCAACATGACCGAGTTATATTGGAAGTGACCGAAATCGACTACCAGCAGTGCGGGTTGGAGGAGCAAAGTGAGAAGAGCTGTTTCCTGCGCCCGAGGTCAAAAGATTAGACATGGGTAGCTGGCATATATATTTACCTGAGTCCGAAACGATCGGTTGGCGTGCCATGCGCGCACGAAGAGCAAGAGAGCGGGAAGATACACGAGTGTGTCTAGTATGAGCACGGTCGTACGCATGTATACTTTGCTGCCTTCGCTCTCGATCCCACGCGACGCGTCGAGCGCAAACCAAGCTGGGTTTATCCAAGACCCTCTGCATGCCACTGCCCGTCAGTACGCGCGAGCTCCAGAAACGCACTAGAACATACACAACACCGCACAGCCACGAGACGTATGCAGTAAGTGGTGGATAGTCGAGGCCCCAATACTGCAGGTCATATTTGTACCACTCGCGCACAGGAAGATGGATGGTGAGCTCCATCCAGTGCCGCTGGGCTTCGTAGTCCCCGTACATAGGCGGCGTACCCTGTCCTAAGCACCTTGTCCAGTGAACCTCCAGACCGATCGCGAAAGCAGCGCGACTAACCAGAATACGAGCTCAGCCCGACGGCCCACTTCGCCCCCACGGATCCGAGGACCGCACACGGGACGACCCAGGACTTCATGCCGTGCTTGTGCATCCAGCGAACCCACCGGCGCGCCATGCCACCATGCTCGTGCTCTGCCTTGCGCTCCGCGCGTGCAGCGTTCAACGGCGCGCTCTGTTCCATAAGGGAGCCGAAGCTGATCCGGTGGCTCAGACGGCGGCGTGCGGCGCTAGGACTCAGACCACCTGAGCTCAGTGAGAAGGGTGACACGGGACGCGACGAGGACACAGAAAGGGTTGGAGACCCGAGCCAGTCTTGGCTCTCAGCGGCTTGCAGGATGTGGTGTCTTCGCGGGATTGGGGCAAGTATCTCCTGTTCCGGCCTAAGAACGCGTCGTATTCGGATTACCCTTGTACTAACAGGATGATCATGATGGCGTACCCATTATAGATGACGTTCGCTGCTTGCGGAGGACGGTTATAAGGGACGGGCGTTCTCAAGCGCAAGGGCCGACTTGTGACCGAGGACGACTGAGAGGAAAACGAGGTGGTGTGTTTACGCGTTCGATGCGGTTTTGAGGAGGATGAAGACCCTTCTGGGGGTAAATGAGTAGACGACTCCTCCATGTAGTGCCAGTCAGTGTTGTTTGTGGTAGAAGCAAGCAGATAAGCGCCTTCGCGAAACAAGGTTAACAAGTAATAGACTTTCCTTTGACAGCAACTCTTACTTATGCATATAAATGCCATTATAAGTACTAGTAAGCTTTGTAAGCAAATATAGGGATGACGCTTTCAGATTCCTGCTGCTAGGAGGCCTCTTCCTCAGCCCCATTACAGCAACGTGAACATGGGTATGATGCTTCCCCCACGAGACTCGCCCGCCGAGCAAGTTCGCACTTTGATGGCCCGTAAGGAGAACATAGAAGCAGAGCTCGACGCGCAGCTGTCCATTCTGCAAGCTAATTCCTCCACCATGAGCTCGCCCCTCGTTGACCCAGAAGGGTTTCCTCGCGCGGACATTGATGTATGGGCCGTCCGGCATGCGCGTGTGCGCATCATTGAGCTCCGGAACGATCTCAGTGCGCTCAGGGACATAATCATGGTCGCCCTGCAAAATGTGTACGATCCTGCGGCAGTCGTGAAGACGGAGCGGTCTCCTGCACAAGAAGCTCCAGCACCCACAGATGGCGGTTCCTTGCGTCCGTTTGCAAAGGTGAACGGTGTGGCCCCAAATAGCCCTGCTGCAGTCGCAGTAAGTGCGCCTACCGAAGACGTTCTTACAATCGCTCTAACTGCATGTTAACATAGGGTCTCATAAGAGACGACCTCATCCTCTCTTTCGGCTCATTAGTACATTCTTCCTTTACCGCATCCTCCCTCCAGCCCTTGGCAGAGCTTGTCGCAGCACAAGAAGGGGTGCGTCCAATCTTAGCACATCCTCTCCGGCGTAAGAATGATGTATTTGGTTCGCAATTGTAGAGCGAACTCTCCGTGCAGGTGCTGCGAGCTCCAGGACAGACCGTCACATTGACATTTGTACCTCGGAGCGGCTGGGGAGGAAGAGGACTGCTAGGGTGAGTTGGCTCATGATGTTTCACGATTATCGTGTCTTCTGACAGCATCTCTAGATGTCACATTGTCCCTTACACAAATCAGTAGATGCAAATGGTACATGCTGTTCTACGTTCGTCTCCTCGATTATAATTATGTATGTCTCCCAGTGTACAAGTGTGTATCAATAGTCATGATTGGCACATATGGTTGATCGCCATGTATCTCCTAGTCACCCTGCGACCTATAGCGAATATGCAAGACTTATATTCGGTATTGATATGTAGACTGAGCCATAAGATGTCCTACGTTCCGTCGGGAGCCATCGGGCAACTCCTTCAAAAATGCCCCCGCTTATTTTCATCAGTTCAACGCTTCTCTGGCGGCCGTTGCCTGCGGGATCATCAGCATCCGCCGTGAGTTGGAAGAAGCGCGTTGAGGCGAATGTGAGCTTGCTCTAGTACATCTTATGCAATGCCGCATGTACGGACGAGTTGTAGTTGAATTGAACGCGCATCCATGAAGCGGGGCGTGTGGCCCGCCGGCACCTCGAGCACAGCACGGCTCATTAGGCTTGCGATGTACGCATACCCACTAAGAACGCGCCGCCGGTCTCGCCATCCGTGGTGACGCGAAGGATAATATTCGCTGCGACCCCATATTACAATGCATACAAAGATCGCTCCACCATGCTTTCCTTCCGCGGCGTGCAGGTGGCAAGCCTTCGTGTTCTGGAGGAAGTCACCGACATCGCTGTAGTAATCAGGGATGTTATTAACTTCCACCACGTTTGAGTTCAATTGCCATAGTCATTGAACTCGATCGCACCATAAACGAGAACGCAGCCCTTGCAATTTCAAGGATAGGACATCCGACGATAGAGGAAATTCAGAACACTTGAGTAACATGATGAAACTGTTCCGCAGGGATGCAGCCCTGTGAATCGAGCGTCCAGGAACCTTGCACTAGCCTTTCTACGGGAGTGACGATCCACTGGCGACGGACGCGGCACGACAGTACACGTCGCATCGTAGCCAGGATACCATCCTCCGACCATCAAAAAGGGCGCTCTGTTGCAGGCTGCCTAGGGAAGACTAACTGTTTGTGGACGAGAGCCGGCTGAGCTTTCTCGTCTGCAGGAGCTTGTGGCGCCATTGGGAGCAGGCCACCCACGTATGGTCTTTCATAAAGCGATTGGGGCATTTCACACTCGATTGGCGCAAGCTGAGCCTCTTACGACGATAAGCGATATGGTCACAATTTCTGTCAAGCCCATATGGCTACAGCTACGGTGCGTAGTCTATGCCATCTGTACACCCCGACTGCACGTACACATCGGAATGACGTGGCACTGAGCGCACGGACCCGACAGGAACATGAATCATGATAAATTTGAGTGCACTGTGAACACCTACATACCTGTTTTATTTACAGGAGGGTAGGTTCTAGCCTTCTAGAATATTTGTTGTCTCCTGTAGGCAGACTTTAAACATTGTCCTTATTTTGTATTGGGACGACGACACAAAATAAAGGAGTATTTGTGAGTCGGAGCGATATGGCTAATGTCCACACAGCCATTAAATCGGCGGTACGTGAGCCGCGATTAGTAGAGGTGGAGGGTATCGATGTAACTTTGTTAGCAGCGTTTAGGAACAAGTTGAACTCGGATAATAATGATGTACGGCGGCAGTACGCAGGCAGTTATGTAACAAGACAAAATACAAGCATCGATGCGGGTCAGTTAGGGGCGTTTCTATGTCTGTATCGTAGACTTGAGACAAAGAGTCTACAGCAACATGGCGCAGCTGGAAGCGCGCGGGGCTCATAACCCCGAGGTCACTCGATCGAAACGAGTTGTTGCTATATAGGGAGTTGAGTACTCATTTTATTCTTCAGATTCTCTTGAGATATTGATTCTTGATTGTAACACAGTTTGCACTGCCCAAATGTTGGCATTACTGAATTACTTTTCTACTGAGCCGCGACAATGAGAACATCGATGAGTCTGCCAATAGAACTCATGTCGACGCTGTCCAATTTGTGTCATCGTTCGACATGCCTGCCAATAAGACGCAGCATTTGATGAGTATAAAAAGCGGGGCAGAGGGTACTGTATATCATGTTGTTAAGTACAAGAAAAGGATACTGTGGGACATTATATCACCTGAGTCTCATGAGGAGTAATACCGCACACAAGCGCGTAACGCATTCGGCTTTGAGCAAAACACGTTGCGACGGAGCTGATTCTATAAACGTCCACGACAGAAAGGTGAACGATGAAGTGGTGATCCCAGCTCTGACGATTCCTGCCCAGCTTGGGAGATGCCGTATGTAATACGGTAGTTGTCTTCGAGCCGTGATTCAGGAGAGTGTCGAGCCCTCTGCACATCGCGTGCGACCTCCTCCAGGCCGTGTTCCTCGACCCACTTTATAAAAACGTCCGCATCTGTGCCACGAGTTTCTTCTTGTGCGTTGAATGCCCATATAGCGTGCTCAAGAAGACACAAACTCGACGCGACGTGACAAAAAAGGAAGAGCGCAGGGCGGGGGCTAGAGGTGGCATGGGGACCGCATATACGGCTACGAGGTCGCTTAGTGCCGCCTGTACAATCATAAGAGGAAAGGAAATAGTGGAGCGCAAGCAGGCGGGACATGATGCAAGCACACGGTCTGCCCACTAACTCAACTGTTGGTATGCTGAGACCTTAGTACAAGGGAAGCAGACTTACGGAAATGAAGGCCTTCAGAGCGGTTGACTTCTTGACAGCCCTGACGAGATCCAGAGACAACACAGTGATGGTACCTTCCCAGATCTTCTCGACCAACGCGTCCTGGATCATTTTGCAACGGGGACACTGGGTCGGCTAATGCCATGCGATGCCCATAACGCTCATTATGACGCACCTGCCAATCTCGTTCTCTGACATGTAGCCAGCCCCTCCGAGGGCCGCCATGCATTCTTCCATAGCGGTGCACGCCTTCTCGGCCGCGAACGCCTTGATGGCCGGTGTCAGGAGCCGTAGCCGCAGTGCCTCCTCTTCGTGGGCGACGCCACACTCCGTCTTTCCCAGCAGGCTGATGGTGCCGAATAACATATGCACGAGCGCGCGGTACAGCACCGAGACCTTTGCGAGCTCGGCTACATGCAACGGCGTGTCCTTCAGCAGCTGTGCGCCGCCCTTGATCGCGCGTACTCTCGAATACGCGGTCACTATCGCCAGGCATCTGCGGAGACTTCCGACAGACGTTGTCGCCGAATGCAGGCGGGTGATGTTGAGAACAGGGGTGATGAGCTTGACTCCCTGGCCAGGCTCGCCGATGAGGTACCCCTCGGCGCCCTCCAGCGACAGCTCGGCCGTTGGCAGAGCCTGCGTTCCAACCTTGTTTTTGAGCCGATGGACGAAGACGTTGTTACTTGTTGACGGCGGGCGTGGAGCGCCAGGCTCGCGGAACATTGGGAGACGCAGAGGGACCAGGAACAACGATAGCGCGCGGGAGCCGTCTGCCTGAGAGCCCGTCCGGGCTAGAGCGAGCGCAAAGTTGCTATCAGTCGCGCTCGAGAACCATTTGAACCTGTCAAGCGTGTACTTCTGTCCGTAGTGACTAGGCGTGGTGGAGGCTGTTTCGGGGACGGGAGACGCTAGTGTTTCCGTCAGAGATACGTCTGAGCCTCCGGCGCGCTGTTGACTGTGAGATGATTATGATCATTGAAGGCGTCAATTACTAACCTCTGTCATCCACTGTCCCGCTGTGAACGCCTGGGAAGGATCGCGACTTAAGTACAAGAGATCAGCCCGGCAGCTACCCGACATGTGCAGCGCCCAGTGGATACCTTGCGAGGCGAGGAAGGACATCTCTTTTCAGAAGCATATCACCTACGAGTTCTATAACTGTGCAAACGACATTGAGCTCTGGCATTACTCAGTCATGATTGTACATAACCCACCCCGGGCACAACCATCTGTCATGCTCATTGGACAATTGATCTATGTAGGACGTGTCATTCTCATCGTTACGAATGATGTGGCCATTAGCAATGTCACATACCACTTGCGAGTCGCCTATAGCAAGCAAGATCTTTGCGAATCCATGTGCACGACTGAATTCTCGATTTCTCCGTTCGTAAAATATGCCTACAATGCCTTCTTCTTGGAATAATGCTTTCAGGCCGCGCCAACCCTCGGAGGTCTGCAATTCATCTACGCGCTGTCCCCATTGGTTATACTGTACCAGTCGAGGGGGTTCAACAAGCTGACTCAAAACCCTCATTCCTATTCATTCTGATTAGCAGGCCCCATTTGATAGCGGTTCAAACTTACGAGTCTCCACGATATCACCGAAGTGTATAAGATCCGCCTCGACATCTTGAAGAACGGTCGGAGGAAAGAGCCGTTTCAGAAGGCCCGGCAGAGCAGGGTCTGTCGTGTACGGATGTCCTTCCACGAATGAAGCCTGGAGACATTAGGAGGCCGTGGGAGTGATAATGGCATCGCTCACAGGCTGGAAACCCTGTTCGATGCGCATCGTATCTACTACCAGGTATGACACGAATATTCAACTCCAATAATGTGAAGCCCGTCCATGACAATCAAGGCGGCCTCGCAGCGGATGAAGTTGCGCAGAACAAAGAGCATGACACCTGGACGCCCACCCGAAATCTCCCATTGAGGAGGAGGATTGGCGCAGCAGGTAGCATGACCATCGTAAGTCTTCCGGAGCGCCTCAGAGTTGTCTTCTGACCAAAACTGAGATCCGGCGATCGTGATCGAGACAATCGGTGCAATACAAATACGGCGTCTCCCAATTTCGTTTAACGTGTTGCCGTCAATGCATTGTTTCCGGAAAATGTATGCCAATAGCGAACATAGGCGTTGGACTCATATGTATGATAAGTCATTACAGAAGCTTTAAGATCTATGTATGGCCCCAAACCTGGGCGCCCATGTCGCTCATGGATTTCGATGATTATCTACACAAGTACTCGTGTTCTACATTCTTCAGTTCGCACAGCGAATCTATCGTGCAGCCACTCTGGGAAAATAGATACCAACAGTAGGTCTAGGTCTAGATTATTGTCCGAGATGACTCAAGAATCCCAGATTGCGCCAAAAGCAGGTATGCCACGGCTCATCATACCATATACCACCTTCTCCGTCAAAGGCTGATTGGAGATGATGACCACAGCTTCTGCATTAAACTCGCGCACCATGCGATATGTAAGCTTCACAAGATCAGGCCTTCCGTGTTCACGCGTGTCTGGACAGGTGTCAGATCAGCCGGCAACCCGTCTCTGATGTGCACCATGACGTACCATATATCACGGACTGCGGAGCAGCTTCGAGCAGCGAGTCCACCAATTTATCCCCGAACGTCTTGCGCACCGCGGGGGCCGTCCACAGCAACTGGATCTCGGTGCGTTTGGCAAAGACAACGGGCGCGATGGGTCCGATGCCACTCCCTGTCGCGACCATGACCACCCGTCGGAAGAGCGGCGTCACTCTGACGACACCGTAGCACGGAATACCTCGGATCCATATCTTGTCTGGCGGGTTGCCGATCTGCTTCTTAGTCCAGTCGCCCGCTCTGGAAACAACAGCAGAGTAGCCCTTCTTGCCAGGCTCGGATATAGTCGCGAACGAGTGCCATTCGAGCAGTGGGTCCAGCGACATGCGCGTGAAGTGTCCCGGGTGGGTGTCAACTGAGCGAACAGCTGTCTCAGAGTTGATGCTACCGCCGAGTAACTGAGCACGCACCGTAATCAAAGTGGAGTCTGACACAGTGATCCGAGAGCACCTCTGAGCGCACAGGGACCTTGCGAAGGCGAAGCCAGGGCAGGATGATGGAACACGTCATGATCAAAACAAGCCAGAACGGCGCAGTGTGTACAACAGCATAGCCAAGCTTCTCTCCCGGTGCGCGATAGTCGCTCGTGAGAAGGACGACCTATCATGAGAAACGTTAGCCTCTGTCATACAAATGGAACAAATGTTAGGCCCACCTGTGCCCACACAAGAGCAACTGCAAGCCATCCAGCAAACCGATGGATAATTTCGAATGCATCATGATGGTCGACACGAAATTTGGGATAGGCGAATATAACCATAGCAAGGAGGAGTGCCAAGATGACATAAGAGACTGCAAGCGTAGGGACAGTGACCTGCATGAGGAGTGATTAACGCTTGTTCTGACGTCCTGCTGTGAGAGACCCACGTTCTCCTTCTTGATGAACTCTCTAGTCGCCTGCGCGACGAATAGGACCAGCCATACGGTTCCGCTGACTCCGGCCCCCGAGTGAACTACCGAAGACGCGTTAGAGTACAGATATGGATAACGTTGCAAGCACAGACTCACTTCCACCTATGGAGTAGACTCTTGCAAGGATACGTCTAATCCACAATGGCCAACTAGGGACACGGTGAGTGCAGGATCGTAAATATAGTACCCGGCACCTACGACTGTGGAGCCAAGCAAGCAACGGTAAAGAAAGCATTTATCACGTAGTCCTGCCGCATCAAAATCGCGGTGAAGAGATTCCCAATAACGACCTTGCCAAGCTGGTTCGCGTTCGCGCCCTTGACGCAGTACCAGATGAAAATGCCCATGTTCGTCGCGAACACGATACCGAATAGCCTGCGGTAAAGCGACATGATTTGGAAGCGTAGGTTGCGCACGAGCCAGCCCTGCGTCTTCTCTGGCAAGACGTCGTCCTCAAATCCTTGCCATACCTCGCCCTTCTCGTTCATGGAAGAGGTATCGCTCCTCCTGTCGGATATGGAGGGCGGCGCGGTCGTAACCTGCACGACCGCCTGCGTGAGGTCGACGACCTTGGACTTCGTCTGGATCTGGTAGATCGGTTCCGGGGAAGCGAGCTTCTCGCTGCTACCCCTCGGCGTCTCATCGACGGCGAGCTGAGGTTTCTCCTCGGCAATAGAAGAAGACGAAGATGCCATGATTCGAGATGGAGTAGAAGAGAGAGAGCTGGCGCAGAAGGATACGAGGAGCACTTCGAATGCTGGAGAGGACTACACACTGATGTCCTCATGATATACGAAGTCATGGACAGCAAGAAACAAATATACCAAACCACCTCGATCCGGTGCCCGGACGAGCGACGCGACAGGTGCACTTGTCAACAAGTCACGACCACTGCAGACACACTGAGAGTGAGAGAGCGCCGACACCAGTCAAAGCACACTTATGCGAATCGGGCGTCACAACCGCGCAGGCGGACGTCCGTTCAGAATGATGCGCCGACCATGTACCGGCTTCTCTGCGTACAAAGCCTGGAAGGCCTTCATGATTGTACCGCCCCATAGAGCATCAAGCGCAGGAACGGAGATGATAACTTACAAGATGAAATGCAGAACTCAGGCAGAGCACCACTCATTGCATACGTTCTTTGCCATTGTCTGCCGCCGACATAGGGAGGTGCGCTGCTTGTTTTCTGTTCGGAGTCCAATAATGTTCAATACGCCTTCAGGAACATACCGTTTGCAGTGGTCAGGGACACCGTGTCCATCCAGCGCGCTCCGGAGAGTGCACGGGCTTTGCAACTTACCGGCGCTCTTGGCATGGAAGCCAAACCGCCGATCGCAAACTCTCCGTAGCTGTGCCAATGCAGTATATCAACGACATCGGGAGATTTGCAAGTTCCTCGTTGGATGTAAGGCTGCTCGCGACTTGAAGATGAATTATTCTAGAGGAGAAGGCTTGTATGTGGAAGTGCTTCGGCCGAATCTCCTCATGGCCGTAAGCATACTCTAAGAGAAAATATACTCCTCCGATAGTCAAGACAGGTTGGTGATTGAGTGGTGGTCGGCAGGAGATCTGTGCCGCGGAAGGGAGACGCGCGTCAAGCCTCAATGAATCTCAAACCTCAGATCTGTCATTGAGAGTTCATTCAGTCCGCTTGATATCGCTATTACTCTGTCCCACGCACCTTGTTATCGGTACCGGGCTAGCTACAATAGCTAATCCAGGTAGATTCTTTATCTGAACCAGCGTTTGGGAGCTGCCAGTATGCGCTCAATCTTGTCTGTTTCTGTAGACTCAAACTGATGTGCTCCAATCCGTCGAGTTCAGACGGACCCTTCGAGATCCTCGAGAGGAACCCTTGGGCTGTGCGAGAAGATATCAAGATACCTACGCATCACGCCAGTTCAGACATCCTTACCGCTCGTACGTGTCAAAACCCGCGTATCAGCTACACGTTTAAACTTGGCAGTGGGTCATTGCGGTTGTATAGCGGGCATTGTTGCAGGGTTGCAACGTGGCTCGAATAGTACACCCCATGCGAGTTATATTACACAGACCTTGATAATGAATTTGCACCGCACGGAGCCCGAAGCCTGTACGCAGATGCACATGCCTCGTCGTCTGCATTACAACAGGTATAAGATTCTGTCAATAGTCCTGTTAGTGTGCGCCTTGCGGTATTTGTATATTGATATCTTGTGATTTCATATACGTAGCGTAATAGACTGACAAGAAAGCAGCGTGCAGGGCGAGGCCTGCTCTGTAGATGAAAGAGGTGGCAGATTCGTGAGTATTTCTGAATACAGGCTCAAACGGGATGCCGCTGCGGATGTGCGACGATAAGTGAAAAACAGGATAACACTATACCATACAGAGACAATGACGGGCCTCTTCCCATCACTGAGACACGACAGACGCGCGGCACTGTGCACGGAGCCCGGTTGCCGGTTCCTTGAGATTTGTACATGTCGTACCAATTCTGCCGCTCAGTTGCTCTGAAGGTAACGTGGTAATGACATGCATATGTCAGTCGGATCGCGCAGTTTTTCTTAAAGACTGTACCTGTGTAGTAGTGTACACGTATGACGCTCGAGAGGGTATTCATTGGAATAGAGGTGAGTGAGGGCATTCATAATCTCGTAGACGAGGGAAGTGGACTTGAAAGCAGAGGCAGGACGCGACGCGACGCGTCTCTGTATGCACGTGATGTGTCGCGATCGCGCTTCCGATCGTGTCCGCCTGCCACCCACCAGCGCCCTCGCTGAGGCGTCACATCTTGGACAAGGCTTGCCCTCTCTTATCGTGTACTTTGCACAGATGGCAGCTTGTATGCGCTTTACCAGACGCGTTAGTCTCACTATACCACCTTGAAATGATGACATATCGTGGATCTGAAACAGTGCTGTTAGGTCTGGAAGTCATTCGTAGACAACAAGGGTGCGCCCCAAGTCTCTATCTTGTCGAGAACTGTAGTCTGAGCTGGTCTGTGGACGTGTGTTTACTGTTGACATGCGCATGCAGGACACGACCAGCAGTGCTTCCCTAATGTACGCTTGGGCGTTCCAACAGTCAGACGTCTGCCTCGCACGTGAAGCTGAGTACAGTTGACTAACAGCTCAAGATCCTCGAGGCGAAGCCTGGCCTCCTCCGCGCGTCGCTCAAGATCGAACCCTACAACTGTACGCATCCTTCTAGGCTGAAGCCTTATCGAAATGACTTGCTGCTGATGGAATGTTTCCCCCCATGATGGACCAGTGAACCGGGTCGGAGTGAGAATGCATGGTCTGCATAGCACAGCTCGGCGGTAACTGAGGAGTGGTTTGTTCCAGACGGTCCATGGCGGCCTTATCATGTCCTTGACTGATACTGCGGGCTCGCTGGCGGTGGCGACAAAGGGTCAATTCCTGACAGGTGTGTCTGTCGACATCGGCACATCATTCGTAAAGCCGGGGGGCCGCGCCGGTGACGAGCTTACCGTCAGCGCTGTTGTAACGGGGATGGGTTGGTCTCCATCTGTACGTCATTTGCTATGCGCCCAGCTGATCATTGAGAATTGACAGGGCGTTCGCTTGCATACACGCGCGTCGAGTTCGTCAACGCGGCCGGACAGCTTGCAGCCTATGGTCGTAAGCAATATCGTATCTCTCAAGATATCGCCGAGACTCATTGTCCCCGCCTGTATCACAGATCATACCAAGTACATCGGCAAGTCTGCAGGGCATGAGGTTTGTTCTCACGCCCATTCGCCGTGTCTTGGTTTACAGTAACGGCTCCTAGAACGACGTCAAATTCTCCGACGATGGCGAGACAGTCATCGAGGGCAAGGACGTCGATGTCGACTAGATGCCAGGGAATGACGCTATCTAATGGATGTGCTACATCTGTATGTGGGCCTGGATAGAAGTTCTTCCGTAAAGAAACCCGCATACTGCCTACCCCCTTGGAATTATCGTGGGTGAGTTCGCTGCTGGAACGGCATTGTGTTACCCAGAATGGACCATTGGCATCATACTGGGACGAGCCGGCCCCCTAGCTTCGCTTCGGGAACAATGTCGCGCTTCGTGCAGTAGATGCGCCGCGGACGCAATCTGCAAGAACGCCTTGACTCGGGAGTTCTTCCGTGACATAGTAATCGCCCTCCATCTTTACAGGCGAAACGGGGCAGAACCTCTGCTTCTAGCTCGGTGGTGCGCGAACGCGCGCGCCTCGCGCAATTGGGGACGTGCAAGTAAGCAAACCATGCGAGAACGTGACTAGAACTCCTTGAAGCATCGCGAGGCGTAGATCTCAGTGGAGGGCCGTACCTGAAGGCCTGACGTCTGATACACCACTCCGTACCGTGTCGGACTCAAGCTCCCTATCGATGCCTAGGCCAGACATCTCCGCCCGAGCCTGAGCTCGGCTCCATCCATACACCGACCAAGCACTGAGGGTTCGAGGACCGCCACCGGCGAGATGCTTTGTCCTGACGTTGGCCTATGACCTATGGAAGCGCCCCGGAGCCGGACCTATCGGAGCACACATTGAGCCTTAGTATCGCCGCACCGCTCACGACCCTGCAGAACGTCACCGCCAAAAAGCTGAGCGTCAAACCCACACCCGAAAGGAGACTCATTTGCATGTCGCTGGCATTCTAGCGGGACGGGCTTGAGCCGGTCCGCGGGAGTAAACCTGTGTTGGGATCTGTGTGAAGATTGCGAGTGCTATCTCTGGCCTGATAGAGGAGAGCAATCTGAGACACGGTGGGTTCTGCTGGTGCAGCGGCGACTCCACTCCGCACGACGTCGGATACGTGTGGGAACATCATAGTCTATAACGCAGGGTAATGCTACTGAGTACCAATAATACATACACGGATCCTTTTACGTTAAATATCCCCGAACAGACGTTTTCTGGGATGCATAGTCAGTGATAGGGTAGAAGGCGCGTTAGGAGGACGTACAGTGTGTCAGGAGCGTCGCTCAGTATTGTTGGGCCGCCGATCATCTCCCGCGTCCACACGTCCCTGACGAACCACCCAATGTGGCCCACCGCACACCCCATGAGGTCACCAGCCGCTGCTCGCCAGGTGCCATTCAACATCCATGCGAGCCCAACAAGAGCCAGAGGCAAGTATGGAGCGGTGATCGTGATGAGACCGAATAGCGATATTGGTGTATTGGGGTGGCGCCGAGACCACAGGTAGATGGGGACGAAAGCCAGCGGCGAAGAGAGGAATGGCAGGTTCACGAGTGGTGAGAGAGCCTGCAAGGGGGGTACGCTGAGATATGAATCGAGTAGGCCTGGTAATGCGACATACCAGGAGCATCAGAGAGGAGAGGAATAACAGCCAGAAGTAATCTGCCTTCCGGTTAGCAAATGATGATTCCTCCAACATTCGACTGTATCTCATGCTGTCAAAGTAAGGATCCCGTTGAGCGAAAACACATAAAGATGCAGAGGTCCACACCCTTACAAGAAGAACATGTGGAACACGAAGTCCAGCGAGATTGTGCCGAAGTAGAAGAATGTGGTCAATGCTCGCCATGGCTGTAGGCACAAAGTCAGACGAGCCCCCCCCCTCTAGCTGCTTATGAGCTCACTTGTGCATTCGTGAAGGCCGCCTTGAAACTGAAGTAAAGCTGCAACGGGGTTACTAATTGGCATTGCTGCCCCGCACAGAGGCGTCAGTGAGACCGAGATAATGCCATAATAGAGATTTACTCACCACCGCCAGGCTCATTAACACAGACAGCACAAGCCACCCTCTCGTGATTGGTGGTATTTGGGTGACCCAGGCCTCAATACCTACCGGCATGTCGAGATGTGATATAGTCGGTGGCGAGAGCAAGCGTAGGTGCAGCTCACCACTGCCCGATCGGTCCAACGTGTCCGCCCGTCGGCACGTGGTAATCCCGACTTGCTCGGAGAATATCCGGCTTAGAGCTACACTCACTTCTGTTACTTTTGCTCCCTTACGCACAATATTTGTCCCACGAGCTTTATACATCCAGACACTGGAGTGAAGGTGATGATTAACGCGGCGTTTCGCAGCCTATGAAGTCGGTACGAATCAACAGAGGTTACATACAGCCAGGGAAGAGACATGCTACAAGTTGCGTCGTGGAAACACGAGATAGTAGTACAGGTCTGTCCTATACCTCATCATTCTACATGAAAGCACCGCGACTCCAACTGCGCACATGCTTGAAATCTACAGTTGATCCCTGCCGGCGCAGTCTCTCCAGACCTTTCAAAACTGGCTGGCTCGGTCCACCCTCACGATCGTCTATACTCTGTTCCTGGTGACCGCGTTTCCCCTGCAACGCCCTCTTGGCAGCCATCGACAGCATGCAGATTGCAGACACCCCGACCATTAGCATCTGCGGGAAGAAGCCAATGCTATCTGTGTCCTTGTCAGGAAGCCCTGTACCCAAGTCTGGTATTGACGTACCAAGCAGAACACCTGATGCAGCACAATCCCGCTGTTAGTATTATATAGATTGTTATCATAGAACCTCACCATCAAAGCCTGGGGCGTCAGGCATGGCATTCCTGAGCTGAGGAATGGCGAGGAGGGTGACTGCGACCAATCCCAGATACTGGAAGACAGACTGCTGATCGGCGCGCATCCACGCAAGCACCGTAAAGCCCATCGTGGCATGGGCGAGCATCCAGCTGACTCCGAAGAGCAACAGGGCGAACATGCGTGCCTCCGGAGGTCTTGTAATATTCAATTCAATGTCTCGACTCGGTGCGTTGATTGAATTCGATGTATTCACGTTGCTTTGCACGTCGGTGCGTGCGATGGCAAAGCTTGACGTAACCTTGAGCGTTGTAAGCGCGCTCAGCACGATAGGGTCACCATTCGTGGATGCCACGCGTAAGGTGGACGTGAGGTGGTAAGTGTCGAATGGATACAACCTTGCTTCGTGCACGTCCAGGACGTGATCGCTGTCGAATTGATACAAGTTCTGGATCCTGCGAGATACGTTCAAGAAGCGAACATTGGCGACGTAAGCAGGACTCACCCAAGCCTTCGTCCTGTTTTGTATACAATGGGAAAAAGATCGGGGTCATATGTTGCCGCGGCGTCGCTCTCGCTTGAGACCACAACCGCATTAGATTTGGTGTATTGAACCTCGGTCAGCAGCTCACCTGTCCACGAACACATTCATCGCGATTGATGGTATACCGCATTCGGTACTGCCATGGGTTCCCTCAGATCCAGATAGGACAAAACCTGGCCCACAGCCAATCATTGACCAGCGGATTGTAACCGAGGGCTCATCTACATCGACGTCGACATTGTCCCCAAGCAACACAATCTGTTCCGCAGAGTGAGCTGATTGCTCGTGCACTGGCAATGCCTCGCTGCACTCACACCGGGGTTATCCTTCGCAATGTTATCCAGAAACTCCTTGAAAGGGGGCTCGTCTTCGTCAGAGCCCACGAATGCGAACGAGATCGATACGATAAATATCAAGGAGAACCCGATAGCCATTCCGATGAGGAACATGGGTCCCAGTGGGCGTATGCCCGCCACCGTGACCAGTGCTGGCGCCCTGGACTTGGGTTGTTTCTTCTCCGGCTTTGTGCCGCCGAATCTGGCATGTCTGGACGACGCTTTGCTGCCTGCGTCCGACGGGGCTTGTACAAGACCAGTAGTAGAAAGGAAAGAGTGGCGTGTGGACATTCTGCACACGGAGCCTTGCAACGAATGTATGAGAGAGCGAGCTACCGCCGATGTCGCAAGTGGGAGCCAAAATGCACCTCATATATGCAATGCTGCGCGCATAGAAGCGAAGAGTACTTATGGCTTCCATTACGTGCAGCCTTTGAACCTGTGCAGGAAGCCTCTGCATCGCCAGCCAAGCCCTTCCTATAGCCGTTTTCCGTCAGAAATGGCACGTAATGTAATAGAAGGAGCAATGCCCGAGCACCGCTGTCGACCATATTCATCTGAGGTAGCAATGGCTCTGGCTGTGTGGCAAGGTCCGTCGCAGTGCAACACACTCGCGCGATACGAATGACGACACTCACTCCTACAATTTGTGGCGGCGTGATGCGCCTGCTATGAGTACGCCGCTCTAACGCCGCACCACCAGCATCATTGTTCAGGAAAGGCGGTGTCCGTTTCAGAGAAGACACAGGCGCCTTGCCGCAATCTCTACCTGACTGACAACATTTCGATGCTCGACAAGACGGGTATCGACTCAAGTCATCATTGCATTACTCCGAACTCGCCGAGGACATGTCAAGAATTATCCTGACCACCGAGTTTGTGTGGTGATGACTAAGCATATTGATGATGACATCGCGGCCGGTATTGTACAATGTACTAACCAGGACTCCGCCCGCCGAATCATTGTATGAACGATGGCGACTGCAGGGTCATCATTAGCTTGATCCCCGGGTTCGCGCTGATCCTCGGGAGTGCAGCATGCGGTGACGCCAATGGTAAGCGAGGTATTGGAAACATGCGGTCGCCCGCGATGAGGACAAATCGGCATAGATCACCGAGTCCTCGATAGCTCCTGCAAAACGCGAATTTCCTCGAGAGGACCGGCTTCGTCGCCCTCCGGTCCGAAATTATTGAGGATGCGAGACGCCGCCGCGAGGTATGATTGCATGGCGTCTTCCAGAGATCTCGCATCCGATCCGAGAATGTGTGCGTTGGTGGCGATCGCATTCCATGCCGTCTTAGATAACTCCAGTGCGTGCATCCCTGGAGGTATCATCTCGGTTAGAGGTTCGCGCGACCGGCGCCAAGCATCTGAAACATACCTATCTGAGGGTAATTCGTGGGATACACCACGACATAAAACGCAAGCAGGGTAAGCCCAGCTGACAGAGCATTCAAATAATCTCCTTCGTGCGAAGCTTTGCTGAATAACTCAGATGTATCAGGCAGATAGGTCTCATGTAAGAGAGGCGCAAATCGTCTGGGGATCTTGACGGAACGAGGCCGATCAGAAGCCATCATTCGGAGGTCAAGTCTATCAGAACTGCCTAGAGCGAAGCGGCGCAAGTCGGCCTCGATTTCAGCGAGTTCATCGGATCCTCGAGTTGGCAAGGCCGGAGAGTCAAATGTCCCGGTATAGGCACACAGATCGCAGTTGCATGTGAACCCGTAATTGTGAAATAAAGCTTCTTGACGAGTATTATGGGGCAAAGCAGGATCCAAGTATGGAATTGTAATCTGATTCATTGTCAATTCGCTAATTTCATGTATCAAACATCTGACATACCTCATCGCCTCTTGCGATATCTCGCAAAGCAATAACCTCCATCCGTACAGGATGACACGGCGTGATGATATACTTGACGACAGCGTTTGGCACGCAAGAGTGGTTGAACGATCTGCTAGCAAACGGGAATATACCATGTGCGTAGGAGTTCAGGTGTGAATGCACCACGAAATTGTTGTTCCCAAAGCGGTTGTAAATGGCGTGCGCAGTGCTGAGCACGTCCGATGGCACGTTCGCGTTGCATAGAGGGGGGATTGTGGTTGGAGCAGAACGCGCCTCCACCAGCTCCATGAGAGTCGACATCGAGCTTCCACCTTCAGCCGATATGTTGCCCCCATCGTCAATGAATCTCTCCGCAATCAGGTGCGAGAGGAGGATAGCATCCACTTGGTCATGATGGGACAATGCTTGGTATTCCTCAGAAGCCATGTAGCGGGGATATCTCTTGCATAATCTCTTGTGCTGGGAGCTCCATTGCTTGCGTTGGCCTGATCAGAATGCGGAGTCAGTAATATTGCTTTCAGCAAACTATACCAAATGCACATTCAGCTCCGCAGTACCAGTAGGAAGTACATCCGGTACACCTTCGTAGTTGTACTCTGTCCGAGGACAGTCTATGGCAGAGATCACATCTACGTCCCTTTTCAGACTGTAAGAGCGCGGAAGCCAAGACGGGTTCGGCGTGTACAAGATCACCCGCAGCCAACGGTGAAGCAGCAACTGCCATGCTCCTCGCTGTTGGATGCGGTTCCAGGAGGATAACAGGTTGTGAATTTGCTGTCATTGTGCGATGTCCCAGCTGTAATGGACGGTGACGGTTGTAGCACCTACGCAAAGCAAGGTATTCTGTGTTTTGGATCCTACGAGGGCTGCAAGCGCGAGAAGCGCACGTGATGAGGACGATCGAAGGAATTCGTAAATTTGATCCACACCCAGCTTGACTTCAGAACGAGATTTCCGGGCAAGACGAATCTATCTCTATTGCAGATGCCACGAATTTTGGTCGTAGGTATGTACACGTTATACAAAACTGCAGTCTGAATGATACAACAGGGGAGAACAATCTCTGGACGGGAAGTCTTGGCATATCATCTAGGGACATTAGATAGCGTGAATAAAGAGATACGGGACCGCACGCGCGGAGTGGGGGCCGAATTTAAGAATCCCAGATTGCTCCAAAGGCGGGAATACCACGACTCATCATGGCGTACACGACCTTCTCCGTGAGCGGCTGATTCGAGATAATAACAACAGCTTCCGCGTTGAATTCGCGTACCATGCGGTAGGTGAGCTTGACTAGATCGGGTCGTCCATGCTCACGAGTGTCTGGGAAGATTTGCTGTCAGAAATTGCCTGAAGTCATCCTCTCGGTTGCAGAGACGCACCATAGATGACTGAATTTGGCGCTGCGTCGAGCAGCGAGTCCACAAGCTTGTCACCGAACGTCTTGCGCACGGCAGGCGCTGTCCACAGGAGCTGGATCTCTGTCTCCTTTGCAAACACTACCGGCGCGATGGGACCGATGCCGCTGCCCGTTGCGACCATGACCACTCGGCGGAAGAGGGGGGTGACATGCACGACACCATAGCATGGAATGCCTCGGATCCAGATCTTGCTTGGCGGGTTGGCGATCACCTCCGAAGTCCAATCGCCCGCTTTAGAGACGACAGCAGAGTAGCCCTTCTGCCCCGGCTCGTGGATCGTTGCGAATGAATGCCATTCGAAGAGCGGGTCCAGGGACATCCGTGTGAAGTGCCCTGGCTCGGTCGAGACTGTGATGGCATCTTATCAATGAAATGAATGCAGAGATGGAACGGGCTAGCACGCACCATAGTCGAAGTAGAGGCGAACACAGTGGTCGGACGACTTCTCGATACGTACTGGGTACTTGCGGAGACGCACCCAAGGCAGGATGATCGAGACAGTGAAGACAACGACAAGCCAGAATGAAGGGGTGTGGACAAGAGCGTGGCCCAGTTTCTCATCAGGAGTCTTGTAATCATTGATCAACAGTACCACCTGTTCGACCATGCGGTCGGTATAAGTACGGCGGTAATGCAGCCAAATTAGGCAACCCACCTGTGCCCACACGAGCGCAACTGCTGTCCAGCCCGCGAATCGATGTGTCACTTCGAACGTATTGTGGCGCTTCACGCGGAATCCGGGATAAGCGAAAGTGACCATGCCCACGAGGAGTGCCAAGATGACATAGGAGACGGCTAGTGTTGGAACAGTCACCTTCATATTGCGGTCAGCGCGGTCTCGTTTGCCATTAGTGCAAGCTGCTCACCCGATCCTTGTTGATAACCTCGCGCGTTGCACGCCCGACGAAGAGCATTAGCCAAACTGTGCCGCTTACTCCAGCGCCAGAGTGGACTAGGAACCGGCAGCATCAGCGGCGTTCTCGACAATGGCTGATAGCTGTCCACTTACTTCCACCAATGGAGTATACTCGCGCCACGATACGGCGGAACCATAATGGCCACCTGCACGTGCATGAGCCTCGCATCAACAGATAAACGCTCCGCGGATACTCACGACCGGGGGGTCCAGCATGCGACAACGTAGAACGTGTTGATCACGTACTCCTGTCGCATGAGAATCGCAACGAACAAGTTCGCAACGACAACCGTTCCCAGTTTGCTTGCATTCGTGCCTCTGACGCAATACCAAATGAACACCCCCATGTTTGTCGCAAAGACGATCCCGAACAGCCGGCGATAGAGAGACATGATCTGGAAGCGAAGGTTGCGCAGGAACGTGTTCTGCACCTTGTCGGGCAGGGCATCGGCCTCGTAGCCCTCCCAAACCTCGCCCTTCTCTTGAATGGAGGCCTTGCCATCCAGAGTGGATGCCGAAGACGTATAGCTGGGAACATCCCGAACGCTGACGGTGCCTGGACGCTTCTCAGCATCCGACGACTTGCTATCTGGCTGATACACCAGTGCGGGGGCAGCTATCTGCGATGCCCCTATAACAGAGGAGTGAGAGTCTTGCTTCACAGCATGTCCCTTGTCGCTGTTATTGGATGCGTTGTCTGCTACTAGGTTCGTCATTGCTGAAAGGCAGTCTTAACTCATAGCAACGAATACAGGGCACGAGGGATGACAGTACCTTGACCACAATAGAATTCACAAGGGATTTTGCGAGGACGAGCTGGGCGAGGGAGGCGTAAGCTGGCTCACTATCTCAAACCCCTTGCTGCCTTCTTATAAGACGCATCCTGTACATGGCAGCACACCAATCACCTCACGCTTGTGATTTTGCAGGAAACTCCACACATAAGCAGATTCTGGGCCAGATCGCAGAAGAATTCGAGGCAATACGAATTGTCAGCTCTCTGACAGAATTACAGGGGACTTCCGACGTGAAGAGTTCGGCTTCGGACTGCGTAGGCCATTCCGCATGGAGATTTCACGACGCGTTGGCGATGCTGGAGACATCGGTGGGGTGTAGATCTTCTCACCGCGTTCTTGGAAAGGGTGCGATGGGCCTAAATTCGCGAAGCACCGGAGATCCGATACGCGGTACTGTCGTGCCTCGGAGACGACAGATAGCATGGCATAAGGAAAGTGCTGCAGGACGCAGTAGCGCTGGAAGGCACGGGCGGACAGGCAGACATGTCAAGATGTTGATTTCCGCCCCGTCCGCGACGTAGAGCGTTGAACGGTTCTAGACTGTCCACATCGCCCGACGTGTGCAATTGTGTACGGGGATATGCCAGAAATGTCAGAAACCAGCGTTACATTTGGGTGCCCCGGGATTCCCATGCGTGCCGCACAGGAGTAGATGTAGAACGGAGAATGAACATCGCATTGTCACCTTCTCGGAGATGAAAATAGTCCACATCGAGATAACTACAGAAAGCGGACTCACCCGGGACCGAAGCAAGGAGCCGCGTGTGTGCCACAGACCGCGCGCCCTTCGCACACGCAGCCTGGACGCTGATGCCCGGCGCTATGAAGATAAAGAAACTCCTCTTGGTCGCGCCTCCATTGCGTAACATCGCGCACACGCCCGTGAAGACGCGATTTACGAGTGCTGTTTCTCCCGAATTCGGATTTGTGGTAACTGATCCATGTGTTCGGTAAACCTAGCCGTCCAAAAGGAGTTATCGCGTGCATATACGCGTGGATCTCAGCCAAGTTTCAGACACTATATCTGCCCTCTGCGTGGGCATTTTCGCAGTTCTGAGACTGCATAGTGGCCGGTCGGAGAACAAGTCGCTGAATGCTGCCGCGATCGTTCCGTGGGGCAAAAATGCAATCCCAGCGATCGGGACCAATCTGATCGGGATAATGCACCAGGTATAGGTTACAATTTTACTTACATTTGCACCCATACCGTGACTTCTATATCCCACAATTCTGACTCATGCCGTATGCAATGCGACGTTTTTCCTGGTCAGAGTACCTCACGGGGCTGTACTGAAGAGGCAGCTCTAATAATTCGGAATATACAAACCCAATGACTCTGCGAAGGTGATCATTACGGGAAAACCTGATCAGCGAATCAGCGACTCAGCGCCACCGCAGTAATAGTGCGGACATAGTGCGGCAGAGAGAGCCTCTAATTCCTTGAATAGTACTGTGCTCATGTGTGATTTGCAGGGACCAGATCTGGCATCCTGGTTTCTGTCGCTTAAGTTCACCTGTCTTGGCGGACAAATTGGCCGCCTCGACTGCGGTTGTTAATGGCCGCAACGGTTGACAATGTTTACCAAGTGCTCCAGAGGATGGTCACCGACTCCTCCAGAGTCTTGTGAATGGCAGCGATATGCCTAGTCTTGCCTGGGCGTACTAGTGCGGTCTCACACATTGTCTTTATTCCGAATTCGCTAACAATAATACACCCAAGATTGCATCAATCAAGTGCGGGCATTGCTGCCTCCTCCTCTATAGCGTATCCATTAGTGTTTGGGCTCGTTGGCGCTCGAGATTACACCGCTCAGTGCTATATGCATGCGAGCCAAGCAGAGTAAGCGATCAAAGCGTTTCTCGCCGTCTAGCTAGAACACTTGACAATTCACAGAAGCCCATCGAAGTCGTTCTAGGAGGCATTCCCCGCTCAGACACTGACGAGAGCATCGGATCTTGGATAAGGTCCTTTGCGGACAGCCGCCGTCTCCTCGTGTGCATATGACTGTCGACATACGGAGAAACTTGAAGGTGGCCATGAAAACCCGCCTGTATGATAGTGTCACAGCCTTCCATCAGTACGTCATGGAAAGTTATTTTTCCTCTGCTCGCAGTCGCATGCTATAAGTATCATTTGTATTGGAGTGTCAGCGCGCCTCTCTGTACGCGGCACTCGCTTGACCAGATTCAGGGTCTCGTGCGAGTGCTGCGTATCTACATCGCCCCTCAGCCGCGAAACAATGTTTTGATGCATAGCAACAATTCCGAGGAACAAACCGGAGGTATGTGGGCATTTGATTCAAACTCCCGGTGGCGACCGGCCGTTTGCGACTGCTGTGGTCCATAATCCAGCCGGAAGCTTGTATAGTGGGGGTATGTGGTGCCGACACGCTCTCTCCCTGTGTCTGGAGACCGCCGTGACTCTGAGCAGGATATCCATAAGTGTATGTCGTGAACACATTATTCGTGCTAATACATATGCACTGTGCCTGACGACTTCACTTCAGTTTGAAATTGCAGTCAAATTCATTATGGATTCGTTTACCCCGTCCACGTGACCTCTCTTAGTTTGCCGATAGTGGACGTTTGAATCATAGCTAATCTTTGACCGGTCTCTCCCTTCCGTAAACGAAATTCTAATACTATCTCACTTTCCATGGACGACGAAATTTCAGACTCCCCTCCCACCTTCAGTGTGATGTACGCTGTAGTGTTCTCCGACCTGCGAGCTGCATTCAAGAGGGCGTCAGAACGGAAAATTCACCAGTGCTCGATGGATCTTTGTCTTATCGCGCTCTCAGTACGGTATGGCAAATTCACCTACGACAGCTTCTGGATAGTGTGGATTGAAGAGGGACGATATCATCTTTGGGTAGACAGGACTGGATATCTTTTTGATGCCTTCGTTCCTTCCGTTTCACATACCACGACGCCTGCCCAGTCCTTTGCCGGGGTGCTCATCAAGTTGCGTGAGGTGAGTTGTTCTTGTCGCCATGTCGACATGCGTTATCGGGCGGAGTGCGCCACACCGCATGCCTCTTGTCCTCCCCACTCCCAGAATAAACCGTGTTCTTGCAGATCGCCAGGCCTAGACGGGCACCACTTGCATTTGGATCGCACAAAGGAAAGCCCGGTATCGAAGTTGGATTGACCCTAACGAAGGTTTTGCAGAAACTCCCCGCATTCAATACTGTGGTGCTCGTGCAAGAACCACAGTCTGCGCAGCTATTCTTCGTGAATACCACGCTGCTACGGGAAAGATGTTCTCTCCGCGACTCTGAAAGAGCTCAACAACCTCCGGGATGTGCTACTGATCCGTGGGTACGCTTCGTCCGGCTCCGTGAAGATCCCGTTCTGGTCGGTCCCGACTGCAGTTTCCATGGACCTGCAGTTCACACGCGTCTCACACTAGATGCCCGCGCCGCCCGCGCGGGTCCTCGCTGCACTTTCAGAACTCTGTCGGGACAGCCTATTGGCACGGACATTCCCACCAACTGCCAATGCCGTGCTATCCTTATCTCCCACCCTTGAAATCACGGACATCGTACCGTTGGCGGCATACCTACTCGAATACCCCGTCGCGTATGTCCCTTGCTCCGAGGAGCAAACGTCATTTCTAGCCGGCGCCGCGCTCGACGTCTACGAGTGCACTTTCCAGGCCGCCGAGGCACACATTGTACTGAAGTTTTCCTGTCCCTCGGGCATCGGGGAGCTGCACCCAGAATTATCAGCCGGAAGACTTGCGGAAAGCTTGAAGCACAGATTTGGGCTTCGGCTCCGAGCTGCGGGACTTCCAGACAACCTCATTGTACAGCATCACATGAAGACTTACGACAGGGTCTCGTTATAGCTCATTAGAAGGCTACCATGCAATTAGATCTCCCCTCCTCCGATTGGTGTGGATTACAGAAGTAAGGCACAAGACCACTACATGAGAATTTGAAGCGAACTCATTCCACGTCGATGTTCACTATTTTGATGTCGTCAAACGGCTTGTCCACCTTGTTGGTCTTTGCATTCTCTATCGCGTGCACCACCTCCAATCCAGACAGCACTCGGCCAAAGATAGTATGCTTCTTGTCCAGCCAGGGAGTTGCCGTTGTGGTGATGAAGAATTGCGACCCGTTTGTATTTGGACCTGCATTCGCCATACTAACTGTGTATGGTCTGGTCCGGTGATTAACGCCAATACAGTCTGGCTGTGGGCATCGGCAACTCACCTGTCGTGTTTTAGGTCGTCCGAAAACTCATCTTCGAATTCTCCGCCCCAGATTGACATTCCACCTGTACCGTCGCCCAGCGGATCCCCTGTTTGGATCATAAACTTCGGAATGACACGGTGGAAGATGACATTCTCGAAGTATCCACTTCGCGCATGTCCGACGAAGTTCTCCACCGTCTTTGGCGCCTGCTGGGGGAATAATCTGAGATGCATGTCGCCCAGCGTCGTGTGAATGGTAGCGGCATTCGCAACGGGCGAGGGACCGGGTTTTCCCAGAGCTGACGTGGATGATGCAATCGTCAGCTCCTCGCGGGTGGGCCGCTCATTGAAGATATCGCGATCACCGGACTTGTCGTCCCTAAAGGCTAGTCAGCTCCCACACCAGGAAAGATGTCTGATCGTACGCACTCAGGTTCGGAGCGAGTGAACATGTAGAATCGCTGGCGCTTATAGCCTGTGCATACCAGCGTTGGATCTCTGACAGCCTTCTCGGCCAGGAGAGGGTTTGCTGATGCAGCTGCCGCCTGACATGAAGCAGTACAAGTGAGGGTGAGTGTCAAAAAAAATCATTTAGACGCATACTGCAGTTGTCAGTCCCTTCTTCGCAGGCGCGCCCTGATAGAGGGTGAGATGCATCCATCGCGCTGTTTCATCCTTGCCGAACAGGCGCACGACTCGATTGGTGACGGTGTTGACAACTGCGATCAGACAGTTAGATGATCCATGAGGCTCGAGTCGGATAGAAAGCTCACCTTTGACACCCAACAGCGTCGGGTAGAGCACAAAGGCGCCGCTCTCGTCCCAAATGGCATTAATCCAGCGGCCTGGCACAATCCCGTCGGGTCCAGGAAGTTCCAGTTCCCTCTCAGCCGCGAGACGGCGCCCGAACTCCATGTCTTCCACTTTGTATATCGCCGTCCCCGCTTGCTGCATCTCCTGAATCGCCTCTAATGACTCGTCATACTTGCGGGTCATCTTGCCCGAAAGGAAGGAGAATATGCGGATCTGGCGGTCGGGCAGTGAGAATGTCGCGAAGGAAGTCGAATCTGGCGAGAGCGTGATACACGTTGGCGTTGACTTCGACTATGTGACATTGCGTGAGAGGGAGAAGTTCCTGCAGTCCCCGAAGCGTACGTACCTTCTTAAATTCATATAAGTCGGTTGCGCTCTTGAACGCCCACAAGCCAGGTACATTTTTGGGGAGCTCAAAGGGCTCTCTTGGTTGCCAATATTCGACGAACCCGCCTTCGTCCGCCGATACCACGCAGTCGTATCTGTCACTGTACTACATAAAATTTCAACTAAGTGCCCCTGGAGATAATGTATGTGGCGTAGCGTACCGCCATGATATGCACCGGAGAGCGATGCAGTTTCTCAATAGTCTCCAACGGCTGGCCGTTACCACGCCCGTCATAGAGCCGTATCGTCCCGCTGTCACGATCTGAACTACAATATCATTAATGGGCCTACATCTGACGTAAATAAATGAGCTTACACCGCGAGGAGACCCTGCGCCTGTCCGCGTCGGTGTACCCAGCAGCATGTATGTGGGGTAAAGCCAAGCTTGATCATGTTTATCATGTCTGCAACCACTGCTAAGCAAAAACGGGAAGAGTCTGTGTCAGAGTGCGACTCACCGAAGTTGATGACATCGAACACCTTTGCTGAGCCATCTTCAGAGACACTGGCAAACAGCTGTCCATCCGCGCTCGCAGAGACCCCAGTAATAGGTGCAAGGTGCGCACGGTAGTGCTTGACAAATTCAATTCCCTGGTCCTGCTTCTTCCAGAGTTTCAGGTGTCCGTCGACCGACGTGGTCACCAGGAAGTCAGTCCTGGTATGCAGTCAATCACCACGCAGTCCGTGAAGCACGGGATTAGCTCACTTGGTCATAACACAGAAGCTGATGACGTCTCTATGCATAAAACTCTTGTAGTATCTGTCCGCGCTCGGCAAATGCTCGAGGTACAGCTTCTCATGCGGCAGCACTATACAGCGAACACCGGCGGTTGAGCTCGCGCACCTCGCAACAAGGACGCATTTGAAACTCGCCTTTACGCTTTTTCTTGGCCACGCCATTTCCGCTGCTCTCAGCCGGCGCAGGCATGGGCCCAACGTCGTCCTCGTCGTCCTCGTCCACAGGGATTGTGGCAGCCGTGTCCTCGGTCTTCATTTCATCATCTTCTGGCGCGTTATCGCCATTACGCGTTCGCTTTCCCAAGACGGACGTGTCGTGCTCCGTGTCGGACATTATGCGTGTTGGTTTGTTGTCGAGCAAAGGAGCGAGCAAGTTGAGCGCGCCCGATCCAAAGTTGTCGTCTCACTATTAGACGCTGAGGACCCTAAGAGATGCTATGGGCGCTTGTTTCTGCAGCGTTCAATACCAATTCAAAGTTCGGGTCTCGAGGAACGCCATATGCATAATAAATAGCCATACAAAGCTAGAATGAGATCCTAAAGAGAATGCGCTATAGCTACAGGATGATACAGTCGTCCTTTGCTCCCCCTTCAGCTAGGATGGCCTTCTCTTCTTCACTGAGAGGGAGTCCTTTCCTGGCACGCTCGGCTATGGCCCTTCTCCTACTTTCTCTCTCTGCCCTTGCTCGCCTGAGAAAATAATGTTGATACAAAGATGGAAGTATATTGATACAGAGAAGAATTAAGCCGTCGCAAATACCGGGGGAGGGCGGAACGAGAGATAGTTTAGTGAGGATAATTTAGGGATAGTCGTAGTTGGGGTTGCAGAGAGTTTAGGTGGTTCATTAGAGTTGGTTGCGTTAGTGTCAGGTAAGGCGGAAGGAATCGAAGGAGACGATGCGGCAGAACTAGAGCTTCGTGAGTTGTCACTGAGAGCGAGAGGCATTATGGATGCTTACCGATCAGTTTGCGAGAACGGGTTGGGCATACTCGAAGCCGAGGATGACGAAGATGAGGACTTCGCCAGTGGTGGAGGACGCGCCAAGTCAACGGCGGTAGGAAATGAAGATGAGGACGTTGACGTCGTTGACGCCATGGCGCGCTGAATGGCGCTGACGGCGGCAGAGCTAGCTGTTGCTGTGCGCGCTTGGATGTCTGCAAACGGCCTTGATGCAGCAGATCCACCCGCCTTCGAGCCGGTTGGCACGCACGCATGGGTGGCGGAGAAACGGTGTTGCGGACAGAACTGCTGGTTGCATTTCTGGGACCATGCTTAGCACACGGTAAGCATGAGAATGACTAGACACTCACATCACAGCGTATGGGTGCAAAGAGCACCTTCCCGCACTTCGCCCGCGCACATACAGGTGTCGACTTCTTCTGGGACTTGCCGGTCATGACTGAGCACTCAGAACTGATGTGGGCCTCCATGCGTATGTTAGGATCTTGTCCAGGTGGTACTGCGACAGGCGTGTTGCACAGGGGGCCTGCAAAGCATTGAATGCATCATAAGCGAGGTGCGATCGTCATACAAGTGCTGATGTATACGTACATGACGGTGCTATGCGGTTATACTTGCTGGCGTCGTACTTGCTGCAGTTGTGCAGCTCTGGAACGTAGTGCTCTCCGCAGAAGGATAGGTTGCAATGCTGGCATCGAAACGGCAAAAAATCCACCGTCAAGCATGACGCCGCCGAGCACTGCTTCCCGACGTCCAAGAGTTGTGCATCACGTTCGGAAGAGGAAGAGCGGGACATTGTGAGCAAGTAGTAAGTGTGAGATAGAGGTGTACGAGGCAAGCGAGGTGAATATAAGAGCTTTAGCGAGGTGGACGCGCGTCCACCTCGCGTCTGACCAAGAAGTGGGAAGGACGGACAAGCACTGCGACGCGCAGCCACTCGAAGCTTCTATCCCAATCAGGCAATACCATGTCGTGTCACGCGGATCCAGTTCAATGTGCGCCTGTGCAAGCAACCTCCGGGTGAAGAGTAGCCGAGTCAAACCTGCGATCCTCGACAACATACGATTGTCGCCATGGACCCGAACTATTCTGGATCGCCTACTGCTACATTCACATTTGTAAGGATGAACTGAATGCGGTCAGACTTACGTCAGTGCTGAAGGGTAATCGTCTGCAGATCAGGCATGGCGAGTCAACGGATAATTTGGTGAGTGCGCTATGAACGTGTTCGAAGACGGCATTCATGTGAGCGTGTACAGCGAAATGTGTGGGCCGGATGGCAGGATTCTCCACTCTCCAATCATGGTCAGTGCTTCACATGCCGCGGGAATGGCGTCAGGCTAATAATGCCTTCCCTTCCATTGGCAGGCATGAATGTAAATCCCAAGCATCGGCATCACTGATAGTGCTTCTGAGGTCGCTCACCGATCATTATAGCAAGCGAAGGCATTGGGAGTGTCATTTTCCAACACGCCGCTCTTGGCGATCCATGCTTCGCCGCTGAAGCGAGCTCAATGGACGGCCCAGGCTCTCCGCGATGCTCAGAAAGAGCCGCAGCCTCCCTTGACGACTTCCCCGCTCTTGCGTGAGCAGTATTTCGGCGTGGCAGAGGGAAAGCCATGGGTCTACGAGATGGAGCCTGGAGTGACTTTGGAGGAGTACTACGCACGCGGCGTGTATCCCGTCCTAACAGGTCGCTCGCAGAAATTCCCTGAGGCAGAGAGCCTTGATGACCTTGCACGAAGGGCAGAGCAGGCCATCAATGGGCTGGTGATGCCGTACGTCTGGCAAGCTGCGAGAGCAGGAGAGAAGGGCATCCATGTAGCGATCGTTAGCCACGGGCTATGTATTAGCGAGCTCCTGCCTGCATTGCTCTCCAAGGATGCCAGCGGAGCACACCCAAAGCACAAGTACAAAGGGCTGCTGAATACCGCCTGGACCCGGGTGACAGTCGACGTCAAGGTGAGTCTATTCTGTCCGTATAACATCGCTGAGGGTTTGACGAGAGGCACGAAAGGGATCGGTAGAGGGGAAATCCATGGAATTCTCAGATAGCAATCCTCCGCCGCTAGTAGTACGGGTCACAGATTTCAACAGCCATGAGCACTTAGACCGAGTTGTACGTAGTCCTCTCGACATCCCGGAAATAGAGACCACCACGCTGATGCGTCGTCCAACAGGCACGACAAAAGGGTGGGATTGGTAGCGCTGAATTCGACCCGAAACAGCAAAGCATTCAGGCGTTCTTCGGAGGTGCAGCAGCCCCAACAGAAGAAGGTCGTAGCGTAAGCAATGCATTGGACGAAGGTAACATTAATACCCAGTGAAAGGAATTTATACCATGGGCAATTGGTGGTATTAAGGGGTCTCTACAAATACATGGTTCTGCTTGTACGATCAAACTTGGTTTATGCGGATTAAAAGGGATATAAACGCACCAATGTGTGGAAATAGCATGATCATCGCGGAGGAAAGCGTCCGATAGCTCTATGGTGACCCATAAGGTAGCAGTTTCTTCAGTCTTGTCGTCTGTGACCCATGGGAGAGAGCGGTCTGGGAGAGCTTGTTCTTCCTGGCCGGACTCTTGTTCACGTTCAAGTGTTTGTGACCAGCATGCCCCTGGAGATAGAGCAAGCCTTAGCACATAGGTGACCTGTCGCAATGGAAGGAGAGGTCCAGCGACTGACGCGCTTGAAAATGCCCGAGGCTATCGACCGCCAACGCTTCTTGGCCCCCTGGTGGCTTTTGAGTTTTGGATATTGTGCGACAGCAGATGTCGAGAACAGACGGGCTGTGGACAGCAGCCTGGCGAAGAACATGCTGTGCAGAGTGCGAGGTGGTCGATGGTGCTCCCCTGGCGGAAGAAGCTCAGGCGGCACGTGCGCATACGCGTCCATAAGGGTCCACAATGCTGCCCTCATCGTGCACTGGGCGTTCCGACTTTGCAGACGACCATCATGTCTTCCAACCCTCAAGACGATGCAGACCGCGTAGGTGGCTTGAAATCTCGAATGAATTCAGTGCTAAGGATCAGGTGGGGTACAGATTCGTCTGAAGCGGCTTGCGAAGCTCCAGGGCGCGAGTCCTACGCCTCCAGCGTCCGGGTCGTCCACTCCTGCGCCTGCAGAGACCAAACCTAAGCCCAGGCCTATACCGCCGCCATCGCAGAAGAGGGTGCTGGAAGAGCCTCAGGCGCTGCCGCCAGTTCCGCAGCGGAGACACGCACCAGTGACTCCCGCATCTCTTGAGTTCCCGACCTGGGAGCACGAGACGATCGGTCATGTATTTAATGTGGCACTGGAGGTCAGTCGTCATTCGAGGATCATGCGCAAAGATATATAAGCCTTTGCAGAAAGCCGTTGCTGAGAAGAGCGGCTGGGAAATTGTCTGGCTGAAGCATCTGGCCGCCGAGTTGGAATCTGAGAGTCCAGGTGAGTAGCTCTGCGTGTCGATCCCAATACATTTAAATGAATGATTATCAGACGCTTCAAAGTCAATCAGACTGAGTGGGGACATTGCAGATCGCCTGCTCATATCGAGGCTGGAATTGGACCCGGAAGCTATGTCGTGAGTGATGCGCCACCCCGATCCAGTACTTAGATTGAGGTCTTTATAGGGATGACCTGGAGTATCTTTCCGTCATTGCTTCCCTTCCACCACAGCAGACGAGCTTTCAGTATCTGGTTGGATGCTGGAAGCGATTGAACGCCACAAGGTCTGCATTCCTGAGAAAGGTACGTTACATCAGGTCTTTGGCGAAGCATATGGCTAGAACATGTGCTAGGGATACCCGCCCGTTGAGAATCAACGAGGGCAGGATCTTCTGGACAAGTTGCGGGATCTAGTCATCAGCTATGCGGGATTGAGTCTGCAGGAGCCGGAAATGTTCCCTCAACCGTCAGGGTTAGTTTTGGGTTTCCTGCGGGCACGGATATTAGTTGAAATTCTCATCCACAGGCGAGATTTGGGTCCTTCGGAACTGGTGGCGCCGCTGCTATCGCTTTCATCTCTGTCTGCGCCCCTTCTCTCGACTTCCGCGTCGTCTCCCAACACACTGTCGCCTTTTGAGGTTGAGCCATTCCTACAAGACCTCGCCAAGCGCTTCGAGCCGGAGAACGAGATTGATGGTGTGCTTGGGCCAGTCGTCACACAATTGTGTTGCCACCCGTCACTGTTCCGCCCCGAAGGTCTAGCTGGTGGCGATGCCAGCTGGCGAAGTGTCATCGGTGGATTGGAGGCGCTGGTCAGTATCAAGAGCATCGCGATGATGATCACGCGCCTGGAGAACTGGATCCCTCCCAATGCGACGGCCCCGGACTTCGAGCGAGTGAGCTTGTTGGGACCCTTGCTAAGACTAGGTGTCTTCGAGAGAGAATGGGTAAGGAGACGACTGTCAGCTACCTCCTGCCTTGCTCACGTATGCGTAGCCAGCCATCGCCAACACATACTATTCTAAGCCTAAAGAGCGTTCCCAGGGTGACATCGAGTCATCTACTGCTAGTCTCCGCGGGACATTGAAGAGCCTGCAGGTGAATTTACATCATTGACGCAGCCAAGTTGATCTCTGAGATATGCGTTATAGTCCTCTATGTTCCAGGTCTTCAATACCCTCGTTCGGGCATCGCCTGAGACTCGGGAGGCAGTCTTGCAATACTTTGCCCGCGTTATCGCACTGAATCATAGGCGTGCAGGCTCACACGTTAGTACTGATGTCCCGAACTTAAACTGGCACTCATCCACCGGCTCTTAGGTCGAACCTGACACTGTTGCGTCAGATTGCTTCATGGCAAATCTCCAAACGATCTTATTTCGCTTCTGCGAGCCTTTCATGGATGCAAACTACACGAAGGTACCTTCTTTACCTCGTTTCTGGAGGGCTATCCATTCTTACATGCCATGCCAGATTGACCGTATTGACCCCGCATACTATGCTCATTCCTCTCGCATCAACATAACAGAGGAGACTCGTATCAACGCGACTAGTGAGGAAGCGGAGCAATGGCGAGAACGTAATGCGTCACCTGGTGGTGTGTATGTTCGCAAATCAGTGTTGGTCTGACTTTCCGATACAAATAGCCCATAGACGCGCCTAACTTCATCTCGGACATATTCTACCTTTCGATGGCTATGAATCATTACGGGTACCAGAAGACAATCTCAACATTCGAAGACTTGGCGAGACAGTATGATGAGATAAACCGGCATTTGGAGATGCTCGAGGGTGATGGCTCTTGGCGTGGGGTAATAATCCCGTCTCTTCGTTATTCATCTGAACCCCCTGACATGGACTCACGTTCCAGACTATGTTCCAAGCGCGGACAGAAACAGCTATCAAGGCTGTCAAAGTAGGCCCCTTACTTACTCGGCACGACAGTATTGTGATGAGATTTACTCATTTGTGCACAGGTTGAGTTGGACAAGGTGTTGACATCGCAACTCGCATTCTCCGTACAACTTGTAGACCCGGAGATCGTATTCCGATCCGTCAGCTTCGTGAATTTTGTATCGACATGGCTCATTCGGCTTGTTGATCCAAAACGTCGACATCCGAATCCGCCGGTTGAGTGTGTACTACAAATACCTTTGATAAGGACCCAGTGCTTAACATATAACTCTTCAGATTGCCGTTGCCCAAGGAAGTTCCGGAGTCCTTCAAAGTATTGCCTGAGTATTTGATAGAGGATGTGATCGACTATCAACTATACGTTGTAAGGTAAGGTCGCTAATTAATTGCTCATGACACGCTTCCTGACTACTATGTGGCAGACAGAGCCCCGAATCTTTGGAACTTTCCGGCAAGAACGAGATACTTGTCTGGACGTTAACCTTCTTGACATCCACGTGGTATATCAAGAATCCATTCCTGAAGGCGAAACTTGTCGAGGTAACAGACATGATTTCAACGTCGTTATATCTCGGACTCAGCATCGTCGCGCTAGGTTCTCTTCTATGCGTCATTGAACTGGGGAGGGCACCGCGCCATCATGACGTCGACGCTCAACTCTCATCCCATTGCATTGAAATATCTCGTACCTGCTCTAACGCACTTCTATATTGGTGAGTGTGTATCTTTCCTTGTGAACGCACGATAATAAGCCTACTGTCAGAGGTTGAACAGACAGGGGCGAGTTCGCAGTTCTACGACAAATTCAGTAAGTGGGGCTGTCGTATCGTCCCTTTTCATATCTCACCTTTCTCCCCCCAGATTCTCGGTGAGGATATTCTGACATATCATCTCATGTTGTCCCTCATTCCGTGCAACACTGTAGTCGTAACATTGCGTACCTCTTTCGGGCAATTTGGGACAATGCTGTCCACCGGGAAGCCCTGAAGAACGAGACGAGGTAATTTACAGGCTTCTTGGAGGGCCGCGATATGCTCACTCTGGATAGGAATAACATGGAGAAATTCGTCCGCTTTGTCAACCTTATGATTAACGACGTGACCTACCTTATGGATGAATCGCTCAGCGAACTCACCAAAATCCATGAGATTCAAACCGAAATGGAGGACGCCGCCACGTTCAACTCGAAGCCCGTCCAGTACCGCCGTGAGCGCGAAGGTGCCCTGCGTTCGCTAGAGCGCCATGCATCTGGTTACGTGCAGCTAGGCAACTCGACTGTGGGTATGCTAAAGGCGTTCACCGGCGAGACCAAGGAACCCTTCATGGTCCCGGAAATTGTGGATCGCTTGGCGGCAATGCTGGACTACAACCTGGACGCCCTCGCAGGCCCCAAATGCCAAGACCTCAAGGTGAAGAACCCAGAAAAATACAAATTCAATCCGAGGCAACTGCTCAGCGACCTCCTGCGAGTGTACTTGAACCTGAGCGACCAGGGCGAGTTCGCGCGTGCTATCGCAGGGGACGGGCGCAGCTACCGGAAGGAGTTGTTCGAACGGGCTGCTGGGATTGCGAAGAAACGGCTGCTACTGAACGACACCGAGATTGAGAAGCTTCTCATGTTCGTCGTGAAGGTGGAGGAGACGAAGGCAACACTAGAGGCTGAGGATGATCTGGGCGAGATCCCGGACGAGTTCCTTGGTATGGAACCTATCTTTCGTCCAGTGGTTTTGTCTTACCGGTCTCTTTCTTCTGCAGACCCACTGATGTTCACTCTTATGCGGGACCCTGTCACGCTGCCCTCCTCGCGAGCAGTCGTGGACCGATCCACTATCAAATCGCACTTACTCTCGGACTCCAAGGACCCGTTTAATCGGATGCCCCTCACTCTGGACGACGTCACGCCGGGTACGTCTCTAGACGAACTATCTCAGAAACCTCGTCTAACACGTCCCCACAGACGTGGAGTTGAAGGAGAAGATAGACGCGTTCCTTGCGGAACGGCAGAACAAGAACACTGCATTGGACAAACCTGCGGAGGATGTTGTAAAGATGGATGTATCTGCGGATTGAGCGCACTGCGTACTTGTAGCACATTTGTAACAACGCATACACATGACACGGACTGCTGTACGACACGAACCAGAGAATGTATTTCTCATGTGCATGTGCACCCAGGTTGTGCTTGATCACAGTCTCTGTCGAAACTTGTGCCAACGCGAGGAGGTAGATACGAAAGTTGTAGCACCCTGTATATGCAGGACCAGTGGTGCTCTCGGGATCCAAATGTCAGGTCCTGGCCAACAGCAGCCGTGCGCGTGCTCAACATGCCTCAAGCATGAGCCTTCATGCAGTATGTACACCTGTAGCACTGCATGTACAGTTACAATACACGCACTCACAACTATTTCTTCTTCCGCTTCGTACCTCGCCCTCCGGCGATCGATGCACCCCGCGCCCTGCTACTACCGCTCCCCCTCCGGCCTGCTTTGGTCGTCTTCCTGGCCAGCTTGGTGGCTAGAGGAATGCCTATCCGACAGGTCCGACAAATCCAAGCTCTGGGTAGCATCGCGGACGTACCTGGTGACTGCTCGCGACCCTCTCCATCCTCCTCTTCAGCATATTCGGTCCCGCCATCCGTGCCTGTTGCGATGCTCTCCCGCGGAGTGGGAGATACACTTTCGTCCCCGCTGTCTTGTGTGAGCGCACTGCTGTCGCTGTCGCCGCTCACAAGACCCGCCATGTTCTTGAGCTTGCTTTTCCCCTTCCTGGCTCCAGCAAGACGTCCGATGGGTGGAGGGGAAGTTGAAGGTGAGGAAGACGGTAGGGATGCGGTGGTTTGTATCCGCCGCACGGACACGATGGGCTCGTAAGATTCATCAGGCGGGAAGCTGAACTCTTGGCGGAACCACGGGTGGTTGTTGAGATTCTCAGCAGGGGAGGGGGAGCCAGCGCCCACGTTGGGTGGTGTGGGTGAGCTGGTGACCCCGAATGGATCGTACCCGTCTGCTTCCTGCAAACAGTCAACGACCAACTACATGTTATGGGCTCGGGGCCGTACAATGGTTTCTAGGATATCGAGGTTGTAGCAGGTGCGCAGCTTGCACCACAGGTCGTCCGGTGAGATAAGTCGGCCGGTGTCTCTGAGAATAGCATTTTGGATGGTGAGGATGTGGAAGTGGCGGTGAATACCGACGGGTCGTGCGCGCATCACGGAGCGGAAAAGGGCTATCTCTCCCTCGACGCTGTCGAGAAACGTGGCCGCTTCAGTGCCGGGACTGTCTCTGTTCACGACGGCCATTTGAAGAAAGAAAAGGGGGGTGTTGGCAAGGCAGGCGGGGGCAGCCCACGTCCATTGCCAGCTGCAAGTTGCTCTCGCCGCCAAGTGTGGCACAGAGATCGGCGAGCGCCTGGCTGTATATGGAAGGTCCGCTCGAGGAATGGCTCTCGCTGGTACACCATCGTAACCATTCGGCTCTAGCTCTGCTTCAGTGCCTCTCCGCAGCGTATTCAGGGGCATACCAGCATGGCCATACCCCTAGGCAATTGCTCATCTATAGCGTCGTAGATAGGAAGAGTGGGAAGCGACAATAGTTGTACCGCCACTCGGAACAGACAGACCCCTGAAGGTCTGCAGCTACTTGGGCCGAGCTCTTCAATTCGAGATTGAAATTATAGTGAAGACGTCATTCCGGTGAGTGATATGCGGTCGTAACGAGCTTTCAGTTGCGACTGTGCTGGGACATGCGCTCGCTAATTGTAGGAGCTCTGAATGGATCAATGAGCGGTCCTCCTTGTATGTGTGTCGTGATAGCATGCTAGAGCGAGCCACCTTGTTAGCCCACTCTGACTAATCCCTTGATCACGAGTCTGTGGCTGCTACGCATTGATTCGCCACAAGAAGTTCAAGGTGCTGGCCGCCACTAGCGTGAGACATGCATATATAGACCTACACATTCATATTCCTCCACTCTTCCGACTTTTCGTTCTTCCACCGACTTGAGACCCTTTTGAACTTGTGCTATAGACACTTTCTGCATCTTCTGCAACCTCCACTCTCTCAAGAAAACTGCCGTTACCTCTCATTCAAACCTCTACCATGACTGTGGCCCCGTTGAACCCCGGGCCTCCTGGCGCACCCCCTAGTTGGGCGAGAGCTGGTGTCCCTACCCGTAAACGCTCGCCGACAATCTCGTCAGGCCCATTGCGGGAAAAGCTTTCCGTCAAAATCTCTCCTTCACAATCTGCAATGCCTTCATATAGATGTTCGGCCACACAGCCTCCGCCACCACCGTCCCCGTCCACCAAGCCCCTCTCCCCGACCCGTGTCTATGTGCCTAGGAAAGCTTCGAGCCCGCTTTCCGCAACTTCTGATACGACTCTGTGCGGTCGTAGCTCTCCCCCTAGCGCCGTGGTCTATTCATCCACACGGCCATCCGCCGGCATGCATCGCTCCAGTGAAGCACGTCAGACTACCTCAAGAGCCAGGAGTTCTACAGTATCTGGTGCTCCTGCGGCTGGATCTAGTGCGGACGCGTGGATCCAGCTTCGCCGCCAAAGATCTGCTCCCTCCTCCTCTCCATCTCCTTGCGAGGAGCGTGCAAGGCCTGACCCTGTCGCCACCACGCGCCACGAGAGCATAGACCAGGAATCCGCTGCGGACAGACACACCGCATCGTCATTCACCCTGTGTGCGTCCCCAACACCCGGGGCCCTTCCTCGATTCCCAGGCGCTGGCTCGAGCGCAACAGGGAAACAGTCTTATGGCTTTTTGCTTCGGACTATCGGTGACCACAAGAGAGACCAGACTGACCACCCCACAGGCAAGTTCGGCCCAGGCGGTTCCAAATTTATCGAAGACATCAATGCGAGCGCCAGCTATCTCGACGACGACAACGACAGCGAGTGCAACGTCTCCGCGATCACAGGGTATGGAGCCGATGTGGCGTTTGTGAAACACGTATACAAATCAAAGAACGACGACGTCCAAGTCGACTTGGCTTTGTTGCTGAAGCGCTATGCCGACCTCGACAAAGCCCTTGCCGCCTGCGAGCCGCGCCGCGTCCAAGACGCTAACACCAGATTCGTTGAGCAGCTGCGACTGGCCGTGAGAGACCTCGACGCGGGGGTGGGAGATATCCGCTCCACGGCGGGATACGACTCAGCGCTGAAGTCCCTGGATTTTCTGCTGACTCCTCTAGAGCCGTTCTACGCCAACGTAGACTCCGTAGACGACCTGATAGACCTTCGAGACATGGGCTATCAGCTGATGACGCTGGCAATGTCACATTTCCGTTCCTTGCTGAGCGTCGTGGTTATGGAACGGGAGCACCGTAGGCCGGGGCTCTCGCCGCAGGACGTCTTTGGGCCATTACGGCGGGCCATGACACGCATTGAAAATCTCGTCGACCTCGTCGGCAGGCGGAGAAATGAACCGCAAGCTCACTGGGCGAAGGACAGGCATAGTGGTGCCGAGGACGACGACGATTTCACTGTTGTCACACGAGGAGAAGATGAGGACGAGGATCTATGTGATCCGTTTGACTCCGCGTATGATGCTCTACTCGCAAGCATGTCTGCCGACTTCCGCTCAGGCGCGCGTAATGCCCGGGATTCTTTGGCAGTGTTCCCCAACCTCTCTTCAAGCATTCCCAACGCTGAGCTGCCAACTCCCCCCGAAGACGAGCTGGATGTCATAGTGAATCTAGATGGTTCCATTACTGCGGCGACCTTGAAACAGATCGTCCGCATTTTAACCGACCGGCGCGAAGTCCTGGTGCGCGACGTGACAGAGCTGACGGACTTATTCTTCATGTTCTTCCGGAAGTTCACGCCACCAAAAGGTCTATTCAAGCTCTTAGTTGAACGCTACAACGAGCAAGCTCCCAAGGAACTCGATGCCTCGCTGCTGCCTCTCTGGCGGCTCCATGCTCAATTTTCCAAGATCCAAGTGGCGAAGTTGTTGTACCTCTGGTGTAGCAATTACTGGAAGGGGGCAACCGACCAGGCCGTCGTCAAGAGCATGACAGATTTCATCTTCGGCACGCTTGCAAAGGATAAGGATCTTCCCCTGGATACAGCTAAACGGGTGTCGAATGCCCTGTTGGAATGCTGTTGTGGCCGCGCCGACATCAGCCACTCGAGGTGGCTGGCAAGAGAAGTCAAGCTTACGCAACAAGCTGCGGCACATTATGAACCGACGGCGTTCGCACAACAGCTCAACGGCGGCATGATGAAGCATGATTCCCTAGATTTCAACCTGCTGGATATCGCGGTCTTCTGGGCCGATGGGGGTTTTGAAGAACTAGCACGCCAACTGACGGTCTCAGAGTCCGACTATTTCCACGCCTTCCTGCCTCAAGACTTGATCGAGTTCCGCGACGCCAGCCTCCAGCACAAACTCAATCGGTGGAGGTCGTTCACAAATGCCATCAGTCTTTGGGTTACGAAAACCGTCGTCGAACAACGTAAGATCACTTATCGTGCGCGTGTTGTCAAGCTCTTCGTCCAGACTGCTGCTGTGAGTAGCGCTTATAAGTATATCATATCCGTTCATACTGACGACGCCGCTTCTATAGGCTTGCAAAAATCTGCGCAACTTCAATTCGGCGTATGCTATTCTGCTTGGTCTACAGGCCAGTGCCGTCACGCGTCTCAGGAGAACAGAAGAGCTTTTGGACGAACGCACCGTATCTACACGTGAATCTCTCGGCGAGTTCTTCAATGGAAGGGATTGGCGCCTATACCGACATGAGCTACCTGTAAACCTACCTGCGATTCCGCTATCAGGTTGGTGTGCGGTTCATTATAGGCATTTAACCTCAGCGCTGACTGTTTTCTGCTCTAGTTATGATCCCCAAGGAAATCAGTCCGATGCGGGAATGCATGCAGCGTGTTGACTCGACGGTGGGGCCACCTACGGCGCCGGTGGAGGGCATGATCCCCCTCAAATTCTATCGCCACATGCGCCGAATCGTGCGTGGTAAGTCGTCACACCATTCATCTTGCGACGACTACTCATAAATTCTATGAAACAAAGACCTCGAGAAATGTTATGGTCGTCACAAGCTCACGTCCACGGAACTCGTGCGCGGCTGGCTGGAGCATCATCTCGAGCCACTGATGGCGGTACAATACGACAAGTATTCACAGACACTATTTGACAAAAGGTGCGCATGTTTTAAGGCCTAGTCGATCCATAGCGTCGTACTCACCGTTGAAATTCAACTCTCAGTCAGCATCTGGAAGTTGAAGCTTCAACGAGCGAAGAAAAGGCCGGTTTGTCCACGACTTCTACGCGCCGCTGCAAGACCTAGAAGCCGTTCTCGCCCTACGCCTCCATTTGACGAACCCTATTTATAACTCATTTATCAGCATCGCATCACCGCTCAAGTACTGTTCGGGCTGCGGTAACGTGCTTCCATCGTCTCTAGATCTGTGCCATTTATTATCTGTTTATCGTCCTGTTATACCTGCCGCTCATTTAATCGCTTGATGTTAATTGTGTACTTACACCAATTCTACGATCCTTGATACCGTCTGTACGATGTCACCTCACTGTATCATAGACCTTACGCTTACCGGATGTACTGCTAATCCCACGCTCGCCAATGTATTATTTTATGAATGAGGTGCTTATGCTGTGAGCACAAACGTGATGAATATCCGACATATGTCGTACCGAGTCTGACGTTTTGACAACATAGCATATTGCATACACATGAGACGGTAATAGCTGCTCAACGCCTCGAGCAAAGTGAAGGGCCCCACCTCCGCACACCGCTTCCCGTAAACTGCATGCTTATGCAGTCGTCCGGGCAGCCTCAATCCGCCTGCGCGCGACCTGTCGCCGGTTGAGGCCAGAGAGAGATGTCGTTGCGACATCTTTGTCTTTGCTGCGCTCGACCTCGGAGTCGGTTGCGGACAAGATGATCTCGACGTGGCAAGGGTGACCCTGGTAGGGGTTGATGCGACCGTGTGCACGGTATGTGCGGCGGCGGGTTTTCTGGCGAAGTGGACGATTATAAGCGCCCCGTCAATGATCTGAGAACATAACTGCAGCTTACGGGTGCCTGCTGCACAACAATGTTCTTGATGTAAAGATCTTCGAGCTCCAGGTTTTTCGCGTCAGCATTCGATTCTGCGTTCTTGAGGAGGCGTAGGATGAAGCGGACAGACTTCTCGGGCCAGCGACCTATTGTGGAGGTGAGCGGCTCGGCGGGTATAATACTCGGGGCAGGACATACCCTGAGTCGCCTTGAACTGCTTCGCCTGGCTCGCACGTCCAACACCACCCGCAAAGCGACGGAAGGGGATAATCTGCTTGTGTTCCTTCACGTCGCTGAGGTAGGTGTATGCCTTGGTCAGCTTAAGACCTGTGTTCCCGCAACTTTCAGATCCTCGACCTGAACACTGAAACCAAAGCAATCTCACCAGTCAGAGCCGCCGCGACTTCACGCATGTTCTTGAAGTGCGTGCGGAGGTACTCACCCCGAGCACGCGAAGCTGGAGAGATTCCAACATATATGTAAGTCTCCGCTCGTAAAGACGGCATTTCTGGACGCACTCTTCTCGGGGTTGGTGGCGGTAGCGGCGGCGGCGTAACGAACTGCATCAAGAGGCTATTCAGCACGCCGTGCAGCAGCATATCAGGATTATACGCACCCATCTTGAAGTCTTGAAATGTTGGGCCCGGATTCGTAGTATCCTCCCAGGAACTAACGTGAGTGGCTGAACCTTCGCAGCCACAACTGCCTAGTACCCGGAGATTGCCGAGAGGCCTTGCTCGCCAACTCGGATAAGATAAGCGCTTGTCAAGAGATTATTGAGTCCGCTTTCGAAATGCGGTCTATTCTCCCTTCTCATCATGTTCGCGACTGCCGTATGTCTTGTGAGGAGGCTCGAACTTTGCGAATCTAATGAGGCTATCCACTGCTACATCTCATCTTTTGCGATTGAACCCTCAGAGGTACTTGCATCAATACTGGCCATCGTTCATCTGCATGTGTGTCTGGGATGGAGGGCAAACTTCAGCGTGCGATGATAAGCTGCATTCTCGGAACGCCGTATGTTCTCTTATCACGCCTACTTTAGTCATTACAGATCGAAAGCATGCAATCAGTATAAAGCTGCCGCGCGAGGCGATGTTCCAGCGAGTCGGCTTGGCCCCTATATCGACAAACTCGGTTCTTGACGAGTGAAATGGCGAAAACTGAGCTTCCTCTTACCTCTGGGGACGTTGAAAGCGAAGCGAAGCGGCATGAGGTGCAACTTATGACCCCTCCGAAGCCGCGGTCTCGCATTGGTCGTGCTCTGCGACTCATTCTGGTTCTGAGCTGTATTGTGATCCTCACTTCCAAGTTCGACGTCAAAATCACGCCCAAACCATTTGTCTCATTGGCGTCCGCCGCTGGAGATGTCTGTCCTCAAGCTGCACCCCTCGTTCCCACCTCCCCGCTAATGGCAGAGCTCGATGAGGAGTATGCAACGGAGGGGTTCAAGGCGCGTGCAATCAACGCGCTAAGTGGTGCTGTCCAGATCCCGTACGTTGCTCCTTGTCTTCATAAGTACACACATCCGATGGGTTCGACAGTACCCAGATGTGGGACGACCTGGAACCCCCTGGTCAGGATCCGCGCTGGGAAATCTTCAGTGACATGCACGCATATCTTGCGAAAACATTCCCTCTCGTGTACGTCGGTTCGTTTTGATGTCCGCATCTCGACTTACGCCAAATAGTCACTCAACGTTGCGTAAAACTGAGGTGAACATTTACGCCCTTGTCTATCACTGGCAGGGAACGGACCATTCCTTGAAACCCATGCTGTTGACGGCTCACCAAGGTAGGTTTTGTATGTTCGACATGGATGTGATATTAAATCTTTTGATGTGGCAGACGTTGTGCCTGTCGAGCCAGTCACTCTTGACCAGTGGATTCAGCCGCCGTTCTCCGGATACTATGACGGTAGTGCAGCCGGTTTCTCATACAGACTGCTTCTTGCTCATACCTTCCGAAGGTGAATGGATTTGGGGCCGGGGCAGCTGTGACGACAAGCCCGGTCTCATCAGTACCATGTAGTGCATGTCTACTTGGTCCCAGAGCTTCATTTACCAGTCGTACATAGGCTATCCATCGAAAAGCTGTTAGAGAAAGGTTTCCGGCCGAAAAGAAGCATCGTTCTCGCTTATGGCATCGACGAAGAACGCAGCGGAGTATCCGTAGGTGCTCATATGAATTTATTTTCGCTGCGTCGTCTGATATCAGCATAGGGCGCTTCTGCCATTTCCGAATTTCTTCTGAACACGTACGGCGAGGATGCGTTCTCAATCATTGTCGACGAGGGTGGTCAGTTTGATCTCTCGTTTTGATCGCTCTACAGTTCTAAGTTGACTCGTAGGCCACTACACCGTTCGAGGCGATACCATCATGTCCAACCCTGCAGTTGCCGAGAAGGGCAAGTTAAATGCCAAGATAGAGCTTTCCGCTCCCGGTGGTCACTCGAGTGTCCCGCCTCGTCACCCTGTAGGCACTCATGCGTTAGTCGTACAAACGTGGATATTCATCGTCTCGACGGCAGACCATCGGCATGCTCGCCCGCATGATCACAGAGCTCGAAGCCAACCCTCACACGCCACACCTCAACCGTAGTTCCACCTACTATTCTCAGCTGCAATGCCAGGCGCAGCACGACCCAGTGTTCTCTGGCCATTTCAAGAAGCTGATCAAGGACTCGATAGCGAGCGACACGGCCTTGGCTCAGCTGGAGGAGGAGCTCAAGAGCACTGACAGGATGTTCGGACCCCTTGCCGGAACAACACAGGCGGTCGATATTATACATGGTGGCGTAAAGTCTAATGCGCTCCCGGAGAATGCCTATATCATTGTCAACCATAGAATTGACACCATGAGGTTGGTATTCGCCCTGAACCAAGTGCTTTAGGAGCATCGATGCTGAGCGTCGCCCGCGTAGTTCTGTTGCCACAGTCAAGGCGCACGTCGCCGGTACCATTGGCCCTATCGCGCATGCCTTCAACCTTTCTGTGGATGCGTTCGGTGAGCAGTACGGCGACTTGAAGAAGGGTAGTGCATTCGGCCATCTCGAGATGGTGGACGCTTACGGCACTGAGCTTGAGCCCGCCCCCGTCACTCCAACTTTTGGGAGCGGTCCCTATGAGCTGCTCGCCGGCACGATCATCAGCTCGCTGGGTACCTCTCCTCGGTCTGACATTCCTAAGAAGGCATTCCTCGCGCCCACTCTCTCTACTGGTAGGTGCCCCTTGAGTTTGGTTGAGTACAGTGCTGACGTAGCGTTTTCCAGGAAACACTGGTACATTCCTACACATTTACTTTGAAACCGGCTTCGATAGCTTACGTTTATATCAGATACCAAGTGGTACTGGAAGCTGACGAAGCACATCTTCCGTTACGGACATGTCAACTCCGGTGATAGTTACAATGGTGCTCACACTGTCAACGAAGGCGAGTCCAAGTGCCATCCGTTTCCGCGCATAAATCTGAGTGAGAAGCATTTGATAGCCATTCGCGCAGAGGGTTTCTTCGAGGTCATCAGATTCCACACGCGTCTCATTCTGAACGGTCATGACTCCTCTCTCCTTGAGTGATGATGTTAATAGAAATGACCAGACGACATTACTTGGAATCTAATACAAAGTAGCATCTTCAGAGTAGCGCGTTCGGCGAGAACGATGTTACATCCAATAGATAATAGGAATGATTACAACTTATTGATACTCATCTTACGTAAGAACGGCTTGCGACTGGCGAAGTCAATCATATCTCTTACATTAACGCCGTGGCCTTGACCTGAACGGTATACCGGATATAACCCCGCGCGCGAGCTCAGATGTGGTCCGCCTAAGACACTGCACCCTTCTTCGTCGATTTCATTCTATCACCCGCTGACTACCGCCGCTATGCCTGATATTGTAGTTGTCCATCAATTGAGCAACGGTTTGGCCGTGCCGCGCCCCGGGGATGCGGGAGTATCAATGAACTCCAACTTGAGCGGGCTCTCAGGGCCTACCTTGGTCCATAGCAGTTTGAGAACGGTGATTGGGCAGTCAGAGCGTGCTGGACCAGATTCACTGGTTGCGAAGGAGGAAGACCCTGTGAGTCCAGCCACAAATTGGCTATAAGTCTTTACCTCATGTCTATTGCAGCTTCAGATCTTGAACGATGAGCTCAAGGTTGCCAATGCTATCAAGGAGGGAGCGGAGAACATGCTCCAGGTGCCTCTGACAGTGCGTCGTGTCATTGTATTTTCGTGGATGTCTGTTCCGACATGTCAATGTAGGATGCGCTGCGAGTACAGGTGGAGACCGAGCTCGAGAATGCGAAGAACCAAATCAGTGCACTCACTAAGACGATTGAGACGCGTAAGCATTCGTACATTGCGGTTTGATATGTTGACTTAAGCCACACGACCAGACTCGTCACGAGGGACTCGTAAGAAGAGCAATGAATCCTCGAAAGGCAGATTCGGGTTCGGTAGACCACCTGCTCTACGTCCGAAACGGCCATCTGACGCTGCGGACCGAGGTGAATTAGACATCACGAAACTCACAGAAGATACTTCTAATATCGATCACAGACGATTTCCGATTTGCTATGCAGCAAGCCGTTTCTACACTTACTACTCTAGCGTCGTTGACCCGACACCCTGCTGTAACAAAGTCTCCCGCGTCCTTGTCTCCCTCGGCTTCTCCGTCAGGCTCCAATTTGTCCAAACCGACGGTCATGGACATCGTCGAGTTGGATCGCGCTAGAGTGAATGCAATGACCAGCCTCGTTGGTTTACTCCAGCGCAATCTTCGCGTCCGATATGAATTAGATATTGCTGGAGTGGTTCAAGCGTGAGCGATGCGTCACTCGAGCTGGCAATCTGACTAACATCACACGCTAGCGTGTTGCCTTCGCTTTCGGATCGCTCGACCAAATGGTGTCGAGCAACCGCGTACAGGCTCATCAGACATGCACTGGTAGATGCGCATACGGTGGAGCGTCTTCGGGAGCAAAAGCTCGATTGGTACATTATTAAGTGAGTGCGCAAGTACGACTCCCGCGTCATACTAAGCATCTGCACCAAGGTCACTTGTTCGAGACAACAAATTCGCGGTAGAGAAAGAACAAGTCATCAAGCTCATCCGCACCATTGTCGAGATCGGATCGCAGCGACGGGTGCCCGACTCCACGGTCGGCTCTGGCGTAGTTCCCCTCTCAACCGCAGTCATGCATGCGCTGATTGCAGTGGCGGAGTCGGTGGACGACCCATTCAGGCCAATATCCATACAGACGCTGACCGAGATATGTGAGTCTCGTCCTTACGATGAAAGAGCGGTTGTGTGAACAGTCATTTCAGTGCTAATCGACATTGACCTCATGGCAAAAACCGGCGGGATACGGACGCTCCTTCACGCTATGGCTGAGGGTCCCCCGGAGATGGCGTCGCTCCTCGCTTCTGCTTTTCTGCATATCGTGGATTCGCCTCGAACAAGAGTGTACCTCCATCCCGGGATTGACCTAGAGGCACGTCCGCGACACAGGCTGTCCCCGGATGGCTTCTGATCTACATGACAGATTGCGCTTTCTGGAGTCATAGATGCATATGGCAAGGGTCCAGAAAATGCAGAGCGGATGCGGGCGTGTGCTCGGCTCATAACATCTATGTTGAAGACATGGAGCGGCGAGTGATCAGTGAATTATAGCATATCATTAAGTTAAAAGTTCATTCAACAGGCCTCATGTACTTCTGCGTGCATGATAAGCTCGCCATCCGCACCTTGATAGATGGGCTTCGAATACCTTCCCTCGAGACACGGGTATGGCAGTTAATCGGAGGTTTCTAACTCAACTGACAAACGTTTAGGAAATCCTCATTGATATGTTCTTTGACCTCTTAAATATCAGGCCGCCTGAATGGCATCAAGCCTTTATCGATGGTCGACGACTAACAAGTAGGTATTTTTGATGCAAACGGAAAGTGTATTCTGGCTTATGATGCGTAGTGTACCGAAAGGCACAGCCCGTGGACCAAAACAAACTTCCTGAACAGAAGCCACCGCCTACTTTGAAAGTCACAGATCAGTACATTGCCCTGCTAATTCAAGTCTTCTCGAGAGCAGGCTTATTGGACGTGCGTTGTCGGTGGTAACAAGTTCGTCACGATTCTGATAGGTGTCAAGGCCTTGACGTCTATGCTAGAAGAGAGCGCCGTCGGATCTATCTTGTCCCGCAAGGCAGTTCTACTGATGGCGGAAGTGTTGCAAACAGCGAACCGCGTACTACCTTTGTCGATTGCGGCGTCGCTACAGGTGAGTCTCCTAGATCATCTATGCAGCCACAAGCACTCATCCATCTCTTAGGCCTTGCCTCACGTGTTCAACCTAGCATCAGAATATACTTCTGGTGAACACCGGATAGTCGGTACCTCAGCACTTTCATCCCTCGACAGTTTCAATCGACACCAGGCACGCATCAATCCACTTGCGGCTGTGGAGAAAGATTGTATCCGACCTAGGTAGCGTACTGAAGTACTTCACAGTGATCGGTTTGTAACATGCTGTGACAGAGCCAATTCTGTTGAAGAGATGTTGCGACGTCCAAGACAGCTGGAGCAGCAGAAGGTTAAGCAAGCATTCGCTATGGATGACAAGACATTCCAGTCCCTCCTGCTGGAGACACAGGTTTGTGCAGAAGGGTCACTTCCTCTTGCATGCGTGGCTTGGCTCTGATGGTTTGTTTAGGTCATGCTCACAAAAGATCTGACAAAGTGGAACCATGATGTTCTTGCTGAGCTCATAGAAGGACCGCTTCTCAACCCTAAGCGAATGGAGGAGGCCATCCGTGTATCGCGGTACATGCGAAAGCTCGTGTCCTTCTTCCATCCGTTCAGCGATCGATTCTCGAAGCTGGCGAAGACCAAGGTCGGGACATCTCATGATGACTTTCCCTGAGCTACTACATCTATGTCTTTTGCCAGGCAAACATCCGTTGGGTCCGGCTGGGATGTGCACTCCTTAATACATTGTTATCGACTAGTGAAGGCATTCGGTTCCTCGCTGAAGACGAGCTGCTGGCCCAGATTGTCAAGGGTTTTGCACAGCTTGATCCTGTGCGCGACTTCGATGTTATATTATAGCCAGCGTGCTGATTCAAGGTTCGACGTAGTTCAACAGCGTACCAACCTCGGAGCCGATCTTCTCGAAGAAACGGATGCAAGAGACTTTGACGTATGGCTATTTCGAGATGCTTGGGGTATTGAGTAAACGCAAAGAGGGCCTCGAGTAACCACCTCATTTATATCTTCATTCATGTTCGATGATGCTCACTGCTCCGTAGGCTCCTCGAGAAATTCAAGCTGTTCACTGCTTTCTACCACCTGAGCGAATTGCGAAGCCGAGAAGACCTCACCAAGGGGATTATTGAAAATTTGGATTATGGCATGTATGTGCTATTTTCTGGTTGACCGCTAAGGGAGCTTGTTAAACTAGTCTTCAGCGACGGGCATTCGCGCATCGTGTTCTCAAAGGCTCTCACTTCAAGTTATAAGGTCGGTACAATTTCTGAAGTCTTCATCTGTCGTTTCAAAGCTCGGTTCACAGCACATACGCCTCTTCGCCACCAATCACTTAGGCTCCCTAATACGTGCCTCGACGACTGCGAACGCGTGGACATTGCGTTTGTTATTGACACAGCTCTACGACCCGGCTTTTGAAGTTCGCGAAGTTGCTGTGCGCTATCTAGAGGAGGCTTGCGAGGCGCCAGATGTCCTGCAAATGGTGGTAGAGATGCAACCCACCCTGGAGCATCTCGGCGAAATGGGACATGCCCTAATGTTGAAGTGAGTCATAACTCTTTCTCTAGTATTACGAGCGCTTAAATGCATGTTGCAGGTTCATGTCGACTCCAACTGGTTTCCGCTTCCTCTACGCTGCTGACTATATTGACCGCGAGATGGACTTGTGGTTCCATGTGAGGCTTTTGCAAATGGTTTGATCGTGGTTTGATCTTGGTCTTTTGTGCAGGAGCGAAACTTACAGTACGCGACATACATGGAAATCTTCCTCGCAAGGGCCTTCAGTGCAGTCAACAACGATGACCAGGAGAAGCCCTTGTCTGTGCTGGTCCTGTTATCGATTATTCGCTTCCTGATCGTCTCTTCATCCCAGAACTCTTGAAGCATCCGTTCCACCACATTTCTATGGCGTCATGGCCAAGACAGAACTAGGGTACCACGTACTTCAAGAGAAGGGGCATTTTGTCGAATTTGCACATTTCATTCGGCAGCATGGCATGGAGTGCTTGGACCACGAGCGCATAATGAAACTTAAGAGTATCCTATGGGCGGTAGTGAGTGGCTTAGCATGTTATCCTCGTGCATAATTTTTGATAACAAAACTTAGGGGAATATAGGGGCTACTGAGGGCGGACTGCCTCTGCTGGAAGAGGAAGAGATCATTCCGGCTATCATGGATATCGCGGAACGCTCATTGGTTCTCTCAGTGCGAGGGTGAGTTTCGCACAGACCACCTGTATTGATGAAATTAACATGGCACTGCAGAACGTGTTTCTTTGTCCTCGGTCTGATCTCATCTACGCCTCAAGGAGCGGAGATATTGGATGACTATCACTGGGAAGCCACACTCTCACCCCTTGGAATGCCGACCGGGCTGTGCGTTCCTGTGGATGTAGACAAATTCACGGACGTAGGTATTCTGATCATCTCCCTTCCTCAATTCTGACTTGGCTGTGACTAGATTCCGTCTTGGGAATGTGTAACCCGGGAAGGGGCAGATGTCATCCGTCTAGAACCTCCGAAATCAGTAGAAGAGACTGAGGTCATGACGGCAATTTACAATCTCGCAAACACAGTCATCGCAAACACGGCGTCACGATCGCTTGCGAAGTGAGTGCCGGCGTTCCAAATTTCCTTCACAGGTGCTGACCTCCACTCCTTCAGGATGAAATCTCTCCCGGAGTATCGCGACATCTTCGGCTCACCCAGCACGCTTTATCGTGCCTTGCATACCATATCGTCACAGAAATATCGGCTGCCGGTCCGCCGATTTATTCTGGACCTCTTTAGCCTGGAGCTGGATACCGAGCTTGCCACTAAGCTATCCGAATGTGCTGACGCCCTACAGATGAAGCCCTCTGCGAAGCCCGCCCGTCCCGGCCTGACCAGGATCATTAGTATGGTCGGTCGCCCCAGCAACAAGCAGCGGGCATCGGACAGTGACGAAGACGACTCCAGTGAGGATCGACAGGCGGTTGTTGCGGAGAGGCGCCCTGTCATGAGTCTTCGTCCTGTCAGCCGTATCGTTGGATTTGAGGAGAACAGTTGATTTGACTGATGCTTGGATAGTGACTCGGTTGTACAGTTGGACTCATACCTATTGATACCCTTGTATTCTCCCCAGAATCTGTGTCACTTGCCATTGTATACCACCCAGTGCATGTACTGTCATATTGCGCTTCAGCTAATCACAATTCCAACGGTGCACAAAGCGAGGTGGCGGATAAGTTGGATACTACCTCAAGCAATGTGTCCGACTTCTGAAATGTTTGCGTGACACGGGGTGTCTGGAACATCAAATAGAACGCTTCATGTACACAAGGACAGTCTACTTCGTGCGAACGATCCTGAGCTTGTTCGGTCTGTAGAGGAAGTTCTCGGAGTAATTCTTGGGAGGGATTCGCTTGACTTCGGGCTCTTGCCTAGTAGAATCGGCGCATGAGCCTGCGTACTAAAATAGCAAGTGGAGATGCATACACGAAGTAATCCCAGCCCTGCTTCTCGGCGAAGTGGACCGCATCCTCCTTTGACCGGAATGACAAGCGCGTGCCCTGCATGTAGTCGGCTCTGGAACGTTGTGAGAACATGTATCAGCGCGAGCACATGTTACTCACGAGCTAGCCCAACCCATAAGGGGATTCTCCCATCTGCCTCCGCCTGGCAAGATATCCCAGTCGATCCGCCAGCGATGAGACTTGCCCGTGCCGCTTTGAGTAGTACTGCGTGTCGGCTGGAAGATCCTCACTGAGCGGTGACGTAGTTCGCCTTGTACGAGGCGCAGCTTGAGTATCCGGCGCCGCAACACGAGGCCTACGACTACTCACCGGGGGCACCACTGAGTATATCGGCGGTTACAACATCCCTCGGGGGGGCAGGGGCGATCTCGGGCTGCTGTTCCTGGGCCTTTGCGGGCGGTGTCTCTGTGCTGAATGCTCTGGCAGCGTTGAAGGCCTTCCCGAGAGGCTGCCTGGGGAGGGCCTGCTTGCAAGCTCGTAGCGCGGACATGGTCGGTGAGGAGATGGCAGCGGTAAGCGCCCAGTACGATGCTGGTCAAACCGAGCCGGCTCGAGCCGAGCCATTGCGATCAAAGCATTTCCGTATGCGGTATCTGATGTTGGACAACCTTCGTCGGCAGAAGTAACCATGGGCTGCTCTCTCACCCTCAGCCTCATACCTCACGCACACCTCTCATGTCCTGAGGATCGCGTGTCTATACTCCCTGTAAAGCCTGAAGGCCGATGGCGACGATCCAGGAGCGGCCATTCTCGAAGAATTACAGGTCCGTATTATGTCCGCTTTTGGACGTGTCAAATACAGGTCCTCAGTTTCTCATCACGGACCAGTGGTCTCATCAACCAGTCTGTGATCGCAGGATGCATCGTCGTAATAGCTATCACATCCCATGAGCTCATGAAGAGAAGACGCCGCGGCAACCCAGGAAATGAGGATAAGCCGGGTAGCGTCGAGTCTTGGGAATTTGGATAGTGCGTCGCGGTGAATTTGTTATGCTACCCACAGGCGCTGATTCAGTGCAGTCTCTATCAAGGCAGATCATGGGCGAGGTAAGTCACATTCCAATTGAAGCTTAGCACTCCTGTTGCAACTAGGTTGCAGGAAACCATCGCCTCTACACTCGCGAGGATGGCCGCTCACTTGGGTCAAAGAAGTGATCAAATTCCCCGAAGAACGTATAAACGAGTTCCGCGGCGTCGACGCGACGTTGTATATTCGTTTCCTTCGCGGCTGCTTCTGGTTCACTCTTCTGCACACCTTGACGACGCTCCCGATTCTGCTGCCTATTCATGTCACTTTCGCTGGCGACTCAGTGCCTCCCAAGTCAATGACCCGGGCATCCATCACGTCCCTGGTTCTCACAGAGAAGGGGCTGTCGTTGCTGTGGATTCATCTGTTGCTCATTATCTGGATCACACTGACATGGTTGTACCTCCTGGTATGGCTTTGCCGTGGAGCATTCCGACTTCGAGCGCAGAATATCGTCGCCACGGCCGACAGAATGGCTTCTGCTGGAGAAAGCATCAACCCCTACGATCATCCGCATCCGCATCCGCAATATCCCTTTCATGTGCACCCATCGCTCGAGAGCGACACCAGGACTCGAGGGATCCGGATGCGCACCGTGATGGTCACGAATGTCCCACCGCTCCTTCGCTCGGAGAAGGACTTGAAGGAATATTTCGAATATTACTTGTCGCGACCGGTCGCAAAGCCCGCTATTGGCGTTACTAGTACAACACCTCCTGGGTTCTTGAACAAGTCTTTTGCCTTCCTACTGAATCAGCTCTCACGAATTCCTGCACACCTACGTCACCCTCGCATCTCCGATCGTAGTGTAAGTGACGTTGCGGAAACGTCTGCAGAGTTCGGTACGTCCGCGTTCTCAACACCAGAGCGGAGCGACACGTCGCCGTCAGTCGAACGAGTCATCCTCGTGAAGAGAATGACTGAGTTGGCATCGTTGCTGGAACGCCGTGAGGAAGTATTGCGCCTTCTGGAGACCGCTCATATCAAGCTGGCCCGAAGAGCTGCAGCGTCCGTCAAGCAAACAATTGCCTTGGAATCAAAGTCTAATGAAGATACAGATTCTCCGACTAGTGAAGGCAGGACGGATGAGGGAGGTGAGAATCGCATGCAGCTCTTGGTCCGTACGTTACGACCGTACCTTGTGCTGCCTAATGCGCAGGAAGAGGCGCCGTTACCTCTCTGGACGCGCTGGACGCAGTGGCTGCATCCCTGGGATTCCACTGCTGACAAGCAGCCGATCAGCGTGCACTCTGAAACGGGCAAGCCCACTGACACGATCTGGGAAGCCCTTCTGAGTCTTCCTCGCAGTACCCTCGACGCATACCAGCCGCTGATACACCTGTCTGCGCTCTTTCGCGGCCGGGCTGTCCCCGCGATAGACTACTACACGGCGAAGCTCGACATCTTGACCTCATTGATTACGGAGAAGCGCGCCAAGGCTGCAAATGGCTATGAGTCGATGTCAACGGCGTTCATCACGTTTGCTGATCCCGCCGATGCGCGAAAAGCGTGCAAATTCCTCGCGGTGCACCCGGCCAACCCGCTGCATTGCTTTGTCACTATGGCTCCAGCCTACGAGGATTTGGATTGGATACGGCTCATGAAGCCGACGTTTAGAGTCGAGGTAGTGTCGTCATTAAGAATCTGAATTGCGTCGGTCTCTCATTGCATTTGCAGTTCGTGAAAGACTGGCTTGTGAATCTTGGCGTCTGGTATGTCCTGCTCATCGTTGCATATATGACAGAGGTACTAACATAGTTTATAGGGGATTCACGGTATTTTGGGTGTTCCCAGTGTCAATTTTCGTCGGTCTTGTATCCATTCAGAACATCAGCACGTTCTTGCCTGGCCTTGTAAGCGCTGCACGTGTCACCGCGCTTTTACCATAATAACAAGATATTCTCTAGGATAACTACCTGAACAAGCATCCTTGGGAGGAAGAGGTTTTACAGTCGTTCGTACCCACCCTTCTGGTCTCCCTCTTGTCTCTCCTGATCCCGCTCATCTTGCGTGAGTCTTGTGCCGTTCGTAAATCTCTGCTTCTATGCTTAACTCTCAGGCAGTCTTGATTGCAAAGAAGGCACATACCATCGCCACGCTGTCCGCCATGCACGACAGGATCATGACACGATACTATAAGTTTCTTGTAGTGAACGTCTTGGTCTTTTTCTGTGTCGGTACGGCAGCACTGCAATCTTTTCTTGTATCCTTCAAGGCGACTTCTGGCTTGAAGGTGATTCAAGTGGTGGCAGATAGTTTTCCCACAGCCGGACCCTTCTATGTTGGATGGTGTTAGTATCTCACCGTATTCCGGCCTTTCTGGTTCTTATGTCCTACGTCAGTGATATTCACAACGGCGATTCACGGGGGGTTCGAGTTGGCTCTATGTAAGGACTTCTTTATCTCTTTGGTGTAATGTCAACCTGCTGATTGGCTTACACATAGTTGGCGTACGTTGCAAGCTCATGATACATGCGGGCTCCCGACTAACCACCAATGTAGCTGCCTCTCATCTTATATCCTTCCACGAAGCGTCAGATAACACCGCGCAAGCGAGCAATTGGCATACGTCCACGCACTTTCAACTATTATTGTGAGCTAACATCTTTGATGGTGGCGGCAGCGAAACACTAATCGCACCACCGATGTAGATTGGCTACCCAATCATGTCTTAGTCATTCATGTTCTTGTAGTTTTTGCTGTGTTGAATCCGTTGGTCATACCGTTTGGTTTCCTATACTATTGTGTGGAGCTAGGTGAGTGCATCTACTACCTAGCTTCACGTCTTTCTATTATTTACATGGTTGGTCTTAGTCGTCATCAAGAACCAGTTAATACATGTATATGCGAAGAACTACGAGAATCATGGACGTACGCTGACGATTCGCATAATACGATATTCTTGTGATGGTGAGCTGCGCAAGCCCTGCGCTAAGAACCACGCTGATCAGTAGACCCCCCCTCTTTCAGGCTTGATGCTTGCTCAGGTACGCAATACTACTTTGTGACCGTGCTGTGATTTGACTGTTTGCCATCAGGTCGTCTTTCTAGCGTACATGGTTGTCCTGAAGAAGCAAGCTAATGTCGCCGTGTCAGCGGTCTTGGTAGCCTTGACAGCTATTGTGAAGCTTCTGTATGTTGTTGCAATTGACCATAAATCTTGGTTCTGACCGAAGTCGTACAGGTTGACGCGTCTCTGTCGTGCTCGCTTTGAGCGCGATGACATGCTGGAGGCGGAAATTATCTGTGGCACAGGCATTGCGCCTGAAGCTCTCCTCGACGAAGCGCAGCCAATCGAGAAGACCCCGACAGAAATGGACCCTGTGAAACTGCTCAGTCCCCACCACAATACGACAAGGACGTTGCCGGCGCGGGGTCCTTGGGGATTGCCTACGAGGATCGACGACGGATATGCGACAATTCCGCGACGACCGCATGACCGCATGCAACGTGGTCCTAACCCATTCGCCTCTCAGGACCCTGAATGCGCTGCTGAAGAGATATTGCCGGAGAAGACCATGGCCCTAACCATTTCGACTATACCGTTGCCCCGAGACCGTTCGGAAGACAACCAAAGCAGTCACAGTCGGCCAAACCGAGCGTCTGCACCATCTGCATCGGTCACACCTCATGTGGCGCATCCAGCGTGGGACGACGAGTCCTGTCCAGATCGTCCATATGAAAACCCCTATTACGCACGCGCAATCCACGAGGAACTCTGGCTGCCTCGGGATCCTCTAGGCCTGCTTAACCTTGACGATACAGTCAATCTCCGTCTCTCATTAACCACCCAACCCGGGTCGGGAAGGCTGGGCGCATGGAGAGAAGACGAATTCTTGGCGTCAGGTCTCTCGACATTCATGGGCAGCGTGGATCGCAACCGAGCTGCATCTGTTGACGGGGCACCAACCAGAAGGCTGCTCGGTGTTGAGCAGATCGACCTGCCATCAAGTATCTTATCGCGTTTAGAGTCCGTCGATGCGGACCTCGACACGGAGCTTGAGCCTCCCCATCCAAGGAGGTCAATCGCATGTGGACGGCGCCACGCTAGCCTCGGTGGCCGGCCTGCGTCGTTAGAATTCGGTCTCGAGCACCCAGGCAATGTTGCGACGAATCGTGCATCCGGCTGGCGCTCCTTCTCTATGAACGTACCGCATTCTAGGCGGCTAAATTCCTCGTTTTTCACGGTGACCAGCGGCGACCGTCAGCTCCGTTCTGTATCTCTCGACAGCTCGCGTGAGAGTAGACATCTGCGCTCGATGTCGACCACCGCGATCCCCCTTGGGCAGGTCGTACCAGAGCGCTGTTCTAGTCCAGAAACGACTGGAGCCGAAGGCATCGTCTCTCTGCGGGAGGCCGTTGTCGAGGAAGCTATCGTAGAGGAAGAGGTGGCAGCTCAGGAACGCCTACTGCAAGAAGAGGCTGAGGAAGAACAAGCTGAGGAACATCGATCATGGTGGACTTCGTGGATGTTCTACGGCCGGCGATAACTCGTCGAAAAACCCATCTACTTGCTGCAGAAGCAGTCATCGTCGTTTTTGGCTATCCAGTGGGTGCGTCTCATGTAACACCAGGTGTCTCGCGCATTGGTTCTCTTTCTATACCCTGGTACCTGTATATACCCTTCATGTTGGATCTCTGAACATCTCATTCACACACCTGGTATTTTGATCGTTTCGTGCAGTGATGCAATATTTTCGTCTTGCATTACTTTGAATACTACAGCCGCACCGAGCGCGGCAGGCGTGCGGTTAGTTACTCAAGTGTCAAGATCCATGATCAAGATGCGATCGGGGCGACAGCCACCGCGCCTGTGATTCCTGGTTTCTCCCCCTCCCCCTCCCACTTTCCTCTTTCTTTCTCGCACATCGCCGAAAGCAGACTGGTGCAACCCTGTCTGGCATCTATATTCTCGTCTAACGCACCTTTGGCCTTAATGTCTACATCTCTGTCACTAGCTGAAGAAGCTAATCTGCGACTAGTACCTTCCATTGGTACAAACATGTCGCCCCTATCTCTGACAGACTTCATATCAAGGTGACTTCGCTATCTAATTACCCGTTCAGAAAGATTCACGTAGCCCCAAGCCTTGAAACACTCTGTGCAGGAATCGTTGCTCCTGCTGGATCCATCGGCGTAACTCGACCCGTTATCGAAGACCAGATTCAGAGGCACGCCCTAGTCACCAACCGTCTCAGAAGACAGCTGAACGCTCAGTTTGTACCGATCAATAAACTTCCACCGGAGATCCTTACGGAAATTCTCCTTGCGTATGTCGAGGAGTTCAAATTGTCCTTTGACGAGCGAATGTCCAGTAAATATTGGAAGTGGACAGCAGCGCTCTCAGTATGCTCGTATTGGCGAGAAGTAGCCCTCAGCAGTCCCCGCCTCTGGAGCTTCGTGGCGGTCACGTGCAACGGTGAATGGATGTCGCAGGTCCTGCAAAGGGCTAAAAGCACACCTCTGATCGTTGTCGGACGGCTGGACGGCGTAACAAGCTTCAAGGACTATGAAGCCTTAGAGCTTGTCATGCAACAACTACCACATATACGTTCCCTACACCTTCATACCGAAGGCCATATCCTGGAGGATATACTCGCGAAAACGGGTCGATCTGGGAATAGGTTAAGAAGCCTGTGCATCGCTGCCAATTCGCTCAGCAATGTCTATCGGCCGACACCACCACCCAGCCTCCTTATCAGCGGGCAATTCGAGTGCTTGGAGCGCCTCGAGATTAAGGAGGTCCCTTTACCACGGAAGGTGACCAGCTCCCTTGCGTCGCTCAAGCATCTTAAGGTTACCCAGGCTCGAGATGCCCGATTATCACCTCTCTCAGACGTGCTCTCAGTATTAGAGCAGCTGCCTCTTTTACAGACATTAGAGCTTAACGCCTACCTGTGGCTGACGGAACACGACCACGCAGCAACGATCTCCAGCCCGTGGGAGGTGACGCTGCCCAAGCTCAGGACGATATCCCTGACAGCGAGAACGAAAGATTGCGTCGCCCTTCTGGGGTGCTTATCCCTTTCCCAAGGCGTCGTCTACTCACTCCGCTGCATGGGAATGGATCAGTGGGAAGAGCTCGCAAAAACACTTACATCGAAGCTTTCTGGAAAGCAGATACTAGCCTTCTCCGTCAAGTCCGGACTCAAGGACTCCCTAGAAAGCCAGTCAACTACACGGATATGTGGATCATTCACCGACTCACTAGGCTCTCCCGACACTGGTGCAGAACCCGAGCAGTTCGCGTTCAAGGTCACCGTCGATACACCGTTTCGTCAGGAGATCACGAACCTCGTAGCAACATTCTGTGCACAGATGCCACTCTCGGCCGTCAAACAGCTGGAAGTATCATCGCTTGAGCTATCGTCGAATATGTGGTGCTTAGCCTTCGGGCAGATCACCTCCTTGGACAAGCTTGTCGTGTCCGGGCCGGCTTTCAAGGATCTCTCGCCGGCGCTGCGTACGGCTGACAGCCATCACGGAACAGCTGTAGACGGGCGGAAGCACTTCTTCTTGCACGACATAGCCACCCTCCATTTGCACAACGCTCGTTTCGCTGATCTTCGGGACCATCAGGATCCGGAAGAATCCCTTATGGGCTTCTACGCAGAGGATCTGGAGATGTCGCTCAAGGAGCGACAAGAGCACGATTCGAATATCGAGCGTCTCGTGCTTACGCAAACTATCAATCTATGGGATGACGATTTCCATGCGCTCGAGGCTCTTGTGGGAAATGCAATGTGGCAGGGCACCAACGATGACGAACCCATCGAAGATAACCTTTGGGCTGGGTTTGACGGAGGGGAAACGGACGAAGAAGATGAGGAACACGAAAATCTCATAGATGAGAATGAGCACATCATGCCTCTCCTCCCCTTCGAGGACGAAATTGAGGACGGGATTTTTGATGGCCCAGATGCCAACGATGCCATCCTTTTCGGAATCGGTTGGCCGTGAGGGACGGCCAGGGCATCTCTGCAAATGGTGCGTCGTCATATAAGCCCTGGCATGTTCCGTCCCCTTACTTGACCTTGCGCATTGCAGATAGCATCAAGCGTCCGTGAACGATTATCGCAAATATCTCTATACTAGCATTATAGATATCACAAAAATAATGTTCAGAAATCTTCGCACTTTGAATTATCGAAAATATCCCTATCTTAGCACTCTAGATATTATGTAGGCCACAAAAATACTGTATAGAAATTATCTCACTTTGCACGATGTATGATACTGCATAATAGCACACATGGAAGCAAAAGACCGGTGGTGTCCACCGTCTCGACAATCACACAACTCCCGCCTCAGTCGGGCGTCTAATTCGCCACTGCGACTCATGTGGATACTTACGTGGTGTTTGCACGATGTCGACCCAACTGTTAGCTGACTTCCCTGAGCTCTCTCACTTATCGTGAGCTACACTTTTCTATGAAACAATAGTCGCTTAGATAAGAGTGAACCTACAGACGAGATGACCTACAAGAACTTCTTGTCGACCCAGTCTACTTCCAAGCTCTGTTTCATTCACTAAACCAAGTGAAGGCTTTATACCAGGCCCAGGCAGAGCTGGGAAATGCTAACGATACGATCGCGAGTATGTACTCCGGTTGTTACTACCTGCAGTAGCGTCCTAAGCAGCCTCCAGAGAACAACCTCACGCTGCAGGATTCGCTTTACCAACTCAGAAGTGAGACGCAAGAGGCGTTCAATGAGGCGAAGGACCTTGAGGCGAAGTGGAAAGAAGTAGAGAAGGAACAGAGAGAGGTTTATCAGGTTTGTCCTCTCACGACTATGTCGGAGGTCGTCACTTGAAGCGCGAATAGCGTTTCACCCCTCAATTCCTCCTCATGCGCCTGAGACACGCCACGACTGCGCAAGACGACCTCTCAGAGGCTCGAGCAACCGAGTTCGTACAAGCGTCATCAGTTGAGCCCAATGTTGCAAGCGCGAACAGCAAGGACATCGACGATTTCGTGCGGGAGTTCAAGGAGCTTAGGAAGGTATACCACAAGCGCGTCATGTGGGGTGATCGCTGGGCAGCAGGGCAAGTTACCTGGAGGGACGAATAGCGTGAACATGGCTATTCGCATCGCTTGCGATGGCAGCCTGCATCAGTGTGCATTTCCATTTATTCTAGCAGGAATATCGGAGCCAAGGATATTAGTATATCTACCCTCCAGTAACAAGACAATATAACGCAGCGCACGCTGGAGCCCACACCATGGGAGTTTCAGGCTTTGTGAATTGATTATCATAACGAGTGTGAGTATGTATGTACGTACGGAATAAACAAGCGTGCTAGAACCTAAGCATGGTATATACGGCCACAAAATTAATGCGTCTAGTAATTTCATATAACATCCAAATGCGTGTGCAGCAGACGACGTTAGGTCAGGGAGAAGATAAGAAGGAGGGGACGACGCGAGTTGGTTCCTGCATGACACGCAAGACCTACCGATCTCTAATAACAGCCAGTCCGTGGAATAGTGTGATTGTATGCTCTGAATAGACCAGACAGCTGAGGGCACATACTGTCCCGCAAGAACGTTCTCCGCTTCCCAGCGGTCGCTGCACGGCGCGCGATCAAACAGCTGAACCTCTTAAGAGGCACTCCCGCTGCATGACGTGCCTTTACGAGAGTAATCACATCCTGGATATACTCGGCGCTGTGAGCGTTATCCATCACGTATGTCCCGTATTCGCTGCCGAGAGCGATGTGTTCCAGGTTGGGCAGCAGCGTCTCCGCCGCGAATACCTCAGAATGAAGGTCGGCAAGGCCTTTTAAGAAGTGGCTGACGTGACACCCGTCGAGGATCAGATGCTTGATGCTTGGAAAGAGCGTCAGAAAAGGCCCGAGACGCCTCCCAAGTATGAGGGGGGAGGAATCCTCCGAAATGTGCAGCTTGAGCGAGCGCAGCTTGGGAAACCTGCCGTTCATGCTGTTGCCGTCGCGCAGCGCATCCACGTACCGTCCAGCGGTCTCGTCACGGATGATTTCCATTTCTTCGATGTGGAGCTCCTCGAGGTTGGGCGCGTGCAGCTGTCGGAGGATCGTGTCGTTTTGATAGCAATCGCCGACCTGTAACGTCTTGAGAGCAGGAAAGTGAAGCGGAGCATGTGCCACAAACGCGTAGCTGGACCGGATAGATAGGTGTGTCAACAGAGGTGAAGAGAGCGCGAGGGGTCCAAGATCGGACAGCGTCCACGCTGCACTCGCGACAGCGAACGAGCGCAATGCGGGTAGAGGCTGGCCTTTTGACAGTGTGAAGCAGCATCTATACAAATGCACGTGCCGGAGACGCGGCGCACCACCTGGAAAGGGTCGAGGGTACATGTCCTTACTGCCAGGGACGAGCATCTTTGCGATAGGGCGCCTAACATCGAGGACCTCCAAAGCCACAGCAAACAGAGCAGGCTGTGCCAACTTCGTCAAGATCAGCCTGATGACGTCCTCAAATGGAGACTCGACGTGCAATTCGCGCCATCGAAGCAGATGAAGCAGGAGTTTGTCCATAACATCGGACAACGAGTCCAGGGAGATCGCACGAGCAGCCACAGGTAGAGCAATAGACAAGTCAATAGGGCGGGTACGAGACCTTTCCAGATACCTGGATATCATTGCAGGCGTAGTTGAGGGGCCGACGCGTATCGTGGTCCATAAGCGCGAACAATCGAGCGCCACAGAGCGCCAGCGACGCGACACGCCCACCACCACGTCTTGAAGCGGGTTGCCACAAGTACACCGTCGGAGTCTAGGCACGTCCTCTGTGGGCTCCTGGTTGCACACGTTGCAACGACTCTCATCACATCCAAAGAGGAAAATGGCCTCCAGGATTTCATCCGGAAGGAAGTCAATCGAGACGTGACGGCCAGTTAAGACGCACGGAGAGGGTTTTGATGGCCGATATAGCCTGCGGATCAAGCGCTGTATGCGAAAAGGTCGTGTCAGCGACTCGGGGGCGATGATGCAGATACGTACCATGGACTGTAGCAACATTTTAAACCTATCTCCGTGTTTCCTCAGTGCTGATATCATCGTGGGCGATCATAAATGGTGGTAGCTGTCTCCAGGAGCCGCAGTAGCCCTTCATATACTGCCTCAGCCACATTCACGCCTGATGCGGGATTCCTCGCTTTGACGACGTAGTTGAGTACTTCCTGTCAAGTTCAGCACCAATTTGTAATAGGACAGCGATAGTGGCCAACGCCATGGTAACAGGACAAATTTCGAAGACAGACTTACACCACCAGCTCATTGAATGAAACACGGGCATCAATTTAGAACACCGCACTGCTAGAAGAGTGGCTACATTTCAAGCGTAGTCGCGCCGCTTGATGCAAGCCTAAACTGGAAAGACGATAAGCACTGGGTAGACAATTGTTTGTGGCACGCAGATTGGGAGTGGCGGCGCTATTTAGAGAGAGGAGACTTACTAGGTGGCGCAAGGCGCCAATCAGACGTTGGGCGTTTAACAAGAGTCGGTGTGGCCTGCGCCAACGATCGATGCCCTGAGTGCAGGAGCTGATACGACCCTCCGCTCAGCATAACTATGATGTTTGAGGTGCGAGTAAATGTAGATGTGGTCCACCTCTGGATAAGCAAAAACACTCTGCATTCTCGAAGCAGAAACTCATTGTCAAGGCAGCTGCTATTCGTAGTATGCATTATTGGGCTGAGAACAGTTCTGAGCACATATTCCAACCAAATTCCGATTATCGAGACAACGCCTTGTACATATGCCAAGGCGACAATGGTAACTCTCACCAAACCGAGGCACACTTATGACGCAGCATGACTCACCTTGCCTTGCATATTCGGCACAAGAATATACGCTGGCAGCAGTCACGAACAAACACAGGCACACAGCGCAACTCGAAATCGCGAGTTGACCTTCGCTTAGCTTAAGATGAGACGCGGCCCAGGCCTATAATTAGCACCCTCATATACTACAGCGTTCCTACAACTCGTTATCGAGGCCGTCGACGTAACCAATAATTAAGCATATTCCAGATCAACAACTTCTTCTTCAGACGACGAAGACTGGCCACTCTGTAGGTTATATCAGTCAGCCAGGTCTCATAGTCGAGTTATGGGCTCACCTTTTGTGAGTCAAGCATCTCCTCGGGAGTCTGGGTCTCGTTTGACATGTCCGTCTCTCGCACGTCCAGCATGTATGGCTGGATGACATATGGCTCGCGCCGCACCGCCGGGACCAAGCGACGCAATCCCGCCGTGGTCCGTTCCATGAGAGAGCGCTTCTCCAAAGTCGACTGCTTGCGACGGCCGTATGGTCGCACGCCGTCGCTTTGCCCGCGACGCACAAGATCGCGGTTGTTGAGACTGATCAACGCTGTACACGCATAGCTGTTCAAAACGAGTCAGTGCTGGAAAAAAAGCACTAAACCAGGAGAACAAACAATTTCGAGATCACGAGTATGCTGGGGCAGGACATCGTCAGAAGGAGCTTCTCAGGATTTATAGTGGCAACTTACGGGCAATCTGCGTAGCCCACCATATCGTTAGGTGTTTGAATGTCCACAATATACAATATGAGGGTGAGGACAGCAATACTGGCTGCAAGTACTGTGAGCGAGTGATCCTTCGGACCAGGCAGACACCTACCGGTGGCGATGCCGCTGCCTACTACATGTTTGATCAAACGAGTAACCAAGGCGTCTGTGTGCTCTTCTCCCCGCTTACGCTTGTTGAGCTATATCGAAGAGAAATATTAGTGTTTGGTGATTCAAGTTGATTCATTGTTATGCCCATACCATGACAAACATCGTGATAGCAATGATCATGTCCACCAGCGCGCTGAGAGAATACCACATCTGCCACAAAGTGAACAAGAAAGCTCTCGGGAGTAATCGGATGTCACTCACCACGATCGGCACGATAGAACCTTCCCCACTAGAGTATACTAAATTGCCAAACTACGGATCATATCAAAATGCATAGAAATGTAGTGAAGAATTGGGCTCACTGGCGAGGCACCCGATATAGACAAGCTGGAGACGATGGAGCTAACGAGTTGCCCCAATGCGAGCTGTGTAGAAAACTCGACATTCCCGGACACTATAAGCAACATACAAGACTCACAAGTACGATGACAAGCGACAAAGCGAGTAACTTTTTGGACGATAAGATCCATATGCGCCACCCATAGAACAGCTGCACTTCGGTAGAAACGATGCCAGACAATATCGGGGTGACGACAGATAACATAATACCGTAGTTGATGATCTGATTGACATTTCCAAGTTGCATGAAGATTCCAAACAAGCCGGCAGAGAGAACGATTGTCTGCGTCCATTGCAGGATGAACAATGTATAGACTAATGTAAACAAAGTTTCTGTCACCGGGAACCTCTCGGAAGTAGTTGTCAGTGTAACTGCTTACCAAAACACTTCACGCTCCAAGGGTCACGGGTAGAAGACAGAGAGTAGAAATCTATGCAGCACATACTTCAGCGATGACGATGCGCGAAATATACGGCGTACGAACAAACTTGAACACAGAATGCGCCATGAAGCCCCCAATTGAGGAAGGTACCTAAGAGCTGTATAGGATGAGCATGTAATTCTGGAGTGTTTGTCAACAGTGGCTTACAAGAGGACCAGCACTATGGACCGCGACTGGAGTCAGCTGATTCATGCAAGCGTGTGGACGCGAATACCCACACGTTCACATTAAAGCCCATGGCGGGGTGGAAAATAGACCAAGGGTACCTGGCATCGTCGCGACGCTTTATGTGGATCACTGCTGGGGTCGACAAACAGATTGTAAGACACGTTCACAACGAGATCCATTGCCGAGATTACACAATGGCTGTACATCACCAGGCCCATCGGATACGCTAGAGCGCGACAGGTCTTGCCACGCCTGCCACACGAGTGACAGTGTGGGCTTCGTCGCTGCCCAAGGAAAGCATTATCCACAGAGGCAGATGCATGGAGGTTTCGAACAGAGGTTTGAACCCTGTATGGGAGCGAACACGGAAGGGAAAAGCAAGACCGTCTCCTAAGCGTGAGCCACGTGACAGGGTGTCAATGCCTACGATCGCGTTTGATGGCGCTGAGGCAGTGGGCGCCCCTTCGCCGATCAATGTGGGCGGTGCGCCGGTGCCGTGCGAGCCACTGACTAGTCTAGCGACGTCGATAGTCGACTGTGTCCATATTGACGCTGATGATCATGGCTTGACCCGTGGTCTGATGTCTTGCTACTTTAGGTATAACAAAAACTAGTGGCTTAGCAAGCAGGGCAACGACTTCATACTATCAGACTTGCTATCTAAGGTAAGGTAGCATCAGAACTATATTCAGATGTAAGATGTGAGCAAGATTTACTCAAGATGAGGATACGTACGGGCATAGTCAATGCGTGGCTTCTACTTCAGGAGAATCGTCATAGGCAGGCGGATGGTCACCTAGGATTGTCGATGCTAGTGCTCGCCTCACCGCTTTCTCTCTCTTCGTCTCTAGCTGCAAGATCTCGTCCTGCCTCCTAATACGATAGTGTAACGCATGTATTCCTCTACGCGGTAAGAAGGACAGTAGGCACTGTTTTCACCGACCGGAAGCGCCATATGAAGGCGGGGGACTGTCCAAAGCCGAAGCCGCAATCCTCAACCGCTCTACCTCTATCCGCAAGAATTCAACCTTTTGCCTAAGTGAGTCATGACCGTTTTCTTCGCCTCGTCCCTTCTCGATCTCAATGACGTCCAACATCTCCCCCGCTGCATCCAAGGCATTCTGTGACCCACGACATTGCAGGTCTATCATCTGCTTCTCCCTGCTGCGCATCTGAAGCGATAGCTCTTCACGATGCAATATTCCCAGGGTGGGAGATTTGGCTCCGGATTCGTTGCATCTAGCGCCAGCGGTAGATGACGAAGCGACCGTGGACGCGCCGAACGCGCCGCTTGCACTTCCCGCGAATGACGAGATCCTACGATCGTGTGATGTAGTGTGCCCAATATGTTTGTGTGATTGACGTGTGCCCGAAGGCGCCATACCAATCGTGCTCCTGTCGAATGCTCCAACTAGCCTTGTGTTCCGGATTCTATCGACGTCTCGTGATTTATGTCTGCACCGGTATAAGATTGTGATAATAACGCAGATAACTGCGAGACCGCCAATTGCACCACCGATGATGGCGCCAATAGGAGGTTGTGAAATTTGTCTCGTTGCAGCCACTGTCACTGTGGGAGAAGGACTTGAGGCCACGCTCGTAGTCCCACTTGCAGCCACGGGATTGAAGGTAGGATTGAGGCTAACCGGTGCGGGACTGGTATTCGGTACGAATTATGAGACTTTAGGGCATTGAATGATACAGATAATCAAATGCAACATACTGAGCAGTGGCAGATCTGAAAGGTATCCTGCTTGAGCCAGATCCACTCGCAGAAGGAAGAATGACTGGTGAGCCCTGCGAGCTCGTCATGATAGCAGAAGCGGTAGTTGAGGTTACGCTGATGAGCGTTGAGAAAGACTCGCAATATCCATCTGAGGAGAATTTGTCAACGCGATATCTTATGAGAGAACAGGTAGCAGCGTACTTCCAGGTAGAATTGTGAATGAAGGAGTAGTGACGATGGCTGTCGTTGAGTCCATGACAGCGAGGTGGACCTGATTGCCTGCATAGACTCCGTGAGGACGCAATTCTTCCCTGATATCAATGTAACTCACCGTCCGTGATGCCTGCATCCCATATGTATGAAGTTCCGTTGAGCGGGCCATACATCTCATATGGGTCAGTAGAAACACCGATGTCGACACTGTATGCAAGGATTGAATCTCGTTCATAACACATTGAATCAACAATAACTGACGCCTGTTCGGACCAGGCCTAAGTCACCAGCGCCATCAAAACAGCGTGAAATGCGTACTAGATAATAGGGGGCTGCAGATCTTTCTTGTCAGAATCGCAGTAATCATAGAAGGGAGATATCGTACGGATGCCTCCAGACCAGGAGATGGGCACTTGACCGCACTCGGGGACATTAGCATTAAGGAAAGACCTACAATCGTAGTCCGATCAGTATTGAAGTCGGTCAACAATCCTGTAAACTCACACAATATTTAGTTTAGTGGCGTTGACCGCGAGAGCAAGAGTGTTGATGACAGGCATTAAAAGGGTATGAGTTGATATCTATGGGTACGAAAGCAGGGCGCGAGGGGAAGTGCTACTAGGGGGCGCCATTCTGGTGGTCAAAGCCATTATGTACAGCCGAATTCAAGCTGTTGTAAATGAGCACATGGTCGCTGAATAAAATCAAGTACAACCTGGCAATTCCAGTAACACAAGAATACGTAAATGGACAACGATGCTTCCCTGTGTGGGTCCGCGTGGGTCCACGTGCATAGCCCGTGTCATGCCAATTTTGGAAATCATTGTCAACGGTCGCGTGCGGAGAACAAGGACTTGCCAAGGTAGGATTTAGTTTAGGACACGGTTGCATCTATTTTGAGATCCAATTCAGCGCGAGAGCGAGATGGGCGGCGCAGCTTCGGGGGTAGCATGCTTACACGAGGACCTGTTGTCCTCACTGCACCCGACAAGATGTCACGCTACTACTGGTTGCGAAGTGGTGCTGAAACGCGAATGCTACGCGGAGCCCGGAAATCATGTTTGGCGAAAATAACACACTTTGCCTTCCACAGCCTGAAAAACGAGATTGTGGTCGAATCGCAAATGACTCACAATAAGGATCTGCTTACTTTACCGCAGCCGTCGAGCTCGGGCCTTCGTAAGAATTCTGGTCTCCGCTGGGTACTTGCATTGCGACTCTCAGAGGGGCTGTGCATACCAGGAGCACACCATGTACAATTGGGATGGCAGATATAGTCCGGGAGGCTAAATGTTTGTAGACTGGGTCACTGTCCGTTAACGAGCGCGCCTGCTGCTGACGAAAGTCAGCCTGTTTTACTCCATAATTATGGCCAATCAATCAAATCAAGGATTGAAACGAAACATAGGGAGGAGAGGTCCGGGCACGAAAAGCGGACCAAAAATGCAGCAAAGCCCAGAAATTCCACGGGCTTTCTGCAAGTACAGGCTAATCAATAAACTAGTGTGTTTGAGGATAGGGAGATGATCGTCAAACCTGCCGCTTCGAATGGACGACGGGGATCCGTGAGGTGATGAGCACTGCGATGCTCGCCACTAGAATGGATGTCTACATTGCGTATTCTTTCACCTTCATAAGTCACGTATTTTCAAGAGATACGGAAATCGTGGGATTGGCACAGAGACTTCGTGGACCAGGGATAGTGTGTGAGCATTGCGTCATGTTGAGATTTAATTCTGCCATGAAACAAGTATGACGTATTTCTTCGAGAAGGAGGTATCGCATATGAGAATGCCGTCCTCTGATGCGTACGCTTCTTAGCATTGCGTCTTGGCCCAGGCGTACCAGTCTCAGTACCACTGTGCGTAGAGCGACGATTCGGACGAAAGCGCACCGCCTTGATCGGCCCTGGAACGCGCACACGTGACAATGTGGAATTCTCCGGGACGCGCCAAATTGCGGATGCGTCTAGTTCGGGATCTGAGCCCTAAACATACTTCAAGAACTGTATAGTAACAGCAAGGATCTACAGTATATTCGATTATTCTGTATAGAGGACTCCCATTCCGCCACACGGCTGTGTGTCAGAGCACCGTAGACGTTGTACCTCACCTGTTAATCATCATTGTATGCAGGCGGCAGTTCATCCAGCTCCCCCTGAGCTGCACGCAGTCGCTCTACTTCCATCTCAAGGTATTCGATATGCCTTCGCAGAGCGGCATTATCATCTCCATACAACCCGTACGCAGGTGCTTCTTCCGTGTGCGAAGTGCTTGCAGACGTACGTGACACAGTTCCTGATGACTCTTGTCGTCGCAGCTCGGCGACGTGCTCCTCGATACCGCGCATCCGGCGAGCCAGTTCCTCGCGCAGGTCTCTCGGTTGCGACGCAGTTTGCTTTGGGATGTCAAGAGATGCGAGTACCGGATGGGCAGAATAGACCGAAGGGGCGACCGTAGCAGGAGTAGTCGAGACCTCCGAGCCGACGTATCCGAGTAGGGGGGGATGCGATCGAGGATCGTGTATAGGCGATGGCACAACATGTTGCGTTGTTGATAGACGTGATGCGATCCCGAGTGCATCATCCAACTTATCACGATCGCTCGCTGCGCCGCGTTCCGTCTTTCGCCTGCCTCGCTTGTAGCGGTAGTAGCACCAGCCGAGCGAGGCAAGAAGTGAAATACCGAGGATTGCGGCCCCCACTGCGATGCCAATCGCACTGGCGGGTCGATGGGTTATCTGTGAGATGCTACTGGATGATCCCACAGGGGCTGGTGGGGTGGTGCTAGTAGCTGCCAATGTGCTGCTGGGACTAATAATCGTGTCAATTTCACCAGTATGCTAGTGACTGGCTGCAGAACAAACCTGGAAGACATGGTATAATTGGTACTCGTGCGAGCGGTGCCACTCGTCAGAGACGCAGGGGTGGAATTGCCTGATAGTGAATTCTGAGCAGCCAGAGACGGGGTGAGTATCAGAGTAGATTCCAAGGATAGACTAGAGCTTGTGTGACCACTGTTATGTGTGGGGAGTGTCGAGGAAGTTGAAGGGACACTACTACTTGTTGTTGGAGCATCAGTGGTGGTTGAATAAGACGATGATGTTGGGGCATCAGTGGTGGTTGAATAAGACGATGATGTTGGGGCATCAGTGGTGGTTGAATAAGACGATGATGTTGGAGCATCAGTGGTGGTTGAATAAGACGATGATGTTGGAGCATCAGTAGTGGTTGAATAAGACGATGAAGAGGAGGAAGATGAGGACATGGTCAAGCCGCCGTCCGATGTTTTAAAGGGATCGATGGGAGTTAGGAAAGACATCGAAGATGAGCAGGTAAAACTGCGCTGAAGGAGATATCACTGCTGGAGGCCAATAATTGTCTGAAGAGACACCGCTGCAAGATTTAGCTGCCTGAAAATTGAGCTGTTCTGGTTCAAGATATATGTTTTGTCATCATGTGTTGACTCACAGTGGTCAGTGGGTCGGCGACAGCGTGAATACACTGATGGTCTTGACGGGAGCCTTTGAAGAAGTTCCCCATCCAAGCTGTTTATGGAGGGCTCTATCAGTTGGTGCTACGTCTGAGTGACATCAAAGAGCTGTACTTACCTGAGTGACAGGAAAGAGATATGCTCGGGACAATACCGAACATGGCGGTGAAAGGAGTATATAACGTACCTGTCAATCATTTTCAGCCGTCTGCTTCAGTCACAACAAGAATCACTCAGCTGTGTACCAATTTTGACTTACATGAACAGGAAGCCAAGCCCTCGACAGATTCTCGATAGACACAAGATGACAAGCATCCGACAGTTAATCTGGAGCAGGCGCCGGCAGCTGTCAACCAAAATGGGATATCTGTCCAAAGCCGCCAATGCCCCAACTAATCCTAGTAGTGAGATCATTTGACTGGAAACTTCCGCGACACAGACGCCCTATGTTCATGCTCATACGGCTTACAATCTGTCATCAATCTATCAGTGTATCTATGCGACGCAGAAGGCAGGTCTGAAGTGGGATATGTGTCGCCACTCCTTAAGAGGCTATGTATCAAGCTGTGACTTCTCATCAACACTGCATCCGTATGCAGACGATGGTCTATCAAGAGCTGACGGCATAGGTCTCAACTTCTCGATCTCTACCCGCAAGCCTTCGACCTCGCGCGTAAGTTGGGTATCACCACGTTGTTCTCTGACCTCATGTTTACCAACGGTGGTTGGCTTTATAAGAAGACATGACTCATCTCGCGATTAGCACTGTCGGTTGGCCGTCTTGTCTTCGTGTAAATTAACGTACACGTTCCTTCAGAGCTATACTTGACCGCACTCAGGTATATCACTAACGGCACCCGAAGAGCTAGGCTAACGTCAGGATCGTGATGATAACTATCCGTTTCTCACTAAGTTGGCTGAGCTAAACACAGGTTGGCAGGATGCAGACAAATATGAGAAGGTAAAGTAACATGAGGGAAACAAAGTTAGTGCAGGTGTCGAACAAGGCATGCGCCAATCTGAGCACTTGAGCGAGAAACATTACCTTGGATGGTCCACGATACATCCTGCATACTCGTAATTTATGTATTGATAGCTTGTATCTATTTGCATGAATGTTGGGTTATTGCCGTCAACGTAAACCAAAATAGCGGCCGCATAAACAGCCGTCGGCACGGCTCGCAGAGCGACAACAACTTGATACCAGGCTTACTATCTATGCTAAGGGAGCACAAACTGCATTCAGGCGTAAGGTGTGGGTAGCATCTACTATGATAATACGTACGGGCATGGTCAACGTGCGGCTTCCACTTTATGAGGATTGTCATAGGCAGGGGGAGGGTCATCTAGGGTTGTCGAATCCACTGCTCGCCTCACTGCTTGCTCGCTCTCCGTCTCCAGCTGCAGGACCTCGTTCTGCCTCCTGGGCTCCAGTTCAATGTCTTTGTGTTTGACAGGAGCATGCCGTGGGCGGCGGCAGTAACAAAGAGCAACAAAAAGCGCGATGGCAAGCGCCACGGCTATGATAATACCCACAATGCCGCCGGCTCCTGGGCCTGCATCTCGCCGCGAGAGGGACATAGTGGTCGATACTGTATCAGACAAATGTTCACTGGGGATTAGTCGACGAGAATGGCCATGTTAAGAGCGTATACGTCACTATGAGTATGGAAAGGGGTTTTCAGAGACGACAGAAGGTGTACCCGTGGAGACATGACTCACCCCGTAATTGAAGAGTCGCTCCTCGTCGGTCCGTTAATTGCGGCGTGTGTGATAATAGGTCAAGTATCTCCGCCGTCAGCTATTGTGTCAGAGGGAGTTACACCGGAGTCGACGAAGAGTACGTTGTGAACGGACTCGACGCTTCCCGTATTCCCGCAACTGTGGGCTGACGGGCGATAACGGAGTGAGGTGGACTGAGAGTCCGGCTGGCTGACGGGATATTTTGGCCACACACGTCTAGTGCAACGCGAAGAACGTAGAGTAATGAGGTGGGGACGATGTGATGGGGGTTCGCGGGGATTGTTTCAAACGCAGAACACCATCCTACGTAAAGCAATCATTAATGAGAATGTCAATATACCATACCCGGTCTGACTGCACGCACCGTTTGCTAGAGAGTCGACGGACAGATTTAGTAGGCGAGAAAGACCGCTACGCACGAGAGAGCCTACGTAGATATCATTCATCATATCCCAACTTTGTGTAGCAACGGATCAGCGGAGGGCTAGCTGTAACCCACATAAGTGCCCTTGGCCGTGCGAAGAGAAGCGGCTGTGTGTCGTATAATAGCGACTGAGCCTCGACAATGTGTCATTCGTCTCAGGACTTACCGTATTCTATGACACTTGTGGGAGAGATCAGGATGAATAGCCCGGTCATCGGTCATCCCGGGCGCTGCACTCAACAGACATGCGACTGATACCATATTTCTGGTTGACTGCGATCAGTGCTTCCGTGAATACAACTCTACCGCTATCTTGGGGGGACTTTAGGCTTCGTGAACGGATGGCGAAGTAATGGTTGAAGAGAACGGAGTCTGACCTATTCACTTCAAGTGTAATTAGTCTGGGATCTGAACACCCACTCTGACCTTCAGTTATGAATGTGCAGCACTGGCCACCTGATGTTGACCGATAGCTTGTACAAAACCTATGCCAACTGTCAGCCATGAAGCGGCCGATGACCATCCTATTATTAGCTCCAAGCCCCAATCTTCCGCCTGAGTGCAGTGGATTCACATGATATGGGGCTCATTGTGTCAAGTGTTGTGACGGACGAGGTTGTAGAAATGGCATCTCGACCGTGAACGGGTACTTTGCGATATGTGTAATGGCTGTAGCACACCTGTACTTGGTCATAGCCTTCCACCTCAAGCATGTCATTTGTGATTTCTGGTCCTAGAAAGTGGGAGACGACCATACAACGATCTCATATCGTCAGAAATTACGGCCGACGCGACGAGAAATAAGTATGTACAAAGCATCGTAGCTCGCAAAAGATGTGATGGATTACTATAGGAAGGATGCTGTTCGTTGGTCTTGGTCTGACTCCTTGTGAATGACGCGCTGAGGGCAATAAGAGAAGCACAGGAGTCTGCGAAAATCGATAATCAATTGGATTTCTGTCAATATGGGCCATCGTATTGGATGTACGTACATGATTCTATCATGGCTTGAGAAGGCGATTCAGGAAAGGTGGCTGCATGTACTACTGCCGGCCGGTAGTCGAACAAGTGAAAACTAGTAGGAATCACCGGCAATGTCTGAATAGACGCGTGCCTTGACAGAGATAGCGGTTGTGGTCGTTGCTAAGAGACGACAGGCTGGGAGGCGCATTTGTATATTGACTAATCCGGAACAATGATCGGTTCGAAGGGCTTGACGTTCTGTTCAGCATTAGAAAATATCGTGTTGGATCTCACGCAGGCTAAGTAACAGCGATCAGCCGTTACGACAAAGCTATGTAGAAATGCACTGGGAAGTATCATCTCGCCGCACTGTTATCAGCTCCGGGACACTCACAATCTCATCTCAGCTCGCTATTTTGAGATCGCAGCACCTTGACCGCCGAGCCACGTCGATATCAAATCAACGAAGCAGCAGTCTCAGCAAGTGCAAATATTTCATGTCCATATTCTGCAGCAGGGGGTAGTTTTCAGAGGATAGCAGACATGTGGATGACGCATTGCATAGTAGAGTCTAACTCAGAAGCAGTGAAGACGGTGACTTTTCAGCAGCTAGAGAAGGGCTGAAGGGCAAGGTCGGTAAGCTGCCGCATTTGGAAATTTTCGACGGATTGGACAACCTATTTGGATATCTAAATACTTCGAATCTCTTGCGCTGTCACGGTGACGCCCTTGCTTCATTGTACCTGAGTTACCAGCCTAATGCAACTAGCAGTACTTATTATAGGTGTCTCAGCAAGCTTGATTCATAATGGCGGACCACTGGTATTTGTGACAGAATGGCATAGGCCGTCTGTCGAAATTCACAAATTGACGACTCCGATCAGTGACTATGGAGATAGGGTGTATAAGAAACATCAACAGTTGCTCTTCTGCGATCTTAGCATAGCCACCTCTTTGCTAGCCGTGCTCTTTTATCTGTCATCCAGTCGAGCATTTGCTTAAGCTGTTGTGATATCGCTTTGGCGGCAACGGAATGCATGGTCGATGAATGGATGATGAGTGCCTGCAGTCTGAATGTTCGACCGTCAGTGCGTGCGTCGTTCCCACTTCCCACTAGAGTACGAATAACATGGAAAGGTTTTGAGCCAGATACGTGCCCTCTGACTGATGAGCACGCAACGCCATATTATGTTCAATTGATAAGACCTCAATGGTACATTCACAATGAAAACGAAGAGTCCTCTACTGTGGCATATCGTCCTCCGTTGCGTACGGCGCAATGCGCGCACCTCTATGGTCCTGCCAGAACGACATGGCGCTGTTCTCCTTTAACTGTGTCTTCAGGCCCTTCGCCTCCGGCTCCAGCTCATTCTTGTTCTGCTGCATCTGATAATACCACGTCGGCTTCGCAGAAACTTCCAGGCTCTTCTTGACCGAATTGTGTACGTCCAGGACATGCACGAGCAGCCGTGGATGCACTGCTGCGCGTGCAACAATCGCCCGCCGGACGACCTCGAGTGTCTCTAAATTATTTGGCACGTTTTCGACCTCCGAGGTGCGCTTGCCAGGGCTCGTCTCGCCCTCCACCGCATTCTGAGCGTTCTCTACCTCCTGCTGTACATCTTCCTCAGTCCGCGCCTTCGCGAGCTTCGCGCCCATGCGATCTGCAAACGCCTGCAGCTCTATGGCGAGCTTCGTGCCCGCTGTGAGGTGGCCCTCTTTGAGTAGTTCATCTACAATTGTGCGCAGCCGGGCGACCTCGCGTTCCTGTCTGGCTAGGTTGAAATTCGGGCGCATCAGCTGCTGGTGTGCGTCGAAGTCGCACGCGCCGGGGATCGCCACGCGGAATGGGAAGCCCTCGTGCGTAACGATGCGCAACCCGCGGACCTCTGCGAGCTCGAGCGGCGTCGAGCCGACACCGTCCTCCGTGTAGAGTGCCTCGACTGGGCCTGCATCGATGAGGAGCTGCGTGAGCTTGGGACGCCCTCCTTTGATGGCTACATGAAGCGGGATCATGCCGTAGACGTCGCGCAGAAGATAGGGGGATGCTTTGGCTTCTACGAGTATGCGGACGGCGTCGATCAGATCACGCTTGACCGCAAGAGCAAGGGGCTAGAACAAAATTAATACAATGCATGACACGATGTCTTAAAGTCGCTAACAGTGTACTGACGGTTTCTTGATTGTTGCATTAACATTTTCTCTACCACGTCCTGTGGAAGAGTGCTGATAGCGTGTTTCATGAGCTTCAGATGCGACTGCCTCGCGTGCACCGCGAGGAGATGGAAGATGTTCCATCTGAAAAGGCCAATCTTGTTCAGGCTGATAAGCATGAAAGAGTCGAGCTGTGCTCACCCTCGATGGTCGATATCAGTCACTGGAATACCCTTGTTGACCAGGAAGTCGAATAATTCTGGAGTAACGGCCCAGTTTGCAGCAGCAAGGACAGGGTTGAATCCCGAGAAGATGATTCTGTCGCACAATACCGTCAGTCCAATCATCCCACCCACTAATCCACTGCACTTAAACACCTACTTTGCATTCAACGCTTCTGTCATTTGCGTTGGGCGCAACTCGAGTAGCGTCTGCACAGCGTCGAGCTCGCCGCCAATCACAGCTGCCGTGACGGCCGACTCATTGAACGGGTTTGTAGTCCATCCCAGCCAATCTGGAAGGACCGCCGGGAGATCGGCTGTGCGGCGGAGGTACTGTGCGCGCTCGTCGCTGTGTGTAGATGCGTAGTAGCGGTAAGCAGCAAGTGGGCGGTCTCCATTGAGATACCGCAGCACGCCGCACGCATTTGCGCTCGCAGCGTGCCACAGGGGGGGCATATGAGCTGGCTTCACCGGTTTGCGCGACCTCGCCCGCGACTTCGTCCGCGACCTCTTCCCCGGTATTTGCGCAAAATCTGTGCGCTTCTTACCGTGCACAGTAAGCCCGAGGTATACTTTCTGCGCCTTCTTCTGCCCGCCGGGCTTGTCGCCTTCAGCCTTGTCCGCGTCGGTGCTGACTTTGATCCCAGTGCCTGTCCGACGAATGAGCTCGTCCAGCATCTCGTGGCGGTCATTCACGATGACAGTGATGAGTGTGTCCTCCATGAGGTCTGGGTAAACGTTGCACATGTCGGCGATTCGGATAAACGCCTCAAAATCGTCGTCTTGGATGGCTCTCGTGAACACCGTGCCGCAAGTGACTGTGCCATCGTCCTTGAGCCAGTGGAGGATCGCTTTCATCAGATCCTTGGGACCGGCCTGTGACTGGACGGCAGACGTTCGCTTGGCAATCTCAACAAAATCGAGGGGCTTTTCTTGACGCTCTGGTTCGTCGTCTTCATCTGACTCGTCATCGTCACCGTTATTGTCATCTGCCAGTATAGAGCTCAGCATGTAGTCTCCGATATCAATAAGCTCTGATGAACCTAAGCTAATCCTCGGCGCACTGCCCAGCAAATCACTCGCCGTCTCCTTGCTAGGCTGAGCAACATGTTGTGCAGATGCAATGGCTAGGATCAGCTTCGCAGTATCCCAGTGACGACCGGAAATCGCTAGGGAAAGCGGCGTGCATGCTACGGGACGCTCTTGTTAATATAAAGCATGTTGCGTCTACAGACCGACGTACGAGTGGCATTGTTTGTCCCAAACTGCACAACAATCTGCAGTGGAGGCTCAGTTGTCTTGCTACCTGTTCCAAGAAGACACAGCTCCTGGATCTTGTCGTTGTCTCCCGTCGCACAAGCTTCATACAATTCGTCGTATCGCACAGCCATTGCAGCAGGCGTGCTGATCTGCCGGAGCTGGGGGTCCAGACGACGGTGTTCGGGCAAGTTAGACACCGTGTTGTGCCATATACGCGTCTGAGGCTCTCCCGTCGGCTTCTCCTTGCCTTCGTATCCGGTCTTCGCCCCTCGCGACAGAAGAAGCTCTTCCAGCATGTCCGCATAATCTTGCGCATCGCGTGCAGCACGCTCTTTCCGTTCCTTGTCCGCGTTCGACGAGGCCGTAAGTACGGGAAGCCTGGCCTTCACGTTAGCCAATATAACCTTCCCCGCTTTGCCTTTCCATCCCGACTGGCCGCTCAGCGAACGAGCCGCTTCTTGCAACGCATCCCCCGTGTCGGGTTCCGAGGGCTTGCTTTGTACCGCCCTTGCCTTGTGTGTTGCAGACTGTATCCAATCGAGCAGCGTGTGATGAGGCGCGTATTGCGACTGGGCCCCTTTAGTGATGCCAAGAGGCACATTCACTTCGACTCCAACACCAATCAGTAGGCTTACAACATCGTCTCGACGCCGAGCCGCCGCTTCAAGAGGCATACGAGCCCTTGCTAAGTAGTCTCCGGAGTATTCGGGGTACCAGTGTGGCTTTCTATATTGATACGTCAGCTGCCGCAAAGCAGACAAGAAGACATGCAACAAACCTAATAGTTCTGAAGTGGTTATAATCGCTCTCGCTGGGTACAAGCTTCACCCCGAACGCAAGCAGCACCGCCAGTACAGAGTAGTGCCCTGGGCCAATGGCAGAGACCACAGGATACACCGCGTTCCCCCGTTCGTCAACGTAGGGCGTGTTTAACACTGCTTTCGCGCTAGGATCGCAGCGGAGCAGCGTCAGCACGAGATCAGCCTTGCCAGAGCGGACAATTCGGTGGAACACTGTCATGAGATTCTCGTCCGCCTGCGAGGACGTGGCACCAGCAGCAACAAGCTTCGGTGCAATTTCGCACCCAATGCGCTCATTGCTTGTCAAGGCGGTCAATGTCAGATGGTCAAATTGAGGCACGTTCCATCCGTTTGCTACAGTCACAAGGGAGACGTCGGCACCATGAGCGATGAGCACGTCGACGACGGCAGTAGATCCCGCATAAATCGCATACTGCATGGGCGTGAAGACGAAGTCCCAGTCCGCGGCATTGACGTCCAGAATGTCTGACTTGCCTTCGTTGTCCATATCGTCTATAGTCTGTACTTCATCAACGCTAATGACAGCCTTGACGACCTTGACATCCTGGCCTCGGCCCTCGACCACCCATCCCTCATCGCTCTCGTCGTGGCGGTCATCGCCCTCTCCGCCCTCTTTGTGTTCATCGCCGCCATTCGCTTTCACCGTACGTGTCTCGCCTCCAGCCATCTGCGGCGCAGTAGACTTCGAGGCCTCCGCCTTCTCAGCATTGATCGCGCTTCGCTCTAGCATCTTCCGTCCAACGTCGGCCAGATTCAGCCGTGCTGCAAGATGCAGCGCCGTCCGCCCACCAGCGATCCGTGGTGTCAGTCGAGCACCCGCCTCAATCAGATCACACGCAATGTCCACTGCTCGCGACAGCACTGCTACTTGCAATGGCGTCCGGCCGACATGGTCGCGGCGGTCAAGATGTTTAGCGTCTTCCTGCACCCTAGTCGCAACTGCCTGTCTGTCGCCAGATGCGATGGCTTTGAAGAACCTTACGGTCGTCCCAATGTATGCTTGCTCGGCCCACTCTCTGACGTCGATGGGATTGAAACTACCAGAAATACTCTGCCGTCCAGGGTCTTCTTCGATGAACCTACATAACATTGAGATCAATACAACATAATGGCTAGCCGTACATGTCAACTGACTGGACACGACCGCGGACATATGTATCGTCCTCCTTCGCTTGCACTTGCCTCTCCTCGTCGTTCTCAGGCTCAGGACAATTCTGACGCGGCTCTTAGTATGCAGTCTGCCGCGTGAAAAGACCATCATCACCTCACAACAATCCTCTAAACATTCTGACGTTGTCCCGAAGAAAGCTGGATGACGATGCAACCGACGCCCCTTGTAGTTTAATTTGATCGGTGCTGCACAGACGTCAACATGGAGCGATCCACATGCAGGGCAAACTCACCGTTCAAGTCCATATCCTGACAGACAACGATTTCAGAAGATGGAGAGGCGTGTACGAAGCAGAATACACACCGTTTGGTACACTAACCCTTCGATCCGCCTGGCGTCCCACCCGGGCCCATACGGTATGTGCGATACCCCAGAGTCATAGTCATTCATCTCAAGCCCGATGAGGTCCGTCTTCAGATCGCTTTTATACCTCTGACTCTGCTTCCTCCGCTCAGGTAGAGCATTTGGGCGTCCACCGAGAGCACGCCGAGCATTGATATACTTGTCGCGAACAATCCCATTCCTAATCTTCTCAAGCACAAGCAGACGCCCGAGTCCCCGAATCCGCGAAATCGCTCGCTCGAAGATCTACAATCCACATCAGCTCCATGCTGTAGACGACAGACGAGAGCCTCAACACGCACCATCGGATCCACGTCGTCGCGCCGAAGAGTAGGCACATAAACCTCAAAGTCGCGAGAGGAGTACTTGGCCAGTCGCACCTCATACGACGGAGACCGACGTGTCATGTCCACCGTGTTGCACTGTCGCATCATCGCCACAATCGCACGGGGGTTTGCCCACACACGCCTCCCATCGTACGCACAGCACGGCGCATCTACGTCGAACCCAGCAAGGATCTCTGCCGGAGACCTGTACAGACGCAGGACAACCTGCACAGCCCGATACGGGTATTGCGAGTGGATAGACACAGTATGCCTCGAGCGCACACACGTCACGTCCCACGGCACAGAGTCGCGCACGGCCTCATAGATCACCTGGATCTTCTTCTCAGCTTCTTCCGTCGTCATCCCATATAGGAAAAGGTCAACGTCCGACGTCGGATACGCGGTGTCATGAAAGTACTTATGCAACGCTCTCTTCGATACCTTGGCGGACGCAGGGACAGGATTCAAACACGCTTGCACTGCACCGCCCGCCGCCACGACATTGTTCCAGTCTATCAGCTGCGACAGCGATCCTTCTGTGAACAACGCCCAGGTCTGCTTGAACTCGTCGAACGTCTGCACCATCGCCGGCGCGCCTTCCTGACGACGACGGTCCTCTGAGAGAGGCAGGATGAACTTAGCTGACAGGTCGCTCTCGCTCTTCACCACTCGAGCCCGAGTCGTACGAATATCCGTCGGCGCATCGAAGACGTCGACCAGGCCGACGTGTGGATCGTTCAGTCGGGGGTTCGTCTTATCTGTTGCGAACAACTTGCGCAGGGCCGCTTCATCGTCGATCGAGGCTTGCAGCACATCCGACAGTGCGTCGAACGCACCAGGACCTTTGGGCAGCTGGGCGACGTGAGACAAGAATGCTACAGCTTCGGGTGTCTGAGACATGGTTGATTATAAGCAGGGATTCCAGGTCTCGCACTGAGGATGCAAGATGGCGTTCTTTAGCGTATGCGGTGTCAACCATATATGCATTGCATCGCGCTCGGCACCGGTGCCATAGGGGGCAGCTGGTGCCCGATACTCGCAAGGTGAGTCAAAATGTCGGTGAATGGGCGCGCAAAGAGGCATCGTGCGGAGAGTACGAGGCACGGCCATAACCACATTGGGCGTCAATCATCCCAAACTCCTGACATTACCTCCTTTGGCAATTTCCGTCAGTGATTCGCCCTCGGGACAACTCTCATCATGTCCCACACTGTCCGTCGAGTATTGGCGCCATCATGCATTCTATCATATTATAGCGCATTTTCGAACGTGCCTGGGCTGATACGATACTCGTGAGATACGCCGTTGGCAGTGGCCATACATGAAGTGTTTTCACTAGAGGCCTTGGCATCAGGATGAGTGCGATACAATACTTATAGGTAAAACTGAAGCTGGCTATACTTAATTGACTAAAGATCGACTATACCTCTGTTGCTTTGTCCTACACGAGGCCAGCCTCGAGGGGGCATCGCACTCGAGAGAGACCGTCGAGCCTGGTTGCCAAGGGGCCCTTGCGCCACATTATGCGGCGCGCCGCCACCGGTCCTCGGTCCCTTAAATACTGCGAAGCACTCCCTTCATGCCTCAACTCTTCCTCCTGGAAGTTCACTGGTACACTTTTAGACAACACAGCACCACTTATTCTCGGTGAGTATTTTCCAGTCCAGCGAGGTCTCTTTGCATGCTCACAATCCCCTGCCTAGTCATGGAGTTTGCGCATCATTTGCCCAAGGCAATTCAATTTGCCCAGAAGCTTGCCTCGCCGCGGGACAAGGAATCTCCATTCGAGACAAGCTGGAAGATGTACAGCAGCTTCATGACTAATTGTGAGAGCGGACCACTCGTCTCTGTTGCGCCACTTACATCGGTGCAGTGATGATTCTCGGTACGGCGGTCTTGGCGGTCTGTGTTTCTGTCATTGCTTTCCAGAGCTGGCTGATCGTGAAGAACGGCAAGGAGCAGCCCAGCAACAGCAGTTCCGCAAAGCGCGTCGAGAGAGTGGCGAAGACCTTGTCGCGGACATTTACCGAGGTATCGTTCCGAACGCTGCCGGCCCCAGTTCAGCGTGCCTTCGCCGGAGTGGCACGCCGCGAGCGCAAGCTCAGGAACATCAACGAGTACACCGTCTGGTTTGAATCAAGGGGCGTTCGTCCACTCGTGGCGCCCGCCGTGGGCAGGTTCCACACGCCACGACGAGAGGACCTCTTTGTCCATACTTACCCTGGTGGTAAGCCCCAAATGTGGATCTACAACGAGGACAGCAAGTGGATCCCAGTCTTGCCTCTCTTCCCTCATCCAAGGCTGGCTGCCTACGTTCTGCAGCTATCAGACCGTAGGCAGCCAGGATGGGTTACGAAGGAGACCGCACGGAGAAACGTTCGCAATCGCGCGTGAGGTGCGCCTTGGACCAAAGCACATGTGATGAACGCTCACCTCAATTACGATTATACAGTATATCTGCGACAAGTTTAGTCAAGAGGTCACAACACGTTCATTGTGAAATGGTACTAAGTAGGTTCAACAAAAGGTTTCTGCCTTATCATGTCACTCTTTGTCTAAATTCCACATCATTATTATGTATCACCTCCCATGGATGCGTAGTGATTTCCTGTTATTACAATGCTATACGCGGTGAGACTCGGAGCCGCATATGTGGAGATATTACTACTTCTCCCATCCGGGGGTCTTACTACAATTCCGCGTTCATTCACAGCCAGGCATTATTCGCCCATTATGAGAACTAGCGTCTCCGGTCCTGAACCGTGAACATCTGAACCAAACCTGAGTTCAGGTCCAGGCATTTAAGCAGGAAGTCTGGTTCGGGGTTCACGAGGGCGTTGAACCCGGTTTGTACCCAGACCGAACCCAGGACGGAGTACACTTCCTCAATGGGCCTATTCGCCGCACCACATCGTGCATACTCTACTGTGCACACGGTCTGCCAATTATCCGAGGCTGGTACACCAAACCCACGAAATACTGCGCTCACACCTCGGCAGCTCTCAAGACCGCTTGAGTCGCTGGCCTGTCCTCTAAGATTTCGCTGATGAGACCTACAGTGGTATGCTCGTGCAGGGCTCCAGGGTTTCAAGAAAGTATGAACGGGCTGGAGCATGGACTAGCTGTAACGGTGTTGCACACCGAGAAGGAAACTCTGGCTTGAGTAGAAGTTGCGGGTAGGGAGCACGAGCGGGGCGGTAGGGCGCCTCGGCTTAACGTCGTCCTGAGACTAGGGTTAGGGCGTGCGCTCGAGCGCTCGACCCGCAATCCTCACTTGACGCTACGCCTTGGCCAAAGTCTCCAGAGCAGCGTAGGAGTCGCCATGGCTGCTTTCCCTGTGTTTTCGAATTAAAGCGTCCAGTTATGTCTCTGCTGTTACCGAAAGACTACACAAGAGACGCGAATGACTTTTCCACAACCCACCGCGCAAGTGCTTGCTGGGCGCGCACGCATCGCAAGCCTTGTTTCGTCCATTAGGCCCTTACGCCTGCGCACCTCTGTATTCGACCTCACGGCGCATCGCATTCCGACATTATGGACTCTCTATCGCGGTCTGCTGCGGAACTCGCCTACCAACGAGATACGGTACGTATCGTTGACAATGGATATTGTGCTATGCAGGTTTGATGGAACAGTGAAACAGATGGAGGATGGAGTCTCTCTTCCGACGAGACAAGTCTATGCGCAAGGCGGTAGATGTACGAGACGCCCTCAGGAAGTACCACAGAGTCAGTGTTCTCGAATTCTGCTCGTCCCACCCCACTCATTAAAGGCTGTACTGCACAGTGGAACGACATCTTTGCAGCTGCCCAACAAGGCGACACTCGGCTGCAGAGAGTATTGGAGCGATACAGCCGGATGATTAGTGCCAAGAAACGCAACGACCGCATGGCTGAAATTGTGGAGGAGGAAGTCGTGAGCAGCCCGTCTTACGCATACTCAGCGTGACCTAACAGTTGCGCGGTAGGCCTGGATTCAGAAGCTCAGGAACCGACCCATACTGACAGGTTCATACGTTCGCCCATCATTTTTCAATGGCCCTCTTCCGCGCATGAAGCCCTTCCCTATACATGTGGGAGCGCTCATCCATAAGCGGCGGGTGAGGCGAGGCAAGCGCATCGAGGAGTTGGGGGTGCTACGTGACCTGAAGGACGATCTGGCGAAGGAGCGGGACTTTGAAGCTGAACTTCTCCGAGCCAGCAACGGCGACCCCTCACAAACGCAAGCTGTATTTACGGATCACTTTGATGACTGGGGTATGTCGTGCGTTGTCGCCTCTGTTCTAACGTTCTGACATTCCCGCTGCACAGATCGCCCGATAACCAGTCGCATCCACGAGATCCTACAGACCTTCAAGCGTGATGATGCTCGAGCTCGCATGCCGTACCCTCCGCAAATGCTCGCGGCTATCAAGGCCGCTCGACGGGAGAAGGTCGAGAACAAGACAAGGGAACTGGAGCGTGAACGCCGGGGCGCTGTACTGAAGCGTACGCTCCTGCGACGGCGAAAAGGCCCACCAGCGCACGTTCTGGCGACGATGTCTGCGCAGGAGAGACATATGGACAAGGTTTCGCGAAGTGTCAGCGAGGTAGGGTACGTGGGCCAGGTGAAGCGAGCGCTGGGGTTCAGGCTACGGAATCCACAAGCGTGGAAAGCGGAAATTGGGAGACCCGAGGAGAAGGAGAGACTGGACCGGATGATGCATGAAATCAGCGCTGAGAATAGGCGGCGGCGGCAGCGTGCGGCGAGGGCGGCGGAGAGTGTGAGAAGGGCTGAGCCGTCGTGATGCTAGCTGTGTGGTAATGGAGCTGCATAAGTGAGTCATATTCTCGCCATCAGAACGAGAACTGAGCGTTGAGCGCAGGCCACGGAAGCCTGGTTCCCAGAAGGCAAGCCTCATGATGTCCAGGGCGCCTGGAAGCTGTGATCATCGATACAGGGACAGCGCATGTAAAGCTCGGTGCCTGTAAGGAGGTCTATACGCATCGATGTCCCGAGGGCGGGTCATCACATACGCGACGGGAATTGCCAAAGACAGTAATGCCGAGTCAGGTCGGGCTGATTGACGCCCACATGTGTTTATCGCCACGCGACGGGAATTACCAATAATGGTAATACCGAGTCAGGTCGGGATGATGGACGCTCAGATGCGCTGATCGCCGCGCCTCGCGCTCACCGCACGACGCCTCTTCGCGCGCCCGTTCACTGACAATTTGACTCACCTTGCGAGCATCGGGCATCAGCTGGCCCTTATCGCATCGGTGCCGAGCGCGATCCAATGCATATATAAACGACACCACACACACTGACGGACACCATCTCGCATCCTCAGTGTGAGACTTGAAATCCCTGCTTATAATCAACCATGTCTCAGACACCCGAAGCTGTAGCATTCTTATCTCGCGTTGCCCAGCTGCCCAAGGGTCCTGGTGCGTTCGACGCACTGTCGGATGTGCTGCAAGCCTCGATCGACGATGAAGCGGCCTTGCGCAAGTTGTTCGCAACAGATAAGACGAACCCCCGACTGAACGATCCACACGTCGGCCTGGTCGACGTCTTCGATGCGCCGACGGATATTCGTACGACTCGGGCTCGAGTGGTGAAGAGCGAGAGCGACCTGTCAGCTAAGTTCATCCTGCCACTCTCAGAGGACCGTCGTCGTCAGGAAGGCATGGCGGCGATGGTGCAGACGTTCGACGAGTTCAAGCAGAACTGGACGCTGTTCACCGAAGGGTCGTTGTCGCAACTGACCGACTGGAACAACGTGATTGCGGCGGGTGGTGCAGTGCAAGCGTGTCTGAGCCCTGTGCCTGCGTCTGCCAAGGTGTCAAAGAGAGCGCTGCGCAAGCACTTCCATAACACCGCGTATCCAACGTCAGACGTCGACCTTTTCCTCTATGGCTTGACGGAGGAAGAAGCTGAGAAGAAGATCCAGGTGATCTATGAGGCCGTGCGCGACTCTGTGCCGTGGGACGTGACGTGTGTGCGCTCGAGGCATACTGTGTCTATCCACTCGCAATACCCGTATCGGGCTGTGCAGATTGTTTTGCGTCTGTACAGGTCTCCGGCAGAGATCCTTGCTGGGTTCGACGTAGATGCGCCGTGCTGTGCGTACGATGGTAGGCGTGTGTGGGCAAACCCCCGTGCGATTGTGGCGATGATGCGACAGTGCAACACGGTGGACATGACACGTCGGTCTCCATCGTATGAGGTGCGGCTGGCCAAGTATTCCTCTCGCGACTTTGAGGTGTATGTGCCTACTCTTCGGCGCGACGACGTGGATCCGACGGTGCGTGTTGAGAGTTTTGTTTGTCATCTACTGCAAGGTGTTAATGTGAATTGTAGATCTTCGAGCGAGCGATCTCGCGGATTCAGGGACTCGGGCGTCTGCTTGTGCTTGAGAAGATCAGGAACGGGATTGCTCGCGAGAACTATGTCGACGCTCGGCGTGCTCTACGAGGACGCCCGGATGCTCAACGCAACTGGAGGAGGCAAGCTCGGAAGCACAAGGGCGACCTGAAGACGGATGTGGACTTCACCGGACTCGAGATGAATGATTATGACTCTGGGGCATTGCACATACCGTATGGGCCCGGGTGGGACGCTCGACGGATTGACAAATTGGTGTACCAAACGGTATGTGCTGTATTTTGTACATGCATTTGCATCTTCTGATTCGTTGTTTGTTAGGATCTGGGCGTGAACTGTGAGCTTGCATTGCATTGCGTGTGAACTGAACCATGCTAACGTCTGTGCAGCAATGTTCAATCCGAACAACAAAGGGCGTCGGCTGCATCGTCATCCGGCTTTCTTCGGGACGATGTCAGAATGTTTGGAGGATTGCTGTGAGGTAGTGATGATCTTTCTTCGCAGCAGAGTGGTAAACTAAGGCTTGCATCAGAACTGCCCAGAGCCTGAGAACGACGAGGAGAAGCAAGTGCAAGCGAAGGAGGACGACACATATGTCCGCGGTCGGATCCAGTCAGTTCACACACACGGCCATTCATAATGTCACATTGAACTGAATCTCGTATAGGTTCATCGAAGAAGACCCTGGACGGCAGAGTATTTCTGGTAGTTTCAATCCCATCGACGTCGGAGAGTGGGCCGAGCAAGCATACATCGGGGCGACCGTAAGGTTCTTCAAAGCCGTCGCAACTGGCGACAGACAGGCAATTACGGCCCTGGTTCAGGAAGACGCCCAACATCTTGATCGCCGTGACCATGTCGGCCGGACACCGCTGCAAGTGGCGGTGCTATCGCGGGCAGTGGACATTGCGTGTGATCTGATCGAGGCGGGTGCTCGACTGACACCACGGATCGCTGATGGGCGGACGGCGCTGCATCTCGCAGCGCAGCTGAATCTGGCCGACGTTGTACGGAAGATGCTGGAGCGAAGCGCGATCAATGCCGAAAAAGTGGAGGCGTCGAAGTCGGCTGCGCCACAGAAGGCGGGAGGCGAGACACGTACGGTGGGGTCGGATGGCGGCGATGAAGACAAAGACGACGGAGAAGACGATGACGGCCACGACGAGAGTGACGAGGGATGGGTGGTCGAGGGCCGAGGCCAGCCCGGGAAGGTTGTGAAGGTTGCCGCCGACGTCGACGAAGCACAGGCATTGGACAACGAAAGCGGGGCCGACATTCTGGACGTCAATGCCGCGGACTGGGACTTCGTCTTCACACCCCTGCAGTATGCCACCATTGCGGGATCCACTGCCGTCATCGACCTGCTCATCGCTCATGGCGCTGACGTCTCTCTTGTGACTGTGGCAAACGGATGGAACGTGCATCAATTCGACCATCTGACATTGACCGCCTTGACAAGCGATGAGCGCGTTGGTTGCGAAATTGCACCGAAGCTTGTTGCTGCTGGTGCCACATCCTCTCAGGCAGACGAGAATCTGTTCACCGTGTTTCACCGGCTTGTCCGCTCTGGCAAGGCTGATCTCGTCCTGACGCTGCTCCGGAGCGATCCCAGCGCGAAAGCAGTGTTGAACACGCCCTTCGTCGACCAACAAGGGAATACGGTATATCCTGTGGTGTCTGCCATCGACAAAGGATATTACTCTGTACTGGCGGTGCTGCTCGCATACAAGGCGAAGCTTGTGCTCGGCGAGGACGATTTTGACCACTTCAGAACGATCAGGTTTGTTGCATGTCTTCTTGCTTGCTCTGCTGCAGCTGACGCATCAATATAGGAAGCCACGGTGGTACTACACCAACGGAGACTACTTAGACAGGGCCCGTGTGCCTCTTGAAGCGGCGGCTCAGCGTCGAGACGATGTTGTAAGCCTACTGATTGACGCTGGGGTCGACATAAATCTACCTCTTGCCATCACGAAAAGCTATCAGTCGCAATATGCGCCTCACCACACGCTGCTTGATTGGATACAGTCTGCAACACACAAGGCAAGGGCGGTACAAAGCAGCAAGCCCTCGGAGCCCGACACGGAGGATGTCTTGCAGGAAGCGGCTCGTTCGCTGAGCGGCCAGTCGGGATGGAAAGGCAAAGCGGGGAAGATCATATTGGCTGACGTGATGGCCAGGCTTCCCGTACCTACGGCATCGTCGAACGCGGACAAGGAGCGGAAAGAGCGTGCTGCGCGCGATGCACAAGATTACGCGGACATGCTGGAAGGGCTGCTTCTGTCGCGAGGGGCAAAAACCGGGTACGAAGGCAAGGAGAAGCCGACGGGCGAGCCTCAGAGACATTTATGGCACAACACGGTGTCTAACTTACCTGAACACCATCGTCTGGACCCCCAGCTCCGGCAGATCAGCACGCCTGCTGCAATGGCTGTGCGATACGACGAGCTGTATGAAGCTTGTGCGACGGGAGACAACGACAAGATCCAGGAGCTGTGTCTTCCTGGAACAGGTAGCAAGACAACTGAGCCTCCACTGCAAATTGTTGTGCAGTTTGGGACAAACAATGCCACTCGTACGTTGGTCTGTAGACGCAACATGCTTTATATTAACAAAAGCGTCCCGTAGCATGCACGCCGCTTTCTCTAGCAATTTCCGGTCGTCACTGGGATACTGCGAAGCTGATCCTAGCCATTGCATCTGCACAGCATGTTCCTGAGCCCGCCAAGGAGACGGCGAATGATCTGCTGGCCAGTGTGCGGGGGATTACTCTAGGTTCAGTTCAGAGTTTATCAATATCGAACAATGTATGCTGACATCTATGCTAGCAGATGACGATGACGATGGTGAGTCTGACGAAGACGACGAGCAAGAGCAGGAGCCTCAGGAGAAACCGCTCGATTTCGTCGACATCGCCAAACGCACGTCTGCCATCCAGTCACGGGCCAGCCCCTATAATTTGATGAGCGTGATCCTCCACTGGCTCAAAGACGACGGTACAGTCACTTGTGGCACGGTGCTTACGAAGGCCATACAAGACGACGATTTCGAGGCGTTTGTCCAAATTGCCGACATGTGCAACACCTTCCCGGAGCTTAAGTTGACTCTGCATGCTGCGCTTCACCCCATCATTATGAATGATCGCCATGAGATGCTTGACGTGCTTATCCGCCGGACAGGCACTGGGATCAACGTCAGCACCGACGCAGACGAGACTGAGGGCGACAAGCCCGACGGGCCGAAAAAGGTGCAGCTTCTATACCTCGGGCTTACTGTGCACGGTAAGAAGCGCAAGGATCTTGCACAGTCGCTGGGGAAGAAGTCGCGCGAGGTGGAGAAGCCTGCTCGCATGCCCATTCTGTGGCAAGCCGCGAATGCAAATGCGTGTGGCGTGCTACGGTACCTCCTTGGAGACCGCCCACTCGCTGCTTACCGCTACTACGCATCTACACACAGCGACGCGCTCGCTCAGCTCTTACGTCGTACACACGACCTCGCCGCGGTCCTGCCTGACTGGATTGGATGGTCCTCGAACCCTCTCAATGAGTCGGCCGTCACGGCTGCTGTGATTGGCGGCGAACTCGACGCTGTGCAGACGCTGCTTGAGCTGCGCCCAACGGAAATGACAGAAGCGCTGAATGCAAAGTGGGTATTTAAGTGCAGTGGATCAATGGGGCAGATAATTATACTAACTGTATTGTGCGCTAGGATCAATTTCTCCGGATTCAACCATGTTCTGGTTGCTGCAAACTGGGGCGTCACTCCCGAATTGTTCGACTTCCTAGTCAACAAGGGTATCCCTGTGACCGACACTGATCATAGAGGGTGAGTGAAGCTCGACTCGTTCGTACTCATCACTGAAGGTGTCTATCTTGCAGGTGGAACATCTTCCATCTCTTCGCAGTACACTCAAGCAAGTCGCATTTAAAGCTCATGAAACGTGCTTTGGCCACTCTTCCGGAGGACGTGGTCGAACAAATGCTAATGCAGCAATCCAAAGGTTTCCAGTATACTGTGAGTGACCGAGATACCGTATCCGTATGAGGCAACTTATCAAACATACTTTCAGCCTCTCGCTCTTGCCGTCAAGCGCCATCAGGTCGACGCCGTCCGCATGCTCGTAGGAGCCAAAGCATCCCCCTATCTCCTGCGTGACGTCTACGGCATGATCCCGCTGCATATAACCATTCAAGAGGGGCGGCCTAAGCTCACGCAGCTCCTCATCGACGCAGGCCCGGTCGAAGCGCTCTACATGGAGGACGGTTTCGGCTCGACGCCGCTCGAGCTCGCGGAGGTGCGCGCGCTGCGCAACATCACGCGCGAGGGCTTCCCGTGCCGGGTGGACATTCCAAACTCATGCGGGACCAACGCAAGCGCGCAGCTTGAGGGGTGCAGGTTTGACCTGCCCACGCAGGAGCGCGAAGTCACCCGGCTGCGCGCAGTCATCAGCGAGCTGCTCCAGGAGGGTCACCTCAAGGCGGGCACGAAGCTCGCGGTGGCGCTGCAGGCATTCTCAGAGCGCATGGACGCGAAGATCGCTAAAGTGCGGGCGGAGGAGGACGCACTGGAGGAGGCGGAGAAGGCCAAGAAGACTGCGGAAGGCGAAAAGGACACAGGCGAGCGCGCTCCGGAGGTGGACGGGCTGGTTGATGTCTTGGCGACACTCGAGGTCGTCCGGCGGGCGATTGCTGCACGCGCAGCGGTGCAGCCACGGCTGCTCGTGCATGTCCTGGACGTACACAATTCGGTCGAGAAGAGCCTGGAGGTTTCTACGAAGCCGAAGTGGTTCCAGATGCAGCAAAAGAACAAGAATGAGCTGGAGCCGGAGGCGAAGGAGGATCCGAAGGCGCGGCTGATGGAGAGCAGCGCCCTGGTGTTCTGGGGGACAGGCATGTCCACGCGCGTTAGCCCGTTCACACCTGAGGACAGCATGCAATGCTAATAGTAATGAGTTCCCTTGATTGTTGAACGTTGATTACCCGATGTACTACTAGGATATCTAGCACGGACATGATACGATGTTCCGCCACGCGGACTAACGAATCCAAGTAATTGCAAGCGAGTCGTTCAGTTAGAACAAACAAGTCCAAAAGTTACATGTAGGCGAGGAGTTTTCACGATGAGTGTTTAAAGGGCTACAAGTCAATCAAATATGCTCAGCATTCCGCATTTGAAGGATTGAGAACACTCTTCAGCATGCAGAGGATAAATACATGCAAAAATATGGTATGAAAGTGGGAACTCGCGAAATCGCCAGTCCTTTTCCTCAGCAATAATTTCTCGGTGATATAGCCAATAATGCTTTCGTTGCTCGTTTGCGCTCATGCCGTAGGAGAAAGCGCTTCGCGAGCCACTTGCTGTGCAGCGTGTGCATACTGCACAGAGGTACTGCAAACCCTGGAGCTTTTGCGGTGTAGTCACCAAGAGTGGCATAAGCCGCCACTCGCAGGCGGGCGTAGTAGCTGACGATGCCCAAAGTGGAGCACCGCCTGCCATACCAGGAAGTGTGGCCACCACCACAGTCGCTGATGTCACAGTGACGCACCACACAACATGACATGTATAAGTAGATGGGCATTCGACCCATCGACTACCAAAGTCACCCCCGCACTCTCCCATCATGGACACGACCCGTAACAACTATCCCAATGTCCGCAGCAAGGTCACCGACGAGGAGAGGACCTTCAAGAAGCCCTACCAGACAGTCGGCCGTCCAGAGACGACGGACCATGATATCCATGAGGAGTATTTGAAAGACCCTCCACACGTGCGTACCAGAGATTTTGACTTCCGCCCACCCCTGCTCACTATTTGTGGCAGAACCAGTCCAATGAGCTGAGCACGGATCGAACGACGCGCGGTCTAAAAGAGGGGGCACGAGAGCAGGTCGACCCCAAGCAGGAGGGCGTCCTCGGGGAGGAAACGACGGGCAAAATATCGAAAGAATCAGAGCTGGGCACGCTGACGACCGAGAATTCCGTGCACCCATGAGAGTTGTTGGATGTATATAGCCATTGTTCAAAGATCAATGATTGGCGTTGTGTATCGACAAACGGTGTGGATACTGATATTCTACAAAGGTGGGACATACGTTATAAGCATTAATGGGGTAGTGGTAACCTGGGTCGTTGCCATCGACCCGCCGGGGGTTCGATTCCCCCTTAATGCACTGTGTTTTTGGACGCTTCGTTTCGCGGCATCCTTTTGACCCAATGATTTGTACCCACTTTTTACTTTTTACTCGTTACTTAGGTCTACCCGCTCCGTGACGATCTGGTACTGTGACTTGAGATATGCCTACTCCGCGTTGCTAACGCCATAAAGTCACGGATAAGATATTATATGCCCGGCAGCAGATAGGATGCCCCAGCAGCTGAAGGTTGCACTGTCCAACGTGGTACAGCAATATACATGTGCTTGATTGATACGTCTATAACACAATAGATATAGCTACAATACGTGCTTGCGGCCCAAAACGTACACGCCTAACGAATAATGATAGTGTGTCGTAGCGTCCATTCAGCCCAGCGGGCGGCACTTTCGCACCATATCCCACGCGAAAAGGGCCGGTGTCGCAATCTTGGCGATTGCAGGAGGCGCCAGCGTCTCCGCCCTCGCACCTGCCGCGGTCCATGTCATCATTGTCGACCTCAGATTGAACGGCAGCCGGACCACCGGGTGCGTACCCTCCTGTACATGTGCCGCCTGCAGCGCCTGCACCTCCTGCGCGTGTCTCCGGACCGTATCTTGTAGGTCTTCAGAGAGCGCAGCGTAGGCATCGTGCGTGCTCGCGAGATCTCTCCGCAGGCGCTGTATCTCCTCGTCCTTCATCTGAGCGATGGACGTCGCACGCTCCGTCGCAGAGTCGAGCCTCGCTCTGAGCGACTGCACATCGAATGTGCTAGACTGCAAGGCGGTTTCCGACCTCGCGAGCTCTGCTTGCATGAGCCGTAGCGTGGCTTCCTGCTCTGCGACCCGCACTTGGAATGACTTGGCTTGTTCCTCGAGTGCCGCGTTGTGCTCGGCCTGCACTTGTTCGATAGCAGCATGATGGGCTGCACGAAGTCGCTCTTCAGTCGCTTCCATGTCAGCCCGTACTACCGACATCTCGTTCTGGAACGAGATGGCAGCGTCCATCTGCAAATGGGGCGTCAGAAACCCTATCTCGTAAACGAAGTGCTGAAGTACCTTGGCCTGTTGAACTGCCTCCTGCATAAGCCGGTCGTGTTCGGATTTCAGGGCGACCGCATCTGCGTTGAACTTGGCTTCTCGTGCCTGAGGACAAATATCAGTGCTGATTATACGCCCATGGACAACTTTCGTTGTACCTCAAGTTCCGAAGTTGCCTTCGTCAATTCCTCCCGCAACATGTCCTGTTTGCCCTGATGCAATTGCTCTGTTTCCGTGAGCGTGCGGAGGTGCTCCTGTGCTCGTGCCACAGCCTCGGCCCTGGTCGCTTCGTGTTCGTCGAGCGCCTTCTCCAGGTCAACACGTAGCTCCTCGAGACGGCGTGCCTGCTCCGTGTTCTCAGCATGCACCTCGTCCAGCTCGCGCTCGACCAGCTCCAGGGCGCGCTCCGTGGTCTGCAGGTCGGCCTCTTTCTTCTCGGTTTCCCGCGCAGCAGCCTCTTTCTCCGCCGCGAGGGACGCAAGGCGCTCCTCCAGTTCGTGCAGGCGTTCGAGTGAATCAATCAGCTCGCGTTGCGCTTCTTCCCGCCCTTGCGTCGTCGTGGCAAGCTCTGCCTGGAGTTCACGGGCCCGCGTAGACCACTCGGCGCTCTCTGCCTGAACGGTAGCCATCTGGGTGGTCAATGTGTCCGCACGAGCGGCCATAGCGTGAAGCTCCTCAGTCTGAGCATTGATTTTCTCCTGGCTCAGTGCGAGGGCTACCTCCACATCGCGTTTATCCGCTCGAGTCCGTTTGAGTTCCTCCTCGACCTGCAGACGAGCGTCACGCTCAGCCTCGAACTGTGCGTCCTTTCGTTCGGCAGCTTTCCGGGTCGCCTCGAGCTGTGTGACAGCATGTTAGCTGCTGATGCCTTCCCACGAGCCAGCTCACGCACCTCATCACGCACGACTTCCAACGCGGACTGGTCGTGCGAACGGTCTTCTTCGAGCGCCGCGAGGCGTTCGCGCAGTGATGTGCACTCTTCGAGCGCCTTCGCCTTCGCCTCCTCCGAGGTGTCGAGTAGCGACTTCTGCTGCGCAATCTCTGCCTGTGCTGCGCTCAATGCGGACTCGGCCTTCCCCGCGCGGTCGAGCAGCGTCGTGACGGTTTCATTCTTCTGTGCGAGAGCAGCGTTGGCCTCATCCAACTGACAAGACATCAGCTTTCCCGACACACCCGCGGCGCTACTGCGTGCACATACCTTGGCTCGTAGTTCCTCGACCGTCTTCGGGTCGTCTCTGACGTCGTCTGACTTAACGGTATCTGACGTCGGCAGGGACAGCATGGAGCCATTGGGACTGCTCCGCTCAACGCTCTCTGAGTAGCGCCAATACGTTAGGCTAGCTCTCTGTCTCAGGCAGTTCTCAACACATACCGGTAACGGACATGAAGGAGGCCATGGACGGCAGGCTCTTCAGCCGGCTGACGGCGGTCCCACCGACGCGGGCCAGCGCCCATGGGCGAACCTTCCTTGGCTCTGGGGGTGCAGACATGACGGGTTTCGATGTTCAATGCTAGAGGCTCGAATGTGCGAATGAGTTGGGTCAGCGTATCAAGTCCGCCTGCGGATAGACAATGGTGTTGCCCGAGAACCAACGCGCAAGAGTGTTATATAGAAGGAGACCAGCACCCCAGCAGCGGTGTAAACACGCACTTTACTGCGACGGACCCTCACGCATTGATGACTGTGTGCAGCCTGCTCATATCATATCGCAGGAGGCTGCACGGATTCCTCGAGGCATCGGCCGAGTGGACTGCTGATGTGCGCTTTGTGCACCGCGGCCTGGTCGTCACGGAATGCGAGCATGTCACATAACTGTCTTCACATTCAGCGAGATTGAGTCCGAAACTTGCCAGATAGCGCAGACGAGAAGTCCCGCTGAGCATGGCGCATATGGGGGCCGGCATGGTGGCTCCTATGCAGTGCCTGAGCGATCTCACGGGGCACGCGAGCCAACACGTTGCTGCCAACTGGTGAGACAATGCAGGATTGAGCAGACAATAAAGTCTCATACCGTATAACACGCTTACCGGCCAACCTTAATTGCTGTGGAGCAGCAGGGACTGCGCTGCGATGTCAAGAGGAACGTCTCAGCGGGAGCAGTTCTGCCAACCGACTGCAGTGGGCGGTCTGCATACATCTTGTAGCTTCGTAATAGCACGCGCCAGGAATAACCCAATAACAATGAACAGCAAATACATAGACAACACGAGAGCAGAGCACCAATTTACATGAGCTTGCCGTTCGAGTATCCCTGGCCCACTCCCCCGTTCTTTAACGCCCGTGTCGTTGCAAACAGGACGCTATCGATCAGCGAGGCGACTGTGAGCACACCGCCCACGATAGCGCATGTCCTAACAGGTCAATCAATGACCATCAGTACGACTCGGAGATCTGCGATGCCAAAACATACGAGGTAAGGAAGTGCGCGAACGACTGTCGCGTCTCCGTATGCACGATCAGGATTGGCGAGATGTCGTAATTGAAGAACGCGCCTGGGTTTGACGTTACGTCAGATCAGGTCCGCCGTGCAACCTATCAGCAGATGTAAAAGGTGTCAATGCTCACCCGGGATGCCAGTCGATCCATGCGAAACGTGCACGCCTTCCTTGTCCTCTTGTTGACCCTTAGTCAGATCGCGCTCGAAATGCGTCGCACTGTACTGGTGTGTTTTGAGCTGCCACACAGCCTGATTAGCAAGCACATTTGAATAGCTGCGTGGCTGTACGTACAATCTTGCCATCCAGCATATCGAACTGCGTGGAAACCACCTTGAGGAAATATTGGAACATGTACTGCTGCTTCGCCGTCCTGCCCGACTTGCCGTCGAGCGGGTTGCCATCGATCCCAGCACGACGTTTGAACTGTGTCGTGAGCTGCCTATGTCCTTCTTGATCACTCTCAAATGCGAATTGGTGAATGTTGTGTGAAAAGTCATGGCGGTTCTTGTCTTCGCGCAGGTATGGCACGAGCTCATAGATATTCTGTGCCGCCGTGCGGAACGAGCGACCGGGCGAAAGGTGAATGTTCCCAACGACCTTGTTGACGCGGACCTTGCCGGCGATGTTGCAGCCCTCACTCGCCTGCTCCTTCAGTTTGTCTGACCAGCCCTCGCTCACGCACTGCTCAATACCGTCCGGGCGGTTGAAACTCCAGCCGCGGTCGACGTATGCTTGGCGGACCTCGTCACACGTGTTGCAGCATCCGCTCGGTGGTGGTTTTCCGCCAAAGCACGAACCACAGTATCCAGAGCCACGCTGTTCGTTCAGCTTGTCGAGATCATTGCGTAGCTCGCCACTTGTTGAGAGAGCGGACATCGGCTCGCCCTTTTCGTCGAGCCGCGTCTTAACGATGTTATGCGAGATATCGTTTTGTGTCTCTCCGGAGATGTCCATCACGTCAAGGCTAAGTACTGAATATGTTCAATAGGGAGAGAGCGAGCAGAGAAAATGGCAGCTCACAATAGCATGGTACTCGAGGGAACGTAATGTTCATACGCACGTTCAGTTTTTCTCCTCGGCTCTTGTCGACCAGGATAGACGTATCGATGTTCACGCGTCGATAGTCTAGAAACTCGATTGTCGTGAAGGCCAGAATAATGGCCGCGGACAGAATGGTCACTTTGAAACGAGTCAAATACCGTCCCGACAACAGCTCATAGACCACTCACAGAACGCGCCGGTGCGCGTCTTGACCTTCACATCTTCCATGGTCTGTATCCCCGTAAGAAACCGCCAGCACATTGCGTAGCAGATGCTCTAACCTTGCCGAAGGCATCAATGCCTTTCAGCGAACTGAAGAGACCCTTTGCAGGCATCGTGACTGTCAGCGTACACCACAGGTGCCCAGAGAAAGAGAGGAATAGCACCCCGAGATGAGGCTCGCGAACGGCAGGTCAGGATCAGTCGAAGAAAGTTAGAGTCTGGCGCCGTACGTGTCCCGAGTCCGTATCCAGTGCTCACTATTGATGGCGACGCGCTCGCCACGTGTTTCTGCACACGTGATCACGCGTCAAAACGCGACGGACGTGTGCACTCAACGCTGGGTGCAGTGGCGATACTCTCCATGCCCAGTTCTATTGGGGGCGTAGAGACGTTAGCAGGATTTAGTTTATAAATGACAATCCTGAATATATTAAACCTCCAGGGGACTGGAATTGAAAAATTAAAAGAAGCCAGCCTCCAGGGCCGGTATCCGTACGGAAGATTGGAATTCACGGACCTCAGGGATACGAGTGCGTAATTTGCGTTATCGGCGAATGGCCTTCGTCTAATATATATAGAAAGCTTGCTGTTACTTATATGCATATGCAGAAAGTGGCATGGCGCTATCAAAAGCCTCAACGTGAAAACATCCAGTGCAACTCTATATGCCATCATGCGACGAGGAAACGTCGAGTGGAACGGTACATTACCATATCTAGTATCTTCAGCGCTAATAGAGCATTCCCATGTCGAAGGCTCTCTTCCTGGTATTACGACACATAACTTTACTTTATCAAAAGTATCTACGTCAACAACACAGAATATGATTGATATAAGCACGGCGTGATATATTCCGACATCAGGCTGATATAGAAGTTGCATTGACTGGTCAAGCAGATAGTAGCGAGCAACCCTAGGCGATATCCTTTGAACAGGCCCGACAGATGAGTACAGTCGCCATCTGTATCCCGCGAACGGCATGAGATAAAGCATAGCCTGGGCAGGAAAAGAGCAAAACTTGATCACATGAACCCTGCCATAAGATCATCTTTGAATCAACGACCCGAGTGGCTGGCGATACCTCACCGTTCAGCGCAGTCCCTGCTGAAACCGACTTGGTGAATTGTGGAGGCACTGCGTGGATCAATAAGTATAGAACACATCATACCTAATTCCGCAAGCTCATAGGTTCTATGGTGTTGCAAAGAAATGGCGGAAGAGTCAGGCCGCTCCCAAACCTATCTCATAGAAGCCGAGCGTAGGCAACGGGACGCATTTGCGCCGCGCTCCGGAGACGTTCCTGTGGGTCCTAGCATCCCAAATACAGGGACATCGAGAACGTGTCAACCATATCCGCTGAGAACCTATCACGCAGATTCTGAGCGCCCGCCGTCTTAAGTTCTCGAATTTGACTAGCGGCCTCGAGGTTATCACGATGTATACAGGGATCCTGTCCGAGCTTCCCTGGAACCGAGGCACGCCGCAACCATGCGTGGCTGCAGCACGCAGCAGCGGAGAATGTAGCTACCTAGTGTTTGTCACTGCCTTTGTACCAGCTGCTCCCTTGAATAACGCGCACGGCAGCAACACAGGGTCTGTCGAACCAAGAACGAATCACCCCTCCAAGTTTATCATCTGTGTCTATTATGTCGTTTACGCAGCAACAAACCAAGACCATGCGTCCATGGGGTCTGGCGCGAGTCGGGGGGTCCGCCATTGGTCGCCTGATGAGCCGCCCAAGCGTGAGTTCACTCGTGGCCGGCAATGGTAGGTCAACCTACTAAGTCGTCGCGTCTATGAGCTTGAAAGGCCCTGGTCTTGGCAGGATTCGACCGGTCGGACGGCAGTAGCCCCAACGAGTCCATCGTATCGCTTCCCGCCGCGGACGATGGCAGGTTATCAGAAATGCAGAGAAAGGCGAGTGGACGCACCCTTCACGCTTGTTTCTGGACGACGATGACATTGCTTGCAGCTGGACGAAGCGAATGGCGCATTAGCTTCTAAGGACAAGACGATCAAACAGCTCCTGGGCCGTGTAACCAATGCCGAATCAGCATCCGTCGCGTTGCAAAGTGAGCTCGACGAATACAGATCCTCGTTGTCTGCATCGGAGGAGGAGAAGCGTCGCGCAGAGGCTGTGTCTACAAGCTACCAAGAACGCTTTGCCACGTTGGAGGCAGAATACATTCAAGAACATGAGGGCCTGCAGGAAGCGCTGCGACAGGTAAGTGCCTGTTAGCTGTGCAGTATACGAGGATACTGATATCCATCCTACTGATCAGCTGGAAGATATCAGAATGCGATTTGCAGCCGAAGAGAGCCGTGTGGCAGATCTTGAGTCCCATCTACAACATGCTGAGGCCGACCTCGGTATTGCAAGAAACGAGCTGCTCGGCCATCGGACGTCTGCCACCAGCAAATTGCTCGCGGTAACCGCAGAGCTTGATGCGGAACGCACGGCGCGCTCGCAGATAGAAACAGAGCTCACCGCAAGCCGTTCGCAAGCCGAGGAACTTGAGACTGCGCAGGCGCAAACACAACATGATCTCGAGGCGCGAACAGCAGAGCTCGAGCAACTGACAATCCGCGTCGAGGCCCTCGTTTCCCAAACTGCCCTCTTGCATGCGCATCGAGATCAGCTGGCAGCGAAGGTAGACGATCTCGAATCGCAGGCGCACATTCGGCAGACGCTTGAACGCGACCATGACGAGGCGCTAAGCTGCATGCAGCAGCTCCAAGCCCGCCTGGCGCAATCGGTCACGGCATGGCAGCAGACAGCCGAGGAAGCTCGCAGGATGGACGACGAGCTGCAGCAGACGCGAGAAGAAGCCGCACGGCACACGCAGATGGCAGATGCGCAGCTGGACGAGGCTCGCCGGCACATTCAGATCCTCGAGCACGAGAAGCTGGAGGCGCTGCAGCGCGTTGCAGCAATCAGACGGACTCGGGAGGAGGTCGTTGGTCACTTCCAGCATCAGATTGCTATCGGGGACGCGGAGAAGGCCGCGCTCCAGCAGACGAACGTCGCGCTCCGGCGACACATCGACGAGCTCTCGCGCGCGCAGTCAAAGGACGGGTCGGCGGGCTGTACCATTCAGTAGATTCCACGGACACTGAAGACGAACATTTTTCCGTTGTAGGCTGTAGTCGTTAACCTCACCTAGGAGTATATTTCTAGGGAGCAGCTGTAAGTTATTATGTACGCATAAATATTCGCACCGAAACATGTAACAAAGCAAATCGCAAGGCTTCGCAAACCATCTCGGTTCGAACGCTGCACTTCGCGAACGACCTCATAATCGTCAGCATTTCTCCCGTAGCTCCGCGAAGAGCGCCTCCAGGCACTCTTCGTTGGTCTGTACACACGCACTCATGTGCGCCATGTCGCAGCACCTTCATAGAAGGTGTGACAGAGATGAGACCAATCCCAGGGCAGAACCTCGGGAGTGAGCGTCGGACGAGCGCATCGTGCGTCGTGTTGTAAGACGAACATACTTGGTCATTCTTCTTCCACCGAATTCAAAGTATACAATCGTTCGGCAAGTTCTGTTGTACTCTGGGTCCGTACAATTCTAGTCAAAGCCCGGAGATATCCACAGAGCCAGGTCGAGAGCCAGCACTGTACTTTACAAAGATCTTGCTGGCCGACGACGAGTTCTATGTAGTTGCAATACTTGCTGCTTACTTACCAAAGAGGTAACCGAGGATCCGCAGGATGATAAAGACCTTGGTGAATGGTCGGGGATGAGAGCGTCCACCCGACTCGGACGGCGTCACGGCAGCGTGACGCGTCTCACACGCGTGCGCTGCTGTCTCAACCTGCTCATCATTCTCAGTGCTGGCCCCTGGACATTCAGGACTACATCACCACATAACTCTTGATCGTGTGCTGATCATTGGCGGCACTATAGCAATACTCAAGCGCAGGCAAGTTTGCAACCGCCACCGGTAGAGGCGACATGAGAAGCTCAGACGCAGGCATCTCTACATGGCCCTGCTCGCTCATCACTTCGGATCTACCGCGTGTTCGACAGCATACCCATTCTTCCAGTGACAAGCTCGTGGATGGCTGACGGTCATCGATGTGGAAATCCGTCCGACGAGTCTGAACAATCTTCTTGGACGCCTGTGCCATCTGCCGACGACAATTCGAGACCTTCGACTCCCAATTTTCCTACTGTGGAGCTCACCAGCGCGCTGGGAGAGCAGTGTTTTGGAATTGTCAATTTCACTATCGTATCGTCTACTGTGCACGAAGCATCTGCGCGTGTCGCCCTTCTCGAAGGAAACACTGTCATCATCTCGCTTTCTTCTCGCGGATATAGGGTACGTGTATGCTATGCCGTGTTGCTATTTCTCGCTGACGATGTCATATGCGCAAAGGCTGTGCTGGTGCCTGGGCTGGAGACGCGAGAGGTGCCAGCAGAGATCACCTTAGGGCGCTCGTACGAGAGCATCGAGGACATCTTGACGGTATTGAGTTCTCGTTACGGAGATGTGCGTCGAGATAGATTGTTTGCCAAGCTGCAGGCGCTATCACCATGATGAAAGTACCTGTTTACTCCATTGATGCTGTACGGCGAAGAGCCAGTGATGATAACCCTGACAGCAACTTTGATTCGGGAAATATCAGACTATGACACGTCATCTAATTGTCCATATGCGTGAGTTACGGTTGTAGCATGAATCCACCTTCTAGGTCCTGCTCTCGGACGCGCTATGTCGCACAGGTGAGTGGTCGGTGCCATGTCTGATTGTCATGAGAAAGATAGCCAGTACATACATAATTAATCTCCTGCAAACAGAATCCCATGTACTTCCGTCAGGATTACAAGCCTAGAGCGAATGCATGTGCAGCGCGTGGAGCAATGACGGGCGCACTGCACATATCCACCTCGTGGTTCGCAATGAGGGTGGGCCTTCCTACAACCCTGCTACTAATCCCAACCTACTGAATGGAAAGTGAATTACATAATGCTTACTTTACGACAGCAAAGGACTACGTATCCAGAGAGCAAGACGGAAGATGACAAATGTACAGCTGAATATATACAAGTACAGAGATAGCAGAATCTCCAAAGATGATAGCTATGTATAGACCGAATGACACCGAGACGAGAGGACACTAGAGACGATAGATCTGTGAAAAGCGTCAGTTAGCTTGCCAAACGACGCACAAAAGGACGCACCGTGGTCCGCGTTCACCACAGGTACCGACGAGTAGTCCACCAACAGTTCATCTCGTCCAGGTACCATTTGGGCTTCTCGGTCACGCCCAGTGCGGCGCCATAGCGCTCAATGTCTTCTTGCGAAGGCAGCTTTTGTGTGACGTCATAGTTGGTAAACAGCGACACGATGGTGCACTCGCTACCTCGCATTGCGCCTCCGATCTCAAGATTCGGTAATTCGATGCCAAGATCATTGGCTACTTGCACTATAACATCGTTCATGGTGTCCAACATGTCGACACCAGGCCACCGAGGATCGTCGTCTTCGTCCTTGTCCTTGTCCTCATCCTCATCCTCATCCTCGTCCTCGTCCTCGTCCTCGTCTTCCACATCCTTGGGATCGTAAGCGGCTTTTGTGATTATACAATCGTACTTCTCAGCTAGCTCGAGGAGTTTCTCATCGTCAGCCACCCAACCAAATCGCAAGACTGGTGGCCGAAGGGAGGCATGTGAACGAGGTATGAGAGCGCGAGGGAGTGTGTCGAGAGGATCAGATTCACAGGTCCGCCTAACATCCTGCCACAGTATAAGCAGGTATTGGAATGGCGTAGAAAAAGCAGGAACATACGTCAAAGGTTGGTCTTCTCTTCAGTGGCGCATAAGGGAAGTGAAGTGGTGTGGTCGAGCGAGGAGGGTCCAGCGAGAAATGATCTATGACAACCCTTCGTGAATTTTTAACTTTGACAACGGTGGTCATTTCAGATAGTATCAGGAGGTATCAGGAGAGCGTATGAGAATGCGTTGGTACGAAGAGCAACGAGACGCCTGAAGTTCAACGTTCAACGATCGTGATCGAACATATCGTTGTGGCCGCATCTGATTAGATCTTATTCCGAAGGTGGCTCGATGAGGGGTACGTTGCATACGGTCGCATACAGTCTTTGAACATTCTCAGTGTCGGTTCATTGTCCGTTAAGGCGAGCTCTCCTCAACCTAATCTACCAAATGGATAGTGAGTTACAGAGGGCACACTTGGCAATAGCGGACGACTACGTAGTCAAAGAGCAAGGCAGAAAATTACAAATGTACAACCGAATTTATACAAGTACAGAGGTAGAAGGATCTCCAAAGATGATAGGTATGCGCAGGTCGGCCAACACCGAAAGGAAACAGCGATTGAGACGATAGACCTGTGAATAGCGTCAGTCAGTTTGCCAGACGACGTGCAAGAGGAGTCAGGACGCACCGTAATTCGCGTTTCACCTCCATATCGATTAGCAGTCCCCAACAATCAAACACATCCAACCGCCACCTGGGATCTCCGGTCACTCCGAGTACAGCGCCAAAAGCTCACCGTCTTCCGGCGAAGGTAGCCCCTGCTTGATGTCGTGGTTGGTGAACAGCGACACAATGGTGTCGTCGTCATCTTGCATGAAACCTGCGATTCGGAGGCTCGGGAACTTGATGCCAAGATCGCTGGCGACTTTCGTTATAGCATTGTTCATTGTGGGCAATATCTCGACTCCTGGCCACCGAGGATCCTCCGGGTCGTAAAGAACCGTTTTGAATATGCAGTTGTACTTATCCGCTAGCTTGGAGAGTTTCTCGGGCCCGGCTACTTAACCATATCGTACGACCAGTAGCCGGAGGGAGGCTTGTAGACGGGGTATAGGGACACGAGGAAGTGTATCGAGAGGAGCACAGGTACAGGCACGCACAATGATTCCACACAAAGTAAGCAGATGAGCATTTGCCGTAAGTAGAAAGCGAAACACACCTCGCGATTTGGTTTGATCTTCAGAGGCGCATAAGGAAGACGAACGCCTCTTTTGAGGCCTGGAGGGTCTAGCGAAGGATGGTCTATGGCGATCTTCGCCAAAGTGTTCAAGTCGATTGCAGTGGTCATTTTTGACAGTTTACAACCAATGGTGCTTGAAAATGTAGTAAGAAGCGTAGGTTTGAGCTGGGATGCGAGCGAGACAGTGAAAGTTAAGGGCAGTAAAGCATGGACAATATTATTGTGACTAACAAGTCACCCTTCACCTTCTTTTGGCAAGGCCCTAGTAACCCACACTGGTCACATTTTTGCTCAAACCAAAGGACATAGAGAACTGACATTCGCCACGGATGGGCTCACCTCCAATACTTCCTCTCATTGTGCCTCCACGTCACCAGACGACACATAGGACCTACCGAGGGCAGCGTATCAGATCTCGGAAAGCGAGAAAAAGGCAACAGCACGTACTGCGGGGGTTCATGTATTCTCCCAGGAGCATCGATGCTGGGCCATATTCAGAGTGTTCAATGCGGGACAAGACCCACCCGGTGTAGCAGCAACTTCCTCGGAAGCCGTAACAATAACGATAAGTAGCCCATACTATTGTTGTTAATGATTGAGGACCGCATTGTATACACCCTGCTGCAATATGGGCTGGTGAACGCGAGTAATCTTGCATCCACACTGATCGTGGCCAATTCCATTAGAAGGGGCATTTGCGAGAGCAAAACAGGCATCAAGCTCAGTCTTTACAAACACTATTATCATTAGCGCACAACATTCCAGTATTCGAGCCAGTCAGATTATGTCTTCTCACCGAGATCAGGCTGGTATGCCTATCTCACGAAAGCTTCCCGAAAGTTTTCTCCCTTGTAGAGCTTCCTCATACATGGCCCTCGTGAATGTACCTCCTTCTCCGCCACCCCTAGCTCTCCAAAGAACACCAGCGATCCATTCACGTTCCGACTCATTACGCAGGCAATTTACCCACCAGCGGTCCATGCTCCCGCGGATCCCATTTGTATCGAGCTTCCCATGCTCACTCTGTTCCGCGAGCACGAAGAGTAAGAAGCCAGCATTGAGATGCTCGAGTCCCAGTATCGAGAGACTTTTCAAAATGCGTGTAATGCGTAAATTGTTGTGAGACGCGCCTGTAACGGATGATATGCTTAGAATTTCGGTAAAAGAGAAGTTAGTGGGCCGTACTGTATCCCATCACATCATGCGTAGGCTATGATAATGGGATGCGGCATAAATACCCAACTAGAATAATAGGGACCGTGCATCACGCACGGGATGGCGCCTCGCCACAGTGGTATGCACGACGAACGAATTGCAGCAGAGTCTAGTCGTCTACTTACGGACAAGATTCCTATAGCGTTCTTTATAATTTGCTGGGGATCGTGCGAGAAGGCCAGTCTCTTTATCATCGAGGCGCATGCCATAGAAGTCGAGCATGAGCTCGTAGGAACGGCAGACGCGGTTGACGATCTCGGGGTCGGACCTCATTGCTGCGATTTCATGTTTCTGCAAGGGCTGAGATTCATAGTTCATTCCTTGCTCCGGGATCGGGAAGCTGTACCAAAGGTAGCGGGACCAGAAGGTGAGAGGGAACTGTTCGACTTTCCCACTCACGAGCCATAACTTACAGCCACTGAATGAAACCGTGTTTGTATTCTAGCTTTGCGTAGTCTCCTTTCCATCTAAGCAATTGGTGTGTCCAATAGCGTCTAAAAAGGGAGGAAGAAACCGTACTGTTGATGTAACTCATCAATGAGAAGGTTATCTGGGCGACAGCGCAGTTCATTCGAATAGAAGCGTAGATTAGAATTCAGAGACGGCTCGTCGTCGATGCTGTTCTGATAATCCTCAAGGAACTCGCGTACATCACGAGGGATCGCTGCTGACATGTTGGTCAACTGTCGTTGAGGGAGTGTAGGTCGCCGGGATGTATGTTGTATAAGGTGGCGGCGTATCATGGTCAAGTGGCCCTGAGCGCGCGCTCTAACCACGGATTATCGGAGTTTGAACTTGCCCTAATCGAACGAATATTCAGCCACACTTGGCATAACCTCGACCGTACCAATGCCGCCGACACCGTCGTCCATAATCTCAGATGCTCTGAACTCCCTTTCGAAGGCAACTAACATTGCGGTATGTTCTGAGTATATGTGGCACTCAGCAGCTGACACGGGTCATGGTAGCTTGCGACTGTTGAAGACCAAGCCCGGTCAGATGTCGCACGCGCAAACGCGGAAGCAAGCGAGACGCGCCGCGAACGTGATGACGCGCTCAAGCAGCTTCACGCCCTCAGAATTGAGGAGAGGGATTGGGAGAGACGCGAAGAAGCTTGGAAAGCCGCTGTGAGCACATCGCCATACCTACTCCATTCCCCGGCTAAGTTCAGATAATTGCAGTTAGACAAGGCTGAACTGACTGTATGTTACTTGCTCTCGGACAGGGACCTTCGTACTGATTGAGTGCTATGAAGATCAAACATCACAACGAGACCATTGCCCATCTGAGGGCGGAAACACATCAATGGAAGGCACAGCTCTCGCGGTTGGAGGAGACCTCACGACAAGAGATTGCGGACTGGAAGGAGCAATACCTTCATGCTGAACAAGATCGTTGCCACTTGTCTTCGCGCATCAACGAGCTAGTTGCAGAGCAGCTCGCTGTGAGTCACCTCACGTCTTCATGCACCGCACTACTCGACTTAATGCTTGACAGTGGAATACCCAGGTAAATGCAGGCGTGGTGGCCACAACCCAGAAGACACCATATCCTGATTTCTATGACTCATCCACATCGTCGACGACTACCAAACGGGCCTCTACATTGTCGGCGGTCCCCTCCCTGCACAAGCAACAAACGCCATTACTTTCTGCACAACCCGGTGACGAGCCTCAGTCACAGCCACGCAAGTCGCGGCCCGCTCAGACACCTTCCAAAGCTGCGCCCAATGCCGTGAAAGCAGTGGCACCCACACCATCACGCGCTTCACAAATACAGACCCGTGTTAATGAACCGTCAGGACCGACAAGCAAGACGCTGCGCACATCTCAAGCTCCACATCTCTCAACTACTCGTATGACGCCCGGCTCTCGCTCCAAGCAGCAGGCTGAGGCCCAGCCGCTACAGCAGCGTGTCATCCGTCGGGTTCAAGCTATCATCTCTGTCCCTGTCAAGGAAGAGGAAGATTCTGAAGGCGAGGGCCTTGAGTCAGAGGCATCCGGCTCGGCGTATGAGCCGGATGAGGAGCAGCCCATAAGACGTAAGAGAGCCGGGCGGATGTCAGTTTCTGCCAAGGAGAAGCAGGCGCGCGCCTGGAGAGAAGAGGACGACGGCGAAGACGATGAGGAACAGCCAGTGCATGGACGGGCACCACGACGAGCAAGGCACATTCAGGCAGACGATTCTGATGTAGATGAACTCGCCATGGGTATTGGGGTATGTGTTCAGCTGTTAGCGTTTAAGCCCGCTGACCGAAGCATTGTCTTAGGACGATGAGGAATATGGCCAGGCTATCGTTGCAAGAAATAGTCCTCAGAAGAATGCACGCAAGGACACGAGCGGGCGTCCCTCATTGGGCTCTAAGAAGCGGAAGCTGGATACTGGGACTACTCCAGGGTCTCGAGGGACTACGACGAAGGTCGCGCGCAAAAAATGAGCATATCAAGACCTCGTGAACTGATGACTGTATCCCTACTGTGGCTGTTTTGTATCCTGCCTTTGCTCTCCTGACGCACCTACACATCTTAAGTCGCTGTATTCACAACCTAATTCTTACATGTAGCCTCCACAGCCTATTGTATCTCACAGACATGCAGGGTATACCCCCTAAGGATGAGAAGCAATGGACCATTGTGATTATTATACATGTGCAGGTAAGTCAATAACTTATGGGAAAACAAAGCCGTCCTCTACAACAGGAAACCCACGGCCTCCCGTACTAGCTCGCAGCCTATCTGTTGTCAAGTGCGTGTACGACGATGCATGAGTGATATTGTGATGATAGAGCAGTTGATTATAGGTAGTAAACGACGCCGGCGAGTACGGCACCAGCGAGCCCGCCCAGAACGCCGGTCGCACCAACCTGGTGCCTACGTACAGTGTCAGTCTTCTCGAGCCTCTCCTGCAATTGTCGAACTCTGGTGTCACACGCACGCTGCATATCACACCTCTCTTGTCTTGCCGCCGCGAGCTGCTCGTGGTGGGAAGTCTGGAGCTGCGCGATGGCCTCGTCTTTGGTTCTCTCGATCGAAGACGCGCGTTGATACAAGTCGCCGTACTGTGTCCGCAGTGTTTGAATTTGCTGGTGACTCGTACTCAGAGCTGCCTGGGCGTTTGCAAGCTCACCTCGCATGGTTTCCAACTCAGCGTTCCTCGTCTCGATCTGCTGCGCTGAGGACGCGGCATGTTCCTGCAGCGTGCCCCGGTGGTTCCTTTCGAGCTCCTCGAGAGCGGCCTGATGGGCGGCCTTGAGCTTGGCAATCTCTTCTGTGCGACTTCTGGCAGACTCTTCGGCCTCCTGGGCGTGTCTCCGCGCGAGCTTCTCCTTAGTCGCGTTGAAAGTCTTGGAGAGCGCGACACGGGTCTCTTGCGCCTCCGCTAGCTCCTTCTTGAGTCGCGCAATCTCAGCATTCTTGGTCCTTTCAATTGACGCAATGCGTGCGCGGACATCCTCGAGTTGCGATTTGACAGACTTGAGATCGGACGCGGTAACGACGAGAGCTTTGTCCTTAATTTCCAGCGCAAGATGTTGATCCGTGGTCTGCCTTTCCATTGTCGTGAGCTGCTCCTGCGCGATTTCCAGCTCGACTTGCAGCTCCTGAGCTCGCGTGCCCTCAGCATCTCTGCGCGATTGCAAGTGGGCAATTTCCGTCTCCATGGCCGAAACTTCGTTCCTGTATGCCTCGCGCAAGCCCTCGAGCTCCTTCTCCTGCCTCCGCACGGACCCCTCCAGTTCCTTCGCGTGTTGATCTGTCGCCAGGAACGTCTCCTTGAGGGCTGCGTGCGCGTCCCGCGCATGAGCGAGCTCGACAGAGAGCGACTCGACAATCTCGTCTTTCATGTTCTCGACGTCCTGGGCGCGCTGGCGGGCTTGCTCTGCCTGAGCCCTCAGAGCGTCCAGCTCGTGTGAGGCAGACGCGAACGCGGCCTGGCACTTGGCTAGCTCCGCGTCGGCCTCCCTCAACGTAGCACTCTGCTCGGCCGTCCGTCTGTCCAGCGCGTCGATGTGTTTCAGCGCCGAACCAAGCTTCGCCTGCAGCTCCTCGATGGTGGCTGCGTCCCGATCGCGTTCCAGCTGCATCTCCGACTGTATCGTCATCAAGGACTCGACTTCTTCGCGATGCGCAATTTTGACCGCCCCCAGCTCCATGCGATATTCCTTCTCTTGGGCCTATTCATTTACATGTCAGCGTCTGACAAGACCAGAAGTAAACCATGACTTGCCTCAAGCTCGCCAGTGATCCGTTCTGCCTCAGCCTCCAACTCAGCATGCCTTTTTTCATGCAATTTCTCGACTGCTTCAAGCTTGCGGAGGTGTTCCTGGACGGACGCCTGGGCCTCCTCCTTTAGCAGCGCATGGCTGCCGCTCACGCTGGCCAACTCAGTCGACATCTCCTCCAACCTGACCGCCTGATGGGCAGACTCTACGCGTGCGGCGTCGAGTTCCTGGGAGAGCGCACGGACACTCTCATTGGCTTTATGCGTCTCGGCTTCCGTCGCCCGGAAATCCTCAGCAACTCTCTGTGTCGCGGATGTAGCGCTCGATAAGTCGTTCTCGAGGTTGTGGACGCGCGCGAGCATTTCGTCGTGCTGATGTAAGAGGCTGTCGCGCTCTTTCGCCACAGCCCGCACCTCAGCTTCGAGGTCGGAGGCTCGAGCAGTTTGTGTATCGGCGTCGGCTTGTAGCATCATGACCTCGTTTGTGAGGGCAGCCGTACGAGCAATGGCTTCATGGAGCTGCGATGATGTCTGGTCGATGGTGGCGCGAGCACGGGAGTACTCCGACTGGAGACTGTGATGCTCGGCGCGAAGTGACTCCAGGTCTTCGACGACTTTCAGCCGAGCAACGCGCTCATCGCTCAGAGAGCTCTTGCTTTCATCTAGCTGTGAGAGCGGATCTGTCAGTCGCTCGCGAACGGCGTACGAAAGTGTATGGTGTATCACCTCTTGCGTGAGCATATCTATCCGTAATCGGTCTTCAGAGCGCTCCAACTGCAGCTGCCTCAAAGTGCCCTGCGCGCCCGACAGTTCTTGTTCGAGACGTGTTCTGGCTTGTTCTACAGACTGCAACGCTGATTGCTTCTCCTCAGCGCTGGCATTTGCGCCATCAAGCGAGGCCGTGAGGGTTGCCACGCGTTCCTCCAATCCCTTGACGGTCTCAGTCTGAGACGCGATGGTCGAAGTTGCTTCATCGAGCTGATAGACTTAAGCCTTAAGTCGTCACCAAAACCTAGGGCTCCGCACCTTGGCTTGTAGCTCTTCAATTAATTTAGAATCGTCTTTTATCTCTGGTAGCGAGGGTGCAGATAATATGGAGTTCGCATCGTCTATGGCGGGGTCAGGCAGGTTGTTCACTTGAAGGCAAATTCAGCGTACCTATAGGAACCTTCAGCGACGCCTTGCTTGCCCGTCTGAATAGGCCGCCGAGGTAGCCCTGCCGGGCTCCCAATGGTGATGGACCCGCTGCTTGCTTAGGTTTAGGAGGCATTGACTAAAACTATGTAGAGTACGACAGTGAAAGCTGCGAGTCAAAGATGTAGAGATGTGAGAGTGAATGCGCCAGGTCGTCGCAAACGGTGCAAGTATAGGGTGGGGGCGTGTGCGGCGCAGCCTCCACGAGCGGAGGGCATGTTCTATGTCGAATGCCTGCCGGCTCGACATGTTTCTGGAGCTCAGCCAGGCATTGGCGTGTATGACGGCCTCCGGCCCATTGGCGTTCTCGGTAGATTTTAGAGTTCATATCATGAAGAGGCGTATAGACCCACAAGTGACTGAGAGAAGATATCTCCAGACCGACGTTCCTAGCGACGAGCTGTGTTTTCGGTGATTGATCCGGTGTACAGCAGTCGGACACTGTCAGCTCGCTCCTGCCAGTGGTCGATATCGACTCTTCCAAATCTTATTCATGTGCTGAAGAAAGCATGCATAGGGCATGGAGTTAATGTCACAGGAGCATGCGTGGTACGGTCGGTACATATCAAGACATCCTGCAGACATGAGGCACAGAAGTATCGAGCAGAGCAAGACCTTCGCCAGAATCAAAATGATCAGTAGTTCGTGCCTGGCTGTGCATCGCGGTCATACAGCAGGACCAGACGACGCTATATGCGTGGACAGACTCTAGACGTACTTACCTGGTGCGATCGGCATGTCCAACCTGACGGAAGTGCTCCCAGTGGCAGGACGACGCCGCGAACGTGTCGCCGCCGGGTGATCCCAGTATTTTGCGGAAGCGAGCTGCCGCTCAAGAGATCCTTACAAGTTGGTGTCCTATGACTGCGAACTCCAGAACTGATAGCGAACCTTCAGATTAGAGCTTGGACTCGTACTCGAAGTTGAAACCATTAATAAGCGCTAAAGTAGACAATCCAGGTCTGCCGTAAGCGCCGGAATGAGCCAGCTTACCGTTCAAGGCAACTCCTTCGTCACTTCGCACTTACTCGCCTCACCGTACAGATTCCGGGATATCACCACAGATTAAACATCGTACGCGTTGTGTGCGAGCTCTTCTCGATAAATATACGTACCGCATCTAATTGCGGACGATTCTTTTCGGTGATCTGCGTGTTCATCGAGTCGCTGACCACTGTATGTACCACAGCCAGCGGGGAAGAGCGAACAGGTAGTCATGTCACGTTTGATGACAAGACCGATGGGTATGCGGCATGGTCTTCATCTCGGCTGGTTCACTTCTCCGCCCCAGACGGGGTCAGATGGGGCCCCTACCGCTGAGAATTTACTCATGAACTGGGATTGATGACATGAGGCAACCTCATTGTATCGTGCAGTTGCCGAGATTGCTCTCACTATCAATGCTGTACATGACCTGCTGCGATATGCAGCCCACCCTCGATTTCGCAGGACACATGGCGGCACTGCACGAGATTGAGTTCAGGCAGTATGACTTACATGCTGGATGCGGCCCGCTAAGGGTACAAATGCCGCTTCGCGAAGGTAATCTCGTGTATACACACCACATCCTCCTCCTCGGCTCAAAGACATTCTCGCGTAGTCCGCTCACCAGCTCATATCACCGGCTAGATGTCGTTTGTCAAGAAGCGCACAAGCATTGGTGCGTCCCTGACCAAGAAACCAAGCAGCAGCTCCTTCTCGAGCTTCGGTGAGCATCGTGTACGTCCCCCTTGTTATGATATGATATTGAAATACCAGGACATCCGTAGATTCTGACCCGCTGAATCCAAGTTTCGTCAAGAGCGAGGTCAGTTCCCATACTGGAGGCCGAGATGATGTACTCACTTGAACGAAGCTTGATGAAGCACGCAAATCTCTTCGTGCTAAGACCGTCGCGGTTTCTGACCTTGAAAGCGAGCGCGATCGCTTGTCTTCCGAGTTGAACGAGGCACAGACTGAGGTCCGCGATGCGAAGACTGCTCTGGAAACCGCGACGAGAGAGCGCGAAGGGACTCAGAATGAGCTTGAGGACGCGAAGCGCCGTCTGGAGGAACTGCAATCGTACAGAGACAGTAAGGAGCTGGCGTTCCAGGAAGTCTGCCGTGAGGTACGCCGCTGTGACCGATGGTGCCTGGCTCATCCTAACAGTTTCTGCAGCTCGAGTATATGAAAGACGCATTCGCTGCTCAGGACGCGGTCATTGCCATCCTGCAGTCGCAGGTCCAGAGCACTACAAGCCTTCGAGCGGAGTATGAGGAGTCACTAGTGGAGGTCGCCGCAGAGCGCGACGCTATGAAGGCTGCGTACGACACAGCCAGCTCTATCAGTGGCTTGAGCTCTCAACAGCTACGAGAAGCCGTCTCCCGCATATCCGCTCTGGAAGAGATACTGTCATCGGTACGACAGGAGCACGACGCTAGTTTGGCCGCGAGTGCGGATGAGACGGAAATCACGAAGGCAGCGAATGTCGATGCGGAGATGCGGCTCGCAGAGAAGTCATCGCAGGTCGACGATCTTCTCGCACGCATGCAAGACTTCTCGGGAAAGCTCGCAGCCCTCCGCGCCGAGAACGCGGAGAAGATCTCCCGCATATCGCAACTCGAGAACGAAGTCTCTGACACACGGGAGGAGCGAGCGCGAATCGAAGAGATCGCCACCAGTACCCGCGTATGCGTCAAGCTCCTAGAGGAGCTGCTGTCGGCGACAAGTCGGATCGAGAGTGATGGTCTTGCGCCGCAGAAACGAGTAACAGACAAAGCGCAGCCGCAAGTAACACCACCTACCATCTCCAAAGCGCCCGACATTAGCAACAGGAGTGTAAGGACGAAACTGACCGCCCTGCTGACGTCGGTGAGTACATGTCGTTCACAAACATTTTGAACCATCACGTTGACCGCACGCATGCTCTATTGTAGATGGAGGCAATGGACTGTTTTACGCTGGCGTTAGTGGTGTTGCTGTGCGTGACGCTGGGCCCTTTCTTATATATGCTTCATGTGGAGGCAAGGGAGCGTGGACGTTGGCGCCGCGCGAATACTCTCTACCTATGTTGATGTGTTCGCATTGTGCAAGATTACATATGTAACTCATTGTCCGTTGTGATTGCAGTATGTTCTCTTACCACAGATCTACTACGTGCTGGCGAGACATCGAATCACATCGGGGCATACATGCATTACGTCTTCCGGGATTAGGCAGGTGTTTGAAAGGCACGAGTGTGACAAGGGGAAGCCACAAAGTACATTGTCCAACGCTTCTTGCCCTTGCTCAGTAGAGAGCAGTGCATTCGGGGGTTGTGGGAATGCATTGGGTCAATGCGTCGACGGACGATCACGATCCCATCAAAGCCATTGGCATTTGACCACTACGCTTTGATGCGGCTTCGCGTACAGCGCGATCCACATTTCTTTGTCGCCACAACCCGCGATCCACATCTCTTTGTTGTCACCTCGTTTCCCGGCTCATAGTTCCTCGCTTAGCTCTCGTTTTGTATATATACTCGCCGCGAGCGTGCGGGAGACTTCAGCCGTCTCACGCATCGCTTGCAGCGTTGCTCACAGTACGGTCTCACATTTTCTTTCCCTCCCACCTCCCTTACACATGGACAGTCTCCACCTTCGATTCCGTCTCCTTCTTTCTTACGAGTTTCTGTGTCTTGTAGTAGCCTAGTGTTGCCTTGAGGCTGTCCCCGCAAGGGGCGGGCCTGAGCGCGAATAGAGCACACCCGCGCCCCTCCAAACTCATGTTCATGTCCCACGCCTCCTCGTGTCACCCCTGCTCATCACACCCTCGTCGCGATTAGGCATTGAGAGTAAGTCTCAATACATGTCAGTCCTTTCTTGATCCCTGCCTGATCCGGTGATGTCAATGCACATTTGACAGCCGCCCGATCCAGATCGCGCGACAGCTGTGTATAAGTATATGTAACTTGGTGGCCTGGCCTGTTCTAACAGCGTCGAGCGTAAACTTCGACTCAGCCCCTCGCTATGCCGCTCGGCAGCAGAGTGGGCGCTGAACCGTCCTGTTGATTTGGAATGTCTATTGTCACTACTCAGCATCATGTTTATAGTCCTTGCATGTCTACAATTCCACGATTGGCAGGAACAATCCCAATCCGAGCAGTGGTCAGCGCTGCATGCAAGTCTGGGCCGCTGCTGGACGCAGCTCTATTACTTCCTACGTTCATGTGAGTGCAGTCCATCTGCTTCCTGGTAACCGGGATCACACCGCTCATGGTAAATAGTCCAGGACGCGGCATCACAGCACAGGCAATAATCCCCGTCCTGATATACGACAATGCTGCCGCTACCACTGCTCGCCCTCGTGGCGTCATCCGTCGTACCGATCGTGAATGGCCAAATATCCAGCAGCTGGCCACAGGCGTACCCTGGCATGCCGGATGTAGAATATGGACCAGCTTGGCAGAACTGTGAGTTCAAGTAGTAGTATTTCAATGGCAGTGTGCTAAAGTAGTCAACGTTACACATTTCGAAGTGACAGAGCCACTACCCAACGTCACCTGGGACCTCGGACGCAGCTTTGCGGGAAACATTCCTGTAAATCGGCAAGGCCATCCGAATGACACCCTGTTCTTTTGGGCCTTCGAGAGAGAAAATGGCTCGCTGACCGCCACAGCTGGAGAAAGCGACGAGCCTTGGGGAATATGGCTGAATGGAGGGTATATCTGCCAACTCATTCTCAACACAGTGAACTGACTTGCGCGCTAGTCCGGGAGCGTCAAGTATTGCTGGCCTATTGTACGAGAACGGGCCCATACACCTCAATCCAGATTTCTCCGCATACGAAAACAACTACAGCTTCAGCAACCTAGCTGACTGTTTTTGGATAGACCAGCCTGTGTACGCTACGCTCGGTGCTTATACCTCATGAGGCTCACAAGTTCATTTTAGAGGAACTGGTTGGTCCACAGCCGATGAGACAGGGTTTGGTAAGATGCATCATTTGTATGCATGTTTATCAGTCTGATGGGCAATGCATGCAAGTCTACGATGAGGATCAAGTGGGGACCGACTTTGTAAGTGCACATCGAGAAGCGTAGGTGTCCGGAATTGACAGAGTCGTTGCAACCTCAGATGGGCTTCTTGGAAAATCTGGTCAAGGTGTTTCCCAGTCTCGCAACACGACCTCTCTATTTGACCGGCGAGAGCTATGCTGGTACATACATAGTGGGTTATCTTGTAGTTTGCGGAGACGTAAGCTGACAATCTTGTGTAGCCTTACATCACGAAGGCATATTTCGGCCTTTCTAACCCTCCAGTGAATCTAGCGAAGATCGTGATCGGCAATGGTACTGTTGGCTCAGATGCTGTTGTCCGGCACCTTCCAACCGTATGTCCAATCACCAGGTTGCCAACAACTGCTCGTTATTGCCCCTGCAGACAACTGTTATACAGACATACCCCCAGCTTATTGGTTACGACCCGGAAGTCTTTCAGTGGTTCGTGGAACAGTATGTCCTTCGCGCTCTCTGACTGTCTCCACCGGACTCATATTCATATGTATCCTCCTATCCTATACAGAACACACCTCTGCGGCTACGACCTCAATTTGACGTACCCACAGGATGGCCACTTGCCAGACCTCCAACTCGTATACCCCACCGCGCCTGGCCGCGCATCGCAGGTGTACTTCGCGAGTAAGCAGAAAAGCAAAGCGATGGTGTCCAAGCGCGAACTCCTGCAGGAGGGTCGGCGGCACTATGGTGATGAAAGCGTGCACGCGCGAGGCCGTGCGAACCTGTAGCGCCGGGAGATCATGAAGCGGGACTTGGCGGGGCGCGCGAACGGCACGATCGACCCGTGGTATGGGTGCTTTTTATACGACGCGATGATCGAGTATGCGTTGAACTTCACGTATCCGTGGAGTGAGTCAGTCGTTCCGTTTGGCGCATCATGTACTAATTTCCAGTGGTGTAGGTGTCAGCGGAAGCTTCGCTGGGATCGATGTGGGCTTTGTTCGGCTTGCATGCGGGTGATGTGTTACTCATCGGTGCTGCAGGTGTATGATCTCCCGGATGCGCTCGATCCGAAGATTCCGCTGGATGGCAATTACTTTTTTAACGGTGTGTTCCTTGCTGGGGCCCTGTTACTACCCAAGGAGCCTGACAGAGTGTTCATAGATGCCCAGACTGTCGCAGCGCTGCATGCGCCTACGAGCAAACAATGGACTGACGAGATGGACTACTATCTGTTCCTCGGTATGGAGCACATCCTGTCTTTCTGTTCCATAAAACCTAATTGTGCATCCCCAGGCGGTGCGGATAATGACTACAATGATCCGAGTGAGTACCCACCACGTGCTGTGTTGACATAAGTAAGGCCCTGACCGTCTCTCACAGGTGTCGAGTAAGTTGAGTTTCCTCGGGAGCTCCATAGGCATCTATCGAGCAACTGTCAGGCCCATGACATTCTTCACTGAGCTTGCAACAAACGCATCCGCGCGGGTCTTTCTATCGTCCTATATTCAGGAAACGATGACTCGCTCATCACTCACCGCGGCACAGAAGGTTCGTAAGACTGATTCGTCTGCTACACCTCACCTGACTTAGTGTGTGCGCCGTTAGTTGTCATCCAGGTTAGTGATGGTGTGCGGTACATGATGTCAATGCTCAGCTCTCATCACACTGTAGAATACCACATTCGGTGGTATCCAGGGCTTTACGAGGAAGCCGGCGACACCCTGGTATGCTGATGATGGCAGCTTTGCGGGGATTGTTCACCAGGAGCGCAACTGGACATACATTCTCTTCAAAGGCGCGGGACACCTCGTCCCCCAACAACAGCCTGCTAACGTCAGTGTCGTTTGCCACACACCTACATCCAACTTGGCTCACTCTTCTCCTCACAGGCATACACCTTCCTTCGGGAGTTCGTCCTGGGCAGCAACACCACCGGTCTCGTGAGCGGTTCCAAAGGTCAAGTCTCCGTAGTCGGAGGCGAAGTCTCTTCGCTTGCGCAGGATGTGCTGCCAGGGCAATCCGGGATCTACGTCGGGTCTGGCGCAACGCAGTCGACGTATACGTTCCCGTCAGCGACTATTGCGGCGTGGGAGAGCTATATTACGACAGCGACGGCGAGCCCGACGAGGTTGGCGGCGCAGGTGCGGTCGACGTCAGGCGCGAAGCCAACTGCACGACCACCCTTCCACTTCCACTTCTGAGAAGATCTTTGTCAGGAGTTCATGATCTTTGGAGCTATAGTTGGTATTATCTGGTCGGGAAGTAGTTATACAGTGATTCCTTGCGATACTGCATGGCAAGCACTTGGGAACTTGGCAAGTCTGTACCCATACTGTGCCTCCCTGGGTAGTCGGCAGACCCCTCAAGTCGGCAATTTCATAGTATCTCCCTCCACAGTACTCGATTACCTTCGTGCTTTTGTATAGACATAGGTTTTCGTATGCCTGCTTTCATTTCCAGCTTGAACGGTGCAGTAGTTCTGGAGTCCCTTCCTGAGGACCAGCTCAAGTTGTTGTCACGCTGGTGTATGCCTCGGTTGTAACAGCTTGTGTCGGAGTCTGATTTTCCGATCACGTTGGCGACATCATTGTATGCTTCGAGCTACCTGCTCAAAGAATCCTTAAGCGTTGGCCGAGCGGACCTTGAAATATCACGCGTGAATGGGTCGTGATGGATGTGTTACTTTTACGTGACTGCCGACTTGGGGGGTCTGTCGACTACCCACAGTAATCAGTAATGCTACTTTATGATGAGCTTCGCCTCGATCCAGCCAGAGCGGCGAACAGAATGTGTTGATATGTCTTTCTCATGAAAGTGCTGCGAAGTAATTCAGTCGCGTTCAGCAATGCGACAAAGTGGCGATCGAATCTTGCTGATGGTATACGTATGCTTTGATGCGGAACATCTGTGTCTGCAAGACAGCTCGGTCTAGATTTAAGTGCGGCGTGGTCTCATAGTCATGGTAAGACGCATACAAGCTGACGCTTTACTTCCATGTATTCGTATTGAAGGGACCCCACACTATTGCGTCACAGGGTCGTTGAATCACGACATTCGCGCTGAGAAGTCACATTGGCCTCGCCGGCCGTTCTGGATAGTGACCCACTAATCTCGGGCTTGAATGGCTGACATGACATTTGCCGCCGCTGACCAAGCCACCATGCTGACATAGAGGCTCCCATTCTTGGATCCATCGAGAAAGGATTCATATAAAGCTGGCAGGAACGTTGCGTAGATAAATCATTCCTCGACATTGATTCTTTCGCACACCATGGCTACAGCTTCTGTGCTTACTCCTCACGACATTCCGACCACATTGAACTATTTTGCTGCTCTTGACGACGATGCGCCATACCAGTATGTCTATGACCCTCCGGAAGGTGTCCCGAAGAACAACGTCGGCGCGGACCCCCACCCTGTTGTCATTCATGATGCACGCGGCCGGGAGTCAGAGTTCTCGATCGACACGTCCGGCTTCCAATACGTGAAGCACATCAGCGCAGAGAAGGAGTTCGTCGACGAGGAGCGCATTCAAGATGTCTATTACAAGGAGGTAGAGGATATCTTAAAGAAGGAGACCGGTGCCAAGCGCGTCTTCATCTTTGACCACACTATTAGGTGAGTAGTGATCGTTTGCAGGAGAGGATCAGTGGACTTACGTTATGATCAGGCGCAAGGCTGTCGATAACGGTCGCAGCGTTCCAGGCGAGCGGGGCCCAGTGGTAAGTCCTACTTGTTTCGCCGAGCGTGGGGAGCCCCGTCTCACGACTTCTGTGTAGGAGCGTGTGCATATTGATCAGACGTACGACGCATCGATCAAACGCGTCCACTACCATCTCGGTGACGAGGCGGAGCGCCTTCTAAACGGTCGCGTCCGCATCATCAACGTCTGGCGGCCCATTCAGCACCCCGTCGCCCACAAGCCACTCGCCGTGTCCGATTGGCGCTTCCTCGACGAAACGCACGATCTTGTCCCGGTTCGACACATCTACCCGCATCGCGAGGGTAGCACATTCGGCGTGCGCTATAACCCGAAGCACCAGTGGTACTACCTGTCGAACCAGACACCGGAGGAGGTGACGCTGATCAAGTGCTACGACTCGGAGGTCAACAGGGCGCGGTTGACGCCGCACTCTGCGTTCCCTGACTCCACTAGCCCTCCTGAAGCACCCCAGAGGGAGTCAATTGAGGTCCGCTGTCTAGTCTTCGACGCAGAGTAGAGCCTGTACAGCAGAACTGTAAATATCGCTGCAGAGACTTCAGGATTCTGCGTTGTATGCCACGACCCTTGCTGTGTATCAATTGATTTTTGATGTGGGATATTGAACAAACCAATGTGCGAGAGTGCTTGTGCCCTGAATATTGCACGGGTAGTATGGCATGACCGGTTGATGTATTGTCCAATGCCTATCATCACCCACATTGCACTTCTGTTTACTTAATACTGGTCGGAGCCTAGAGAAAGCTGTAGGAGCAGGACCATCCCCTTGAACCGTGGTTGAAGCCTGGGGCCGTGGTATCGCATATCCAACTGTCGATGCTGTAGACCTGAGAAGTAAATGGTAACGCTGACGATTCGAGAATCATTGATTATTCGCCGTTATGATTGGAGCCTCAGGGGACTCAATATTGATTTTGAATTGGCTTTGATCGGGAAAGGCGAGAATGATCTATCCTTTATAATCTGAGCGCTCCGAGGTCTGACGCAATCGCCGGCATGGAATGGCTTGGAGTACTAACCAGCTGAGTCCGCAGGGAATTGAAGTTTGGTACTGCAGCTGGTGTTGACAGAAGTTTACCACTGCCAGGTATTTCCGCCGGCCAGGCAGGAATTGGATGACAGGTGGTAAACGTACTTCCTCATATGGTATATAGAGCGCTGTAGTCCCCATTCTGGGTATCTCTTGGACCCTAACCTGGGGTTTAGCCAGCCATATTTGGAATCATATGGCCCATTATCGCTGCAAAACTGTGACGTTATCACAAGGCAGTGTCACCGCGTCCACAGTTGAGTGAAACTCCACTCAAAATCCGCCATACTTTGCCACAGGTGACAAATGCCATTCTACCGGCAGTTGGCATAGGTCGGCCTCTGTGGAAATCCTGCCCGCAATATTAGATGCAGCATTGCGTCAAGTGCTGAGCAGTAAGTCGAGCGTCAGAAAAGACTCACGTAAGTGTCAAGATATTGATGATAGGTCAGGTTGCGTCACCAGACTTCGATAGCACGACATGCATATCCGACATTTCGCACAGACCGCCGGCCGTTCTGGGGATGGTCAATGTCCTCCCCGGGACATTCGATGGCGACAACACTATAAAGCTGCTGACTGATCTTATGCTGACAAACTCCCCGAGCTGCGCTCCCCGACCTTCTAGGACTTTGGCGACGTATAAAAGGGCAGCGCGACAATCCTGCACAGTCAGTTCTCTGGCTAAACATTCGCACCACTTACATCAGTACATTTAAACAATGGCTACCGCTGCAGTCCTCCAGCCGCATGACGTTCCGACGACGCTGAACTACTACTCCCCCATCGGCGAGGAAGCGCCGTACCAATATGTGCAATCCCCGCCCGAGGGTGTCCCGACCAATAATATCGGCAGGGAACCGCACCCTGTTGTCGTGCACGATGCTCGCGGACGCGAGGCTGACTTCTCGATTGACACCACGGGCTTCCAGTATGTGAAGCACGTCAGCGTGGAGAAGGAGTTCGACGATGAGAAGCGCATCACGGACGTGTACTACAAGGAGGTCGAGGAGCTCCTGAAGAAGGAGGTGGGCGCGAAGCGTGTCTTCATCTTCGACCACACCATCAGGTAAGCCGATATGTGGGGCAAGACTCGGAGGTGGGCGCGAGCTGATCGAGTTCGCAGACGCAAGCCCGTCGCTGGCGTAGACGGCAGTCCTGACAGGCGCGGGCCGGTGGTAAGTCCGCTCCCTGTCAGCCTCGTTGCGAGTACTAAGTGAGACGCGTGTCATCCAGGAAAGTGTGCACATTGACCAGACGTACGACGCGTCCGTGAAGCGTGTGCACTACCACCTCGGCGACGAGGCGGAGCGCCTCCTGCAGGGCCGCGTGCGCATCATCAACGTCTGGCGGCCCATCCACCACCCCGTCGCCCACAAGCCGCTCGCGGTGTCCGACTGGCGTTTCCTCGACGAGACGCACGACCTCGTGCCCGTGCGCTTCATCTACCCGCACCGCGAGGGCAGCACTTTCAGCGTGCGCTATAACCCGAAGCACCAGTGGTACTACCTGTCGAACCAGACGCCGGAAGAGGTGACGTTGATCAAGTGCTACGACTCGGAGGTTGACAAGGCGCGGTTGACTCCCCACTCCGCGTTCCTCGATGAGACGAGCCCACCGGAGGCGCCGCACCGCGAGTCGATCGAGATCCGCTGCCTCGTTTTCGACAGAGAGTAGAGGCGGCCGCATGAGTCGTGGAGTTGTACCACCTATGATTGTGTGTATCTGTATCATGTGTCGGTTATGATCGTCAGCCGAGTTGTGTCAATCAGTGGAATAATAAGACTCCTTGAGTTTTTGAGATATGCTACAACATGAAAATGACGGATGAAGATGACGATACAGCGGGCAGTTCCAGCAATGAAAAATACACCAAACCATACAAGTTCATGCTCCCACTGCAGTGACGCCAATGGATGTATCGCCCAACCCGTTTGCGTACTGGAATTCGCTCGAGTTCTCATACTGTCCCAAGAATAGATGTTAGCGGGCAAGTGCGTACGTGTGTGAGATCGAATTAACACGTACCTCCCACATATCAATCGCGACCTGGCAGCTCTCACGGACTACCCGAGGTGCATCCGGGCGTTGCATCCACTCTTTGAGGTGAGGGAGAACCTCGGGCGTGGCGATCCCTCCTAGGGCTTCGGCTGCCTCGTGACGGACCATGTCCGACTCTTGTGTATCCTCGAGGACTGCGACCAGAGCGGGCACTGAATGTGTAGAAAGGAGTTGTCCGAAGACGAAAGCGATCTCGTGCCTATGCGACATCAAGTTGATTAGCTTGACGATGAGATATGGGAGCGCAACATTGCAAATAATTGTTTATTGATCCGTGTGCGAAAGAAAACAGATGCTTGTAAAATGCGAATCCCACCAAACATGGCATGCGATCTGCCATATTTGGTCGTCTTCGCATTTCCCTTGTGAGATGGGCAGCGTAAGATACGCACTTGAATAATGCACTGTCGTCAGCAAAACCAGCAGCTAGCGCATCAACGGCGGCAGGCGTGCCGATGTTCCGCAGGGCGAACATCGCGCGGTAGCGCTCGAAGAGGGGGCGGGAAGAATCGAGGAGGGTTGTGCGGAGGGTGGCGATGCTCGCGTCGGAGGTGTCTTCCGGGGCTGCCATACCGGATAGGAGGCGCGAGGACGGCGGTGCGGGGTCGATGGAGGTGTAGATCCTATTGAGCGTGAGGTCGGTGATAGTCCGCAGATGCCGAAGGAGGACTGCACGTACTGGTCTGATGAGGATGCAATGGTCTGCGAGTGTTTCCGGCCCTCTTCCGAGTTGTCCCAGTCGATCTTGGCTATTGCAATCTCGCACGTCTCGCGCACGCTGCGCTCCGGGTCGGAGAGGTACCTGTGGAGGACGGGGAGGGAAGAGGGGGCGGAGATGGCGCCCATAGCTTCGGCAGCCTGAAATGGAGTAGCATGTAAGATACACTAACCCACGGGAGCGAAGCTATGTGCATAAGACGCACCTCATGCCGTACCATGGGGTCTTCCTGCTCATTTGCGAGCACAGACTCGAGGACAGGGAGTGCGGCGGTGTTCTTCATCTGTCCAAGACAGTACGCAAGCTCATGCTTCAGGAGCGCACTGTCGTCCAAGAAAGCTATATCACAAAACGTTCAGCGGTTATCCTGTGAACGCTCTTCGTACGTACCTTTCGAGATGATCCTGATCGCATCCTCATTTTTGAGAGCCTTGAGCGTGAACAGTGCCCTGAATCGGTTGTGGAGGGGCACGATCCCCGAGGTATTCAAAAGGGTAGCCTCAAGGCTGGAAATAGAGGCCTGAGAGACGTTCGCCTGTGCACCCATGCTGCAGAGAAAGTAAGAGAGGGTTAATTAACTTCAAGTAGAATCTAAGCCCGAGATGAGGATTTGAGAAAGGTGCTGAAGCGCCGGGACGATCGAGATCGGCTAAAGCAAATTTTGATCGGGAGAAAGGGCGCTTGTCGTCCGTCCGTCCGTCTGCCAGTCTATAGCAGAAAAAGCTGCTTCATCTCTACCACCCCGATTCCGACTCGGACAATACAAAAACATGCCGAAATCAAAACGGTCGAAGGTCGTCTCTCTTACAAAAGTCGCCAAGAAGACACGGGAACAAAAGAATGCGTTGCTTAAGGAGGTGCAAGAAAACTCCGACAAATGGCAATATTGCTGGCTATTTGAGGTGGGAAACATGCGGAATGCGCATCTCAAGACGGTGCGGAAGTTGTGGAAAGAGTGCGTCTTGTTGTCGGCTTCTGCTCACAGCTTAATGTCGATCACGGCTCCCGACGTAGCTCAGCACGGATGTTTTTTGGACGAGGGGCTGTCATGGCGAAAGCGTTGGGCATGACGCCAGAGGAGGAGCACCGCTTAGGACTGCATAAGCTCGCAAAAGTGCGCTCTTTTTATCATACTACTTAGGCCATGCATCTTACACCCCAACTCGATAGCAAATAAAAGGCCAAGTGGGGCTATTCTTCACCGACACGCCGCCCGCCGAGGTGATTGCCTGGTTCGAGGACTTTTCGCAGCCGGACTTTGCACGCACGGGGAACGCCGCGCCGCGCACGGTCGTGCTGCCCACGGGGCCGGTCATGCAGCAGCATTCGGAGCCGCCGGAGCCGTTCCCGCACAACGAGGAGCCGCAGCTGCGCAAGCTCGGGCTGCGCACGAGCATGGTGCGCGGCGTGCCGACGCTCACGGCGCCGCACACGGTGTGCGAGCGCGGTAAGGCGATCTCTCCGGAGCAGGCGCAGCTGCTGAAGCTCGTCGGTTTGCGCATGGTGCGCTTCCGCCTCGGGCTGCGTGCCAGGTGGGAGGCCGCGAGCGGGGAGGTCGTGCAGGTGGAGGGCGTGAAGATCGACGAGGAGGAGCTCGAGGGCGGGGACGCGCCATCAGGAGAGGGAGAGGGCGCGGAGGACGAGGAGATGGAGGAGTAGGAGCCTGGGTGCGGTGGGATCGGTACCGTGTTCTCGTTTCATCCCGCATTGTCGTTGTATTGGTGTCACTGTCTATCTTATTCTCATACAGATTCCGTGGACCGGCCGCGTACGGAGCCGCTGGCCATAGCTTGTTGAACATGTTGCACAACAGGGTAGACATCCGTCCGAGCCCTGCCGCCCTCGTTGCTTCTCTTCGGCAGCCTGGACATACTTCGAGATCGACGCGTCGAGTCTCCCTCGAATTCCCTGAGAAAGTTGGAAATCCCGCTTACAAGTTATGGCGGTAGATCTAGTTTGTTCTATCGACGAGGCAAATCTCCAAGTCGCCGGTTACGCGAAGAGAATACGTCTTCACCGCTCACAAGCTCAGAGTGTCTCGCGAGCCTGAAGCATCGTCCGTGCGTCTATATCTACCCTGAGGAGACTCCTGAGGCCCTGATCTAACTCATTGTTAAATTAGCGTTCCACGAACCTATAGCGCACCAGACAGACTAAACGGGATATCTGAATTTCTTCCATAGAGTGTTGATCACACGTAAGCGCCAGGATGCCTCTTCTCTTCTCAGGATGTAAGTTGGAGGTGGATATCGGAAGTCTGCGCAGAAGACGCCGCATCTCGCGCTATAGCTTCTGTAGCAGGCTCCCGACAAGATTTGCACTGTTGACACTGGCACTGTAATGGACTGGCACAACTGAACGCGCCGAAGTCATGCTCGCGCAGGCGCTCCTGTTGCGGAGCCGCAGTCTTCGACCTGGCCAGCGCAAATCTATGATCTACATTCCTTCCGAAGACACTGTTCGCTTATGTGCGTGGCACGACGCGGGAGGGTGCCTGTGGCTGGCGACCGTCGGTAGCACATGAAGTGTGTGCATACCAATCAACGCCGCGGTTGATGATGTCAAGGATTCTGCTTCATTCGGCGTGCTTGATGTCGATGAGTCGGGGGCATCATTCTCGGGCTGATACCATATCCACTTTTTGGGCTGTAAGCGTGATGAATATTGTGGGGAAGCAGGGTCCATCTCTTCCAGAATGCGTATCCGGTGAGGTATGCACGCTATCCAATAGCAATTGCACCAAGCATTACGGAGGTGGCTCCCTAGAACCATCTATTACGGTACGCCCCTCAAGGAGCTATCCGATGGCGCATCATTGAAGCCTCAAGTGTCGAGTGCCGCCAGGATGGTGCGACTGATGCCGACATTCAATATTCAATATTCAATATTCAAGCCCAAAACTTGGTGATAACAGTGCGTTTCAATTGCTCAGGCCGTACAAAGCAACCATTGACTTCACTGATGGCGGGTTTCCTCGATCACAGCGGGCTGGATATGTCAAGGTGCCTGCCGGATGCGGAAGGAGGAGGAGTCCAAGCTCGCTGTCTGTCAAACGCAAGCCGTTGACGTTTCCTTCACCTAGTCCCGTCTTCGCTGCGATGTCGACTGGGACACCGCACCTATATAAGCCAGTACCCGACCCTCGTTGTCTTCGTCCCGCCGCCCTCCTTCCCTCCAGGTGACACCCTCTGCGATACTCCTCCTGCGACCCCCCTCCGGCGCGCGGTACATCCTCTGCTAGCACACATATCTCGTGAACATTACCGTCATCACACTTCTGCGCCATCACTCCGCCCGGTGACACCATTTTCAACATGGGTTCTCCTGCGGCGGTAACGTGCGCTGCCTGCTCTTCCTTCTCGCGCTGGTCTTGACTGTAGCGCTATAGTTATGGCCCCATCTTTGTTGGCTGTGTCCTCAACATCGTGTTGTACGGCATTATGATCACCCAAACATTTTTGTACTTCACCGTCTATAAGAAGTATGTCGTCGTGCAACAGTCTTCCCGCGTTGCGTCTTATCACTACCATGACAGGGACAAATTATGGATGAAACTTTTCGTAGGTGACAACCCTCCGTATGCAAGATCGTCTCATCATCGCATTCTTTAGGTCGGAACTCTCTTCCTCTGCGATACACTCAACTGCGCGTTCGACATTGCCTTCGTTTATGTCGCACTTGTGGACGGATTCGGTAGGCCTAACAGATTCTAGAGACTAGGATGCGACGCTACATATTCTACAGATAACCCCATTGGTCTTGACTATGCGTCATGGGGTAAGCGCGATCTTTCCATATGCCATCAGACGACTGACCTACGCCCGTAGTTTTTGCAACGGGTACGTTAAGCCCAAGTTGTGTCGACGTTGACATTCATGATCAATGTTTCCTACTATAGATCCGGCTATGACAGTAAGCACCTCTGATCGCTATGTTTGCAGTCAAGTCCTAATCTGAACTACTATACAGGCATTCATTGCGCTTTTCGTTCAAATGTTCTTTGCGTGGCGTGTCAAGGTTCTTACCAATAGTATCCCGGCCGTCCTGTTCGTCATGTTCTGCTCTCTGTTTCAATGGTGTACGTCTCTACATTAGTTATTCTTGGTTGATTTCTAACAATTCTACATCAACAATAGGCGGCGGCGTTGGCACGGCCATCGCTGTGGGCATGATTCCAGAGTTCGTTCACTTCCAGAGATTCGAGGTGATTGTCATCATCTGGCTGGCGTTCTCTGCCGTGGCGGACTCTTCTATCACAGCGGCTCTTGTCTGGCACCTTGTACGTCTAGGATTCCTTTCATTTGGTACAACACGTCCACTAATAGCATACTGATAGAGGAAACACAAGACTGGATTTTCGCAGACCGATGATATTGTCAATAGGATCATCAGGTGTCAGTCCGTGCGGATTGTGTTGGTACACTGACTGACATGCGTGAACAGTAACTGTCCAGACCGGCTTGATTACGGCGTTGTGCGCTACCATCGATTTGATCCTTTTCCTCGCTACAGTATGCCCTGCCGTTTTTGTTCGAGGAACAGACGATGTTGACGACGTTTTTATGTCAGCCGTCCGGATTGCACCTCATCTTCAATCTTCCACTGTCCAAATTGTACACAAACTCCCTGATGTCTAGCTTGAACTCTCGCGCTGGGTGGAAGTACGGTAATGTCGGTGCAAGCACGGGCATTAGCGAGATGAGCCACGGCAATATCAACGGCCTCAGCATGAAGAGCGAGATCGGCAAGCGGGTCAGTGTGATGCAGCAGGCGGTGACTATTTCCTGCGAAACGGGTGTTTTGACTGATTCGCTGACCACCGGATTTTTCGCACAGGGCGGACAGCAAGTATTCATCGACGTTGAATCGCATGAAATGGTCGACGTCCTCGAATCGGACAAGCACCCTCTGCCGTCGCCGTCAGACTCGGAGATGTTGAAGATGTATGCTGTGGAGTCGCGCGTCTCGACGGAGAAGCAGGTCCGCATGAGTGTCGGACAGATGCCGTCGAGGCCTTCTGGGGCCCGGTGATCCAACCACTCCAGACATGACGCCTCATGACCCGTATGCGCTCGATGACAGCGATGTTCGTTATTCACCCCACAGTTGTCTCCCAGTATACCAATCAGTCTTCTATGTTTCTATAGCTTTCTCGTGGAATCTTGTTTCATTTGGTCTTTGCCAGTGGTTGTCGTTGTATTCACAAATTTGAGGGCAGCGTTTTCGCCCTCAGTTTCTACTTGGACTGTACACACAGCGTGCAGAATGGACTCGAATTAATTGTGCATGCGTTATGTCAGCATGCTATCTCGATGACAATGTCTGTCGTGATGATTGATGGAGGCATACTGGCACCCATCCACGTCGCGAACGCAGTGTACGGTTTGATCTTTGGTCTAGCAGATGGCTGCGAGCAAGGGCCCTCTGCGCATGATATGGTCGAGGAAAGACTTGCCAATCTTCTTAGCTCCCGCAAGAAGATGACGATGAAGAGTCCAACCTGATTTGCTACGATAATTCTCGGTTCTCTGGAGTTGACATCATCTCTAATATGAACGCGGTTATTAGCGCAGCCTCTCGCGATATAAGCGTCGGATTCCCAAACGAGGGGATTGCAGGTACAATGTGAGAAGATAAGGACAGAGCTGTATACCCTTATACTGGATATGACGTCAAGTGGAAGCTGCCCTCGCAAGATGTCGTATACATGGTGAACGCGAATCATGGTGCGTCTCCCTGTGCGTCCTGTAGCAAACTGACTGACGCTGTTCACAGGTGTATCGTTTCAATCGTTGTTTGATTTTGGCGTCGTTCGATCTGCGCGTATCTATCGTCCTTGAGGATTTTGCTATTTCATGTACTTGTCATATGTATATATTCGGCTGTACATTTGTTAATTTCCGTCTTGCTCTCTGGATACGTAGTCCTTTGCTGTCGTAAAGTAAGCATTATGTAGTTCACTTTCCATTCAGTAGGTTGAGATTAGCAGCAGGGTTGTAGGAAGGCACACCTTGATTGCGAACCACGAGGTGGATATGTGCAGTGCGCCCGTCATTGCTCCACGCGCTGCACATGCATTCGCTCTAGGCTTGTAAGCCTAACTGAAGTACATGGGATTCTGCTTGCAAAAGATTAATTATGTATGTACTGGCTATCTTTCTCATGACAATCAGACATGGCACCGACCACTCACCTGTGCGACATAGCGCGTCCGAGAGCAGGACCTGGAAGGTGGTTTCATGCTACAACCGTAACTCACGCATGTGGACAATTAAATGACGTGCCATAGTCTGATATTTCCCGAATCAAAGTTGCTGTCAAGGATATCATCGCGCTCTTCGCCGAGCAGTATAGATGGACTAGACAGTTACTATCCATCATGGTGGCAGCGCCTGCAGCTTGGCAAACAATCTGTCCCGACGCGCATCTGCATAGTGCGAACTCAACACCGTCAGGATGTCCTCGATGCTCTCGTACGAGCGCCCTAAGGTGATCTCTGCCGGCACCTCTCGCCGTTCCTGCCCAAGCCCCATTCCAGCCTTCGCGCATATGGCATCAGCAACCAATAGCAACATGGCATAGCATACACGTACTGTATATCCGCGAGAAGACAGCGAGATGATGGCATTGTTTCCTTCGAGAAGGGCGACACGCGCAGATGCTTTGTGCACAGTGGACGATACGATAGTGAAATTGACAATTCCGACACTCTGCTCTTCCAGCGCGCTGGTGAGCTCCGCTGTAGGAAAATTGGGAGTCGAAGGTCTCGCAAGGTCGTCGGCAGATGGCACAGGCGTCCGAGAAGATCGTTCAGAGTCGTCGGCGGATTTCCACATCGATGACCGTCAGCCATCCACGAGCTCAAGTCTGTCGAACAAACGACAGATCCGAAGTGATGAGCGACGAGGGCAATGCAGAGATGCCTGAGTCTGAGCTTTTTATGTCGCCTCTACCGGTGGCGTTTGCAAACTTGCGTGCGCTTGAGTATTGCTATAGTGCCGCCAATGATCAGCACACGATCGAGAGTTATGTGGTAATGTAGTTCTGAATGACCAGGGGCTAGCGGTGAGAAGGATGAGCAGGTTGAGACAGCAGTGCGCGCGTGCGAGACGCTGTGAGACGCGTCGCGCAGTCAGATGAACGCTCACACTCCGACCATTCACCAAGGTCTATATTATCCTGCAGATCTTCGGTCACCTCATCTGTGGGTAAGCAGCAACTATCACAACCACACAGAACCCGTCGTCGGTCGGCAAGATCTCTGTAAGTTGCAGTGCCGGCTCTCGACCTGCCTCTGTGTTGAATATCTCCGAGCTTTGACCAAATCGGACGGACCCAGAGCACAACAGAGCTGGCCGGACGATTGTATACTCGAACTCGGTGGAAGAAGAATGACCAGGTATGCTTGTCATACAGCGCGACGCGCTCGTCCGACGCTGGCTACTGAGGTTCTGTCCTGGTATTACTCTCCGCACTTTGGTATACTCCTTAGACGGTATTGCCATGCCACTGAGCTGTGACACCACTGTGAGCGTGCCAACCTTACTACACATAACTCGGCACCATGGATGTTGTCAGGGCAGTCGAGACCTGCATCGCGAAACTCATCTCTGTCCCACCTTTTGTGAAGGTGCTGCGACATAGCGCACATGAGTGCGTGTGATTCTTACAGACTAGCGAAGACAGCCTGGCGGCGCTGGAGGCGGAGCTACGGCAGCCGAAATTGTCACCGCGAGCTCGCCTGTGTCGAGCCCTGTCGGCCCGTCTGCGGCTGCTACCCTCGTTGCGTCTATCCATAGTCTACGAAATCCTTGCCAACTCTCCGTCGAGTGCATCGGATAGTGGGGCAGACCCGGCACCGTTCAGCTCGGCGTTATCGTTGTCATCGGGCACTACTTCTGGCAACGTTACGACCGGTGCCGCATCCTCCTCGATGGCTTCCGATGGCTTCATGTAAATAGCTTCGGGTATCCGTCGACCCTGTGGATTGCGTTAGCGTTGGCTGCGCTACTATCATGTTAGGACCTTGGCGAATGATAATAATCCCTGGGTTACCTCGGCTGTACATTTCATAGCGCTCTACCGTTGCAGCACCTTATTTCTGTCGTGACCTCATGTCCGTGCTTCATGTCCATTCGCCGCTCGATGCTACCGTACTTCCATCCTTCACACCCATATCGTTAATGATCTGGACCTTGCATAGCGTTCCGCGACTTCGCGGCATGTAGTTATGTCGTGTCATTGTCAATTGCCCTTTCCATGCATGGTGTGGCTGCTCGCGAGCGTTTCTCGATGCGATCGTCCTACAGTCCCACGGCCGTCTATGAAACCGGTTCCTGCCTGCACATAACACTGCCGCATAGGTCGACGCGTGTGTGATTGCCTGGAAGCATTCGCTGCGACCTTGCGGAAATGAGTTCTCATGTCGCGCAGAGTGTGGTACATGTTGTTTGTCTTTGTCTTGAGAGCCTTCCCACTGGCTGAACGCGCACACGTCCAAGGCCTGTCGGGTCTGGTTGCCAAGCCTGCAGCGGAGTGGACGGTGGTTATTCGAGACAAAAGCTGCATTTTGCTCAACACAGGGATCATTTTGCATACTGTAAGTCGTATTGAACGTCATTCGGGGCTCAAAACGGTCAGTACATTGAGATTAACTTCTTACAAATCATTAATCCATAATTCTCACAAATATATATCGAGCAACGAACTTATTGCGAGGATGATACGATGTTTATTGACGGTTGACTAGTACTGTACCAGCATCGAACAACACCCCAGAACTACGGAACAATAGTGTAGGGAAGGTACAATAGAGCACACTACACATAGCCGCTAGGGTACACGAGCTCTTCGCCACAGTGCTAGGGGAGACAGCTTAGCATAGATACGCACGAAACCAGAGGCCGCGTGATAAATACAACAGCGCCGAGGTTATAACGAGCGAAAGCGGCGGGAAGAATCGTATGTGGTGCAAGGCGGCTGGGCCGAGGCGCGGATATGGGAGGAGGCTTTTACGGCGACCAGTCCTTGCTCATGAAGTGCCACTCGACCGTCTGGACACCCTGGCTGAGCGGAACGCCGAGCGACTGGAAGAGCGAGGGGCTCATGTCTGCATAAGATATAAGACACGAGTAGGGCGAAGTGTACAAACTGAATGGGACGTACCAATGGCAGTCGCATTGCAGCCCATGCACTCGTCGCGCGTCTTGCCGTACTGCACCTTGCCAGTACTCGGGTTCGTGATCTGCATCCACTGCAGACGCATAGGTGAGCATGTGAGGTGCCGGCGGCGACAGAGGATGCTTACCTGGTTGCAGTTGCCACCATCGCCGTAAATGTCATGAGAGATGGCGACAATGGCGTCGCTGTCCACGTCGTTGTACCCGCAGGCGCCACGACCAACCTCATAGTAGGTCCCCTGTACAGAGTATGTTAAATAGCCGTAGGCATGTTGAAGTAAGAAAGATAGACATACACGGCCGGTGTGGGTGACGCGCTTGTCGAGGACCGTCTCGTTTATGACGATGGGGAATGCCGAAACAACGGCAGCGAGTGCACAGAGCACGACAGAGAAGACAGCAAGGAGTGACATTGTGAAGGGGTGGATTATGATGTGAGTAATTTGAAAAGAGTGGATTGCTTGCTGGGAGGCGGAAGTGACACTAGGATCAAGGGAGAAAATACGAGCTGGAACTCGATGAAGTCTACCGCTGCCCGAGCGTCCCATTTATATTGGAACGGGGGCCACGGCTCGTGAGGACAGAAATGGCCTAGACCCAGCATTGCAAACGCAGGACGACATCGGGCATGCGAGATCAACCCTGAGATTGGAATTGGAGCGTAGAGGCCATGCCCTGCATGAAAAGTCCAGGTTCAAGGTACCGAGAGCTCAAAAATATCGAGGGCGCACATATTTGCGAGAGAAAGATATTCCCCGGCAGTGAGTCCGCCGGCTCAAGGACTGCTCGGCGATCGAGGGCGCAGCCAATCGGGTGCCGAGTTACATTGCCGAAGGTGCATTACGTAATTCGGGACACATTTAACCACGAAGGGGTTGCGAAGAGTTCTGCACAAACGCCACAGCTGCCGAGAACATTGCGGGAGGTATTGCAAAGCAAAGGCGTAAGTGTCGAGGCTGTGTAGGTGGGATGATCGAGGAGAGGTCACTTGCTCCCATATGGATGGCAGCAGTCTCAGCGCACACTGTCGCGGGGGTATCGCCAAGCCATGTAACGCACCGCACAAGAACGGCAGGCCATTTTAGAACATTGTCGCGTCGTCTGATGCAAATATTGTCAGTTTGTGACCAAGAACGGCCTGCACGACTCTGAACCATCCAATGTACCAGACTTTGCAAATTTTCATGGCATGGGCTCCCAATCTCGCAGTGCGCCTGCGATGTAGGACACTTCAGGCCGTCTTCTGAACCCGCGCAGCGGTTGAAGACATACTAATCATATGTACCGGATCCCTTGATGTCATCAAAACAGCGATTTCGTCCAGATTTAGGCTTCGATCGGACGAGCCTGAGCAAGACATTGCCGAATAGGTGACATCGACGAGGCGTGAGCCGCTCCGGTGAATAGTACAGTCCGTGCGGAAGAATTAGCCCGCACACGGAGGGAGCGCAAGTGCCGGTATCTGACCAATAGGGTTGTCAGACACCGCGGCCAGGATAGTCCGAAAACATACCCATACCTTGGGAAAACAGCGTCTAATGCAGAATTGCTGTAACGGGTTGTAGAGAGCTACCAGCGCTCGCATCACTACGCAAATGACGGCCAATCTCATATGGATTGGTCTATTCAACGTGGTGTACGGTCAGATGGACCTCTCGTGGAAACGAGTAGTCCGCCTATGCGCAAGCATGTTCGGCCAGGTCTAACGATACAGTATCGGTTGAGATCACACTGATGATCCGGCGGGGCGCTGATGGGAACTTAAACGATCGGAGTTACAAGAGAAAGGACGGCAAGAATGACCAGCATGTGCACCAGTGTACTCGGAGTGCGCTCGTTCAGAACATTCCAATGTCCTGTATGTGATCGGACTGTTCGCCTCCGTTGATGCATCGGGCTGTCTGGCCGCTACTCAATTTTGACGTAGGCGTTTCACGACGGAGACGAACTTGCGCCGGGTCGTTACTGCTCAGGCTTGCTTTAGGCAACCCAACGTGCGGCAACTGTCGGTGCGGATCATCTGTGGCTAAGGGCAGTCCCTAACAAAGAGCAGTCCCAGAAATCATAGATGAGACGAAAGACACACGGGACAATGGGATGTCTATACCCACATGAGCGGTCCGGCGGTCGTATCAACGCTTTGGCCAGATACGGATGCGACCGATATCGAGCCTACGCGATCAATTGAGAGCGTCAATCAATCCGTGACGAAGATGTAAAACATCGATGTCGAGGGCAACGCGGTCCATCCCTGATGACGTGCCGACTGGACAACTGGCCTTCTGAAGCAAAGATTGTCGGCCAGCTGTAAGCTGAGCAAAAGTGACAATGGGCACACCGTGACGTAAATCACAATAATAAGTATTGCGCATGTATTCAAGACGATAGTCAGGCAGCACCAAATTGTGAGTCATTCTTGCATCAGCCCTTCGAGAGACCATGAAGCGACCACATGTTTATAAAGGGCATATGAGAGCTATTGGTATCTCGTAGATCGGGCGATGCATTATGCGATACCATGGCTAACCTTGTCAGTTTGACACATGACAGTCATCAATCCGTCGAGGTAGCAGGATGAGGAGCGCCCACACAAGTCAGGCTGAACTCTGCACTAGACTCACCTCTAGAGTCAACCCTCTCTCAAAGACTATTGGTCGAGAAAATCTGCAAAGAGAACTACTTGAACTTGTGCATGCGGTTGAATTGGAGTTTCGAGCTGACAATGAGTTCAAACTTTAAGATCAAAGGCACCCATCACTGATCGCGATCGAGACGCGCCTGTGGCCCGGCGCCTACGCGTGACGTTATACTCAGACGCGTCTTCGTTGCTTGTACGAAAACGATCTCGCGCCTGTGTTAGTCGGTTGACACATACAGTTGGCTAGCCGATCGCAAAAAACTCCTCGAGATAGCTGAAAAGTACAATTGCATACACAAAGAAGTCCTTTACAATCCAAAGGCCTAGAAGATCTCTGACGAGGAGGACAGTGACCCTGAGCCGCTCGACTGGCTTAACTACGACGATCCTCGATGGCCTGGTAAACGTTTTGTTTACCATGATTCATTTCATAGCGGACGTAGCTGTCGATTTTGACGTTGAATTACCGAGTCTTCAGATCGGAGGCGCAATGCAAAAAAGCGAGGGCTCCACCATGTCGCTGTAGACCAACTACGACGTTAAATGGATGCCATCTTCATAGGAAGACATTGAGTGCTATGGCACCGCGCTGGGGGCGTGACAGAGAATCCCAAATGGTACCTGGACCAGATGAACTGTTGGTAGACTACTCGTCGATACCTGTGGAGAACGCCGATCACGGTGCGTCGTCTGGCAAGCACACTGACCTTGTGCACAGGCTTATCTCGTCTCGTTTTGGTGTCGCTCGATCTATGCATACCTATAATCCTTAGAGATTCTGCTATCTCTGTACTTGTACGATATGTTCGGTTGTATATTGATCACTTTCCGTCTTGCCCTTTGGCTATGTAGGCCTCCGCTATTGCCAAGGATGCTCTCTGTGGCTCACTGAAATTTTAGTAGATTGTGTTAAGGAAAGCTCGCCTTTATGACGGACAATGAACCGAGACTGAGAATGTTCTAAGACTGTATGCGACCATATGCAACGTACCCCTCATCATTCGATCGGAGCCACCTTCGGAATGAGATCTAATCAGATGCGGCCACAACGATATGTTCGATCGCGATCGTTGAACGTTGAACTTCAAGCGTCTCGTTGCTCTTCATATCAACGTCTTCTCATACGCTCTCCTCATACCTCATCATACTATCTGAAGTGACCACCGTATCCAAAGCTAGAAATCCACAAAGGGTCGTCATAGATCACTTCTCGCTGGACCCTCCTGGCTTGAACACATCACTGGTCTTTCCTTATGCGCCACTGAAGAGAAGACCAACCCTGGACGTATGTCCCTGCCTTTTTTCACGTCGTTGTAGCACCTACTTATACTGTGGCAGGACATTGAGCGGAAAAGCGATCCTCTCGACACACTCCCTCGCGCTCTCATACCCCGTTCACACGCTTCACTTCGGCCACCAGTCTTGCGATACGGTTGGGTAGCCGATGAAGAAGATTTCATCGAGCTAGCTAGGAAGTACAATTGTATAAAAACTAGAGCCCCTTACGATCCCAAGGAGTTTGAAGACGAGGACGAAGCAGACGGCGAGCCCGAGCCGCCCAACTGGCTTCACGAAGGCGATCCTCGGTGGCCTGATATCGACATATTGGACACCATCAACGCTGTCATGGTGCAAGTAGCCAACGATCTGGGCGTCAAAATACCTGATCTTGATTTCGGTGGCGCAATGCGAGATGGCGAGTGCACCATCGTGTCGCTGTTCACCAACTATGACGTCACACAAAAGCTGCCTTCGCAAGAAGACATTGAGCGCTATGGCGCCGCACTGGGTGTGACCGAGAAGCCCAAATGGTACCTGGACGAGATGAACACTTGGTGGACTACTCGTCGATACCTGTGGTGAACGCGGATCACGGTGCATCGTCTTGTGTGTCGTCTGACAAGCTGACTAACGCCGTGCACAGGTCTATCGTCTCTAGTGTCCTCTCGTTTCTGGGCCGTCCGATCTATGCATATGCATCATCTTTGGAGACTCTGCTACCTCTGTACTTGTATAGATATTTGGCTGTACATTTGTCATCTTTCGTCTTGCTCCCTGGATACGTAGTCGTCTGCTGCGAAATAAGTAACCCCTGTAATTCCCTTTCTAGTCAGCGGGTTGGGATCAGCAGCGGGGCTGTAGGAAGGCCCACCTTCAATACGAACAACAAAGCAAGACTAGCATGACTAGGGACTATTTGCGTATCGATTCCTTCTATGCTCCGGACGCGAATAACCATCACCGGACGGATGGGTTCACCGCAGTGTATCCGCCATCGACGGCGATTTCCTGGCCGTTTGTGTAGCACCCACAGGGCGACACTAGGTAGATGACAGTGCCCGCAATTTCCTGCGCGCTGCGACCACAAACACGCAACGAGTGGTTTTCATGGACCAATCTAGAACCAGCGAGAGGTGAACGTACGTGCCAGGTCGGTTCTCAGGAACCGGGACAACGCCCTTTCCGACTACGTTCACTTTATCAGGCGTGATCTTGTCGTAAGTCATTTCCGACTCATAGACCCCAGGCGCGACGCTGCAAACGCGGACGGGGATCTTCTTCAGTGCTAGCTCCGTAGCAAGCATCTTTGTCAAGTGGGACGCGGCAGCCTTCGCGCTGTTGTATCCAAACTAGACGTTCCGAGTCAGCGAGCGGAATCAATAGAAAGTCCTTGGAACCGACATGGTTCTGCGCGAGTTTGATGATTCCACTGATGCTCGTGACATTGATAACACTGGATGTGTACCCCGGTACATCTTCGCTGCCCTTCGCGAGCAAGCCAAGGAAGGCAGTGGTCACAAAGTAGACCGAGAAAGTGTTGATCTTGTACATGTCAGCCCATTCCTCGAACGACTCGTTGTTGAACAGCGCGCGCCCCAGTGTCTCGGTATCCTTGTGCTCAGGTTCTTGCGTATTCTCGAAAAAAGGCGAGACGGGGCCTGTCTGCCCTGCACTAGATCGACTGATCAGAGCTTATATTCATGATCGTAGTGCATGTGGGATCTCACTTGTTGACAAGAATGTGGAGCACTCCCTCCTTGGAAGCAATCACTTCTTGGCCAGCAAGTATACTCTTACGATCGGTCACATCCATGGGCAGACTGGTGCCGCGTTTGAGCATCAGGCATACGCCACCAAAAGCGGATCACTCACGGTATGATGGAGCCATTCCCTTTATGCTCCTGCGCAAATGTCAATGCTTTCGTCTCCAGTACCTCCTGGCGGCGTCCTGTGATGTAGACCTTCGCACCATTGACCGCGAGACCTTCAGCGATCATCCAGCCGATCCCAGTGCCGCCGCCCGTCACAAGCGCGACGCGATCGTTGAGACTGAAGAGTTTATCGAGGCGGAGCGAAGAGGACATTCTGATTTTCGAGTCAATGCGCAAGAGAGATTCTAACAGATGGTGGACGCGTTAAGATCAGTCACAAGCTGGTTTCCTCGAGGACGGGCAGCCGGCCCGCCAGCCTGTCTCAGTAACATTCTCAAAAGGTCCCAGCCCGGGGTGCCTGCCAGCGGTCATGAATAACCGGTGTAGGAGCTGTGTATAGAGGATGCCAGATATCCACGAATGCTGGAGTGGGATTTGTAGAAGAGAAAGCCACCCAAATCATTGTCCTGACGCGACCTGGCGCCTTCCTTCCGTGGTTATTGCTGTTTTCACGAAAGGTGTCGCGCGCGTCAAACACAAACAAATTCTCGCTGAACGACTTCCCACTGAAAACACGAATATCTTGACAACCACTGAGCATATCGTCTTCATTTTGGCTGCGCTAGACTCGCCTCGTCGTCGCGCATGTCCTGGTACCACAATCATTGTGAAAATCCAACATTGAAATTTCGACATCTTCGGCATCCCTCTGAAGCAGAATCGTTCCTGCTCACGAACACGGCATCGGGGATTCGTAAGAAGGGTATCCCTGGATGTGGATAGGTGCTGTGGATGGCCTGATACAGTTGCGGTGTGTTTCTAAAGTCTGCATGCTTTCTTATGTCTGGTTCTCGCTATGCTCCTAGCTGTGTTCATATGAAGATGGTATTCCTTCGTCTCATCCCATTCAGGTGCTGAAGAAGACTCTCATTTTAGCCTTTCATGAGCATTGCTTGTAGCACAGCCTCATTTTCTTTCCCTTCCTTGTGCTAGCTCTGCCAATCATTTTCATGCTTCCTACACTTGCAAGTACTTCGTCACCCCAGATCTGACTGTCTACATCATGTGTAACATAGATTTCATTCTCAATACCATTTCAAAGATGACACCAAGTGCTTGTGGTTGTAAGCACAGTGGCAGCTACATGGCATGTCATTTGTACTCGATCATACTGTATCCATGTGTTGCAACCCAGAGAGACTAGGGAAATGCAACAGTCATAGAAGAGGATGGTAGAAGGGGTCAGCAGGGGCACGAACACAAGATACAACCTGTAGAAACAAACAGAGGGTTTTTGTTTGAGATGTGCAGAGGAGCAAGGAAAGACACAACAATCACGCACAAGAATGTGAATGGCACAAAGTCAAGCAGCTGTGTATGACATACCACTAGCACACTACACCATCCATAACACCTATCCACATCCAGGGATACCCTTCTTACGAATCCCCGATGCCGTGTTCGTGAGCAGGAACGATTCTGCTTCAGAGGGATGCCGAAGATGTCGAAATTTCAATGTTGGATTTTCACAATGATTGTGGTACCAGGACATGCGCGACGACGAGGCGAGTCTAGCGCAGCCAAAATGAAGACGATATGCTCAGTGGTTGTCAAGATATTCGTGTTTTCAGTGGGAAGTCGTTCAGCGAGAATTTGTTTGTGTTTGACGCGCGCGACACCTTTCGTGAAAACGGCAATAGGTTTTCTCTTCAAATTCGCCTTCAAAATCATTCTAGTCTGGTCTACCTGGGTTGTTGTGTACTCGACATATAGATTAGAGTGTATTTTCACTGTCAGCTTGTTTCTAAAGTCCGAATCGTCTTCCTAGCTCATTTCGCGGCTCAATTCCAACCCGCTGGTTGGCGAACAAGGGTGCTGCCGCCTACCTGGTCTCCCGAACGTTAGACGCAGGACTTGCGAGAGTCAATCGACCACTGTCTATCGGCTTCGGTATCTGTAACCATCGTATTCTTCTCTGGTAAGGCCGCTTGATGGACCTTTCTTTTGATTGCATAGTGGCTGGTTCAGGCCATGCAGGGAGCTGTGCTGCACTATCGGCTATCGATGCAGGCTGCAAACGCGTTCTCGTCATCGAGAAGGGACCTCCAGAGTGGGTAGGTGGCAACGGCTACTTCACTGCAGGTGCACACCGAACAGTCCATGGTGGCTTGCAAGACCTCCTCCCCATCGTGCGCAATGCGACCGCAGAGGTGGCTTCAACTACCGACATGGATCCATACTCAGCAGAGGAGTTTACCGCGGACATCATGCGGCTAGGAAACAACCAGTCAGATCCGACGATAGTCAGAGCCGTTGTTGACGGGTCAAGAGACGCGATCGGCTGGCTTGCAGAACGGGTCCATATCCCATTCATATTCTCCTTCCATCGCCAGGCGTACCTTGTGAACGGGCGCCACAAGTTCTGGGGAGGTATGGTGCTGAGTGTGGAAGACGGCGGAAAGGGCCTCATTGCAGCACACCAGCAAGCATTGGAGAAAGCCGGTGTGACAGTGTGGTACGACACCCCAGCAGTCGAACTGAAACTCGACCATGGTCATATCTCCGGCGTAGTAGTTATTCGCAATGGCGAACGGCTGCAGCTCTCTGCGCCTGCCGTGGTACTAGCGTGCGGAGGCTTTGAGTCCAGTGTTGATCTTCGCGCCAAGTACCTTGGATCAGACTGGGAACGAGCGAAGGTACGCTACACTGATCGTGCACTCAGGCATGCAAATTTTGATTTGTCGACGTTGTAGGTCCGCGGCACTCCCTACAACACCGGCGACGGTCTCAGCCTCGCACACTCTATCGGCGGGCAGCTGGCAGGGGACTTCGCGCACTGCCATTCGACCTGTTGGGACGCAAACGCGCCGGCTGACCGCGGAGATCGCGTGCTCAGCAACCAGTTCACCAAGTCCGGGTACCCACTCGGGCTTATGCTGAACACACAGGGACGGAGGTTCGTCGACGAAGGCCAGGACTTCCGCAACTACACGTACGCGAAGTTCGGGCGCGAAATCCTGAGGCAGCCGGGCGGGTACGCATTCCAGGTGTGGGACGCGAGGGCGTCCGGCTGGCTGCGCATGGAGGAGTACGGCGACGACGTCGTCGACAAGGTATCGGCGGCGAGCGTGACAGAGCTTGCGGAGAAGCTACAGGCGAAGGGCTTGGAGGACGCCGATGCGTTCATTGAGACGGTCGCAGCGTACAATCGCACTGTAACGGCTTTCGATGAGGAGCATCCATCGGTGAAATGGGATCCTGCCGTGAAGGATGGTCTCTCCACTCAGTCCACACGTGAGTCGCTCAAGCTCCCGAAGTCTAATTGGGCATTGCCACTCGACAAACCGCCGTTCCTCGCAGTCAAGGTCGCTTGTGGTATTACATTCACTTTTGGGGGACTGGCGATCGATCCGGATACTGCTGCTGTCATCTCAGAGAAGACGGGCCAAGCAATCCCGGGACTCTTTTGCGCGGGTGAGCTGGTTGGTGGGGTCTTCTACGGTAACTACCCTGGTGGGAGCGGCTTGACAGCCGGCGCAGTGTTCGGACGCAAAGCTGGGAGAGGAGCAGCGCGTGTGATGCGCTCATGACTTACGCAAGGTAGAGTTTGTTTATGAGTTGTGCTACATATCTGCCGAAAGGTGACTGGGGATAAGAGTCAGGTCATGTTGTTCACTTGTAGATGTTCATTCTGCATAATTGTCGCCAAGAACTTTGTAGTTCGCTCAGGCTCGTCCCAATGCACCTGAAAAAGAGTCTTCAGCTCAGAAACATTTCGCGCTAGCACATGCAGACTCACAAAATGATTCGCCTCCTGCAACCTATGCACCTCGACACTGCGCCCCCTGCCCTTTTCACGGTACTCGCGCGCTATCTGCTTTAGCATATCACCGCCATACACATCGTCTCCTGGCGACAAGTCGCACCACACGGAGTGTACTTTCACTCGTGGCCAGACGAGCATCTCTCCACCGGTATTATCATCCGCAGGGCACTCGAAAAAGGCTTGCAGAACATTCTCTCGGAAGACCGAAACGTCCATGCCGAGTATCAGCTTCTGTGAGCGCCACACCGCCTCAACGTCGGTCACTTCCGCACGTTCCTCTGGCGTCATGCGCAGAGTAGTAGGCATGAAACGCGGATCGGCCCCTTCCATCTCGTGCACGGGTTTGCGCGTGGGGAGCATCTCGTCGAAGCCCGGAGAGTCTGCATCCTCATCGGGCCGGGTAATAACTTGCGTGAAATAGATAGCGCCCCATGTCGGAAACTCTTTCGTTTCTTCATTCACAGCTTTCGGATCGCGGAGAGGGCTGTACAAGCCCGGGAGAGGTGGGAAACCAAGGCCGGTTTGCGAACAGTCTATACAAGGCGCACTATGATCAGCGTGAGATCCCGAATGTGAAAGAGCGGTCGTACCAAAGACAACGAAGCTGCGGAAGTAGGAGTTGAGCAACGTGTTAGTCTCGTCCGGCAGCTCGTGGGCGTGCGCAAGCAGGGAAACCGTCTGCCGATTACCCGCGGAATCGCGATCCCGCCTGCACGCACATCATTTGTGCCCGGGATCTCGGAAAACGGCGGGATATCCTCGGTCTCGATGAACCAGCGCATGAACGCGGCGAACTCGAACCCGCGCGCCTTGATCGCGCTTGCCCGCTTGTTCAGGAGCACAAGGCGCAGATTATTCGCGGCTGCATAAGGCTTCAACTTGCGGAATATTGCTGGAGACCCGATCGTTAGTCGCGTCGCTTTGTGTGAATGAAGAGTACTGCACTGCTGTGAATCATTGCGCCATGAACTAGTACAAGGGTAACATAATCGAGAGAGCCTTTCGGCGCACCGCTGTCTTCAAAGTAGAGGGATGTTCCCTTGTCATCGACGGGACCTACTGGCATCGCGGTGACGAATGTATGAATGTACAGGCAGAGGCTATGTTGGAGATTGTCAAAGGACGTTTGCATATACGTCCTAACGATTCCACGTTATATAGATACCAGTCTGTCTGCGAAGTCACCTGGAAATCATATGCACATCTGTCCTCATGCGGCCATCAACGTCAGTTACTAGAAGTCAGAAGTTTGTCTATAGCAGGTGATTTACTGTGGCCGGCCTGTGGATGCCAGACGGGTTTCATGTACATTTGGGTGCTTACAAGCAGAACGGTTGGTTCCTCTCCTTCGCTCCCGCCACTGCCTTGTGAATCTGGATACGAGATTCGCGGAGCGCTGAATGGTCAAGCAGCTTACGCCTGGTTTCCTAGCGATTGCGATTTCCTCCCGAGAATATCGGAGTTGTCCACTGCTCGGAAGATATGAGCACCGCCCGCGCTAAGTACTCCGCGTAAGCAAAAGTGTGCTTACTTTATCACAGGCCTCGTCGCAAGCTTGACGGACAATAGGCATTGCTTTTGTCATGATTACTAAATTGAAAGATACGCAGAATGCTAAAGGCGCGCTGATACGGCGCGCGTGTCCACCCTATGCGCCCGAGTCACTGAGTCAACCGGAACCACTTGGTCTGTGGCAGACAGATGATAGTATAAGTTGATGAGTCTGTACACAATGTCAAATTTAACGCTCCCGTTTCTTCCACTGGGGTATGAATCGTATCTCGACGCGGCACGTCATGACCACGGTATTGCGATGCGACTTGTGGGCGTAACATACATAGGTCTATGGGCAGCGAGAGCTCCTCCCCTCGAGGGCAGAAATGCGGATGGCCAGTAAGTGGATCTCGGCGGGAAAATGCCCTGCGATCCTCCAGCCATCTGCGGCTTGATTCTACAATATCAAAAACTTTACAGCAAAGTATTTTAGCAATACGAAGAATACACAAGCGTCAGCTGCTTCGCGACAAGGTAAGTTACAACGTGAAGGCGATGGAGGCTTGCAGGCTCAGTTAAATCGTAGTGTACCCTGCCCGCGCTCGGGATCGGACATCCGGTGTACACGTACAGTGTTGCCGACATTGATGTTCGTCATGTCCTGAGGAGTAATGAGAACATACTGCTTTCGGTCAGACGCATTTGCCGTGTCGATCTGGCGAACAATGCGAGTCAGGACCCAATAAACATATTCGTGTAGGAAAGTGAACCTACCATCATCTTCATACTAATACGGCGATTCACGGCGTCCATGAAGACATCGAACTCGTCTGCAATTGATGAGACATGATATCCAGGAGACTGGACGAAGGACACACCTAGACATCTGATTGGACATCCAATGGATTCCCACAGGGACAGCAGAAGACAGATGGTGGAGAAAGATTTCTCGCCACCGCTCAATGAACGAGGGTCCTTCTCGCGGCTGTTCTGTGTCATCATCTGATCATCCGTTTGGACCTAAAAGGGAGGATGTTGGCTTATACTATAACGTCATTGAAACAATAGTGACCAGCCTTGAGCTGCAACGTCCCTGAGACGTGGTTGAATATGACCTTTCCGTAGTACCCACGGTTCGAAAGGTGGTAGGAAAAATAGACCTTGCATCGGAGAGCAATGTGCCGACGGAAGTCGTGCCATTTAGTCAAGCGAACTTTGACAGACTTCTTCAGGGCCTGTTGCGGAAGAGCTGAACAACGATTATATCGCACTGAGTATAGGATGCATACCCTGTTCAACGCTAACATGTTCTTGAGCTCTTTCTTAGCGGTCTCTAGTGCAGCCTTCTTCTTGTTGACTTCAATTGTCATCTCTTCCACAGATGCACCATGTCTGGAATTATGTAAGCGACCATAACTCGTGATATCAATTCGCAACTAGCCTCTTTTCTCTCTCTTTCAGGGCCGTTTGCACAGCCTCTAGGTTGCGCTGTACTTCGTCCGCATCGCGCGGGTTCGGGAAGCGCTCACAATACTGCTCAGCCTTCTCCGTCCATGACTATCATCGATGTCTTCAGTACTTACACAGCTAGGAGACTCGAAACAAATTACCTCAAATTCCGTCTGCAGGTTGTCCGCGGCTTCTTGGGCAATCTTGACAGCGTTCTCCTCATTTTGTAGCTTCTCGAGATAGTATTGCTTACTCCGTTGAGCGAGCAAGCGGACCGAGACCGCGTCCTCTATTTGTTTCTGCAGCAAAGCTACCACGTTAGCGAAGAGAGACGTACCAAGCAGTTGTGTAACATACAGTGATCCTGCTGCGCTCTCCCTCAAAGTCTTGAATCTGTTTCCTGATCTTCTCGGACTTCTCAACGAGCGGTCGCTGAAGTGCGTTTAATTCCGCTATCCGCTGTTCAAGCACCTTGAACTGAGCAATAGTAGCGTCTTTGTCTGCTTCTAGGTCCTGAGCAATATAGAAGTGTCAACATTGATCACAGCATGAAAGTACTCCGACATACCGCTTTCGCTTGCTCAAGCAACTGTACCGAGCTCGGGGTATCCTCGTTGGATTCAAGGACCAAAGTATCACGGAGTGCCTTGAGTTCCTTAACTTGTCTATCGAGACGGCTTTCTCGGCTCTGCACAAGTATTAATCAACAAACGTGGACATACGTCAGAACCGGAATTTGCATACGGAAAGGGCCTGAACTTCTTGCTTGAGTTGCTGGTATTGCGCACGTAGACCGTTAATCTTCTCTGACCAGTCGACGAGCTCGCGTTCGGCGGCTGCAACTTCCTGCTCCCAGCGCCTACGCGTCCTCGATTGGCGATTGTGGCCATCATGAACAAATCACATACGCACCTCTTCTCACCAGCAATGTCACCACCCGTAAAGAGTTGCTGACGAGGGTCACCCTGCCTAAGGGGCTGCAAGGGATTGGATGAACCACCTCCCTCCCTGGTCGATAATTGAGCAGTGGGACACGGGGAACTGTCATGGAAGCATACGGGTAACGGCGGACAGTGTAGAGATCCCCGGACCAAGCAAGGCCCCTCCCTACTCTCTGTAGGAGCTCATCGGCCTCTCTACGTGTCGGTGCGATCAAGGTGCCTTCAATATGCATTGCATTGATCAAGAGACGCAGAACGTATTCATCGGACACCTGCGCGATTAGAGTTAGTATCAAGTTCTGAGCAAATAGAGAACTGCGTGTGGCATACATCGAGAGTTCGTAGGACGGTAGGTATTCCCTCAGGCGGCTCTCCTCGGCTGTAGTCAAACAGATCGACCTCGGCGATGACGATATTGATGTTCCTGGCAAACACATATAAACAACAACTGTGCATGCCAACTTGCAATACACGCACTGGTTGCCGTAGCGCTTCAACAGCGCGTCAAGCGCCATGCGGTCCCGCGCGTCGGACACCGCGAATCCACTCATCATGCCGCCAAGCTGCACACGCATCAACGGTGCCCACCGCTCTGCGTCCCTCACGTTGACGTACAGGCCAAACGGCCCCACTGGCCGATTACCAAACCAGTTCATCCGCTCGATCTCTTTAAGCACCTGGTCCATATTGTTCCCGAATGGTGCGAGCTTGTTCTTCTCGCGAGCGTTGCACCGCGTAAGCTGCTCCTGCGTCTGCACGACGCGCTCCTTGGCTTTATTACGTTCCGCCTCCGCGGCCCTACCTTGCTGCTCGATCTCCTGCATCAGCGTGAGTTCCCGCGCTTTCTCAGCGCGCAGGGCCTCGAGTTCACTTTCGGCCTTGGCATAGTCTAACTGGGCCTTCTCCAGCTTGCGGTTCGTCTCATCGCGCTTGCCCTTGGTGAGACCCTCGATACGCGCCTTTTCGGCCGCGATCCTCTCCTCGAAGTCGGCGATCTGCTTACGCAGCTTGGTCAAGCTGTCGTTCATCGACTTCTCTTCGTTCTAAGGGCAAAGTATGACAGTCAGTGAGTAGGACAGCAAGCACCGCGGTATGTTTCAACCTTCTTCTTTTGAATCTCGGACTTGTTGGCTTTTATTAGGTCTTGCAAGCGCGATTTTTCGCCTCGAAGGTGCTCAATCTCCCCCATTCCGTTGAGATCAGCCTCGTAGGCCTCGACCTGTTGTGAAGCATTATCAAAGCGTTCCTGGAGGAAGCCATCATTATTTACGAGAAGTCTTGGCGAAACAACAGGCTCGCCTGAGCTTCCGCAAGATCCTGCTTGATCTTGTCGAGGCGCCGTTCTAACTTTGCCACCTCCTCCATCTTTGCGCGCATTTCCTACAACTTTGGGTTAATATGCGCAGTATCGGTGTTTGTAAGGCGATAGCACCTTCTCCTTTGCAGCGACGTGCGCCCATGCAAGCTCCTTCTTGAGCTCGTCAGCCTTGTGACGCTGCTCGCGTGCTTTGTGCGCTTCCTGAAAGCGACTGGTGGCCTCCTCAAGAGCTTCCTCAAGCTCGGGAATGGCTTCAGACTTGCGTGTGAGGACCTTTTGCGTCTGTCCAATGTTCTCCAGGCAAGTTTGATATTCCTCACTCAATTGACTCAACTGGGTACCTTTGAGGAAAAACTGCACGGCTTTGTGAGACAATGACGTAGAGACAAATGGGGCTATGATCTACCTTATATTTATCCGCGGGCTGCGAAGCACTCAAGAACTGTCTACGTAACCAAGTCAGCCTTGGACAGACCCTATTCTGGAAGTGCAAACCTTGCAGCATCTGCATGACAGAACCGAATTAATACTGCGAAGTGTTATAAGAGCCAAATGAACACACCCTGAGTGAGAATGTTCATCGGGTTGTCTACTTGGATGTTCATGTGATCGCATATAGCGGACAGCTCCTCCCTCTTCGTCGAGATGACCCTGCCATCCTTGCTCCGAATTTTGTACGAAGAAGCGCCTTCCTTGGTGAAGCGACGGGTAATGACGATGCTTTTACCATACTCGTTCTGCCGGTACGCTTCCTCGCCTTGGTTCTTCAGGACGACGGTGACCTCGGAGACACTGATCAGGAGATGAGTCAGTGAACACTAACAAAATGAGTTAACGTACGCTTGTCCCTCGCGGATGAAGGATTTCAGACCATTTCCACGCCCGGTTGAAGTCGCCTTGCCACCCAATGCGACAGTGAGTGCTGACAAGACGGCACTCTTACCACCTGGCGTAGATGTTAGCTCAGTCATTTGAAACTACCCTTTAGAAATGCGCGTCGAGGGCACTTACTCCCATTATGGCCTGACAGACGGACATTGAGTTTGTGGAAGTGATTTAGTTGTAGGTGAATGCGCACCGATAATGAAATTGATCTGAGGCCCAAATGTGAATGTCAAGTACTTGTGGCACATGAATTGATGCATCTCTATTGATTCAATGATACCCATTTCTGCAATACCCTACGAGGTCGTCATAAAACTAGGTAGAATACTTGTAGTGGACTGCGCTCACCCCCTGGGTCTTACCCTTCGACATGAGCCTCTCGCGGATGACTTCCTCGTTCTCTTCTTCGAATTGCTTCTCCTCGTCCTCATCCGGAGCCGTCTGCCCGACGTTATCGTCATCATCTTCATCTTCTTCCTCGGCTTCCTCTTCGTCGCGTCGACGCGCCTTGCCTTTGCTCCTTTCGCGCTTGGTAGATTGGCGTGCATTTACTTCGACATTTTGCTCGCTATCTTCATCTGTTCGTGCGCGCTTGGGTACAGAAGAGCTCTCACGAGACACGTCCTCGTTGTCGCTGACTATGGAAACAGCCCTGCGTTTTGGCATGGCGGATACGGTGGCGAAGAGGGGTCTGGACAAACGAGCGCGACGCGACGCGTCAAGCGCCGAGGCTCAAACACACGCAAACATAGATATCGCAGTGCCAAGCGGAAGCTCTGCTAGTCTGGACCGGGTCATCCGGTTGCGCAGTAGAGATTTTCAAAGTCGACGCAATAAGGAAATATATACATGAGGTTGATGAATGAATGCAACGGCTGCTAAGCGAGCTAGAGGAAGGTGGTCGTCGAGCGACCGGTTGCAGTGGATCAGTTGCCGAGGGCGGGACAGCGTGGTTGACTTGGACGCGCGCCCTCTTTCCTTTTCTCATCTTCTTCCACCTCTTGCCACCGCAAAAGCCCATTCCGCCTTGGTACACTGAGGCATCCATTCTCTTTCATCTCGTTCGTTTTCATCGTCGTTCTTTAAGTCCTGCATTTCGTCTGAGCCATGGCCCAGCCAGTCATTTACCGCACCCCGCTCGCCGGACGCCCCCCGTTCGCCACCGACGAGCCAGACTCGGTCTATCAACAACAGCCTAGCCCGACACGCAGGATCAGACAGCCTCCCCCTCCGAACCCAAACGAGAGGTCATCCGCGTATAACATGTGAGTAATTTATCCCTGACTTGTTCTACTCGCGGCGACTGCAGGGGGGCCCGCCGTAATCCCGTATCTTGATGGTTACGCTTACATTGTTTGAGTTTGACGACTGCCGATTGCTAAAGAACGTTACGAACGCTGCCATTGGTACTGGTGCTTACGGCTGTCGTAAAGGGAACTAAATCCCTTCGCGTTTATGGCCAGCTACGTTTGACTGTGACGGCATACATGCACGAATGTCAGAGTCACGCGATACTTGCTCGCTGTGCAAGCAGCAGTTCGGATTTAAAGCTCGACGCAGGGTCAGCATGGTGCATCGGGGGCGACTAAAGTGCTGCAGCGACTGTCTGCAAACAAGGGCCGCTCTATTCGCCTGTCATAGAATTTCTGCTGTACCGGTGGATATGTGGAACCAGTTCAGGCATATATACTGACACGACCTGTAGGTATGATCAGTACCTAGACGGCAACTCCGGCCCAGCGCAGGCCTCCGAGAATCCCTTCGATGACAGCAAACAGCTGAAGCCACAACCTATCCCGCTCGCTGCCCCCCGGCCCGGCTACGCTGCGCCAGTTGCCGCGCTCAATCTCTCGCGGCCAGCACGCGCGGCTACCCCGGAGGGCCGCCAGCCCTCACCCAGCACGCCTGAGATGTCGCAGGCATACCCGAAGCCGCTCACCCTCGTCTCGCGCCAGAACTCGCCCATCTCAGGCTCGTTCCCTCACACCCCGCACCAGTTACAGCCTCCGATGACCCCGATCGCGCCTGCATTTATCCGCCCGTCGAGTGCGGCAAGTAACACGCGCGACGTGAAGTTTTCGCCTACGCAGCCGATCCTGCGCGGCGAGAAGGAGGAGACTCTCCTTCCGAAGCGCGGGCAGGGCGAAGACTTCTGGAGGCGCTTCAGTATAGTCGCACACGAGGAAGCACCCGGGAAGAAGAGGTAAGTAGTAATTTGTCAATCGCGGTACTCTATTGACGGGTTGGTCTCTACAGCACTTGGCTTAGGAAGACGCTGGACGGCGGCTCTCGCCATTCCCGCTGGGTCTGGTTTACTGGCATGTTACTACTCATAGTATGTTTATATGCCGTGATGTTCCTTTTCACTTCTCACAATCCTGCCCTCTGTTCAGATTATCATTGCCGCCATCGCTTTCGGCGTGTACAAGTCACACTCTGATGCTTCATCCAGCTCCAACACGTCTGTCGTCACCGCCTTGGGCGGTAGCGCGAACGAACAGGGCGCGGGATCTTCGTCCGTCGGAGCGTCAGTGATAGGCAGTTCAACTTACCTACATGTCTCTCCCACAAATACCGTGCAACGTCGTCAGGATATCGACGACCCGGTTCCTACCGCGCCCTCTGTCCTCGATTCCATTGCCGTCCCCGTCGCCCATGTGCCCCTTCCTGCCCATGATGCTGATATCGACGGTGCACGCGCTGTCAGGGCGTTGTCGCGGTCGCACGCCCGGCATCGCCGCAGCCACGTCAATCGCACGTCCCATTAGCCCGCGTCGCGCACGTCCTGGGATAGGTGTCGCCGCGCGCGACCCGCGTCCCGTCCGCTCGTTACGCTCAGCCTCATGCATATTTATCGCACTGTTGGATCACCGTGGTGTCGTGACGCTTCCCATGTCGCCTCTTCTGGCTTATCTTCGTGGATACCCCTGCACGCCCTCGTCCCCACTCGTATTCGGACTGCGGGCTACATTTGCGTTCCGGAAGCCTTTCTTCTGCTCCGCTTTTGTCTGTTCTTCTGACGCTTGTCTGGCTTTTGCTTCTTGTGATGACTGTACATACCCCTTGCTACTTTCTGGCTTTTACATGCTTTGGCTTCGGATGAGCATACCCTGCAACGCCCTTGTGTACCTAGTACTTCTACGCTTGTCTGCACCTACCAATAGCGCTATATAAATGTTGCGTTGCAGATACAGCCCGTGCGCTGTGTTTCCATATAAAATTCCTGAGTCAAAGGCGGCCCCGTCTCATCGTCAGAACGTCTTGAGCCTTGCTGTTATAACAACCTCGCGTGAAGGATTGACCCCGAAGGACACAGATAAGCACCGACTCGGGTGTTGCCACAAACTATCGTGGCATCCACGACTTTAGTGAGTTTCTGCAGGACCCAACGCGAGGTTGCACTTTGTTCCAGTTTTGGTGATATGCCATCATGTCTCGATGCAAGCATTAAGTCTCCCATTATGTATTGCTGTAAGTATGCATCGACGTATTGTGAGGTCGACCTATATGTGACATACACACCCTTGTACCCTTTGTATAGTTTCGTTGTTTCTAGAGTCAATATGACGTTCGGGACCGCCAGTGTTGCAATATCAATATGGTGTATACCGTCCGCAGTATTTCAGGCGGAACAAGCAGTGAGGGACGTGAGAATCAGGTCTTGTTCGACCTCTGCGCGGAGTGTAATCCGACATCGGAATGCCTTAGGGTGTCTACGTGTAACATTGTCTTCTTGAGCTCATCGAATCGTAGGATGTCTGTCATAGACTCACCTAAAGGCGCCTCCTGCAAAGATTAACGGGGGCATGATCTCCATTCCATTTTCGTCTATCGCAGGCTTGACATCGAAACACGCCAGTATTGATACCATGACAAACCAGATCGACTGGTTAGCGAAATGAATTCCTGGGCATCTCCTGAACCAACGATAGATGTAAATAGCAGCCGAGAGGCAAGGTATGTGTACTACCTCCTACCAAATCCGAACGCATAATCCATGGGATCGTGTGACGCCTTATGAGACAATGGATCCAATGAATGTTCGAACCGCTCCGGAGAGAATTTCTCGGGGTCGGGATACATTGTTTCATCGTGCAGGATGGCCCTTAGACCAATAGTGAGTGGCAGAAAATAGGCCTATGAACAGTCCACACTCCTACCACATGTTGGCGATGAACTATATGGCAGACATTAGGTCCACACGCTCAGTTGTACACCTTCGACTCACATTGGTCCCTTCCGGGAATGTATAGCCTCGGTATTCGTCGCGCTTTGTAAGGCGATGAGGTGGTGCTATATGTACTTAGCAATTGGGAGCAGACTCGGATCGATGTGACACGTACTAAGCGGTACCGGTGTTCCCCACCTCAGGACTTCCTTGAGGACACATTCCACGTATGGAAGTCGAGGTCGATCTTCGAAACATGGCAATCTAGACTTGCCCACGGCGTTGTCAATTTCCTCTTGGGCCTTGAGTTGGACCTTCGGATTGAGAACCAATGCTAAGAGAAATTGGCATAGAGTAACCACGGTCTTCGCGCCGAGTTAGATGATCTTCCGCATAGTTTCAAACCACAAACTGACTGTATCCGATCCAGCTGAAGACGACACGTCAGACTAGTGACTACTGCCTCAGCGCTGCACTCTTACCACCGTACATTGAGGTAGCAATCCACTTGACGTGTTCTTCCAATGGCGCATCCGAGAACGCAGACGATTCACCCTCAGACATGAGGAGGTTTCCGCAGAATGATGTTCTTTTCATAGCGGAATCCTAAGAACGTCACTAAGAAGATTGTCAAAGCCGATAGGTTCGTATGCCCTCACAGGCAGACCTTTGAACATCATGTGGGGACGTTCAATCCAATCATGCAGTTTTGCTCGCCATGTAATAGCGGTTCGACGGAAGTTGGTGTATGGGATCCATCGCACTGTGGGTTTGAGGCAATGAGCAAACTGGCTTATCTATCGGAATTCGAGGAGGTACTCAACGAAAGGGAAGAAAGTCAACAATCCACCCAGCCGTGATAGCATAAGACGACACCTCCATGAATTCTTCTGCAGACTGAACGTAAGGATCATCTCCTGACTTAATTGTGTACCCATATACAGTGGCAAAAATAAGTGATGCCGCCATCCTAACAAATCGTCATTGTGGTAAACACGACCAGTGCCACGAGACCGACCTCTTAATGTGCGACAAGTATGCTTCGGGGGAGGCAGACAAATCTTGAAGCAACATGTAAGATTCCTTCATGACAATTCTCTTCCACTTCTCCACCGCAGAAGGACCGAGGGCATTTTGCATCAGTCTCCTTTCGTATCGAAGTCGCCCTCCATAACGCGTCAGAGGTACCAGGTCTCCCATGCCGCATCTCAGGGTCTTCGTCAGTTATTGAGCGGATGATAATGAAACACGGACTTACAAACCACAAGCCATCTGGAGATACGGGCGGTCTGAATATATGGAACTTCGTGCATGAAGAAGGTCATTAACAGCATTCGGGCTATTGAGGAAGATAAAACGAGTCCCAGATATTCTTATATATATCATGTCTCCTGTCGGCGGTGTTCATTATTAGCTAGTGATAGTAGAAAAGTAAAGAGCTAATTGTACTTGCCATGTTCTTTGCCCCACTGCACCGCTCTTCTCCATGATTCGTGGGTTGTTAAATCGAATATATTCCCCACAAAAGGTAGACCGCCAGGACCAGAGGGAAGCTTATTCGACCTGTAGCCCGATCGATAGAAGGCGATGAACGCGACGAATAATGCTAGTGCGATGAGCGTGAACATGTTAAACAGCTGTTGTCACTTAGCCGCTTGGCACATTGCCCGCTTTTATGTATGCCAATATGATTCTGATACCAACTCATACGAATTGAAAGACAGGTAGTTAGTAGTGCAGGAGGCATCCGATAAACTTTCGGCTCATCGTTTACCGTTGTTCGCATCATAGAAATAAGGTTGATCACAACAAGGAAACATGATCACGCTGTTGGAGACTGACAGAGAGCGGCATCGCTATACTCCCTTCCCCTGCAGGGGCCGTATGATCTAAAGATTTGAAATCTCGTGGATTGAGTTTGACACGATTGACAGCATCCTGCCAAGCAATGAAGGAGAGGTTCGACTGGGCGATAGATACCCATGTATCTGATAGTGGTTAGAACAGCCATGTTGATTAGGGCGGAAACGGATGGGGAAACCCAACACGACAGTTCAGGTAGATCGTATAGATTTGTCAGAACACCGTTCCTACCAAACCGATGAAGCCAATCCCTGTGAATGACTCATCATGTACGGTTCTGTATCACAATCGAAACACGTCCGGCGTACCTCAATCATGTAAGCGCAGTCACTCTGAGGTTCGGCGTGGATTGAATAAAGCCAGTGATGCGCCACATGTACAAAACCATTGATGCCCGCTATCACGTTATAATGAACGCTCGCTGGGCGTGCATCGAGCGCCGCTATGCCCCATGCCGCCTATCTGCAATGTAATTAGTGATGTTCACAATCGGGCTTTGAGGCCCAAGCCCGCCGAACCCTGCTTAACTGAGGCGCATATAGCTCAACACAAGTCCTCGAAAGACCCTCAAGGGGCCATAGAGCCTAGTATGCAGGCCTGGATTGAATATGAACCCAGTCCCGGTGGCCAAAAGTGCGGCCCAAAGTAGGGCTTTGGGCCCGAGCCGGGCCCTGAACAACACTAAATGTAATTCTCGCGAATAACTTGAAGTTCCATCATTACTGGTTCCGCTGGAAAATAAGCTACCTTTTGCTGCTTTGAAGCGCCCAGATGTGGCAGAAACAGACCAATAAGCGTCGAAGAAGGGCGGACCAGCCAATCAGGTTGTGTTGATAAGCCAGAATCTGCGAGCGCTTGCGACGAACAGTGGCTGATTTGTCGTTGTTCGAGGATACAGAAGGGTCATCGTGTTTCCTGGTTGTTTGTTTCTTGCTTGATTCACAGCGAGATACAAGCAGCAACTTGAACGCATTGTATGTCGGAAGCACACATCAGGCATAGTATGTACACTGGACCACTGGTCGTTCTCTACTTGAATCCTTACATGTTCAATGCGAACTAGGTTACACACAGATCTGTTTTGTCGGTCCTCGTCCTGATCCTCACCTAAAATCCAACAAGCATGGGTGCGACAAGGGCCACTGTCATATGGCATTTCAGCTTTCAACTCAGCTACATCACGTCAATCATACCATCTCAAGAACGGCGGGGTAGGTCAAACCATCGAGACTTTGCTTTCAGCTTCACCGCGCGAGCTGAAATGCATGGCCCCAAGGCTCCCGTTTCGTGAATTATCGTAGTCCATCTCGTATTCTCCAGTGTCGGACCGCCGATCCTGGACAATACTGATGGTGGTGACGACTTTAGCCTTCTTTGTAGACGCAGAATGGTCAGTATCAAACGTCCGATCAATGGTACGTCCTGCGAAGCTGATGCTGATACTTTCTGCATATCGTTCATTGGCGTGGTTTCCAATGACGATGTCCAGGTGCGCGAGAACAACAATGAGGGTTGGAGCTATGCCCTAAACGACATGGCTGGATTACCAGCACAGAAGGGTTGATTATGCAGCACTTACAAGTAGAGGTGACAAGATGTTTAGTACTACGTGCTCGCCAGGGTTTCCGAGCTTCTCGAGAATCATAGCAATGATCTAAGCAAGTGGAAATCAGACTCAGAAGCATATTACAGAATGAGGGTGGCAATTACGACTCACATTAGAGGTAACTAATACAGCGCCGGACTCAAGTACAACAAGGATTACTTTTCTATACGACACGCTCGTGTAGGACCTCGAGCCCATGAGTTGGTTCATACGCCATTCCAGATATCTAAATGATCAGGTACATATTAGTATTGGGAAGTCGGAGAGCTAACCACACGCACACAAGCCTTCCAGCAATTAGTCCAGTGCACAATGCGGTGTTGACAATCGCGAGACTTCCCGTAGGCACGGGTAGAACTTCGCGAAGCGTAGTTCCAGATGTAAGGGATGCGGCAGATAAGATTCCGACAACTTGAAGGGCAGGATAAGAATGCGTGAGTGTATCCTAGGTGTGCACTTACCGAATGCAGCGATGGTAGCCGCAATAGGTAATGCAACTACATACAAACTCCTTTTCCACACAACCCAGACCCTCCATATGATGACGGAGTCGCCTAGGAGGCCCTATATAACAATTAATGGGTCAGATACACTGTGCACTGCGAATATCTCCTACAAATTCACCTCAAATTGAGCAATGGCTACTTCAGCCTGTGTGTAGTGTATACTAGGTGTGACTTGTATATCTGTTATTAAAGCCAGGACAATATGGACGGTGGCGAGCAAGAATGTGGTGATCGAAATCAAGAAAAGGATCTTGTGTGATATAAGCAGGTCTCTGGCGGTGCTATAGAACAGTGAACAACAAATACCCAACCTTGATGACAAGGTGACTCACAAGAGAATGTATAACACAGCAAGCACTACGACGCAGTATACACCTGTCAAAGATCATGGCATGAAGATATTTAGGAGAAATAGGTCAAAAGTTCCTACCGTAAAATAGCGACTCGCAGAATATAGAGGCGACGGTGATAGGGTCCATAGTTGAGCAACGATCATGCACGTCTCGACGTACAAGATCCTTGAAAGTCCGAGTTCATTCAATATTTATATGAGGACGTAAGTACCGCCTTTCCGTGGGATAGCGGCGTGCCTGATCCTGCTTCACGAGAGCACGTCAGGCTTGAATTTGCGCCTACCACCATAACAACCTGAGCGGTGAAAGTGGCAATGACAACTCACTTAACTATAGTTAGTCAAGTCTGCTTCCTCTATCTGCAGAGCGATGTGTATCAGACTTCTATGACACACATGCGGAGCTCAAGACCATAAACGATGACATCGTTCACACAACCTGACAGCGGCGGCGCAAACAGCAGGCCGACGTACCTGACGGTGCTGCCCTTTGCTGCTGATACTGATGGACTCAGGAGTGCAGACCTCAGATCACGGCCATTTGCCAAGTGTACATCAGTGCCACACTACGTGAGGCGTACTGGCCGCGATGGTGGCACCAGTCATGATATCACCGCACTCAAGCTAACTGACAGCGCTGCCAGCACAAGGAAGTTCGGCAGTCAGACGACGGTCAAGAGATGAACGCAAACAAGTACAAAGAGCCATAATCAGTAAGTAGGCAGCGGAAAGATAAGCGAACATTTTCTACTGACAGCGCCTTGTACTAGACAGCTTCCATTTCATGAATGTGATTTCGGTTGTGTCCTCCGACGTCGCTGTTGTGATACAAGATGCTTTTGGGCGCATAGCAAGCCGTTCTGTAACCAGTCCATTCCATCCACAGCGCACGAGTGGTCCACCTTCATGCTGCCAATTGTCGTACTGTCGCGAGGTGAGATCCGATATCTCTACCACCGCAGATGTTTAGTGACGGCAGCCTTCATATAAGAGCGTCTCTGCCACGAACGCGCTGAGCGAGGGCAAGATGGTGGCATAGAATCCTCTATCGGGATCTGATTCGTGTTGCATACACATACGAACAGAGATGAGCTGAAATAATCAATCAACTGGTCCGCGTTTTACCAGCGCCGTTTGTGTTTCGCAAGCCGCATTCTATTGGCCCGGGCCTAAGGTTTGCGCCAACCCGTCACTGAGGAACGTCTACATCCATACCGAATATGCAAATTCGCACGGCCGCACTGCCCCATCGCGGCCTCCAGTTTGCCAAAGACTGGAGTTCCATGAACATGTGCAAGGGTCCAGGTCCAGTTTAGCAAATAGATATCTTAGGTCTCACGCATCCCTACCGCGTCTCAAAAGCACACTGTTCTGTTGTTTCCGGTCGCCCTGTGCTGACTCTTCTCAGAATTCTGACCTCCCCAAATCGAGCCACGTATGTCGTCTCCCTACTCTCTCGACCGCAAGGGGCTCTTGAACTGTCCTGGCATCTCTCCCGCGAGCAAGAAGATTACGGAGGATATTATACGCTATGATGCGGACGAGCATCACTGCATTTATAGAGCTCCCAGTATTCACAATCATTTGAGTCATCAGTATGTACCATCTGGTTCCAGATAATCCCAGTAGGCTGATCTCGTGCTAGCCTTCTTGCGGTGTACGACCTTGGTGGCAGGCCGTCTATTTTACAGAACATTGAGAAACGAAGGCAGACTATGCAGCGTCCAATCTTATTGGACCCATCGGACAAGGATATTATCTTGACAGATGAGAACTGGACACAGTACCTGGATAATCCCAAGTACAGTTCTTGACTCTGAAACTTTATACGTGAAGCTTACATCGTTCAAGTGCATATTATGGGTTTGTCAAGTTTTTCTCAACCAGCATCCGCAATCATGGTGTTGCGGCAACACTTGAACAGTACATATTTTCTGATCGTGCAAGGGACGAAGGCAAGATGATCATCCGTACGGTCAGCGGAGCGTGAGTTTGCATAGCCATATGATACTCCACGTGCTCACTGGCAACAGACTCCATCCTCTCATCCAAATCGGAGTAGGACATCCCTGTAACAAATCTTCAATTGACCACTGACTGGTTTTTCTCAGTACGGCATTGAGTTTGGTCACGATCAACTCGTTGCGACTGGTTAGTCTAATATCTAGGACCATATCAGACTCTCATTTTCTACATGTAGGTCTCGCAATGGGCGCTGTGACAAAGCCGTTTCCGGCTGTTCTCTTCCACTACGACAACCCTCCTGCGGGCGACGTTGTCACCAACGACAGCAGGCCAAGGAATCGACAACCATCGCGAGGACCTTCTTTGCTCGCCCTTCTCAAAGACATATACGACAGCTCGCAGTTGGCACCGGTCATGCCATATGACCGAGAGAAGACGATATACGATAATCTGCGAGACTTCATGGCAAGCGATCGTCCCCGGGAGACACGACGCATTATTTCCAGATACTTCGTCGATTACTCCTCCGGGGAGGTCGAGTACGAGACAAAGGTGGAGGAGTGCATATGGACAGCGGTGCTGCTTACCTTTGCCACGGGCAAGGAAGGCAGGAAGCCGCGCATAGACTTCTATCTGATGCACCTCGTAACGTCGTCCATCTTCTTCCCCTCTATCTTCAAAGTGTTGCGTCGACCTGAAGACAAGGCAAACCTCCTGCGCGGGTTTGTAGTCAACATGGCACTGCTGACCATCCTGCGAGGGCGACCTCTCATCAAGCCTGAGCTCTTGATGTCGTACAGCGAGACACCACGACCACCCGTGCGGGTGTCAACAACTCCCGACCCCACTTGTCTGGGCGACCCCGCCAATGACGCAGACTATCACCCTTGGCCTGACATCATCGCGGCGGCCCTTCCGTTTCCTGACGCCCATCTCCCCAAGACTTTGCGGACACTCGTTTACGCAGCACAGCAATATGGCGATGCCGCACCAGGGAACGCCATCGGGGCCTTTGTTGCAGGCAGACCGTCTGATAAGCTAGTCGAGACCCATACTGGTACGGCTCAGATGGATGGGACTATTTTCGTCAGGGCTGCGGGCATGATGATGGATTACATGGGTTGGGCGACGTATGGACAGAAACCTAGGACAGACTGGGACAGGAGCGGGCTGGGCTGGGATGATGCTTGGAATGATGGTGAGTGAAGGCTGCAGGAAGCTACGACCGCGTTCTGGCGTTACAGTATGGACTAGAATATGTTTATCTCAAATCGGTTCAGGACAGGAGCTGGAGGCTTGTATGCAGCATATATTCGCTGAAAATGTTACACCAGTACACAGTAGTCTCTTCTAAGCCCACGTAATGGCATGTCGATTGTGTCCTTCACGCTGTTCGTGACATGCCCCCTCTACATAGCATATCCTTTAGTGGCTGCCTCAATTGGCGAGCTGCATCCAATTGAATCGGATTCCCCAATCGACGGTCAAAATTGCTCTGAAGATGCTGAAAGCAAAAAGGTGTAAGGGTCAGCCCTGTTAATACCTATTATACAACATAGGGATATCGTGTAGTGAAATGTGGCTCAAGAACAGTTCCCATTCGATGCGAAAGTACGATGTATTGCGCGACCGAATCATTCAAAGCTGATGAGAACCGTTAAGCGTGCAGTATAGCTCATGGAAACACTACATTTGCGTTGATCTGAACAGGCCAAATCGCCACCATCTAAGTCTACGAATTGATAGAGATATTTCTAATTGTCTTCGTACCTAAGCAGACGAGTATGCAGGTGACACTATTATTTGCTAAGGGATATTTGAGCAGTGCCAGCATGATCGTCTACACCTTGACCCAGAGTCTTTTGCTGAACCTCAAGCGTACAAGAACAAGCAGTGTCGCAGCTAGTATGGGTACCAGGGCACACCAAATTATAAGGAATCGGTACGCCTTCCCACTCTCCTCCGGTATCTGATACATAGCCGCAGTCTCAGCGATGAGTCTGGAGCCGATGGGTACCGCGAAAATCGGGGGAATGACGTTCATAAGAAACTGTATTGCAACCGCAGAGCCGAGCTTCTCCATGCCTGCGAATATAAGGAGACAGCGGCGTCAGAGAGTAACACTTCACAAGGTTGTCCTAACGCACCAACAATCTTAGCTGTTGTGGGTACGGCGAGAGACCAGTAAGCTGGGAAAGAGGATAAGTATGTCCGTGATATGTCTTCGAGAACTAGCACAAAAGCACTTACGTCCGCTGAATAGGCCCCATAAAATGCCGAATGCCATCATCACTCCGACGCTGTTGGCAAAGAGCCAGATGAATATACACATGAGTCCCGTGAGGACATATAGGACAATCAGGACGTTCAAGGGCCCAACTCTATCAGCCATGAATCCAGCGATGATTCGTCCAACGGCATTCAGGGCAGTTGTCACGGATAAGACCCCAGATGCTGTCGTCGCAGATAGGCCAATCACAGTACAATAACCTAGTCAAGCAGCAATCAGAGCAGCGAAGCCGGTTGAACTTGGTGAGCTTACTTGGAATGAAGAACAAAGGAGTAACGAAGCCAAAGAATTGGAGGAAGCAGAATGCGAGGTACAAGGCAAAGCCCGGAATCCGTAAGACGGACAAGTCGAAGATGCGGTACTGAATGTGCTTCTCGGCGACTCCACGCTGCCTTACCAGAAGAGTCGCTAGGATTCCGACAATAAGGGCCAGAAACCCGAGGAATCGCAGCGCCCATTGCACTGACGTCCGATCGATGAGAACCTGACAGACGGGCGAGAGGACGACTGCGCCAATACTGGTTCCCGACTGAAGAGAGGCAGGCTTATTTGAAGACAACGATACCAGGACTAAGTATACACACTTACACTGGCAATACCTGACGCAAGACTCCGCCTCTTCTTGAACCATTGGGATGGGAGAGCAATTGAAGGGATCCATGACAATGAGATCCCGAGTCTGTGGTTAATGAGCCTATCTTACTTGAAACAGGAGTCCAGAAGACTTACCCAAACAGGATGCCTTGAGATAGGAAGAGTTCCCAGTACTTGTGAGATATGGACGCAAGCTCGAAGGAAATGACGATGAGAAGGATGCCTAGGGCAATTGGGGCGCGTATGCCGAATTTCGAGACGAGGACGTTAGATAAAGGGCCAAAGGAAAAACCAAAGCCCATAGCACATCCGCCGACGAAACCAAGCTTGAGCACACTGACGTTGCGGAACGACGAGCTCGACTGGGATGCGTACGCATCCTGAAACACGCCCCATATCGTCGCGACGCCGAAACCGACAAAGCTAACGAGCCATGCTGCCGCGACGGTCATCCATGCGTGGAGACCACCGTCTGGTGCTGTTGAAATCTCTAGTTGTCGGGGAGTACAAGATTGTTGGGTCTGCGCATCGTAAGAGATGAGCTTCTCGTCCGGGATGTGGGTTTGGTGAGCCATATCTGAGGATGATACGAATGGAGACCGGATTGAAGAAGTAGGAGTCCGTGTCTGCAAGACACTGGTGCACCGCCGCCTTTTCTACGGACCATGGAGGCGCACGCCCCTGATTGCAAAGCTTCTACGTGAGTCAGGTGTTGAAGGTGCTGCTTACTTGTTAGCTCCGCGAGGAAGGCTATTGAGGCAATCATTCGGAATTGGACTTCGCTACATGCTCATGATTGCTCAAAGTGTCTCAAATCCTCCGCGAAAGCTCGGAGGTGTCTGATTAGCGCCAAGGCAATCGCGCGGTGTATACTCTTTCTGAGCTGGACTCTCGAAGCACGGGCAATGTTTTGAATTTTATGGCACAGCTAACGCGCCAGAATTCTAGCGGTTGTCATGAGGAACTGCCGGTGCACGCTCAAGATTTGGCTGTAGTCGACATAGAACTATCGGGTGGCTGTGCTTAAATAAGTCCATGCGACCGTAACAAAAGATTGGCGAGAGATTTTATCTCAACATTAGTTTCCTCAGTACCTAACCAGACGGTATCGGAGAGCTCACTGTACTCGGAATTTCGAGACCTGTCGAAGGCCCGGGAATCGTACTCGTCTGCAGATTGCTGTAGTTTATTGCGGTTCTATTTGCCTCTGATCAGCGCGTAAGAAGTAGAGACTACGCACCCATTTTTTGAGAAGGGGCTAGATGAAGGATGACATCTTGCCGGACTGCGTATTAGTACGAAAAGAAGGATCGGCCGACGTTATCCTCGGCTGTTCGGATACAGCAGGACGCCCGCCATTGGATGCGCTAGTTGACGATTGGGACACCAGGCAACTTTCACCTGACATACCTCGAATTTCGGCGGCCCGGGGATGAATGGCGCAAGGGGCATAGGACCATCAGTCGACGGTATGGACACGTTGAGTCCAAAATGCGAACTACAATTGACAGGGTATTTTCCAATTTCTGAATGAATCCAGTGATAGGTGATACAAGACAAGCTCTTGAATTTTGAGAGAAGTCACCTCCAATAATCTTAGTGCGGCGTGCACTTAAGTACCAGTAGAGCCACCGCTGAAACCACTTTGACGAGCGCTCAAGATCTTCTAGATCTTATCGAGATTTTGGCAGTTGTCCAATCCGGGTCAACCCAACCCTAAAACTACTGTCATCTACATAACACGGATGCTTACTTCTCCATTCAATTTGTGCGAGAATCCTACGGCACAATATGCAACTCTCAGGAAGGCATTGGACTTGGCCGCAGCTTGAAGACGTCCCCAATTTTGGCAGATGGCATGTACACGTAGTACTCGATACGTGACGGGGTGCAGGTCGTGACGCCTGATGCCTGAACGAATGTTTCTTGCAGCATAGGGAGATGATAAGGCGGAATGGGCGAGATAACTTCATGTAATATAACTCGATGTGGCTCTCCCAAACGCACCTGCAAGAAGTTGAGCGCCTGGATTTGCTAGTCTTTGCTTATATCGTAATTATTTGATGTCTTAATACATAAGTATGAGCTACTGAATGCAGGCGGGTATTTATCATGTTACATGTAATGCGATCCGTATTATCGGACTCATGAGTATGCTAAGGAGCGTGCCAATGTCCACCAAGGAACAGACCCAAGAAGTCCAAGAAAAAGCATATTATTATGTGTTCATCACCTCTTAGATTCGGGGCAGGTTCTGAGCCACACTTTAGTCATATATAGGTAAGGGCATCAGCCTATCAGAGATATCAATAGTCTGACCCACTAGGAATAGCGGTTCAACTTACCGATCCGCATTGAACAAGAAATTATTGGCAGCATCTTCGCCCTCCAAGAATCGTGTTGGATATAACACTATACGTAGACAATGAAAGATGAACAAGGCTAGATGGACAGCAGCGTACCTAGATGTCCGCGTAATTCTTCAAGCAAGTGTTCCATTTCCTCTCTATCGGCTTCATCAAAGGGTTCGACGCCCCGCGCAGCTCGGCGTCCTCTGCCGTCCTTCTCAGTCCCAGCTGTGGGTGGAGTGGACGACGTCGGTGTCGCCGGATGTGTATCAGACGCATCTCCGTTCAGTTCCTTGCCCGTCGTAGTATTGCGGGCGAAGTCTGTCGCATGCCCGTTCTCGGCTGGATGAGGCCGTCCTGGAGAGTCACGATCTCCAGCTTCTGATGGCACGCGCGCAACTGGTTCGCGGGATTCACTTTCCCTCGCCTGTTGATCACGGTCAATGCTACAACTGAACACAAAGGTATATAAGTACCGGTTGATTTAGCCGCTCGTGATGTGCGATGAAATCCTTGTATTGCTTCCAGGTAGTGACGAGATCGTCGGGAACAGCGTGGAAGACCTTCCTATATATTTCGGTCTGTCTCTTGTTGGTTTAACTGCTCCATGAGGAAGGGGAGCAGGTGGCGTACATTATGTGCAGCGCAGGCTAGCCAAACATTCCTCCAAAAGGCGTTACATACCGGATCTTCGAAGCCATTCGGATACACCTTGGGTGTCGGAGTCGGTAGCGCCCACGGCTTGGAGCCGAGTTTCGCACTAACGTGTTTCCGCAGAAGGGAGCGCGCTTTTGGGCCCTTTTCCTCCTCTTCATCAGCATCGGACAACGCCCCAATCGCGTGAGGGGGCGATTCGTCATGCTGTGAATCGGGAACGGCATTTGCGGGCGCGCCTAAGAGTTCACCATCCTTCGTTCGTATATGTGGAGGGGTCCCGTCATCTGTAGAACTGTATGCGTGGGTGGGTTCCTCTTGAATACGGCTTCCGGCACCTTGATCGGAGGAAGGTCGATTTTCTGCGATAATCTTCTCTTCAATCGTGGGAACAACCGAGCTTGGGAAACCCGGCACTCTTTCGCCATTGCGATCAAACATCTCACGTTCTTCCCTTAAAGCCTTGTCACTCGCCGTCATATTGAGGCCCTTACTCTTGATACCAGCTTTGCGTAAAAAGAAAGCAACATCCTTGGAGCCTGCGTCGCTATAACCGTTGATCGCTACAAGCTGTTGAGTGCACGACTCAAGCTTACAAACATATGTTTACCTTGCTCCACTCCGTCGACAGTGTCATGGAATACGTTGCCCATTGCAGTCCGCCTTTGACCCTTGGCAATACGAGTCACGCCTGTTTCCTTACCGTGTTCCTCTTCGGACTCGGGGTCCCATTCAGATTGGGCATCCGCAGGCTTCACCGGCTCCGATCCCATCAGATCGTCTTCATACAAAGCGTCCACGTCTACACCAATGTGTTCCCTCATAAGGCGGACGCGCAAGGTATGCGCAAACCGGCCTACTTTGAAAGGCTTGCCTGCCATGGTACTGGGACAATTCTGAGCCTGGTTCAAATCACAATCTACTGACTTACCAATCAATCATGTCGGTGTCTCGGATGATGGCAGCGATCTCTGAGTCACGATCGCCCCGCTGCGAGCGTTCGTTGATGTTTGCACTTCCAATAATCGCAAGCCGGTCGTCGACAATGCATACCTAGAGCCCTCATGAGACATAGTGACATGGGCGTGGTCATATACCAACCTTCCCATGAATGTAGACCTGGTAACTGGATTAGCGGCCGAACTTCGACCAGTTGAATTATGTGGCGCACCTGTTCTGTCGTCAAAACATCCCCGCGCAGTTTGGCCCAATTCCGTAACGAAAAGAACGTGATATACTCATCCGGCTAAGGAGCTCTTAGCTGCAACGTTATGTGAACGCGATCTGAACCCACATCAATCCCCTCCTTCCTCAACCTCGCGAAAATCGAGTTGGGCCCGCGGCAGATTGTCCGGTTTTGGCATTCCATAATTATACGAATCTGTGTATTCAAGTATCGTGAAGGAATTCAGCACTCGAGTTGATTTATACATACCGCACTTGCGTCGCTGTGATCGACGGGAAATGCGAACCCAGGTAATAGGGGTATAATAACGCAACACTTCCATGGCGTTCCTTCGTGGAAAGCACGGATGATGCGATGTACGAGAGCGTCTCCAATCTTGTTCTCGACCTTGACCTCGTTCACAACAGTTCTATACACATACTCCATTAAGAAGCCAAGATAAGGCAGAGGCGAACTCACGATGTGATGAAAAACTGGTTCTCGATATACACGAAATGTTCTGACATCTGTATGGCTGGTTGCACATGATTCGATGATCGGAAGACGAATGCCATTAAATCTACCTTTGAGATATGCATTCTGTATCGAGTGTTCAACACGATCTGGAGTACCCATGGACCAAGGGCCGGCAGAGCGGCAGATCTGTAATTCACATGTACCGGTTAAGCCCATCTGTGACAGTTCCCCCGGTTTGAACTCGGGAGGAGGAAGCAGGAACGGCATCACTCGAGAGTGATTCTAGAAGAGTTGGATGAGTAATTGATTCAACTCAGCTCCAGTCGCTCCAACCTTAATTCTCAACAAATGATTCCATCTACAACGCGGATCTTAGCGATGAATGACATTTCGATCTTAAGCACGCATACCTCTGAACAAAGTGCCGAGCAACATCTCGTGCAGGCTGCCCTACAACCTGCATGCCGACATCATGCCTGACCCATATTAAATGTTGCGGTCTGACCTCCTATTGTATCACTCACCAAGGCATTCTAGGTATTTTTGAACGATCGTACATGTCATCGTCCGGCTTGTTTAGCGTATGGAAGTCAAGTATCCGTGGATTGCTGTAATCCTTACCTACCGCACAATGAGCGTTATGAAGGGAATAGGAACGGTCTCGACATACCAGGCCAGATGTGCTCCGGCTCGTCAGAATCTGGGTCAGGGTCGTCCACAAGTACATGCTGTGGGGTGTCCCATCTGTGTGTGGCTTTATATGTTTTCCTTCAACATTTGGGTAACATATTTACCTCCCAAAGCACGCATCCAAGCCCCCCATGAACGCGATCGCCTGATCGATCACACACAATTTCTCGTGCTAAACAAATTCGTCAGATCGCAGTCAAAGGCGAGCGGCATGCAACTCACGTGTGCCCAGTAGAGCGTGCCTGTCTGAAAATGCGATGGCGATCGTTGCACCATGATGTTCGGATGAAGAGCCGTAAGCCTTTGCTTGGTGTAACTGTAACGCTGAAGAATTAATAAGGGTGGGCGTCCTCGCGAGTTCTAGACGTACTTGCTGTCCGTCGGCGTTGTCCGACTAGAAACCTCCTGACTTGAAGATTATGAGCAAAGTCCTGTTCGCGCGCAGCATACACTAACTAAACGATGATGTAGATCTTCACGCCTTCCTTTGCCTTCCGCTCCAACAGATGATCAAGGCGGTACTTGTGCATGTGAGGCCGCCGCATTTGAAGTTCTTGGGTATATATTAGATTGGCCGAACCTGGAGATAGCAAAGCTTACCAGGTGAAAGCCACCAATCATGGATGTAGATGGACTCGGTCGCTAGAAGAATAGCTCGAGACAGATTCCAAAAGTAATCGCGCTACGGGCACACGTCAATGGAATTCCTAGGCATGCTAGCACACTGGTACCCACGCCGTCTACCAACCATTGTGCAGCAACATTGAGACGAATCGGCGCGAAACTGTCAAAGCGATTCTTGCCCGTATAATGGCAATCTCGAGCCACTCTCTCGAGTGCGGCTATCCACTGCAACATCTGACGCTTCATAAATCACTGCACGTTAGATCGGCAATGGGAGCAACAAGTGCACTTTTTTTTACCTCGTTCTTAGCGATCAGCTTCAGGCGCATCTGAGCGTTCTCAATATAGAACGTGTGCTTTGATACTTCATTGTCACGCCGTTTCTTGTTTGTCTGCTTGTCTCCTGCAGCCTCACGGGTAGCCTCGTCATGATCCTCCGGTGCCATCAAGGGATCAGTGTTTGTCGAGGGGTCCAGCATTGGTGTCAACGGTCGGGGCGAAGAGGGGCTTGGCGACACAAGAGAACTGTTTCGATGCAAGAATGAGTCGGCAGCATGTCCATTGGTGGACTGGCTCTCTCGCGGTTCATGGCGATGGCCAAAATGCAGAGCCCTCGACAGGTGGCTCTTGATAGAGCCGACACGAGATAATGGACGATGGTGCTCAGCTGCATGCTCATCCTCATGCTCCGCGATATGCACGTCGTCCTCAAACTGGTGGAACACGTTCAAACCTTGACGGTAATATCGCGTAGGACGTTCGATCTTGAAATCCGAGTCGATGAGAAACACGTCCCATACTACGAGCTACAAACGATGATGAGAATGTGCAATGGCGGTGGAGAAAGTCGACTACCTCGCCCATCTCTTGATGTACAACTAGGTAGCTTTCTCGGATGGAGCACCACTTCTGCGCCTTACGTTCCCGCCAGGGAATACCTTTGCGCCCGAACGAGCCCTTGTTACCAACCGCATCAAGTCGCAGGAGGCCTGCCTTGTACTGCGCCCCGCCAGACTGAGCAAGGGATATCATTAGCGCGCTGATTTCCAGGAAACCTGCGAGCCGATTAGCTGCTGGATGCCACATCTGACAGAGGCCATCAGTCCCTCATAGTTCCTGGTGTAGAGGTCACGCTTACAACGGCACGAATCAGGCCAATCAGATAGTTCTCCAGTGCTTCGCGCTGTAAGCGAGCGAAGTCAGCTCGACCTACATCCCTGCCTCGCTCCTTCAAGAACTTGAAGTAGGGCAAACCTTGCACGAGAATGAGATCCTTCGTCACTATACACAGTCGTACGAGAACTTACTCGTGCGTGGAAATTCGGGCAGTGTTTCCACATTGCGTAGATATGCGTTCGAGAGCGCATAGTGTGTATGCAGCGAAAGGAACTCGCGCAGCTGGCGGTACACGACCCATCGCACAGCGCCGTTCGCGTACTCACATTCGATCCGGAACACGGCTTTGTGTCCATGTAGCGGATGTAGACTATCACTGACGCGGATGCGTAGTCGGTGAAACAGGATGGGCACACGACGATGATCTTTCTCGTCACGCTCAAACCAGAGGCCAAACACAAGGGACGACAACCCTCCTGCGATCAGTTCGTCCGTGATGTTCACCGATGCAGGCACAACTGCCGACGAGTGCGGCGCGTGGCTCCTACCCTGGCTCGCAATCTGCGGCAGCAACGAACGCAGACGGTTCCACTTCGGCGCGCCTCCACGGCCACCCTCGCTTTGCTGCCGTTGAATGTGAGGCATTGAGTGTGAATGGCGTGGTTGTATGCGCGTGCTGGACACCTGTCGTGAATGTGCACCCCCGGGGCGCAGGACTGCGTCGCCATTTCCGTCGGCAGTGACCCCACCAGCTTCATCCTCAGGCTGAGCACGCGGCAGCTCCTCCTTGGGCGATTCGACGAGCCGCCGCAGCGGGTTCCAAGACTCGAATGTATTGCTATCCCGCCTCTTCGCCATCTTCTCCGCCCGATGGCGTTCTCGCTCTCTCTGGTGCGGGTTGTCATATTCTAGTACTCCACGGAATGGCGTTGTCGGTGGAAAGTCAGAGCTCCTATCTGGACCATGGTCTGGTACTTCTGGTGCGTGCTCATGCGGGTCCGACGCCTGCTTGGAGTGCGTCCTGGACTCTACACGGACACTCGACGCCGAAAGTGAATAGCTGCGAGAAATAGATCGTGGAGGTCCTGTCCGCCCGGAAGGCGTGTCCAGAGGTGGATGTCGATAGCCAGAGATGGAGGATCTGCGGTCTGAGTGCGCGCGCGCATGTCGACCCTGTTGGCTCATACGCGCGTTCAGCGGCGATGGCGGTTCATCATCCTGTTGAGCAGCCGGCGATACTAGGTCTCCGTCGGGCTCGGGCTCGTCTGCCGGAGCAGCCATTCGCCCCGCTGAGCTAGCATGTGGAATAGGTGGTGTCTGCGGATGTTCTGGTAGTTCTTGATCGTGCTGCGTAGTGCGATGTTGGTCGACTGCCTCGCGCACGACGTCGATAAGGCTGTGAGGCGGCCGCGCAATGCTAGCCATGGTTTAAAGGAGAGGAAGGGAACGAAATTGAGTAACAGGTGATACTAGTAGGCGAATGATCTGTACATGGGTACAGTCACTGGACGTACCAATAATGGCTTCTAAGTATAGTAACCTGGAGACGTCATCAGTATAATTACGCCTAACTACACAAGTAAAGGTTAGCTTGATACACATTAGGGCAGAAAGGTACGATCAAAGTTTATCAATTCAATTCCAAGGCCCGGCAATTTGTCAGTACATTCTAACTGCTTTGCTCCTCAAGATCTCAACGTTTCGCAGCCGCGAAATCTCTTGCTTTGTACCCTTGCCCCTCGAGAAGTGTCATCGTCCTTGAATAATGTCCTCTGCACGGGCTTGCGTGCGCTGCAGCGGGACCCAACACACTCCGACTGCTTTCCTTCTTGAATGCTGCAGCTGCCACCGTGCGTGGCACCACCGTGAGCTACACCTCCTGCTGTTCTAAGTCGGAATGGACGATATCTGTCTTGCTACTTAGCCTGTCACGTCCCTCCAATTACGGAGGCTGAGGTCCTTCGACGGGTGGAAGCAGATGAAGCTGGCAGCATCGCTGAAGGACTTGGGACCTGGTCATGCCGGCGATGCTCTAAGAAGGCTAAGGATGGACGGCCTGTTGGCCATATCAAACCTCAGGGTGGTCCGGTGCAGGTGTCTCGAGTTATAATTATCGAAAGAGGTAGGTAGAGAGTCCAAGACACCACCAAATCGCTGTTGATATGTACCACACGACGTTGCTGACGGTTCTAGCAGAACAAGCGACATCGGCGGCCATCCGTCCGGCTGATGCACCAACACGCTCGCTGCATCCTGAGGTTTCGAGGCGCATACACTCGACCGGCGAACAACATTCACCCGCAATTATAAACGAATCCACAACTGAAGTCCCGCGGAATCATGTTGGGCAAACCGACCACAGTGCCATACGACATATCGATTTAAGCCAACATCAGCCTCGTGCAACCAAATCTATCAATGCCACGAAACACGTTTCTAAACGTGTGCTATCCCAGTCGAATAGAAATCAACATCCCGCCGTTCATTCTATCCCTCCCAGTATCAGCTTTGCAGCACGAACACGACCATCACCGCCACAAGCGGTCGGTGATGCGCAGCCGGAGGATGAGGTGCGAATGTCTGAAAAGCTCTTGCCTGTTGCTGCTGATGGGTCGAGCAGAATCATGCACATGCTGCTGGCCGTAAGCCACAATCACCCGGTACCACCTCTTTGTCAACCTCCATTCGCCATGATCCTTCAGCTTCCGTAGCCCCCACGACCCCGACATCAGCTGCATCAAATTCAGGAGAACTCGGTTCTGGACCAGCGTCAGTACAGAATTTACAAGTACCATCATCGTCGCCCTCGGCCAATACAGTTGTCTCTGTGACCTCTACTCTACGACATCAATCTACGTCCCCCACACTTCGCGCGACGTCTCCGCCTTCAGCACCCTCTTCTCGCGATAAGGGCAAAGGGCCCACAGGCATACCAAATTTCCGTGCCCTCATTGCGGACATGCGGGCATCAGGCAAACTTGCTCCTCCGCCGGTGGTGGACTGGGTGCTGCGCCCTGTCCACGCTCTGGAGAGCGATGAGAACGACGCTGATGAGGACGACGAGCCAGGGCGGATGTCTGAGATGGAGCATGATCTCGCGGACATGCATGTTGATCGCGAACGAGATACACACGACATCGAAGATCTGTACGGGCCGCGGGTGACACCTCGGCTGGTTGGTGCCGTCCCTGCGGCACTGCGTCTCAGAACTCCGGCTGGCCCGCGCGGCACTGACCGGCCACGCGCTGAGGAGCACACAGTAACCGTCTCGCTCGTCTTTAACTGGCAGGAGCAATGTCGTGCAGGCGTGCAGAAGGGCGAGCGGGATGATCTAGACCGCATGTTGGCGAACAGGTCGCAACGTGTGCTGGAACGCACTGAGGCACACATCAGGAGACCGCTGAAGGGACATTCACATCGACTAAGTCCAAAACGCAGGAAGAGCAGAGAGGACCCGAGTGCTAATTTCGTCATAGAAGGCTGGCTTCGTAGCAGGCAGAGGGAAGATATATGACTTCAGGTCATTCCTTCCCTGAGTCTCTCATTGTTCGTTTCGTTCGTCAGCCCTCCTGGAAAGCGCCCTTCAACTGATCGGTATGTTTCATAGTATACCGAATCATTGTCATTTGGCAAAATACCCTCGGAACAATTGATTGATACGGCTAAAAGGATACGACGATGACTTCCGATAACGTTCATTCAATGAGTCTCTTCCTGCGATGCCATCTGTCAGGCGATGAGCCTCCCACGACGCTGTGATGTACCTATCACAATGCCAAGCAGAGATGTTCATCGGTGTATGTATGTACCATCGTAGTCCGAAGACATAGTGAGTCCCTTCCCATTTGCGTTTGGCTTGAACAGAGCCTGTTGGACCGTGACACATATTCAGACGCAACCCAAATGGACTTTATCCACCTTGAATGAATGGCGAATCGTCGAAGGCGCCTAGCACAAGTCTCTCCTAAGTAGCTCCACTTTACATCCCAAATGAAAACCCACGCTTAAGGTCACTGCGATCCTGACAGCCTCCTTGTAGCATGATGGTCGGAGCCTGGAGAAGATCCAGCATATGCTTCTCCTTGATGGTGGGAACACGTAAACTACTGCATCCGCCGCTGTCTGGCTATCATATGTATCAGACCAAAGTATGTCTCATCTTGTACGACCCTCTCTGAAGTATCGAGATGCCTTCCCTTTTTCAAAGCGCGTTCTATCTTGGAAATCTCGTCAACGCGGTTCTCTACGGTAAGCATATCACTATCTCGTATCCCACTGAGAAATAAGACCCATGGACTGACGAACACACGACCTATCCAGGCATTGAGGTCATGCTATTCTTTTCCACGATGCGTGTGCTGTTGCAGGCAAAACGTCAGAGGACCCGCTCAGACGTGTTCTTCATATTCTTCAGCTGTGCCCTCTTGTTCCTGTCCGCCGTCAATCTAGCCGTGGACGAGGCGTTTGGCCAAGAGATGTGGATTCTCAACTACGACTACCCGGGAGGTCCAGACGCCTATCTCGGGGAGTATGCCTCAGTATGGTATGAGACAATGGGCACGACAGCCAGTATTTCGTTGAATCTCCTGGCCGATGGCCTCATGGTCAGCTCGTCTTGTCCGCTGGCATATGTTTTTTACTCATATCTCCACTCATAATACATAGATATATCGCTGCTACGTGGTGTGGAACGCGGCCTATATCGCAATGGTTCCTTGCCTACTGTGGATCTCTTCCCTAGGTACTATCTCTACCCGGTTTATCCACGGAGGAAATGCGTTAACAAGAATTGATGATCAGGTCTTGGCATCACCTCTCTGTATCTATCTGGCAGCCCAAATGGCAATTACTTTGCTGGCCTCGCCTCTAGGATCGTCCTGTGCTACAACGTGACGTCCGTCAGCCTAAATATCATCGCAACTTGTTTGATTTGCGGCCGTCTCCTGCACCATGCAAGGATCATACGGAAGCAACTTGGAGATGATGCGCCACGTATCTACACCCACGCAGTGTCCATCATTATCGAATCTGCACTTCCATACAGCATATCCAGCATTGTATTCCTCATCACCTATGGGGCCAACAGCGAGTTGTCGTCATTGTTCCTCGCGTTCTTCGCCATGTTCACAGTGGGTGGCAATGAATCTTTACATTCTGACATACTGCTGAGGGCTTGTGCCTTGGCTTGCGACAGGCTATCTCACCCCAAATGATCATCATGCGTGTTGTCACCGGTCGCGCATGGTCTAAGACAACCGCAACAGAGATCACTACCGTGCAGTTTGCCAACGCTAATGGTTCTACTTCAAGCAACGAGCGTGTGCCGACGGTTGACGTGGTCATACAAGAAGAACCGAAAGTCGGGTATTCTATTAATGAACCTATCGCCATACCGAAGGACTTCCGTATGGTGTAGGGGATGGCACACCACCTTCGACGTGCTTGGAATCGCTGTGACATGTGAAGGCTGATCTGAATTGCAGAGGAAAGTTGGACGATTTGATTGATTACAGTGTATATGCCTCCTGCTATACAAGGCCTTACTGGACAATTGTACAATAGCGGAAGAAAATAGGAAACCCTAATATCATGCCCCTAAAGATGTCCACCCCATATAGTCCAAGACTTCGAGCTGACCGCCGAACCGCACCGTGGTAACTCTTCTGCCCAGTGCCTGCTCGCACTCACATTTGGCAGACATAGTACAAGCTGAGGTTACTTAGTACTTACGTTACATCAGTGGATGGGACACGAAACATGTGATACACCGGAATCGGAGCGCTGCGCCGTGACTATCCACCGATCATTCCTCAGATCATACCATCATTACAAGTTGACCGTGAGTGTCAAGAGCACAGGTCGGCTCAGTACTGCGCATCTGGATAAGCCTACGCGTAAGCATACACCAAAGGCACTCAAATTCAACGTCTGCGCAACACGTTGATCTAAAAGGGCGGTCATGAGCGGCGGACAGACGTACGGCAAGGAACTGCCGGTATGTTTCGCCTTGCCTCATGTGCTGACACGAATGTTTTCTCACAGTATGTAGGATCAAGTGGACCGGATAACGAACTTGTCCGCTGCGCAACTTGAGCTTCTTGCAGACGTGAGCACGTCATGAAACTACCAGGCTATGCCCGTGTACTCAGTCGCTATTGGCACGGAAGGTCCGCGACTTGCATCGTGAGCGCGCGGCCCTCGAACGTGAATATGCCGGAAAACTACAGGCCCTCGCCAGGAAGGCAGCGGAGAAGAAAAGCAAGAAGGATGCTACGGTTGTAGTGGGGAGTGAGCCTACTAAAGCGTGGGGAGAAGATGTCTTGCAGCGAAGGTAAAGCAACCCACTTCTGAATGCATTCTACCGTCACATTCATGATTCGATGCAACAACAGTACCCTTCATAATGCTTACGCTCAGATTATCTCGGCTATGCTTGAGTCGGCTCAAGCCCACATTAACCTCGCGGACTCCTTGACCTCCCAAGTAGTTGATGTTCTCAAAGCAACAGAGCGTAGACACGAGGAGGCGAAGAAGAAACAGGAGCAACACTTCACAAAGCTTCTATCGGAACGAGATCGCGCATATTCTGAGCGCCAGAAGGTTCTAACCATATACTTCTTATATTCTCACACCTCTGACAGGCTATTTTCACTCCTGTAGAGCAAGCAGAAGGTGGCTTCAATTAACTCACAAAATCTAGTGACGGGAACTCATGAGGTCTGCAGTATGACGACGAATGCAATGAAGTGGAAACATATCGTGTCAAGCAAGTACGCCGCTCACGTCTTCGTCAAAATTCTCTGACTACGGATTCACAAAACCTCACAGGAACGTTCCGCCGACGATCGGCACGCTGATAGAGCTGCCAAACAATATGAGAAGCAGCAAGCCGATATGTTGAACCGCAAGAAGTGCGGACTTCTGCGCCTTTCGGTTGTACAATATGCTGAAACTGCGTACATCATCTCAGCACCTATCTGATCGCGATTGCCACGGCAAACCGAATGAAAGCGAAATTCTACAACGAGGATTTACCAGCTCTTGAGGATGTGGGTATACTGACGAACTGTTCAATGCTATTATCAAACTCATGCTGTTTATACTAGCAATTCCGTCGGTATATTTGATTTACTTCGCGAGCCAACAACTCATGCATTGGAAATCAAAGAAACCCTACAGGCCCAATTGATTACGAGGTTCATAAGCATCATGGTACAAGCGCAGACGTTACAGAAGAATCATCTTGAGGTGCTCAAGAGCCACGTAGTGGCCACAGAGGGAAGGCTTAATACAGTTGATACACCGGCTGATCAGCACTTGTTCATCGAACATAACATCCGGGCATTCATGTTGCCATCTGACTGGGCCTTTGAGCCATGTTCCACGCACTACGACACGGTGCGCATAATTAATAGAAGTCACTTCTCCGTCTCATCGTTCCGCTGTGCATGTAGGGCGAGATGAGTGTGGAGTCCGCGCCGAAAACTTACCTGCAGAATCGCCTTACCAAGTGCCGAGCGAAGCTCAGCGAACTTCGCCCTGTGATTGATGCCAAACGTAAGTGGATGCCTTCGGCTCATCGGGGTGTCAATTCATCTTTCACGACAGGAAGAGATGTGGAGCAGCTCGCGAAGCATATGAACTCCAACACGGCAAGCGGCAAGCTCGCTGAGCTTGAGGAAGTGTCAGATGTGAGCATCTGTTCTCCTGATTTGCGCTAGCTTAGACCTATGGAGATGACTCACTAAGATTATATGTAGCAATACTTGGAGGCGCAACATCAGTTGACATACTATACGAACTCCGAATGCTTGCTATCAGCGGAGGTTGAGACTATCGAAGCTGCTCTGAGTGGTATGTCGTTCATTTCTTGTGTTGACATTAGTCTTCATGCGGAGCTGTCTGCCACCGGCGGCTTCTCTTTCACTGCCTACTGTGATTTATATTCGAACTGGCTTCTGGATACTATCTCATGATAGGCGATGAGGGCGAACAACGGCCACATGCCTTCAAGAGTTCTACTTTCTCTATCCCCACGCCGTGCGTGTATTGCAAGGTTCGCCTTCTTTTCGCTAAGTCAAACATGTTGTCTCATTCTTCACTCAGTCTTCTATCTGGGGTCTGAGCAAACAAGGCAAGACGTGCAAGACCTGTGGGATATCTGTTCACACCAAATGTGAGCTCAATGTAGGCAAACAGTCGTCTCGTCGAGGGGAGATGTTCCCTAGCTGTTGTGTACTGACGTACACACTTGCCTTCCAGGTCCCTGCAGATTGTTCTGGTTCACGACGCGTCGGCACTACTTCGTCAAAATTAAGCTCCGGATCTCCTGTATCACGGTCATCTTCAACTATATCGAAGGCTGGCTCGGAGGGTTGGCAAATTCATCCACCTTTGAAGTTCGCGTAATATGCTCACGCAAGTCTCCATAGCGCCGTCTCTCGACACACCAACGCCGTCTTCTTTTGCCGCTAGGGCCTCCACGATACAAGAGAACCATTTAAGTGCTCGCATGCTCTTCAGCTTCTCGCCGACCTCACCATTTGAATTGGCCGTATCTGGTAAGTGGTGCGCTGATGAGGTTGAACTAAGAATGTGCCTCACGACACCTACCCAGAGGGATCGATTGTGCAAATTTTAGAAGAAGACGATGGTTCGGGATGGGTAAAGGTTTCCGATGGATCCGGTGGCAAGGGTCTTGTACCGGCCTCTTACGTTGAGCCATTGCCATCCCCGGATGCGGATATCCAACCTCCTTCCTTGATCTCGGCATCGCGTCCGCAAGGCTCGGGACAGTACGGTACGTGAATTGGTCTCAGTGTCACCAAACCTGTCCCTTATTATGTACAGTCCGAGGTGTCTATCCCTACCAAGCCCAGGGGCCGGATGAAATCAGTGTACCGGAAGGCGGGGTACTTGAATTAACTGGAGGCGCCGCCGGAGGGATGAATTATGCAGACGGTTGGTGGGAAGGTGAGTATGCCACTAGACGCGCAGAAACTGGGGCCCTGACGAGAGGTGCTTCGCGCTGCAGGTGTCGATGCGACTGGAAAGAAGGGGATCTTTCCCAGCAACTACGTAAGTACACCGTTCGATGCATAGACCGCATGGACACTGACAACCCTATACCACATCAGGTCCAGCTTGTTGAATGAGGACTTTAGATACCTCCTGACCAGACGTACTATGTAGTCGTGGATTTCGATGAGACAATGAGAAAGAAGTGCTCGCAAGCATGTTGGAGTCAACGGTGAACGTTATGGGCTAGTCGCAAAGGCTTCATCCCGCGTTAAAAGTTGACTGAGAAACTCGGCGGAGACACCATGGAATGCCTCCGGGATCGATACGCACCTGGCATATGCTTCTGGTGGCTCATGAGATGTCGATCACGATTAGCCGACGCTTAACATTCCGATGAGAACCAGATGAGAACCTCTTCGACGTCTCCGCATTGCCAGATTAAGAACGCCAGATATACATGCGTGTAAGTGCTACTTTACAGTAAAGACAGGCGGAACTTCGCATTGTGTCAATTCCGGTATGCCCTTAGCCGTATGGTGTCGCATTCAGACAATGGTTCTCTCTAACCAAAACCTCGTATATGGAGAGCATCAAGTCCGAGCACAACAATAGCCGCGGACTCGGCGTTCTATACGGGGCATCACTGTATAAGGAAAATACCCTCCCTTTTTTGTGAATAGAAGTCGGAGTACCGCATCCTTCCACTTGAACGGTCACTGGATTGCCTCAAGACTCAGGACTAAAAGCCCTCCACGGGGCCGGGATTCTCGCTGGCTAGAACACAGTGCGCGTCTTCCTTTTTTTGGGGGGAGCCATGGCAGGGGACTCGGCCACCCTGCAGCATGGTTTAAGACCAGAGGATTCGGGACATGTAGAATGAGGCGTATAAGAAGCAACCGCCGCCACCCACACCTTGTAACATCATAAGACCTTCTGGCTCCCCTTCTCCTCCGGACGACGCCACCCTCGTTTCAAGACCTGTCCGCTTGCATTTTGCCAGCTTATCCCCGAAGGTAACAGGCATAGCATCCAGCCGTTGTGGAGAAATTTATTGAGGTACGCCCTGCCTGTATCCGAATGACATGTGCGATGCTATATTGCCGTATACACTCATATGTTTCATATTTTACCTTTCACTCCTCCATACCATGTACGATATAATCGGTGGTCCTTTCCAGGATGCACCTGGCACCGTTGCCATCAGTTGTTCCTCGCACTAGGATGGTCACCTAATCAGACTCGTGCGACTGCGCGCGGGCTGGAGGCTGTGCTATTGCGATGGATGACTGCGACAGCGGTACCAGGCAGCATCGAAGCGCAGATGCAGCCAACGCGAGTGAATACTGTGTACAACGAGGGAGGATAGGTCCCCCGCCCAACCAACTCATGTTGACAAAAGCTTCCGGCCGCAATGAGGCACAGTCAGATCCATGGGATTCAATGCACAGTGTGCACGGCAATCGTGAATAGTGAGCAGTTCCGTCCATAACCCCTTGACAGGCAAGGCTCTTACATCTCGCTTACCGCGGCTGACACGCAACCCTTGAGCGTGATACGGCCGTATGAGCTAATTACGGGACACCGCCAGATTCTATACAAGGAACACTTACTCACTTACTGCACGCGAGACATTCCTCTCAGTTTGGTAAATTGATGAACCATTGCGCGGTCCTGTACATCTTGGTCTAGTCAGCTACATTGTGCCGGATCTCATTCTCATTCATAATTTTCGTCGCGCCACTGGATATCAGATATAATACATAACTTTGCGTAATCCAGACCTTGTGGAAAGACGGCAGTTTGGTCTATGTCTCAGCATCAGGATGAAGCCCGTTCATCAACAGAGTCTAATATTGATCAATGGCAGAAATCAAAGTCAAATGTGGGCAACGAGGCGCCTAAGTCTTGGCGATGTTCTAATTAGCGCGCAATGTGACGGGACAAACAAAAGACAACAAGGGCGCGACTCGTGACCTTCACTCTTGTCTGGACTCGTATACCTCCCCTGTGCCCTCTCGAGATTTGCGAACTAAATACACACACCTATCACCTCGAGCTGCGAAGATGTCTCGAATACGAGAAGTATGGGCTCCCAATCTCGAACAGGAGATGAACAACATCCGCGATCTAATCGACAAGTATCCCTATGTCGCAATGGTCTCAATCTATACTGCTCCTCGGAAGGCACATGCGCTCATGCTAGTCTCAGGACACCGAATTTCCAGGCGTTGTGGCTCGTCCAATAGGCTCCTTCAAGACATCCTCGGACTACCATTACCAGACGATGCGATGCAATGTCGACTTGCTCAAGATCATTCAGGTCGGGCTCACCCTGGCGGATGAGGATGGGAACTACCCGCAGGATGTCTCTACATGGCAGTTCAATTTCCACTTTAGCGTCAAGTACGTGGTTGCATCGCTCACGGGAAGGGCGCATGCCTCGCCATCTTGCTTACGTAACTCTGTAGCGAAGACATGTATGCCCCGGAGTCTATTGAGCTGTTGCAGAAATCGGGCATCGACCTGCAGCGGCATGAAGAGATGGGCATTGAACCAAACGACTTCGCGGAGCTTATGATCACGTCGGGATTGGTGCTGGCGCCGGAGACAAAATGGATCTCGTTCCATAGGTGGGTCTGCCTTTTGCTCTATCTGTTTTCGGCTTCTGTTGGTAGATGCCCTCGTGCACCACATCCATGAAATACGCCTTCTCACATTGGTTGTAAGCACGATGCTCAAAGGGCAGCTGGGCTCATGTCAGCATCCTTCAAGTATCATCTTATTGATCCCGGCGTATCACAGTCGACCAATTTGCAGGGCTAACTAACCGTTATGTTGTATTGCAGCGGCTACGACTTTGGCTACTTTGTGAAGCTCCTCACTGCCGAATCATTACCAACAACAGAAGAGACGTTCTTCGATGTTTTGCGGACATGGTTTCCGACAATATACGACATCAAATTCGTAATGCGGGCGTGCAAAGTCCTCAAAGGAGGATTACAAGATGTTGCAGATGATCTCGGTGTATGTCTTACACCGCGCTCCTGTTGTTTTCAGTACCTGCCACTAACGTAGATGCCCGTCTAGGTTATGCGAATAGGGCCCTCACATCAGGCCGGGTCCGACTCGTTGCTGACCGCGTCCACATTCTTCAAGATGCGCGAATTATACTTCAACGATTACATTGACGACGCGGAGTACAATCACAAGCTATACGGCCTCGGTCAAACGTTCACTACAAACGGCATCTCAGAGCCCGTGCGCGGGAGCGCCGCGACCATCGCCGAGCGGGAGGACCGTGGGCCCGCACGCGACGCACATAACCAGACGCCAGGTCCAGCGCAGGGCCAGAGTATGGCCGGCATCGCAATGTCGCTCGGCGGCTCAATGTCGACACCATCGATGGCGACTCAGTTACCGACGCCGCTCCCGTCCGCATCCCCGTACGGTCCTATGAATGGCCCATATATGCGGACGCCAATTGGCGTCGGCGGGCGATAGGGCAGACGGGTTTCTTTCTCTTTGTTTGATGCTTTCTCCCTCTGTGTCGATAGTTGATAGCGCACGGACGCATACTGGTTATGTATTTTGTCGCCGGAGTGTATGGAGTGCCGCCCTCTATCTTGTTATGTATATAGCCCGCAGACTAATGAACATATACCAATTCCTTCCTCGATCTATATGATATGCATGTTCGTGGGGCAGGCAGTGAGGACGAGCTGTCCGCTACTTCGGAAGCAGACGTCGGCGGATGCGAGAGAGCCAAGGTGGACCAACGCCGCCGGCTTCCATACCACAGCACCTCCCCAAACGAGGACCCGTTCCACCGGCTTGCGGTCCAAAGCCCCTCTTCCGTCGATCTGTCGTCAATCTCCAACACGTTGCATCGGCGCACGATCCATGCGCCTGGGCGTTGGACACACTGGATGCCAGCCTGTGGCTAGATGCACCAGGCGCACGCCCCTATCTCTCTTTGGCGCGGACATTACTGTCGTCGACGCCATTCCGTACGATCGTCGTCTCCTATACCCCAAGAGGTTATCTTCTGCGATTCACGGGCCTACCTCCGCTAAAGCTCGCAAGCTTCGATTTCATGTGCGCCGATGACAGAAGGTGGATCGTCGCCCAAGGCAATGGCGGGGGTCCTGTTCCACGCTGCTCGCATCCGCTTACGATGTAGTAGAAGGCTGTCGGTAGCCGCATTCTAGCGAGATTGTGCGCTCCGTAGGTAAGTTGTGCCCAACCTAGCACGCCATTTGCATCACCTTGCTACTCTGCAGATATCCACGCAAGGGGCGACCGATATAATTCGATTGCTACCGCTCCCGGCTCCGCCAGACGGTCAACGTTCCAGGCGCGCAGTAGCGGTGCGTTTGCACACCACAGTGTGAGGAGCATTCCTGGATAAGATCAGGGCTCGTCCGTGCGGCAGTCGTGCGGGCAACTCGTGTTCTGTCTTCTGTAGCAGCATCATTCACGGGATGTGCGAAGTTTGATTGCGCGGAGAAGACGAGCGGATAAGGTTGTGTGTGCGTCCGAGAGCTTGGTGTCACTGCAGAGAAGGCGGCCGCACAATAAATACTTACGTCCCCAGCGGTCCATCTATGCGCATGACTGAAGGCGCTGTCACAACAGAACCGCTGGCATGTTGTCATCGAGGAAATTGAACAGTTTGGCGAAAGAGTGACTGACGCGGCCGTTACAGTGCCCCATGGACATATTCAAGGTGTCAAATAAACTGCAGATAAAGATCAGCACACACGCCACTGGTAGCTGTGCAGTCATACATGAGCAAAGTCAGATAAAATGCGTGCAACGCGCGAGACGGCATCTCCATTACAGAAAGGGAGGCACTCGGTATTCCTGCCAAAATCAGGCAATGCAAGTTCCCGGCTGTCTCCTTCCCCAAGAAAGTGTCCGGATATCACGCATTATGAGCCAGCCGACCATCGGCCAGAACATCAATTCAAATATGGGGAGTTCTGAAAGGGCACGTAGCGACTTGGTGTCGGATAGTAGAAGATCTTGCCTATGCTGCTTTACCGAATAGAAGCCACAAAGAACCGTGTTGGCCAATCGAGTGAGCTAATCAGTAGCTGGCCAGCCGCCTCTAGCCACAACAAGACACCATTAATCTGGGAAACACTCTGTGCAAAGTCGCCGCAAGGTATGTTATGGGCAACGGCCCGATGACCATAAGTGTGACGCCGGCCACAAGTTTTCAAGGCTGAGGGTTTTCTGAAACTCAGCGCTGAGCACCAGACGTCCATCACAACGTGTAGCTCCAACAAAGCTTCCTCGCCTTTGTCGCGAACAGTATGCATATCTAACGTGCACAGGGGATGCTTCTTGAACGCTCCCAATAGAGCGTATGGTCCAATCGCCGTGAGTACTCGCCGATATCAGCGATGTCGTCCGTCGAGCGACGGTGAGCACTCATAACACGTTGTAGGGTGACACATTATCCCGGACGCTCATGCACAACGTTTGCGTCCGTATAAATGCTCGTATAGATGGGGACTTACTGCAAGTTTCACCGGTGGTAAATGAGAGAACACCAAGCCAGGAAAGTTGAACCCAAAAGCCGGATGATACCCAGCCCTCCGGATATTGAACATTCAACCTAACCAACGGGTCAGTACTAGTAGATCATCGCGGACCATCAGGACAGGGCCAGCATGAGTATACAGGGTCGCTACGCCCATAGGGGCCTCCTTGCAATACAAATACCGATTTTACAGCACGAGGGGGCGCGGAGGCTTTGGTATGCTATGCTCCGAATTTTGAGGTTGCAGATGGCAATATACTTCCCTTAAAGCTATGCGGACAACATAGTTGGGTTATTTCTTCAAAGAACGTGAGGAATGGGGGGGTGTTGCCAAAGCTCCATGAAATGAAGCCATCTATTTGATCGGACTAGGGTTGTCTAGATGCGCTCCACAGGCTGCTCCGAAGGATCCGCTGAAGCAGACTGCAGAGCGAATGTCAATTAATTCCTTTCAATAACCCTATGTTCAAACCCTATGTTCAAACCCTAAGTAGATCAACCCTAACTTCAGGTTCAGGTTAAGAGTGCCAATGGTCTGCACGAGCGCCACCGTGACATCTTTGTGCCATGTATGGCAGCTACCGTCCCTTAAAAGGCAGTGCGAGACTCAACACTTGCCCGAAGCATCGCGCCTAATGGAGCATGAGTATGGATTACTCACGGAACGATGTGTAGAAGCTCGAGGTTATTGCAACGCTTGCAGCATTAGCGTTGTTGCTACTTGCGAGAGTCGTAGTCACGGTCACCGAGGCCAAGACGTGGAAAGAAGTAGATAGAACATCGACGCAAGCTCCGTGGTGGTGACGGAGACGTCAAGACGCACGAGAGGTTGAAGCGCGTGAGCGACTTGCCTGCGTCTGGCCCCCGGAGCGGGTATATCGTTTCAAGGGGTCAGGGAGCGTGCCCATGAGCAGACGGCACGGCTGCAGGATGTATCAGCCCGGAATGAGATACGAGAGGAGAACAGAAATCTCGAGGACAGGCGAGGACATGCGAAGACGAGCGTGCCGGATCGCACGCCGATCGCTGCCACTCGAGTGAAGGAAAACTTCAAAAGCCGTCCCCGCGCCCACCATCTTGCTCTCGACCGTCACCACCTCCAGCGCAGCCGCGAGGACTAATAGCGGCCAGCAGATGCGGTTGAGCGGGCCCGCAGACAATGGACACGCAGCAGTATGCAGTTGGCGTCGCGAACGGCCTCGTGTATCATCACGCCCCGCACTCGGCCTTTCTTGAACACCACCCGCGCCCCTTTCCCCTCTCCAGCCAGCAAATGTCCTGGCACACCCCTCAGACATCCCCGCCGAACAGTGCGGCCTCTACAAGCTCATCGCTCTATTCGGCGATGAGCCACGTCGACGATCGCGTCGACTACGAGGCCGCCCAGGCGTTTGTTCCTCGGAGTGGCTATCCCGCGCCTCAGCACTCCCCTTCTCTTCCTTCAGATGCATCGCCTTTCGAATCGTCTCAGATTGAAAGCAGCATTGGCCCTAGCCGCATATTCACGCGCCGCCGGGCGCGCGGGGCTGCACAGGGCCTTGATCAAGCGCAGGGGTCGCCTTATGATGTCGGTATTCCTTTATTTTCACTAAGCAATCATTGACAGGATGTATACTTTGAAGAGACGGCCTCATTCGCTCGCATTTGTGTCACGCCCGCACACCCCTGGCGGCCCCCTTCCGGGGACCCCCTTCGACATCGGCTCGGGGGCCTTTGTGCACAGTGGCGCAGCCATGACGGCATACGGCGCCTTCATGCCAACCCATTCGCGTTCGACGTCCGGGTCTGGATCGTCGGGTTCGTCTCATCTACGATCTGCATCTCCTGCAGCAAGTATTTCCTCTGCTATTACCTCTGTTTCCTCCGCCTCCGTGCGTCGCTCGCGTGTGCAACCCCCGCTCCCGTCTCCGCAGCTAGCCGATCACTCAAACGAGCAGGAGAACGAGAATTTGGCCTCATCTAAGGGACCACGACAGAAGCACCGCAAAACCCGTTTGGAACATGCGGACCGTAGGAGGATATGCGAGTATAGCAGGCAGTTTCCGAGTTTGAAGCAGGAGGAAATCGCGCGCGAGTTCAAGGTCGAACGCAGCACCGTCAGCAAGATCCTGAAAGATCGCGAGCGGTGGTTAAAGCCGGACAACGAGAAGCCAACTTCATCGAGGACGAGGTGAGTGTATGATTGGATCGTTAGATGGCTCATGGCGAGCTCATGCAAAAAGCAGGCCGGCTAAGTTTGGCGAATTGGAGACCGCCTTAGAGAATTGGCTCCAGAGTTGTAAGCGAGATAGGATTCTCCTCACGGATGCCCTCATCCGCGAGACAGCCAAGAAGGAGGGCCTGAAGCTGGGTATTGATGAAACGAGATTCAAGGCGAGTTCCGGCTGGGTGGAGAACTTCAAGGCGCGCCATGGAATCAAGAAAGGTATCTACAACGGCCGCGGAGAAAGCAACCATGACGAGAATGTCGACATGTCCACTGCGAGTGGCGGCGCAAGGGCGTCGGCACCTGCCGCTCATGCCGAAGTCATCGACCTTGCCTCCGACGAGGAGAGTGCACACCAACTAGCATATTCTCCAGAGGCTCCGCATGCATGGAGTGCCTCTGCGCCTGCGGCCGCTGTGTATGAACATGCCGCCCCTCCGGAACCTGCGCCAATGCCAGGGTCGAGTGCCGTCCAGGTGTCCGAGGGCGGAGGCGGGCCACACGGGGCCCAGGAGTATCTCGTCACTCCGGCCGTACAATTCAACGAAGAGGAGGACTTGCCCAGCCTAGCCGAGGCGGAGATCATGGTCGAACAGCTGCTGACCTTCTTCCGCATGGAGGAGCACCAGCCGCTTATCACGCCAGAGCAGGAGGAGACGCTTATCGAAGTGCAAAGGATGCTGTTCAGTCGGTCCACGGGGATGCGCGGAGCCGAGCCAGCACGGGCTTGAGTCGGGTGGCGACAGCGATGGCATTTTCTTTTCTGCGACGTGCGCAGGTTTGTACGGCAAAAGCGCGTCGCGCACCATGAACTGTTTATGGTTTCTATTCTTGCAACACGGACCGCTCATCATCACCATCCATCCCATGCAATTCCCCATCCTAAACATCATCCAACGCAGTTTCCTCCGCATCATCATCATTCCTTATGCATGCATCCTCATTCTCTCTCATCACTCAGGTTCCATCACAACGGTCGTCACATGTGTCTTTTTTTCCCTAGTAGGGTCCCGAGTCTACATCGTGTTCGTATTTCCATGGTCGCTGTATTCCCCCCTTTCACACTGGGTATTCGGTCTCATCACATACAATGCATCACACTGCAATCGACGCCTGTATCAATCCATCCGAAAACCCAATATAACATATTTGTAGGCTTTGGTGTGGGCCTCCCTATCTAGTTCTCGCTGCTTCCCAAGCGCAGGCAGTCGCCCACTCGGCAAGCACCGCGCCAGGATCGCATATGACACCGCTGTGTCTTTTCATGCAGTAATACCTGCTCACGAGGGCGCGTTGGAATACTGTGCCGTATGTCATGGGGCGCTATATGCGTGAGAGCGGATTTGCATACGCCTCGAAAGCCGGTGTAAGACCAGGACATCACGGCTTCTTGGCTTTGCTGTCCTTTAAAGACGTCCTATAACAAGCGGTTCGTGTGGTCAGCTCTTGAGAATATCCGTGAGGCCCAGCGAAGGCCGGACTCACCCCTCCAACGCTGCGTTCCTCATGATGGTCAGCTTGCCTGAGGAAGCGGCCGAGGCGACCTGCTGCTCGATGCTCCGGTTGATCTTTGCGCTCAGTTCCTGCGGGACGAGTTTAATGGCCAAGATCTTCGCTATGTTTGCGAGAGGGGACAGACTGACCTTGTGCATGGCCGCATGCTTGACCGCCGCCGCTTTCTTGGGCGCAGCGTATCGCTTGCCCTTCTTAGGCTGAGATGCTGCCTTCGCTGCATGGCGAGTAGCCGAGGGCTTTTGCCTCTGGAGCCCCTTGATGTGTCCCTGAGCCATGCGAACGCAGATGCAGCGTCGTCCAATAGATGCACGGGAAATGCAGACAGGAGCACTTGCAGAGAAGAACGACCGTGGTGTTTCCCGATCAGGAAGCCGCACATATTTTCGGGCATCCCCGGTCCCGCGCCGGCGTCACGCCCGGCGACAACGAGGGCTGCTCACTGTCTGCACCGTCGGCCAGCAAACATGTTGGCCGTCTCCTCCCACTGCGTGCGCCTGCAGCGCGTCGCAGCGCGCCCACGAAAGGTGCGTGCGCTCTGTGTTTCCTCTCTTCCCCGCCTCTGAGCTTTGAGCGCACACGCATCCTGCGTCCCGCCGTGCTAGCTCCAGCGAGCCATCCATGATCTGGTAGCCCTACCCGGCAACAAGCCCGTCATCGCCTACGGCCCGCCTGGGCGCAGCGCCAACACGGGGCACGTTGCGACCGTCTTTGGCTGCACCGGCTTCCTGGGCAGATATCTCGTTGCAAAACTGGGTGCGTTGCGTCTGTCCGCTCGCATTCCACCGCGCTTTCCTTTGACACTGGCACTGACACCGACATTGACATGGCGGCGATGCGGCAGCCAAGGCGGGCACACAGGTCATCATCCCGTATAGAGAAGAGGACGAGAAGCGGCACCTGCGGGTGACGGGCGACCTCGGCCAGATCGTCTCGATGGTGCGTCGCGCGTGCTCGGAGTTGCCGCCGGCGGGGGCTAAGTACAGCACTTGCACTTGTGCGCGCAGGAATGGGATCTCCGGCGGGACGACCAAATCGAGGAGTGTCTGCGGCACTCGGACATCGTGTACAACCTCGTCGGGCGAGACTACGAGACAAAGTGCGTGTTCCGCCCGCGTCTGCACCTGCCTCCCCTGGCGCCGCTGACGGGCGACTTGCGCGCAGGAACTTCGACTACGACGCGGTGCACGCGGAGGGCGCACAGCGCATCGCGCAGATCGCCGCCGCCGCGGGCGTCCCGCGCCTCGTGCACGTCTCGCACCTGAACGCGGCGCCCGACTCGCCGTCGGCGTTCTACCGCTCCAAGGCGCGCGGCGAGGCCCTCGTCGCCGCCGCGTTCCCCGCCGCGACGATCGTGCGCCCGGGCACCATGTTCGGCTACGAGGACAAGCTCCTCAACAATATCGCCCGTGCGTCCCCCCGCGCCGCTGCTACTGCCGCGCCCGCCCACGCTCACGCATCTGCCTTCGCTTTCGCAGTCTGGCCCATCTGGTGGAAGCTGAACGATATGCAGACGAAGATCCGCCCCGTGCACGTAAGCGTCGCCCTCTGCGTGCACCTCCCTGTTCTCACCGTCGCGCACACACTGCGTCTTGACGACGCCCGCAGGTGATGGACGTCGCGCAGGCCCTCAGCAACCTCATCGGCGTCCCGTCGATGCCCGGGCCGCTCACCCTCCCGGGCCCGTCAACGCTGACGTTCGAGTACCTGCTCTCGCTCGTGGCAAGCGTGACGTACAACCCGCCCTCGCGCGCGCCCGTCGTCCCGAAGGCGGTCGCGCTCGCGCTCGCGAAGGCCGCGCAGGCCGTGTGGTGGCCCGCGCTGAGCCCGGACGAGGTCGAGCGGCGATACCTCGATGATGTCGACGTCCCGGGCGACTGGGACAAGATCGGGGTGGTGCCGGACGAGATCGAGCAGCACGCCATCTCGTACCTCAGGCGGTACCGCACGGCGTGAGTCAGATCGTTTGCTGTGACTGGGTCCGGACTGATTCATGTGTCGGTCACTTAGGGATAACTACACCCGCCCGGTGGTGCTCCCGGCGTCTCGCGAGTCGTTGGTGAGTCACTTGTGCTCGCATGCTGGCTGATGGCTGATTGACGCGCCTCACGCGGATAGTACGAGCTACCATAGTGTTACTGCTCTGATGTATTGTTCGGCCCGTCATTAACTACATTGTTGTGAAAGGAAATGGGTTGCCGGCTGAACGGATCTGTACGCATTCGCCGAAGCGAATCATGAATTGGCTGGAGCATAGGTGCAGAAATGCCATTGATCGCGTCTGCAACTACAGCGATGTGGATACGAGGTTTTGCAAAACCCATCAAATTTGCAGAACTGCATGATCTCCACTGCACACCATAACAATTATAATTTTGATTGTAGATGGTAGTAGGCACTTAGTATACGCTATGTGCAAGAGCGATTGAGAGGAAATGAAGGCGAAGTGAAATGACAGCCTGCAGACTGTTCTGAAGGTGTTGATCTAGAGACAGACAATGTATTTCTTGACGATCAGACTTCCGATCCGGTATATCACAGCTTTGAATGTTCTGGTACACCACCCCGATTCACCCAGCAAGGCATGGCGGGGGGGCGACGGTTGTTCTCGTCGAGCAAGCGTGACTGTCGTAAACTACATCGTTGTGCAAGGAAATGGGTTGCCGGCTGAACAGATCTGCGCGCATTCGCCAAGGAAGCGACTCGTAAATCGGCTGGAGCATATGTGCACAAATGCCATTGATCGCGTCTGCAACTACAGCGACGTGGATAGTAAGCGAGAGAAACCAGCGATGGTCCGCTCGCCGTCGCTGTTCGATTGCGACTGTAACCGTCGACAAGCGGGTGTGCTACGCAACCTGCGCAGCTGAGAAGACACTGGGGATCGAGCATCTGTCATAACCGGAGTCTGGGAAATCGATCCATCCGGCGGGACGCCGTTCCGAGGGAATTTGTCCACGCCGAAGTGACACAGCGAGGGATGAGCAGGAAAGGAATGACTAGTGAGCTATATATGCTACAATGGCGCAGGGACGGGCGTGATAGCATGGATATGGCTAGAAACCGGGTGGGACGACGCCCTTCTGCTGGGGCTGGTTCGGGCTCGGCGGAGCGTACATGGAGGCCATCTGCCAATGGCATAATGAGGATGGGATGGGGCGACGCGGGGGGCTGGGTGGGACTTACGTGCTGGGCGCCCTGCTGCTGGGCGAGCATCTCCTTCTCCTGGGCGACGATCTTGGCCTCGTCCTCGAGGCTGAGGGCGAGGGGGAGGCCGACGAGGAGCGCGCTGGTGGTGACGATCCAGACGAGGTTGCCGAGGACCCTGCCGGAGGTGCGGAAGAAGCCTGCGGTGCGGGAGACGCGGGCGGCGATTTTGTGGCGGGTGGTGGGGGGCACGATGTCGACGAGGGCGGCGATGCGCTGGTAGAAGGACTCTTCGGCGTCGACGTCGGAGCCGACGGAGGAGAGGGAGACGGAGGAGGATGTGCGGGAGGAGGCGGCGGATGCGTAGGGCGAGGTGGACTCTTGCTGGTCCCTTTCCTCGACGATTTCGACCTTGACCATGGTGGGCGAGCTGGGTGACGGCGAGGGCGAGGGCGTCTGCTGTGGCGCTCATTTTCCGGCCAGCGAGCAGGCGTGTGGAGGCGCACGTGACGCGGGTGACGGCGGGTGCATGTGGCGGTCGTGGATATTTACGTAATTAATCTCCGGGATACGTGGGGGGAGGTCGCGCTGGGAAAGGGAATAATTATGAACCAGGCAGACGTGATTGGGCGTGCGCGTGACAGGCGTGGGGGAGCGCCACGTGCGGCAGCGGCCCCGAGATTTGATCTGGCGGGGGAGCCGCAAATCGTAAGCAGGAAGGAACAACGCCCAAGTCCAAGTCCCGATCTCGTCCTCCCTCTTATTCTTATACTCTCTCTTCCCCTCCCCCGCCACTCGCCATGGACCCCGCAGACATCTCCGCAGGCTCCTCCAGGCTTCCCGCCCAAGGTCTGCACTGCCCCGCCCCCATGTCCCGCCCGCAGTCGCCACACGCTCACCCCGATGCCGCAGCCTTCAATCTCACTACCGCCTCCATGCAGAACCAGTTCCATGAGCTCGCCAAAACTCTCCCGCCCCCCCGCAAACAAAACACCGCCTGCGACGCCTGCAGGTCTGTCTTTCCGTGCCTTCTGCCGTTCCCACGCGACCGTTGCTCACTCCCGCTCCAGGGCGCGCAAAGTTAAGTGCAACCAGCTCCCAGGACAGGACAAGGTAGCGTGCTTTCCACCCTGTCTCCCGCCCTGCTGACAGCCCCCCCCCAGTGCCAGGTATACGCGCTCTTACTCGCCGCTGCTCGTCCCCGCTCACTCCCCCGCGCAGCACTGCATGACCAAGAATTATCCGTGCACGTCAGTCTGCGTGCCACTGCCACCCTGCGTAGTCTAGTCATTAATTGTCCGTAACGTAAAGCCACCATGTCCAGCAGGCCACCACCGAGAAGAAGCGCAACGCAAACCTTAACAAACGGCCCCGCACCCTCAGCACTTCCGCCCCAGGGTGCGCCCTCTCGCCTCCCGCTGCAATCAATCACTCACAGACGCTGACGTACCGCCTCTAGCGCCCCGTCCGCCTCCTCATTACGCATGTAGGTCCATTTACTCTTTTCCGTATTTCCCGCCAGGCGTCCATACCCGCTTGTCATCCAGTGGCACCGGCGATCAGTCCATCTCGCCTGGGCACACCCCCACGACGCCCAACTACCCAGCCGCCGCGTCGTACCGGCCATTACAGGGCTACTGGCCGCACTACAACCCCATCACCCTCCAGACCTCAACACGAGACCTGCTCGCTTATCTGTTCTCGCCTCCCACCCCAAGGTCTAGCCAATTTGCGTTTGCTCCTGAGACGACACGCGCCCTGACCCATTGCGCGATGTAAGCAGCGCCATGCAGGGCTACAACGCTGCCCTCCCGCCGGGCATGGGCGGCTCGTACGCCGACTGGGGCGACGTCGCCGCCAAACTCGGCGACGAGTCCTTCCGCATCGAGTTGCGTAGCACCCTCGCGCCGCATGCACTGACAGCACTCTGACTGACGCCCGCCCGCAGCATCGCACTCGACCTCGTTGACGTCTATTTTCAGATCGTGCACACCCGCCTCCCGCTGCTCAACCCCGCGCAGTTCCGCACGCGCCTCCAGCGCGGCCTCTTCCTCGGCGCAAACTCGCGCTCACATTCCCCGCACACGCCGTCCAGCGCGCCCGCAAGCACTGACGGGCTGAAGCCGCTGCACCCCGCGTAAGCGCCCTCCTGCCACCCAGCCCTTCTCTTCCCGCGTCCCGAAAGGGCAACCGCACCGCTGACGGTGATGCTGACTGACGGGCGTGCCCCCATGGCAATGCAGGCTCGTCGCAACCGTCATCGCGTGGGGCGCCAAGTTCTCCGAGAACCCGCTGCTCGTCGCGGACCGCGCGCGCAACGCGAACCAGAGCCTGCTCGCCAAGACGCTCATCAACCGCGCGCGCGACCTCGCGGAGGACCTCAAGGTGCACCGCATCCCGAGCGCGGACCACGTCGTCATCGCGCTCCTCATCGAGCCCATGCAGAGCCGTGCGTGCGCGTCCGCCTGTCGCCATCCGCCGCTGACCCCTCCCCCCGCGCAGAGAACATCGAGCATTCAGCGGGTGAGCACTTGAGCTTGAGTCCCCGCGTCCCGGTCGGGCGGCGGACCACAGCGGTGGGTCCGCTCGCGGCGCACGAACTGACCGATTGATCAGGCTTCCACGGCTTCTGGCTCATGTCGGCTATCCGACTCCTCCTCGATCTGCAGGTGCGCCGGCTCCCGCCTTCCCCATTCATCCGCTCTGCTCTCCGCGGCGATCACGCCGCGGCCCCGCGTGGCTCACGACTGATAACCCCGCATCTGCGCGCAGATCAACCACAAATCGGTCATGTCCAACATCCAAGATCCCGAGGCGCGCGGGACGATGATCTTTGCGTGGTGGATGGCGTGCCTCGCGGACGCGTACCGGAGCGTGTACTACAGGCGCAAGCCGATGCTGTGCGTATGCCCGCTCTGTTCCCTGTGCCCCGTGCGGTGGTGTTGCGGGTCTCATGCAGCGCGTGCGGAGCTGACGCGGCACGTCCGCAGGGATGACGACGATTACGACATCGACTTTTATACGGTCGGGCCTGTGCCGCCCGACCGCCTGGAGCCGCAGGGCCAGCAGCCGTCACCGAGGGAGCAGCTGGAGGTACGCCGCGCCCGTTGCCGACTCCCCGCTGCGTGCTGCACTGACGCGCCCCGTCCTCCTCCCACCCGCAGTTTCTGGTAAGTCGCGCTCGGCCTCGTTTCCGCCGCTCACCGCCGCAGCTGGGCACCCCCGCACCACAGGGCTACTACCGCGCGGCGCACGCGCTCGCGCGCATCTCGCGGCAGATGTCGCGGCAGCTGTGGCGGCCCGCGACCGAGTCGGACGGCATCCCGCTGGGCGAGCTGGTGACGTTCATGGCGCTGCTGAACGAGTGGCGCGAGGAGCACCTGCAGGTCGTCGGCGTGCCGAGCAACTTCCACTCGGACTGGGACTTTGTCAGTGCGGTCACTGCGTGTGAGCCTTTTCTCTTCTTTTCCCGTGTCTCTCTCTCCCTGTCCCTCTCTCCCTGTCCCTCTCTCCCTGTCCCTCTCCCTGTCTCTCTCTCCCTGTCCCTCTCCCCCATATTTCTCTCCCCCATCTCTCGCTCTCTCTTTTCGGCAGGCAGTGGCGCTGATGCGTGCGGCAAGGCGCGAGCGACGCGACGTACCACATCATGTGGATCATCCTGTTCAATGCGCTGGACGACTTCGGCATCCGGGAAGTGAACGACCTGACGAGGACCGGCAGCCCCGGGAATATCCTCCCCAACACGGCGCACATCGAGAACACGAAGAGGAAGGTCATGGACGAGGCGCTGCACGGGGCTACGCGCATCGCGGGCCTGGTCAGTGGAGTTTTTCTCCTTCTATAGCTCTCCCCCCCTCCCCCCCTCTTCGCGCGCGCTTCACGCTGATGCCCGTCCATTTGCAGGCCGGCGTCCTGACATCAAATGGATATCTGGTACGTACGGGACGCGTGCGGCGGGGCGCGCGATGATGATGAGCTCACGTTCGCGCCCGGTGTAGAGGCTGGACTCGGCCGTCATGCATGTCAGCATCATCCAGGCGGGGACGTTCCTCGCGCGCCTCGGCCGCCCCGAGGTCATGAACTGCGTGAGCGGCCTGCAGCAGTACAGCTACGCGTACGAGGAGTGCGCGGAGCAAGCGGCGGAGATCCGGCGCGCGTACATCCAGGCGACGACCGGCGACTTGGACCTCAACCACATGGCGTCCGTCGTGCGCCCGCTCGGCGACGCGGGGGCGAACAGCGCGATGAACGTGGACCAGCCGCCGTATGCTGGGGGCTACCGTGGCTGAGTGCGCGGTGCGGGTACACTTTGACGGACAACATTGGACTTTTTTTGCTTTTGTTTTTTTGTTGTGTTTTGTGTTGCCATCTCGCGGTCTCGGATAGACACTGTATTTTGCTTGCGCACGGACGAATGACACGAACCTGTAGCACATACTAGGTAATTAGCGGCAGCACCTTCTTAGTAAGTATGTAGCGTACTCTCTCCCGATGTACGGCGCTCACGCCGCTTAGACTGGATAGTGGCAACGGACACGCTCGTACTGACATTCAGAACACGGGTGTCCTGTGGGCATGTGGTGGAGTGGGATTACGGTAATAGGGGAGAAATACAGATAGGCTGATGCTAGGCCTGGGGCGTGTAGCTACAGGCGGACACTCTTCACGACGCGTGAGATTCCGGTCTTCTCGCCGTCGTATCTGCCCCCGGTTTGTGAGACGCCGCCCCTGTAGACCGCCTTCTGGGACGCGACCTTCTTCTTTGCCTTCTCGAATCTTTGCCGTTTCTTGACACGGGGATTGCGTACACTCTTCCCGCGATGGGGCGTCAGGCCCTTGTTCTTCAAAATGGCTCGCGTCAACGAGCGAGGGCCGTCCGCGCTCTCGTCGACGTCCGGTCTGGACCACACAGACAGAGACATGCGTCAGTTCCGGCACGCGCAACGCGTCCACGACACACGAGAAAACGCACCTCTCCGCCGCCTTCACCGCTTCGTACACGGCCTTCTTTTGCTCCCTCTTCTCCTTGGAATGGCGCTGGACGAGCTCGTAATAGCCGTCCCCGTCCCCGCCGGCCTCGCTCCCAGACCCCTCGTCGTCCTCCCGTGCACGTTTCTTCTCCGGCTTCCTGGCCTCGGGCTCGGCGTCGTCCAGGTCGTCCCCGCCCGCGCCACGCCGCTTCGCGGCCTCGCGCGCAGCACGCTGCTCCTTCTCCTTCTTCCGCTCGCGGTACGGGATGTCGTCGTCCCCGCCCATCGCCGCGCTGCGCGCATGCTGCCGGCGCGCCGCCGTGCTCTCGATCCGCGCGGCGTGGAAGCGCAGCGACTTCTTGCGCGCCATCTTGTCCGCTGCGTCCGCCGCCGGCAGCGCGGTCGCCTCGCCGTACACGTCCGTTGCCGCCGAGGACGCGGGGCGGCCGGCGGACGAGGATGCCGCCTTGGGCTGCGCCAGGTCGGGCTCGACGAGATCGAACACGGGCGTGGCCGGTTTGGCGTCTGCGCTGCTCTTACCCGTTTTGCGCTTCTTTTTGGGCGGCTCTTCAGGCACCGCGGGCTTCACCCTTCGTTTGGGCGAGCGTGTGTCCGGGTCCTCGGCGCCCTGGGAGACTATGACCGCATTCGCCTCCTGCAGCAGGTCTTCGAGTTCGCCGAATTCTAGGCCCTTCCTCTTGGCCGGCGACCAGAGCCCGTTAGCACCTTCAACGGAGGCGTTCTCGTCTGACGATGAATCGTCGCCGCCGCCGTCATCATCAGATAAGTCGAAATCTAGGTCCTCGAGCGTCGCGAGCGACCGCTTGAGAACAAGGAGACGTGGCAGGACGGGGTGTGACCGGAGTAACTCCGGATGCTGGACGTACTTCTCCTGGGCCCGCAGATGAAGATAGAACGCGAGTGTGGTGGCGTATGTAAAGAGCGCCTCTGCGCGAAATCAGCTCGCCGCATTGGCACCAACTACGTAGCCAGACGTACGATAATGCAAATGTGCCATGCCGAGACTCAACGCGTCTGGCTGCTCAGCTTCCATACTGTATAAAGGTCAGAAAGGAGCGCAAGACGCGGTTTGACAAATGTCGCTCACTGGATGAGCTTGACCTGAGTCTGGAGGAGCTGGCGTGCGATATCATCCCAATCTCGAGCCAATGCCAACGACTCAGGACTGGTCTTTTCAAGATGCCGGAGCAAGGATGGCTTGTCCTGAGGTAGTGGCTGCACGGCAGGTGCCGGCAAATCCGTCAGGACACTACAGTGCGAGGAGGCTGCGGGTCAATAGATGGATAGAGATGAAACTATATCACATACTCTTCCGGTTCTGCCGTGACGTCGACAGGGTCTGCCAATCCAAAATCGTCGTCGACCAGAGCGTCTCTCGCCTTGGCCTGCAGCCGCATGGCCTCCTGCACCTCGAGCTCGTTCGCCTCCTCGTCGTCTGAGTCGAGCTGCGCCGCGTTTGAGGAGTAATATGCCGCCTTCGACTTGCCCCAGCCCTCTTCTTCCTCTTCCGACTCGTCCGCGGACGGCGACGGCGACGGCGACGTCTCTTTGCCCTTCCTGCTCTTGCTCTTCTTCTTGCCCTTGGCTTCGACTATGCGCTCAAGGTCTTCGTCGTCTTCCGGACCATCCCCGCCATCGCCCCCATCCTCTTCATCTGAACTGCCAGGGATACCCTTCAGAGCGAACACCTCGTCCTCGTCTCCGTCGTTCTCGCCGTCATTTCCATAATCATCTCCTTCGAGTAGTATCTTGTCTCGCGAGGCATGGACTGCATAGAGATCAGTGAACCGAAGTGATTGCTCATTTGCGCAACATACACTGATCCTCCTCGTCCAGGGGTACATCAGAAGCCTTGTTCCACCGCTTTATCTTGCCTTCTTTTCGGTCCACCCCACGGTGTTTTGACTGGCCAGCTTTTGGCTTTCCGGAACGTCGACGAGGCATGACAGAGCAAGGAAATCAAAAGAGTATCGCTCAAGGACACGCTTATATTAGGCGCCCATGAATTTGCGATCTTTCCCTTTTTGAACTCTATACTGAACGCCACCCATGTGGCTTAACGTAGACGTCCATGACATATTCAGAAGTTGTAGTCAGTACTCCTCCAAACGAACTCTTATTATTGAATACTCAATGTCTAGAGCTGTGTGGAGGAGTACGTTATCGCCAAGAATATTCCTGTATGGAACACACTCTCGGGGATCATTTACTGAGTAAAGAACACGAATACAATATTGATCCTGAGTCTCATTCAAAATCACGTCTGAGCACGTCGGCGCTCATACGCTCTGAGCTGAGCTGTTAAAACCAGATGAGCGCGGACTAGATCAGGAAAGCTGGACTTTCCGCAGTTGACTATCTGCGCCCATATGTTCGAGTTCCGGACTTTAGGTTGATCTCAGCAAATATGGAGTGGCTGTGCTGATTTCATCGTGGCTGCTGTAGCAGCCACGTCCTACTGAACTCAAGTACTCTGAGAGGTACAACGTATATACTGCTGTGGAGATTATGAGCAGTAACTAGGTGTTGATGAAAGAGACGATGGCATGCGTCTGGAAGATGCTGGATGACTTCGTACAGCAAATAGTGAAGTTATGACACCTCTCTGTGAGGCTGTATAATGATGTACTGAGCGTGGCGAAACCCAGGCCCAGCACAATGGTTCTTGGGCACTCATGACGTTGTTTTGACGCATCAAGCACACATCCCCGTGTTTTTTCGTGCGGAAACGGGATTACCAGCACTAGTGAAGCCTCTCAGACTACTTCGTTAGGAGTCGCTGCGATGCGGCAGAAGCCACCGGCGGGCATCCGACAGTCGCTACTTACCCCCAGTGGAATATGATCCTTTCAGGGTATGCAGAAGGCTGGATATCGTTTAGCGAAACATACCTCGCCTTGTTTCCCGTTGGTGTGGTGGCTTGCTGCCGTCAGACAAGGGTGAAGCAACCACCTAGACAGATTGAAGAACATATACACAGCAGTAAATGCAGTACGCGCAGATGCTCTGATAGGATGTCAAAACCTGTGTATCCTCTAGTCGCTGTGCACTACCAAAATCTGAGCCGTGTCAGAAGTCTGCGCACATGCACGCCTCAGCCAGGCACTGCGCCTGCCGCCGGACATCCACTCTACTCCAAAGCATGAGAAGGAGACCAGGACAACAAAGCCACCGTCACATACCTCCAACGACTCTCGCCACGCGCACAGCCGTGGATCACCAGAACTCCTTCCGCTTCCTCGCCGCCTCCCGGAAGAACGCCTTCTTCTCGCCCCACCGGCTCCTAGAGTCCTCGTGCTCCGCGTCCCGCTTGTCCAGCACCCGCCGCCGCTCCGACTTGTCCAGCGGCGCCATCTTCATGATGAACAGCGACGTGCAGCCGAACTTCTTCGCCAGCGCCGCCCGCGTCCAGGTCGCCGGGTCCTCTTTGCGCAGCCGCCGCATCTCCGCAATGGCCTCGGTCGTCAGGCGCTCCGGCGCGGCTTGCAGCGTGCGCAGCGTCGGCGGCAGGGGCACACCTGTGTCCGATGCATGGCTTTTGAGCAGCGGAGACGCGGGGGAGGAGGTGTACGACAGCGGTGAGGGCGCGGTGGGCGGCGGTCGGTGGATGAAGGTGAGGTCTTCGGGTAGACTCTGGTACGCCGCGTGCGCGTTGTTGATCAGGGGGTCGGGCGCGCGGTGTGGCGGCTTTTGCGGCAGACGAGTAGCGTACGTGCGCACGAGAGGGGCTTTGAGCGGGAGCAACTTCATGGCAGAAGTGGCCATGGCTTACAAGTAAGAAGAGAGCGCCTAGTGCTGGCTGGCGTCGGTCCTGCCGAGCGTGCCGAAGCTGTTCTCCCCGACGCCCGCACATATTTACTGCAACAGGGACTGGCCCCCGATCACTTCTGGTGGTAATTGCTCGCGCTTGTTAGATGCCCAACCCTTGAATGTGCGAGATCACGATGACTCCACAATTGAGTCTGCTATATGTACTTGATTATTAGACTACATGTCACATCAATGATCACATAATAAGGACGAGAACGCGAGAATCGAGAACGGGCAGAATGCGGACATCGGGGTGTACGACGAGGACGGCAGGCCAGATGTCGAGGGCAGCACAAAATATGTGGACGAGAATAGGGTTGGGGGCGTCATCATCATATGCTGTTGCCACATCTGAGGATGCCGGAACAGACGGGGACGCGGTGGGCGCAGACGAGCACAAGGTTAGTGCAAACGTCGCTGATGCAGACGCAGAACCACTAGATACACCTACACCAGTACTTCTGTACCTGTCGCTTCCGCTGAGCACTGGGCTTTGCTGGCATCGGGCAAGCTGTCTCAGTGCAATCGGGAGTAGCGTGCTTAGATACATAGCACATGCAGGACAAAATGGGCACCTCAGAGTCGTGCGCACTGCCTGCTGGTCCAGCGGATGGGATATTGAGTACAGAGGTAACAATGGGAGTAAGCGTGTCATGAAGGATGGCATGGCGGGAAGCAAAAACCAGGTGCTGGGAGTAAAAAGGAACATAACCCTACTCTGCACCTGGTAGATGCATGTGCAGTGTGTGCAGTAGCCAGGCTATGGCAGTCAGTATTTAGCACTCTAGGAGAGGAAAGGCCCAAGAACTTACACGAAATTCTTCCACCAGCCTTGGCAAATGGTGCATTGCAAGCACGATATAAAACACTTACTCATCAATTCATGAGCTGTTGTGCACGTCGATGTGCGGAACTACAGGCCACATACCTGGGACATTGAGACACAAATAGTAGGACCGTTCAAAATTGCCGCTTAAATGTCGCTGGAAAACAAGCGAAACCTTTCGCTGCTTTTGAGCGCCCAGATGTGGCTGAAGGTCGCTGAAAGGGTCACAGATGACTAAGCGTGATGCAGATGTGATTTGATCATGTTCTCGGCTTGCGAAGAGCTAACCAGCCAATTAGGTTGGTGAATCATGCAAGCGTGACATGGCCGTGAGCCAGAATCTGCGAGCGCTTGCGACGAGCAGTCGCTTAAATGTCGCTGTTCGAGGAGGGGAGCTCAGATTCTGCTCGCTGCTTTTGGCCGCTTAAATGTCGCTTGTTTTCCAGCGAGATTGAAGCAGCAAATTTGAACGGTCCTAGTGCCTTGTACAGTACGACAAGACGCGTCGTAAATATCAGTGAAGTCTCCGGGAGAATGGGCGGCATAATGTCGGCAGGCAATGCCGGACGTCTTTGTTCGTAGCAGGCCAGTCCCTGTTGCAGTAATATGTTATATGCATGCCAGTAAGTACTACTCGCTTCGAATTCAGCAGTAATACAACACCGTGGGTTTTCTAAGCTACAGATTCATTCAAGAGGTGCATTGTCACGCGGCGCAATCACGTCTGCCGTGCGGACCTGCAAATATCGCGGGGTCACGGCTGCACATTTCCTCCGCTCATGGTACCAAGGCTACCCCCGAGTGATACTGGGAATCACTTGTGGGACTACGATGTCGGCTTGTCGACATCGCCGCTTGCCTGGATCTGCAGGTCGGTTGCCCGACTGAACCATGTTCCCCATTTACGAACCAAACACAATCTTGCCATGACGTCCACTCACGCGTCATTTTCATTTTAGTCTTCAGTATGTACTTTACTGGACACTTGTGGCTGCTGCCGCTTACTCAACTCTGAACTGCGCAGTGGCCATGGAGGTCTTAGAGCAACACGTACTGGTAGCCGCTTGACGGAGATCCTCGCTATCTGTCGCAACACCATACGTAGTGCTCGCCAGCCAATTGAAACACGAAGGGCTAGTGCCCAGCCAAGCTGCGCAGAGTGGAGCGGGCTGATCAGTGCGGTCACGCTGATACCTCCAGGAGGGAGTCGGCTCGAGCGCATATCACGTTCGCACACACGACACCCGCGTCACCAGCCGCTTAGTATTATGCAGTCGCTTTAGAGCGCCGCCCAGTGGCCGCACGGACAGCGCGGACGGAGACTGGCAGGCGTGCTCATGACCATGACCTCAGTCGGTCGAACGTTCTGTGTCCTTCCTGCCGCGAGCTGTCAGTGATCGTGCGCCCGCGGCCGTGCCGCGCCCAAAGCACCGATTGGACAGTGTCGTTCCCAGCTCCTGTCGCCTTCCACGCCCAGACTCTCGAGCCGTTCCAGGGAGCGGCTGCCTCCGGGGGTGCCGCCATTCAACGTTAAATACGCGAATGCGCACTAGTACTGCACCTCGCAGCCCGCACCTCGCACCTCGCATCTCCCCCGCCCTTGCTTCCTGCTCTGCACCCGGACACCCAGCGTCTGCGCACACGATGTCGGACCCGCAGCCGCACACGTCGGATATCAAGCACGCGCTGTCGACCTACGCACAGGAGATGTTCCATTACACGTTCGGGCTGTGGATGGAGGTGTCGAAGCGGGCGGAGGCGACGGCCGCAAGCACCGCGACGAGCAGCGAGGCCGGCAAGAGCGGCGATTGAGGGGCCAGCCCTGACCCATCGAGAATCGAACCAATCTGTGCGGCGGCGACCTTCCCCCTCCCCTTCTGCAGCGTGGTCATGTGTCTGATTGGGCTCTTACAGGGAACATGCACCCCCACCCCCACTGCCGCGCACTCAGCTAATACTGCACGGCACGGCCATCTCATCCTGTCGTTCTGTCCCAGACAGATTCGTCTGCAAACCGCACGGCTTCCTGTCCTCCGCGGTAGGTCTTCTCGGTCCTACGGCCCCCTTCGATGACGTACCGATGTCGTCAGACAGCCCAGGGCGCGTCGCGGTGATCTCATACTCATATTCCATGGACTATACTGTTTGAGGCCCGGCTGTACACACGCTCGCGTACTTGTCTGGTTCGAATGTTCGAAGTGGTATTTTCTCGGGGACAGGCGCCCCGATGAGGCAAGCTGCGAGCTTCGTACGCCTTCCAATTCCCTTGCGCGACACACGCGGGCAGAAGGCGATGCACGGCTATGAAATGACGCCGCTGTCCTGTAAACGCAAGCATGCAGCGTCGAGGAGACCTGTCAGCGTCATGCCCCGAATGGCTAGCGGGACATCCGTGTCAGCGGCCCGCCAGATCCTTCTCAGTGATCTCGATCAGACCCCTTCTGTCGACGTCATCGGGCTGTATAAGACAACACCAGACAGACTTGCCACACTATTCAAAACAACACGTGCATACTAGCACGTTCAGCGTGCTTCTCAAATGTTGGCGAGGTGCATCACCAACTGGCAGCTACTATATGCGCCCCCTACGTTGCAGAGACACAGCTCTGTACCTGCACTATGCGCACATACCATAAGATTGAGGATCCGTACGGCGCAATGTTTCAAAGGTTGACACGATAGCCTCCATAATGCAATGTTAATTCCACAATTCCAATATAATGCTCTCCACGGTGGTATTCCTAGTCGTATTTCTACGGAACCGCCATTCCTGCTTTTACAGCTGGACGTTCAGAGTTCCGCTCGATCCAAGCCTAGGAACTGTGTCGTCGACCACCTTTTATGCAGGTACGAGCACGACGCACCTTGACATGCGGCCACTCATCAAGCGTCTCGATCCCGCAGAACGCATGCCCGTTTACCCTGGAGGAGACAAAACAGCATTTAGCGGAGGCTCCGAGACGCCGTCGGTAGCGCGACACACCATGGGAACGCGTTCATATCCGCGATGCTGTAAGTGCCCCTCTCGGGCCCCGCGAGCCAGTCGCGGCCGTTCAAGCGGATGTCGAGTACGCCGTAGAGACGCTTCGTCTCGTCGAGGTAGCCTGCAACGGGTCAGTGCACGGCGCAGAAATGTCCCCAGGCTGCTCACGCTTCTTGGCGTAGGGTATGTCCTCAGGGGCGAACCGCGCAAAGTGGTTGGCTGTGTCTGGCGTCAGCGGCGTGTTCGGTGTCCGATGAACAGGCAGCCATGTCTACCTTGTCCCTGCATAGGGCCGATGCCTCCGTGCTAGCAGGACCGGGAGACGTCTGTCAGGCCGCGCGTATACGTGTGTGTGTGTAGCCCCGCCCGGGCGCACGCACGGTGAAGAAGATCCACTGCAGCATCTCGCTGTAGTCGTCCGCGCTCGTCTGCGGGTCGAACGCGAACCGCCGCGTGGTGTCGTAGTGCTGCGCGAGGTACAGCAGGATCGCGGCCGTCTCGAACACGGGGAAGTCGCCGCGGCGCCGGTCGAGCAGCACGGGGATGCGCCCGTTGGGGTTGAGCTGGATGAACCACGGCGCCTTCTGCGTGTTCTTCGCGAAGTCGATCTTGTGCACGCTGCGGGTTGCGCGCGGTCAGGGCGCGTGCGGCGGCGCGTGCGGCGTGGCACTCACTCGTAGTCGACGCCGTACGTCGCCTTGAGCTCCTCGAGCAGGATGGAGACCTTGTGGCCGTTCGGCGTGGCGGCGGTGTAGAGGAGGAACGGCTTGCTGGCGGGGGCGGGGGCGAGAGACATGTTGCGACGCGAGAGAGAGCGGGCGAGGGTACCGAGACGGGGCAGCATGCCCTGTAATTTATGTAGGTGTCTGTTCTCCTGTCGCCGCACCGTGCCCGTGGTATGTTATAAAGGCACAAGGAGCATACACACTGCAGTTCACCGATCGGGCATTACGTCATGGCATACTGACAAAGCCCATCTTGGTAAGACTCTTACCATGCATGTAAGTAGCCTGAGCGCTGAGTCCAGGATCAGTCGTGGCCATGACATACATATGAACGTTTGAATCCCGCACCAAATTCAAGGGCGTCCGTGACGCGCGACTGAACACTTGGCCGGGTCGATACGCGACCGCTCATCCACGTCTCAACGCGCGTTGGCGGGGCAAAATAACCTGATCTGATCATGCGTACTGTTACATTGACGTGCAACACACAGCAACGGGGACCGAACATGAAGCAAAACGGGGGACACTGTAACAAGAAGCGGAGCAGGCCAGGAAGGGACGCGCGAAACAGACACACAGACACACAGACACAAAGATGAGATGGAATTCAGTGAGGGGATGCGAGCGGGAACAGGGCGGGAACAGAATAGGGCAGAATGGACCACGGGCCTTTCCAAGAAGGCGCTCTGAAGGAAGATGCGGGATAGGATAGTGTACACTTGCCGGAGACGTCGACGCGACTGACAACCAAAGCCCAAGACTGAGTCCGCGGCGACTGCGAGCTCGTACAGAACGTGAAACCGCCACCACGCACACGCCTCCGTGCATTGCCGACGACGCCCCGCGCGTCATCGCTCGTCCATCGGCGAGCGCGGACGGCTGCCCGCGGGCGACGCGTACGCCGCCTCCCGGCGAGCCGCCTCCGGCTTGCCGTCGCTCGACGCAGGAGAGCCCTTCGCCTCGCGATAAAGGTGCCCCTCCGCAGACGTAGACGCAGACACAGACGGGCGCGGGCCCGCGCCGCGCCGCGCCGACGCGTCCTCCGACGGGTGCAGATGGCTGCGCGCGGCCGCCATGCCGCCCTTGGGCGAGCGCGCGTCCTTGCCCGGCGGCGGGTGGTACCCGGGGCCCTGCAGGTCGCGCGCCGCGTGCGCGTACGCCTTGCGCGAGGCGTCCACGGGCGGCGTGCGCGGGTCGAGGCGGATGGCCGAGACGGACATGCGCCGGCCGATCTCGAACGACACGGGCGACGCGGTTTGCGAGTTCGGGAAGCTGCGCGCCTCGAGCTCCGCGGGCGACGCGATGCGCCGGATCGGCTCGGGGCGGCGGATGTGCGGCTCGATGGGCGGGAAGGTGTACATCTCGGGCGCGACAGACGCGCCGTTCGTCGCCTTGCCCTTGCCCTTCGCGGCCCCGGCCCCGGCGCGCGGGCTGTAGCCCTGATTGCCGAGCGTGGCGCGCTGCAGGCCGTGCTCGAGCTCCTCGATGCGCCGGTGAAGAGAGTAGATGTCCTCGCGCATCGCCGCTGTTCGCCTGTCGACCGCGGCGCTGACGATCTCGTCGAGATGCTCCTGCTGGCGCTGCAGCGACGCGCTGAGCGCATGCGACTTCTGCAGCTGCTCGCCCAGCCAGTTCTTGAGCTGCTTCGAGTCCGCGAGCGCGTCGTAGAACATCTCGAACGGCGCCAAGAACGCCGACTTTTCGCTCGTGTAGTGCGGGTGGTGCAGTGTCGCGGGCGTCGGCGGCACCAGCGACGTCGCAATGGGTATGGAGGGATTCGGTGGCGACCGTCCCGCTATCGAGCTCACGGACGCCTGCGACAGATGGCTCGGGCCCGCGTTGCGCTGCATGCTCAGCCGCGTGGGCGTCGGCGGCACTCGGCTCGTCATGTACCTCGGCGCAGCCCCACCCACCTGCGGCAGGCTGGGCATCGCCATGCCGGGATACCGCCCAGACGCACCCTGGCCATGGTCTGCGCGCGGAACGGGCGGCGCGCTCTGTATCGCAGGCTGCAGGTGCGTCGCCTGGGGGCCGTGCGGGCTGATCACAATATCCGCCGGCTTGCCCTTGGCTCCACCCAGCTGGCGGCGGCGATTCCCGAAGCTGATAGACGGGGCCGGAAGCGCGTGCGAAGGGGCGGGCGCAGACGTGGTGTGCACGAACGTCGGGTTCTCTGCAGACGCCGCTGGCATCGGAAGGGGCTGCTGGGCGGCGCTGATAAGCGTATTGGGGCTGGAATGCCGTGTACCCGACGATCCCGAATGGTTCTGCGGAGCTGCGGACGTCCCGGCGGCTGTAGAGCGTCGACGATCTGCAGCCGCCTGTTGCAAATTTGGACTGCGGCCACCCGCGCGTGCAGGGGCAGCGCTCCTTGGAGCATGCTGTCGGTCGTCCGACGACTGCGGCGCGTTCACGACGTTCACGGAGGGCGGGACCGTAGACACGATGGAAGCCGTACTCCCCCGTCTTTGTTCGATCAGCTCCTTTTGCTTCTGCTTGACGGTGAGCATCGAGCGCACTTGCTCCAGCGCCGCGGGGTCGTCGCGCATGATCGTGAAGCCCATCACAACAGGCGAAATGTTGTTGATGTTGTCTGATGCAGAGTTCTTGACGTCCGTGTTGATGGGGTGCGAGATGCCACTGATCGTGACACGCCGTCGCTTCGACGCCGAGGGCCGAGCGTCGGGCGGGATCGACCCACCTGCCTGGTCGCTGGCCTCCTGCGACGTGCACGCGAGAGCCAGTTCGGAGGTGCTCGTGGGGAGGGGGTCATTGTCTGCCTCCTCTTTGATGCGCACCGTCCGAGGGGATCGGTGCGAACTGCCGACGGCGCCCTTGTCAGCGACGACAGCGGCAGGGGCGGCGACGACGTACTCGGAGTCTGCCCGGCCATCTCTGCCCTCTGCAGCCGAGGTGTCTGCGTGCAGACGTTTCCGTTGATTCTGCCTGGTGCTATTGTCAGCGACAACAGCGGTAGGGACAGCGAGAACAGCGGTGGGGACAGCGATGACAGTTGTAGGGACGGCGACGACGTACTCGGACTCTGCCCGGCCATCTCTGTCCTCTGCAGCCGAGGTGTCTGC